GCAATAATAAAATTAATTTAATTTTTATGTTAAGGTAACAATTAATTTAGTATCAAAAGAATATTATTTTATCTTTCTTCAATCTTACAATACATTTAGTGACTTACATGGTACAACTAATAATAAAAACAGCTCTTTTTTTTTTTAATATACAGTTTTTTTTATTGATAAGTGTACAAATAGATAATTTATTATCTAAATCTAGAGCGTAATAATTTTTTTTCTAAAACCTATGGCAACTTACTAATTGCACTCAGATTCTGTAATATCGTTTTATATTAAAATTAATACAAAAACTAAAGACATAATGAATATTATTAGTCTCCAAATGACACTGTGTTTTAAAATTAATTGTATTTATTATGAGAAAAAAATGAGAAATTGGCTTGAGGGTATGTAATATAGACTAATATTATTATCATATAGACTAGTATCATTAAAAACAGTCTAGACCTTAAGTAGAATCATACATATTTTTTTCAGACTACAATCATGTATCGTAGAGTTAAAACAAAATATTTCTTAGTATCTTAGCTTACCTTTTTAGCACTTTTCATTCTGCTTTTCCATGAATGATTGAAATTGAAGACCTCAATCTATGAATAGACTTAATGTCAAAAAAATGTTGAAAAAAAAAAACCTATTTAAAATCTGCAAACATAAAATCCAAACGAACAATAGATTTTTATTTAAGTGATTCAAAGAATTTTAAAAATTTTTTCTCGTTTTGTTTTAAAATTTATTAATACTCTTTCACATAAAAGAATAATATTCTTGTATTGTACACACACAACACACCTTAGAAACGGAGGTGACGAATGAGAGAGTATAGATACGTGAGAGGTAAGAGTTAGGGAGATGATAATAAAAGAAAAGAGAGGTGGTGCTGTTATATTGGCGTGAGAGAAGACCGCCACTATGGTATATCGTCATTGTTGTCGAGTTCTTTCAGACCTTAGAAACATCGTACTGTGTTCAAACCAAGATGACCTCCAAAGCTATGGAAATTATGAGTATTATGCAGAATCAAAAAATCTACAAAAAAAAATTATAATCACTAAACAAATCTTGATATTTCAAAATGGTACATAATTTTTAAAAATATTGTACTAATTAATAATTAGTTAAATAACTTCAATTAAAAGACATCTGTCCATATGTCCCTTTAATTCACTAGATTATCAATAATTAATTCACTAGAAAATTATCAAAATTGACAGAAATGTCATTCAAATAAATTGATTCAATTATTAATGCATAATGGCAGGGTAAAACTAGTACACATCAATACTTATTTAAAGTAGATATGGACCTTGCATAGTCAGACATCAATGTCTCCAACATCTATGAATGAAACTAGAAAAAAATTGAAATAGATTTCAGTAATCGGATATTGAATTTTTTATAGTACAAAATGAGTGACAATTAATCTCTTATAAAGAATTATAAATTCAACACGTGATTAAGTATTCCTTCTTTGCTTTAGTGGCGTGTCTGTTTCACTGACAATTCAATTGAGTAGAGCTACGAAAGCTGACGCCGAATTTTCAGTGACGCCATGAGTGAGTCTTGAGAAATTCAAGCAAAAAGAATGACGAGGCACTCTTCAGGTGGCCCTTTGGTAAAGGAGGTAGAAGTAAAAGAAGAAAAAGATAACGAGTATAAAGAAGATAAAGAAGACGAAAAGTGGGGAAGCAAAGAGTCGTTTGGGTTGACCACGTAAGGCCCTACGGCTAGCATGAAGAGAACCAGAATAGCTTCAGCGTTCACCAGCATCACAAGATATTTGATTCTTCATAGCAGACTCGAATGTAGTTCCTTCGTGTTATTTTCATTGATAATAAATAAATTATATTATTTTTGGAATTATTATAATCAAAAAGTCACTCACTTTTAGATATATTTCGATTATTGACAGACTTCATATGTCAATGTAAATTTATAAATAGGATTTCTTGAATAATATCTCTTGTTATTGCCATATATGTACTTTACAATATTGATGTGTCAAATATTATTTACTTGTAAAAATGAATTATATCCATTTTGGTGGGTAGCTGAAAAGTGATTCAATATATTAGACTGATATATGTTAAAGGAATATTTTTTTTTCATTCATGTCACTTATCCTCAAGACATTGTCGTGGGATGTTACAGGCAATAGAAAACTCAACAGTTGAAATAACAACGAAGCAAATAAATCCTTAAAGATCGTTTTCTAGCAAGTGAGGAGGCGTTTGTGCATTTACGTTACCATTGCTCATGACTTGGGTACAGATGCAATATGTAGTGAATAAAAAAAAAAAAATACCAAACAGTTATACCCTCAAGTATTTTGTATTGTTCTTTTTATTTATTTCATTTATAAGAAATAAATTTAGTTAAATTATTACTCCAATATGATTCAATTTAGTTGTAAGTAATGTTTTTGAACAAAGAATGATGAATATAACGAAAGAAGTGAATTTGAAAATTTCACAAATCTACTATATATGTTGTTTTATCTTATGTTTCTTCTTTTCTTCACGAAAACAAGCAATTTACGATAAGACGTCTGCCCACGTTGGTTAAGAATGCACGAAATTAGTAAATGTTGGTGTTATTGTACGACTTGCTTTACCATTATATTTTTTTTTTAATATTTTTTTTATAATAATAATAGTTTAGAAAGTTACTTTTGTTTGTTTTGCTTACTAAAGTTCATTGAATCAATTCAATAATACACAGATTGAATTTTATAGTAATTTTTGCTTGTAAAATTTACTAGCAAAAAAAAATAAAAAATTACTAGATTTTTTTTACTAAGTTTTTTTAAGCTATTTTCACTAAAAAAAAAACCTAGTAATTTTTAATTTTTGTTGCTAGTAAATTTTACTGTAAATTGACTATAAAATTTTTACATTTACATAATAATCAATTGATTGAATTATTATTGTAATCATTTATACGTGAATTATGTAAACAGAATTTTTTTATTAAAATAATTTAATGGAATCTAAAATTTTGATTTATGCTTATAAATTAAATAGAATAAATATTGAATTAATTTTAATAAATAAAAATAGATCTTTAACATTATTTTTTCGATATCGATTTAACTGTTAGAATAAATAAAAGATGTATTAAAAGTTACTCATAATTTGTAAATTGTACATGATGTTGGTAGAGTAAAATCCTTGCATAACCGGTAGCAACGGCAGCCGTCTTTCAATTAATAACGTGATCATAGGTTGCTGGATTTCTGCGGCAGACAGCTGCCCACATCTTTCTTTATATATATACACACACACATATACATATAGATATACATGTAGGCACAAAAGTTATTTTTTTTACAACTATTTCATTATCTTTAAATTTGTAAACTGTTTTTAAATTTCTTGTTATTCAATATACGTCAATTAATCTGCAACTGGAAATTCATTTCAATTAATGTTCAGATTAATTGTATCAATTTATGAATTTTGATTTATAGATAATGACAAATAATGTTATACTTTAATGTCGAGTATTGCCATTTATTACTTTTTATTGGTTTATTTTTAAAATAACCAACATAACTTGATATTTGATATTTTGCGGTTTTTCAATTATGCTTGAGAAAATTTTTAACTGTTAAAATATCTTTTTAAAACCATCGTCTACAGTTTACCTTACTTTGTTTTATCCATCAATTATTAAAGACATTTTTGCAATAAAGTTTACAGATCATTTATGGTTTGATTATGGACATTTTACATTGAGCACACTTAATGGGTATTATTTTAACACATACGTGAAATCTTGATACACTGCAAATCCAAACGTGTTAAAATAATACGCGTAAAGTGTGTGTTCATTAGAAAGAAATATAAAATGATAATGTAAATATTTTAGTAGTAAATAAGGCAAGTTATTAAGAATGAATATAGAAATATTTTGAAATAATTGATAATGAATGTAAACTCAATATTATTAATGTACGAATAAAGAATAAAAAGGAGAGAAAAAGAATTAGAATATATTAGTGGTTCTATAGTTTGAAAAATATTGTTAAAGGAATGAGGTTCCGATAGGATCAGACGTTCGATTGCGATCCAAAGAATCATTGCGACTTTTTGCCTGGAGGCCCAAAACATTTGTCAACTTGCCGAGATGGTATCGAAAGCCGGACAAACCGTCGGATTCAGTCGCCACCGACTGAGGGTTCTCCTCACTTGGTAGGCACGTGGGAACTATGAAGAAGGAGGAGACAGTGAACGTGACAAGTCGAAACGGGATCAATTAATTGTACATCTAAAGAAAGAATCCAAAAGAGAATGACTATGGTTATATAGGATTCATGGGCCACCCGGTTAGAGATTGGCTTGACTTGTTGAGCCAGTGGTTAAAATTGCAACCGCGGGACAATAACTGGACAAGAATGATGGTAATCCAGTAACGAGGGGTCACGCCGAGCGTTCAAAGTGGGTCTTATATAAAAGTGGGGATGAAAACGATCGAGGCCTGAAGGGGACTATTTGAGAGAGTGCAAGGAGAGATGGTATCTTCGTCAGCTCGGTCGGGGATCAGACGATCGGATCGAGTCAGCTCAGCAGGGGTTTCTTTGGGTCATGCACGAAGTGAGTCTCTCATTCTTTGGAGCTGGTCCGCACTCTTTCTCTTGTTTTCTTCGAGCATTCTGCGCGTCCTCCACTTTAACATTGGTTTCTCCCATGGTTTCTCTATGAGGGGTCGAATCACTGACATCTCGATACTACTGCGCGATCTTATTGGGGCTCAGCGGGCCTCTCTCAACCCAACGTCTTACGATCATTCCACACGCTCTAGGAACAATAGCATATATCTTCAGTCTGACTAATACCCAATGAATATTTTCTTTTTCTTCCTACAACACTGTCACATTTGTCATTATAAATTATCATTATATATTTTTCATTTATACATACATCTTAACTCTTCTTTTCTCTTTTTATTCATAATATTGTTTATATCCAACAAAAATCATCATCATCATCATCTTTTTTTTTTTCAAATAAAAATAACTAATATAGTCGTTTATTATAATTCCAACCAACAGGACATTGACTTACCAATGACAATGATAACGTGATCGTAATGCCAATGATTTTAAGATGAATATTTACTGTTCGTAAAATTACTTATCATGATTTTCTCACGATCTGTCAGAGTGTTTTATTTTTCACATGAATTTTTATTTGTTCATTTAATTGTAATAAATTTGAATGATAATTATACTGAAATAAAGATGAAATAATTAATCAAATAGTAACACGAGTCTTGACCATAATAAATGGCGATCAAAAATATTATGTAATAATCATTTTACCATTTATTCAACAAAAAGGTCCAAGATCACGTGTACATTAATACATATATATATTTATTGTTCGCTTTGAATTGCGTAATTCCGGTTTCTCTGCAGCATTTCATCATCGTGTCTGATTTGCAGTCCGGTTCATCGTTGTGAGCATATCAACAGCGGTTGTACATTGCTGTGCTGAATTAACACCCGTTATACGTATATATATCCAAGACTGAAAATAAAAAAAAACGATATTAAAAAATATGATTAAAAATAATAGTATTTATGTGTTTGACTTTATTATTTAGCTAGAAAAAAAACAAACATGCAAGTTTGATAATATTCTGATAAAAAATTTAAATAAAAATATATATAACAATGTCTATGTACTACTACAAATAGTAGTGTTTTATTTCAATGCACTTGAAGTGTTTTAATATGATGTCACTCATCTGATTATTATTGTGGTCACTCTTTAAATACATCCAAATGGATTCAAAGTGACTGTAATATTAATTGAATGGGTAACGTCATTTTAAAACACTTTAAGTGCATTGATTTGCCGTGTAATGATATTTTGGTTAGGTTATGGTTCAGTTGGTAATATAGTTCATTTGTTTATTTTGCGAGCACGCTGCGTCTTGTATCAACTAACCTCAAATGTGTTGGAAAATTATTTCTCGATGATAAACAACAGATTCAAGAAATGATGATTGGTAATAATTTATTGCTGTTATTTCCTGTGAATTGAAATAATGCATATTGAGTGCATTCAATATTTAAATTCCATTAACAAACTATTGTATTTCGTTTTTACTTTATACTTACTTCAAAATGTGTTAAACTCAAGAATTTGTTTATGGAAATTTGATATTGAATACAATTCATGTAACTTATACTTCGACAACTATTTCGGATTTGCAATGTAATTGAATGAAATATTGATTCAGTAAAAACAAAAAGTGAACCATAACCTTACTTTTTTCTCTTATATAAATATCATAATATAAATAATAGAATATTTTTTAATAGTTGAGGTATGTTGGATAATTGATATCAACTTATGTAATTAAGAATAAGAAATTAAAAACGTTATTTAAACATTAGATTTTTCCAAATATTTACAAAATCCGCGATGAGGATCTTACCTGTATATCACTTCCGCAATCTATTGCAAGTCGGCGCCGAGTCGATTATACCAAGATATTTTCTCTGTCTTTTTCGCTCTTTCTCTCTGCAAGTCAACCGGTTTTCTTACTAAATAAAAGTAGCAGCGATCGAGAGGTCGCTCTCCTACATACCCCATTCCTTCTCTCTTTCTTTATTTTTCTTTTTTTTTTTCTTCTCTCTCCACTTTTTTCCCCACCATTCTCTCTCACTTGTATGCGCGTGTTGGATGTACCAGAGATCGAATCATTAACGAGAATCGAATATCCCTCTTGTGATGCTTCAAATACGCGCTCGTCCCCAAGACGTTTGAAATATCAGAGATCCCAATCATTCGCATAAATTATGTTCAATTATAATCATTTCTGTCTTCTTTTTAGTCATTGTATATTATAATAAATATAAAAAAAAAAAATGCTAGCAAATATTTATTTGCCTTTTGAAAAATAGAAAAATTTAAAGGTTAGTATTTTTGAGAACCAGTAGTACTTTGTCATGGACAAGCAAATATTTATTCGACTATTTTTTTTTTTTTAGGTTATTTATTACATCATTATATACAGCTGAAAACAAATAAAAATTTAATATACCTCTTTCTTTTTAATAAACAATAAAATAAGGAGTTGTAGTACAAAAGATTATTAACAACATGACATTTTATCTTACAAATAATTACAATAATTAGAAAATTATTATTATTGTAAAATAATATTGGTATTTTATTATTTAAAAAAATTTTATATTGATAATAAGTTGGATATTATATTGAAAAGTGTGAATAGAGAATTTTATTGGTGAGTAATATTAGAAAAATAGTGTTAAGTATATAAATAATATGGTACTTTTAGTCAGATATATTTTCTGTACCAGGTCTATCGTTAGCGAAATAGTGAATAAATATTTTCAAGTAACAAGTCGAAGAGTAGAGTTTTAAGATAAAGCGTCGAGATACAGTAAACGCGGCGTCTCGTTATTTTCCCTTGAGATTCACGTAATGGAACGAGAAATCATGATTCATTCGAATCGAATTCAGGTGTCTATATAATCAAAGAGGTAATTACCCATTATACATTCAACTATGTTGTCTTACACAAAATAAAACATTTTTATATGTAAATATTTTTTACATTATCTAAATTATCAAAATAAAATTATACAATATTATAACTGTCACAAAAGAATAATTTTTTGAATAGATATATAAATATATATACATATTTTTTTTTTGAATTTAAAATAAAAAAAGAGTGAAATACAAAATGATTCAACATTGCTACCGGCTCCAGTATAAATATTTATAGAAATCGCGTGATCGTAAGCTGGTCTTGCGTGACTGTAAAAATATTTTTTAGCCGTGCGTAATTCACTCTCGTAATAAATAAAGTCTTACACAGGTCGATGGTGGTGAATTTTAACAAATAAAGGAACATGATCAAATTAAGACGAAATGGGTTACGGTTGATGAGTAATACATTAAGAAATGTATACTGATTAATTGTTAAATAAATTAATTAAATTAACATTTTTTAAAATCCACTTACTTACTTATAAATAATCATTGAATTATCTATTTACCATTTTATTCGATATTATAAACATGACGTGACACATGATTGAGTCCAACGAACGTATAAATAACTAGGTACTTTAGAGATACGGTGAACCCCATACTTAATTCATTTTCGAATTATGACGTTAAGTAAAAAGACGTTAAATTTGATTACAGGTTCGTGTAACGGTCCTTGACAAAAACGATGTAGCACCCTCATGGGGTCCAGGACTATGGCGGTACCAAGTGTCAGAAGAAGCATCACCAAACATGGTTGTCACCACTCTTAAGGCTTCTGATCCAGATACTATTGGCAATCTTCGATACACTTTAATTACTACATCACGTTCATTTTCAAATGAATTCAATATCAATAACAACCACGAAATAATGTTGAATGATCTGGAACAAAATGAAATAGAGAGACAATTTAGATTGGATTCCATTAGTGGACAGTTGAGACTTAATGAGGCACTTGATCGAGAAAAAAGGGACAAATATCATCTAAGAGTTAGAGCTGATGATGGATTACAACATACTGATATCAATCTAATTATCCAGGTAATGATGTTGTATTTTAGAAAAATATATTTGTGGAGGGATGTAAATAATAGATAGAAATATTACTGATTATTATAACATTGACTGGCATAAGAAAAGAGTAAGTGCATTGGGTAAAGCAGGAAGTTATACATGACCTCTATGCAGCCCCCAGGGGAGCGCGTGGGTCGATAGGGGCCTCTCTACTGCATTCTTAGTTCCGGTATAAGCCTAGCCCTTCTCATTTTATTTTATCTACCAAGCATTCTTTCTATTTTTTAAAAACATCTTTATACATACGCAAATAAGTATACATATAGATAAACATATGCATAAAGTACATGGATCTAAACTTATGGTTGTTTAAATGAATGATAAAGATTGGGAAAAAAAGCTTAGATTTAAAGTTAAGATTGATGAGTGATCATTTAGGTAGAAAAAAAAAAATTTCATCAACTACTTGTCGAATATCCAAGATAATCTTTACAAATATATTTACAATTTCAATACATCCCATAAAACTGTTTAAAATCAGTTGATTATTTTTTAATTAAAAAGAAAAAATTCAAAATAATTTGAAGCTTTAGACCAGACTGTAATTTTAGAATATTCAAAAGACATCTAAAAACTGGTGGCAAAGATGTTGAGGCTGTTACTGATATTTTACCTGAATGTCTACTTCTAACTTTGTTTCTATCTGTCTGACCTTTGTGTTCTGTATCTCCTTTTTTGTCTGCTACCAGTTTCAGGAACATTGTAGCTCTTCCCATATGTTATCGTTTTTTCTAGCTATCAGAATATCAGCTACATTAGAATAATTTTGGGAAAATTCTGTAATGAATTTTATTCATCTTAAATTCCATTGATAAATTGCATTCTTACTCTATATAGATTAGATTAAAAAAACATTTCGAAAGCTACAATACGATAAAATACATGTCTTGAGACAAGACAACGTCCGATACCACATCAGTCTTTACGATCATCGAATCGAAGAAAATAACGGTAGAATCTTGTGGCCTTTCTTCTTACAATTCTTGCGTATTTTTTACTGTATCATAATTCCTTCCTTCTTTTTGTATACATCTGTTTATAAACATTGAAATCAAAACAAGATAAATATTATATTAAAAACTCTAAAAATAGAATAATTTCGATTAATTTAAATTTTAAAACATCAATTTATTGATTTTTATTTGATAAATTAAGATGATTTAACAATATTTACCTTTTTATTTAGGTGACTGATACTAATGACAATGCTCCAATATTTCAATCGTCAGTTTATTCCTTTGACATCGCAGAAAATGTTTCTCATAGCAGTCAGATTGGTCAAGTAATAGCAATAGATGCTGATGCTGAAGGTCCTAACAGTCAACTAAGTTATGCTCTAATATCTGATTGGGCTAACGACGTCTTCTCTTTAAATCCAACCACTGGAGTTTTGACACTGACAGCTGGTCTGGACTACGAACAGGTAATAAACCAGTGGGTGAAAAACGAGCGTAGATTAGATAGTTTTGATGTATCCATGCCCTAGGGCAACAAGAAAATAAAAGATCTTTTTTAAATTCCACATAAACTTTGAAAGGTTTTCAATTATTATTACTTCTTGTTAAGTAATAAAGGTTGATAAATAGATTAATTATATTTTTATAAAGTCTATATTATTAAACTGAATATATGTTAGGATTTGTTCAATTATTATTTATAAATTTAAAAATAGTGAAAAAAAATATACACTGTAAATATATGTGTTGAATCAATTGATTTCATCTTTGTCTTAGGTACAACACTACATTCTTGTTGCACAAGCAACAGATGGTGGTCTACCGGCATTATCTACAACCGTTACCGTCTATTGTAACGTAATTGATCTTAATGACAATACGCCAATATTTGATCCAGGACCACGAGGAAGTGAAATATTGGAGAATGTTACAATTGGTACTTCAGTATTATCAGTACTTGCTCGAGATTTAGATTCTGGAAATAATGGACGAATTATTTATGATATCATCGATGGAGATGATAATAATGATTTTGATATAGCACCAAATGGAACAATCTTTACTAAAAAAATGTTAGATCGTGAAGTAAAATTTATTTATAGTCTTATTATTCGAGCTAGAGATTGCCCAGAACTCTCTATTAAATCACTTTCATCAACGGTTCAAGTTACGATTACTATTCTAGATATTAATGATATTGAACCAGAATTTATTTCACGTAATCAAACGTATATAATGGAAAATGCATCAATAAATACAGTAATTATGGCTGTAAAAGCTGTTGATACAGATGAAGGTAGAAATGGTTATGTAGAATATTTTTTGGAAGATCCTTCTTCATCTTTTACCCTTGGTACTGTTGATGGTCTTTTAAGAGTGTCGAAATTACTTGATCGAGAACAAAAACAAAATTACACATTAAAAGTAACTGCCAAAGATCGAGGAGAACCAATCAAGTCCTCTGAAACAATGATAGCTGTTTATGTTCTTGATGAAAATGATAATTCACCTGTTTTTGATCCTAAACAATATTCAGCAACAGTTGCAGAAAATGCTAGTATTGGTGCTAGTGTGTTACAAGTATTCGCTACAGATAGAGATGAAGGTGCTAATGGTAGAATCCGATTCAGTATTGCTTTAGGAGATGAAAATCGAGATTTTACTATCTCAGAAGATAGTGGTGTTATTCGTGTGGCAAAAAATTTAAATTTTGAACGAAAGTCAAAATATAAATTGACAATAAAAGCTGAAGATTGTGCTACTGAAATTGGAGGAATTGTTAAAGAAGATAATACTGAAATAACAATTAATGTATTAGATATCAATGATAATTCACCAGTTTTTTTAAATACTCCATACCTAGCTTATGTCATGGAAAATATGGTACCACCTGAAAATGGATTTATTACTCAAGTAATCATTGTTTTTACTTTCATTTTAAATTGACATTGGAATAATAATTTAACAAATAATTCAAAGATATAAATATTTATGAATTTTTTTATAGGTCAAAGCTTATGATGCAGATACTCCACCATACAATGATCAAGTTCGATACTTCTTAAAGGAAGGAGATACTGATCTTTTTAGAATCAATGCTAGCACTGGTGATATTTTTTTATTGCGACCATTAGATAGAGAAACAGTTTCAGAGTATACATTAACACTAGTGGCAATGGACACTGGTAAGTTGTGAAATTTTTTTTATTCATAATAAATCTGCTTAGCCAGAATGAAATAAATACTTTTTTACTTAAATAATTTAACTTAAACATAAAGTTTTCTATAGGCAATTCTTATCTTTCTGTCGATAGTTGGAATTGCACAAAATCTAGCGTTACGTTGTGCGCTTGACTTTATCCGTGAGTCACATAACTTGAATTCAGAAATGGTTTGAACGCGATTGTACGACACTAAATAGCCAGAAGCAAGATACAGAGTCGATTGTATCTCAGTACGCGGTATCCACCGCGTAAATTCCATAGGTCTTCTAGTGTGCCTTGTGAGCCCAAAGAGTTTACTACATATACGAGTGAGATCAGTAGAAGAGAAAATAAATACACGTTGAAAGTCGAGAGTTACTTACATCTACTATCACTACTATTACTACTATTCTCTCTCTCTGTATATATATATATATATATGGAAAATTTAATTCCTTTTCTTTTTTGCATTCCTATTTTTATGTGTTTTATTTTTATTCCAACTTCTTATATACAGTATATGTCTCTATCTTACATCTATTGCTAAGCAAGAACTCGTTAATTTATTATTCCGTGACAAACTTTGCACCTAAGTACTTATGTGACAAGAATTACTAGTACCACTACTTTAAAATATAGGTATACCGAATATTCGTACTTTTATTCTTGTTTCAAATTTTCAATCATTGATATCAATGGAAATATTATTCATTAATAATATACGGAATACAAGCACACATTTGCCATTATTGAAGATCAAAGTATATCGAGGACCAATTTAAAATTCAAAAATATATAAGATATTAAAATTACCACTAAAATGTAAGGCAAAGGAGTGCACTCAGTCGTGCGTTGTTGTTGCATGAATCCAAGTGGATTATCTGTATATCAAACCTTGCGGCAGTTGATACAGGTTTTCATATGACTTAAACATATATTTTAAATATAAATGTTGTAAATAATAAGAGGAAATTTTAAATAATTAGTATCACTATCTTTCTTTATTTCTTTCAAGACATTTTGTTTTTTTTTTGCAAATATTTAATTTTTCTTGACAATAATTTTTCAGTGGGTTTTCAATATTTTCCATTTTTGGTGTTTAAAAAGTAAAAAAAATACAAAGAGAGACGAGTGAAATTATAACGCGTGATTATGATAATCGGTCTAAAATACCTTTTAGCTTTTTTTTTTTCTCTGTCTCATCTTTTGATTCTTTCGTTTGTTCTTCTTCTCTTATTCCACAACCTTACTGTTTCATGTTTTATCTCTTACACTACACAGTTTAACTGGCTATACGACGTCGACCCTTTTGATTTCTTTACTTGTCCCTTATTTCTTTTACACATTATATTCAACTTATATTCATATGTGAAAGTTGTTGTACATAAATAAGAAAATGATATGCCATTGAGTAATTGTCCTGTTATTGAAGTCAAAAACCATACTATTCCAATAGGAATGAAGTTTGTTTTTGAATTTCTGAAAGCAAAAAATTCAAGGAAAAATTATAGATTCAGCAAAAAATCGTGACTTGAGTGTCAAGTGTATACTGAACTTGATCGGAGAATTGAATACGTGCTTGCACAGCAAACGGCCTTGTCCGATTGTCAACGGGTGACTGACACTGTCTATGCGCAAGATGGCAATCGTAACTGAGCATACAGAGAATTGAACAAGTAAGGAAGAAAACCAGAAGAAACAAAAGTTCCGACCGATTTCTGCGCCTCTTTGAAATATAATCTCTGATATTGGCAGCAATTCTTGGTGTCTTGCTTGTTCTACTGTTGGAAATGAGATTGCTCGTTTCGAGATTCAGCGTGTGAACAACTCAAGAGTACACACGATAGAAAGACGAAAGAAAGAAGAAGACTGAAAAAATGAAGAAAAGAAATAAAAAAAACAAACGTCTTTGGATCCCGATCTCAAAGCCAAGATGCTCTTGTAGAGACGTTGGGACAATGACAGAGAGCCTAGGTTGGTGCAAGGTCAGGCACTGGATTCCACACGTTTCTCTTGTCTTTGATTCACTGGCGCACATTGGGATTCATCGTAATCGAGTGTTATAATTGGAAGGTCGCGTGCAAATTGTTTATCCAAGTCAAGAGATCAGCTTTTACTCTGAACACTGTTCGATATGTGCTTATTATAAGACCACTAGCATCTTGAATTGCCATCATCTAATGTAAATTGGATACATACTGCATTGAATGATATAATGCCAATAAGTTGTAACGGCTCACCAAAACTTCTTTTATTTATTTCATATTTTTCTTATTCAATACTTCAATGTCTAATCAATTTAAGGCATAATATATAAAACATTCCTGACATTATTCCTCTTGATATCTTTCTTGTATCTTTTCCTATCATTTTCATTTCTTTCTTGTTTTCTTTTTTTTAATTCATCTTTCCCCTGCTTTTTTTCCTCTTCTTTAAATTTCTTTTAATTTTTCTTTAATTTTCTTTTTTATTTATTTCACTTGCATCTTCTCACGCGTCTGTCGACTCTTACCTCGTGTCCAACAACGGCCTCGTTCCATTCATACTTAGAGAGCTATGAAGATGTTTCTTTCTTGACTCAGTTGCTCTCTTCAACCTGCATAAGTCGTCGATCACTTTTCAGACGAGTGGAGAGAACCTCGAGGGAGAAGAATACACTGAAATATTTATATTAAGTTGAGATATATTTTATTTGTTTTTTTTTACCATGCTTTTTATTTCATTGTTTTTTTTTCTCCGAGTTAACTTAAATAGGATAATTAAGTTCTTTTATAGTTAAAAAAATGAGGTTAATTTTGAAATAGTTGATAGATCTAACCTATATTCACTCTAAAACTACTGTGTACATCTTAATTCGACTCCTTAATGATTTCTTTGTTAATTATAACCTAAAACTGTATGTAAAAATTTATTCTTCTTTCACACTTGATTATTATATATTTATTAGTGCAATTTGAAGTGTGTGTATATATACAAGAAGACATAAGAGCAGAAAAAAAATATCCGTTAAGAGAAAAGAAAAAAAAATGAATCTGAGAAAACAACGCTTCCTTTTCATTTGCTTACTTCTCTTTTATTGTTGTTGTTCTTGTTCTTCTCCTTCTACTTCGTCTTTTCTCTTTCTTCTTCTTTATGTAGACCCATGACCGCAGTTTTTAATTTATTGAACCTTTGTTAATTTGAATATTATGATTTATAGGATTGTGTTACGACTAAAGTCGCCCTCGTCGATGCATTTGTGATTGGTCGATATCGTGTCGGCAAATGGTTTCTTTTTATTTTTTTTTTTTTTTATCACCATAAAAGAGGCTCCAACTTTCGGTGTATTACTTTTTACAAAAATTATTTGCAGAACTTTGCGAGCTTCTTCAAAAACTTTAGCCTTCCGCTTCCTATCTTTCACACATCCTTTTTTTTTTTCTCGTCTCCTTTTTCTTTTTATTCTTCTTATTCTTCTATCTTTAAAGCAGCAACTCCCCGTTGAGCGTAAGGCATTGAATTTACCGCGCGTGATCGTGTGGTCGTCGGAGATTAATCGCAGATGAATTTGTCATACTCACACATACAAAGAGACTTGTAACGTCCCTTTAGAATGGGTACCCAAAGGGCTTCAACGTGCACACCACAATTCTCAGACGATCCTTTTTGTGTCCTTGAGTGCGAGATATGACATATGATCATGACATGGTGTACACTCCCGATCTTATACTTGTATTTATTCTTAAGCTATAGATTTTATTCTGTCTATATACATATTATATTATATTATCATTTTTGTTTTTAAGGATCACCGCCTCTAACTGGCTCAGGGATTTTAAAAATTATTGTGCTTGATGTCAACGATCATAGTCCAAAATTTTCAAGATCAGATTACAAGGCAACTATTAGCGAAAATTTACCTGCAGGTACATGGGTTTTTAAGCCCATTGCTACTGATAAAGATGAAGGATTAAACTCTAAGATAAGGTATAATAATAATAAAGTTATTATTATTATTATTATCATGAATATTACATTCAACATGAATAAGTTTTTTTTGTATATTACAGGTATAGTTTGCTTGGAGAAAAAACAGAAAGATTTTCTGTTAATTCTGAAACTGGAGAAATCTTAACTTTAGTATCACTTGATCGAGAAGAAACATCAATTTATCATCTTACTTTAATTGCTCAAGACTCTAGTCCAACTGAGCCTCGAGCTGCTGCAGTGAATCTTACAATTTATGTACAAGATTTAAATGATAATCCACCGAAATTTTCTAGTCCACGGTACACAGCTTACATCACTGATTCTACAAAACCTGGTAAGCAATAAAAAATTATGAAATTTTGTTCTTTTTTAAGTTTCATAAAGTTATTTTTAAAATTAAAATAATTTATTAAACGTAGGTGACTTTGTTTTTGGAGCAAAAGCTGTTGATGATGATGAGGGTGAAAATTCACGCATAATTTATCAACTCCAAGGAGAAGATTCAGATTTATTTGTTATTGATTCATTAAGTGGAGTAATTAGAGCTATGAAAAATTTATCTAACTCTAAAATAACATATCAATTACAAATTAAAGCATCAGATTGTGGTCTAAATACTCAAAACGTTACGGCAGATTTAGTGATTCATTTGTGGGAAAGAAAATTATTTCCTAGCTTTAGTTCAGGTATTACAACACAATTTAGTCTCTCTGAAGATGTACCTGAGGGACAAGTAATTACTACACTAACTGCATCAACACCAAAAATGGGTGTAATAAGTAATCTAATTTTCGCAATGGCTGGTGGTAATATTGGAGATGCTTTAAGAATTGATGCTCATTCAGGTGATGTTATCGTAGCTTCTGGTTTTGATTATGAAACAGCACCAACTTTTGAAGCTTGGATTGAAGTTCGAGATTCTGATAATCCACCTCTAAGATCTGTAGTTCAGCTTTTAATCAATGTTACTGATGCTAATGATAATGCTCCTATTATGGAAGCTGCAATTTATAATGCAAGTGTTATTGAGGAAGAATATCCACCACTTTATGTAACCAAAGTCACAGCTAAGGATCTAGATTCAGGAAAAAATGGTCAAGTTTATTATTATTTAGTAAATGATTATGATGAATCGTTCATTATTGATGAGTATAGCGGTGAAATTAGCACTAATTTAAAACTTGATCGTGAAGAATTGGATTCATATATGCTTGTTGTTGAAGCAAGAGATCAAGGATATCCAATATTGTCTGGAAGTGCAACTGTTATGGTTTCGATTTTAGATAAAAATGATAATCCACCTCGATTTACAAGACTTTTTAGTGTTAATGTTACTGAAAATTCAGAAATTGGTACATTTGTAATCAGAATAACAAGTAGTGATCAAGATATAGGTATAAATGCAAATGTAACTTATTCTTTTACTGAAAATCCAAGCAAAAAATTTTCTATAGACTCATCGACAGGAATTGTTCAAGTCAATGGCTATTTAGATCGAGAAGAACAAGATGAATATTTATTAAAAGTTGGTGCAGCTGATGGTGCTTGGGTTGCTGAAACGACTTTAACGATAACAATTCAAGATCAAAATGATAATACACCTGAGTTTACTCAAGATTTTTATTATTTTAATTTTCCCGAATTACAAAGACAGATGGCTCTAATTGGTCAAGTGTCTGCTAACGATCGTGATAAGCAAGGACCTAATTCGGTTATTTCTTATAATTTTCTTCATCCGTCTGATCTTTTTTCAATTGATCCAGCAACTGGTGATATATTTAGTAAAAAAACTCTTCATTATAAACATACGCATCAACCATCATCACCGGAAAATATTTATTCTTTAACAGTGATTGCAACTGATAATGGCAAACCACCTCTTTCTTCTAAAGTCACAGTGTATATTAATGTGGTTAATGCTAATAATCATTCGCCAAAATTTGAAGAACGATCATACTTATCACCAGTTCCAGAGGGTTGTGAACTAGGTAAAAAAATAATCAAATTGATAGCTTTGGATAATGCTGATTTTGGTGTTAATGCAGAAATCGAATACAGTCTTTTACATGGAAATTTAACGAATTATTTTGACATAGAATCAAAAACCGGTTGGATTTATGTAGCAAAAAATATTAAAAATATTCCTATCGGCTCAATATTTACAGCAATTGTAAAAGCAAGAGATAAAGGAATACCACCTCAAGAGGATCAAGTCAATTTATCATTAGTAATAACCGGTGAAAATAAATATGCACCTACATTTGCTGCCTCATCTTATCAAGTTCGTGTGCCTGAAAATGAACCTGTAAATACAACAATATTAACAGTTAATGCTGTGGATAATGACAGTGGTCCCAATGGAATGATTAAATATGAAATTTCATCGGATAATAATCAAGGTGTATTTTCAATTAATTCAGTTACTGGTGCCATAATGATCTTAAAGCCTCTAGATTATGACACTATTCAGGAATTCCGATTAAATATCACTGCAACTGATTTTGGCTTCAAATCAAAAACATCTGTTGCTACTTTAACTATCAATGTCTCAGATATTAATGATAATCCACCAATATTTAATCAAAGTTTATATGATGCCTACATTGCTGAAAATTTGGCTCCAAAAAGTTTTGTTTATAAAGTGGAAGCTAAAGATATTGATTCACCAAAATATGCTATTATTCAGTATCGGATTATTGGTGGTAGCGGTAAAGATCATTTCCAAATTGAACACAATACAGGAATAATTACTTCTAAAATAAGTTTCAATTATGAAGAAACTAATCAATACATTTTGGATATCGTAGCAGCTAATCCTGATTCAAATCCCCCAATGGTTGGATTTACTAGAGTTTTAATTCATATTACTGGAATTAATGAATACTATCCAAAATTTATACAGCCTGTATTTCATATGGATGTGTCAGAAAGTGCTGAAATAGGCACTTCAATTGGTTTAGTGCAAGCAACTGATCAAGATTCGGGAGAAGATGGAAAAGTTTATTATTTATTCGTCGGATCTTCAAATGATCGAGGATTTTCAATTGGTTCAGAAACTGGAATCATTAGTGTAGTTCGTAAACTTGATAGAGAGACTCAAAATCGTGTAATTTTAACAGTAATGGCAAAAAATGGTGGTGGAATTCGTGGTAATGATATTGATGAAGCTCAAGTTATCATATCAATTCAAGATGGTAATGATCCACCGGAATTTTTACAAAATCATTATGATGCTTCAATTTCTGAAGGAGCACCATTAGGAACCAAAATATTGACTGTTCGAGCTATTGATAAAGATGTTAAACCTCAAAACAACCAGTTCTCATACTCAATAATGGCAGGAAATATTGGACAGACATTCAAAGTTGATCCCCAATCTGGAGATATTGAAACAGCAAAAATATTAGATAGAGAATCAATTCCATCATACGAATTATATATTGGTGCTATTGATACGGGATTTCCTCCACAAACTGGTACTGTCATTGTTCGAATTGATTTATTAGATATCAATGACAATGGTCCTATTCTTGAGCCAACTGAAGTAATTGGATACGTAAATGAAAATGAACCAGCTGGTACTAGTATTATGACTTTGGCAGCAACAGATCCTGATTTACCACCAAATGGTGCACCTTTTACTTACCGTTTAATTGGAGAACGACAAGTAAATATTGTAACACTAGATAAACATTCAGGAGTTTTGAGAACTACAAAAAGTTTTGATCGAGAAATTATGTCTCAATTAGATTTATTGGTAATTAATTTTTTTTTAAATAATATTATTTATACATAGCTTTACGGTTGAATGTTTTTTTTAAAATATGTTTTTCATTAACAGGTTGAAGTAGAAGATTCTGGATTACCAAAACTTAAAAGCGAATATACAGTGACAGTAGTTGTTTTGGATGAAAATGACAGCCCATCAACTCCTCGTTCTGTTCATGTTATTGTTCACTCATTGAATGGTCACACGCCTATGGGAAAAATAGCGGATGTCCATCCAAACGATCCTGATACCACTGGCGACTACACATGCAAAATACTTCAGGGTTCCAATCCTGGTGTACTCAGTATCCCGATCGCTTGTGATTTACATACCAGTAAAATTACCCCTGGTACGTGCTCAAAAGTTCATAAATTAATGTTGGGGCAATTCGCGAGACGTAAAAGAAATAATAATAATAATAATAATAATAAAAAAGAAGTTTAAAATAAAAAATAATAAAAGAAAGAAAAACATCACTCGGTCTGTATCTGAATAATTCATAGGAGAATGAAGGAAAAATATAAAAAGAAAAAAAAAAGGAGTAAAGAAAAGGGTAGGAAGGTAGAAATACGCGTTAATACTAACCGGTAACAATATCGTTATGCGAAAGATCGTTTTCTCGTCATTGTGATAACAAGAATGTATTGAGCAACATCTACTGTTTATTCATGTTAATGATATTAAAATGTACATATAATTTAAATTTTTATATTCATAATTTAATCATAATTAAATCAAATTTTTTAATCATAGGTTTAGGTTATTCGCTTAGCGTATCTGGGAATGATGGACGACATCCAGATGTTATGTCTAAAGTTACTGTGGAATTTCTTGTATTCTCCAACGTCACCATTGACAATAGCATCACTTTACAAATTAACAAAATCACTGCCTCTGAATTTCTGGCTAAATATTATCGGCCTCTTCTTGACATGCTACAAGATAATGCGGATGTTAGTGAAACAATTTCAATTTTTAGCATTGGAGAATCTGAAAATAATTTAGAAATTTATTTAGCAATAGAAACAGCAAAAGGTACGTTATTAATAAATGTTTATTATGTAATATATCATGTTAATTAATTTTATTAACATTTTGAAATACTTTCAGGTTATAAAATGAAATCTCACGTAATAAACTGGCTTTCTCGAAATAAGAAAAAAATTCAACAATTATTAGATGGTAATAATATTATAATTGGATATTCTCCATGTCAAGAAATTATCTGTAACAACGGTGGCACATGTAATAATCAAATTGTAGTTTATGATGATGCCCGAATAATTGACAGCCAGAATCTTATTTTTACATCACCAAGAATTAATAATGAAGTTGTATGCAAATGTCGTGAAGGTTTCATAGGGAATTTGTGTGAAAAACGTCAAGATCCTTGTTCGCCGAATCCCTGTTTGGAAAAAGGTCAGTGCCGTCGATTGGGTTATGATTTTGTATGTTCTTGTTTACCAAATCGTAGTGGAAAATTATGTGAGCTAGAAAGAGGTGATGCCTGTGCACGTAATCCATGTAAAAATGGTGGATCTTGTCAAGTATCACCTGATGGATCGAATTTTTTCTGCCTATGTCGTGCAGGATATCGCGGTAATCATTGTGAAATAATAACAGATTTTTGTCGACCTAATCCTTGTCTATACGATGGAATTTGTATCAGTCAAAAACCAGAATATCAATGTAGCTGTCCTGAAGGTCGTTATGGACGACATTGTGAACGATCAACTTATGGATTTGATGAATTATCATTCATGACATTTCCAGCGTTAGATTCTACTACTAACGATATAACTATTATTTTTGCAACAATTAAACCAGATGCATTGTTTCTATATAATTACGGAACACAAAGTGGAGGACGTTCTGATTTTATTGTCCTTGAATTAATTTCTGGAAAAATTTCTTTCTCATATGGAGGATCAAGAAGTGCCATTACTACTATCAAAATTGAGGGAGGAAATCGTTTAGATGATGGTGAATGGAAAAAAGTTACTGCCACTAGAAATGGACGAGTTGTTTCATTAAGTGTATCAGAATGCCGAGAGCATGGGGATATTTGTGATGATTGTAAACCAGGAGATGAGTCTTGTTATGCTGATGATATTGGACCAATTGGAACATTAAATTTCAATAATAATCCATTTTTTCTTGGCGGCTTAAATTCAGCAGATCCAATATTAGAACGTTCCGGTCAAATACATTCGGATGATTTTGTTGGCTGTATACATTCAGTTTCAATAAATGGCCGAACTCTTAATTTAAGTAATCCTCTAACGTTACGTGGAATTAAAAATACATGTACAAGACCAAAGAATGGTTTATGTTATATAGAAAAAGATGACACATATTCATCAATTTGTGGATTAAGTGATAAATGTTATGATAAATGGCATCAGATTTCATGCCAATGTGATTATATGACTGCTCCAAATTGTCGTGACGCACTTGAACCAATAAATTTAAGTGAAGGAGGATTTATTGAATTTAAAATATCTGAACAACATCGTAGAATGCAACTTTTAGAATATTTATATGGAGGGACAACTGCTTGGTCTCATAATTATAATACTGATTATCTGACTGATAAATCATTAGTAAAGCATAAATCAAAATCATTTTCTCAAGCTTCAACACCACCGAAAAAAATGAGTTTAATGTTCAAAACAATTAAAGCCGATGGTATTTTAATTTATGCTGCTACAAATAAACATTATACATTATTGGAACTTAAAAATGGTCAGCTTTCATATACGTCTCATTTAGGAACAATTGTCAACATGACAGGATATATTGAAGGAAGTTTAGCTGATGGTCGTTGGCATAATTTAACAATATTTACACATTTACGTGAAGTTAAAGTATTAGTTGATGGTATTTTAACTGGAGATGAATTGGATTCTGTTGGAGTTCATGATTTTTTAGATCCTTATCTTACTGTACTTTTTATTGGTGGCATTCGACAAGATTTTTATCATTTAGATACTTTTCCAATTGATTTTGAAGGATGTTTAGCTAATTTTACAATTAATGATGAACTTCAACCATTTAATGGTTCTGGATCTATCTTCAAAAATGTTATTTATTATGGAAAAGTTTTACACGGTTGTAAAGGTCCGATTGGCATTAGTGCTGCTACTGTAACTGATCCACTAAGTATTGGTATCACTTTAGTCATTGTTTTCTTTGTGATTTTACTTATAGCCATTGTTGTTAGCTTTATAGTATTTCGTTTACGTCGTTTAAGTAAAGAAAAAACTTCATCTGTTATGAATAAAAATACTAATGCGATTATAACTGGAAATTCATTAGTAAGTTCTGGTGGTAATGATGGAATTATGTCAAGACATGAAAATACATACATTACAACAGATACTCTTGAACTCCGAGGAGTAGTCAGTCATATGGGTCCGGAATTACTTTCGAAAAAATTTAAAGAACGAGATATCAATAATACTAATGAACATAGACCCCAAAGACCAGATATAATTGAGAGAGAAGTGACAACAAAAAGTCCATTAATTAGAGATGAACATCTATCTCTTTCACCTCCAACAAGCTCTTTACATTCTCACGAACAACACAATAATAATAATATGAACAGTAACAACAATAATAACAACAACAATAATAATGGTAATAATAATAACAATAATATTCATAATAGTAGTAACAATAATAATGCGAATAATAATATTAATAATAACAATAATAATGAAGCTGATATGCCAGAACATTATGATTTAGAAAATGCAAGTTCTATTGCGCCAAGTGATATTGATATTGTGTATCACTATAAAGGTTATCGAGATGGCATGAGGAAATATAAAGCATCTCCTCCACCAATTGGAAATTATACAAATCATCATAAACATACAGGTACTCCTCATAGACATGTTGGATCATTTCCACCACCACGAGCTATGGCACCACCAAATGTCGGTGGTAGTGTTAGTCTCAGCAATGGTGGTAATTCACCAGCAACACCAACACCTAAATTACTACAAAGTACACCACTAGCTAGATTATCACCAAGTAGTGAATTATCAGCTCAACAGCCGAGAATTTTGACACTTCATGATATTAGCGGAAAGCCCCTTCAATCAGCATTATTTGTTACAACATCATCATCAGGTGGAGTTGGGAAAGATGTTTTAAATTCTAATAGTGAAAGAAGTCTAAATTCTCCAATAATGAGTCAACTTTCAGGATCAACAGCTAGTAGAAAAGCTCCTCAAAGTAATAATAATAATAGCAGTAACAATGTTGGTCCACCGATGGGTTTAACTGCTGAAGAGATTGAAAGATTAAATTCACGACCTAGAACATCTAGTCTTGTATCAACTTTGGATGCTGTAAGTTCATCTAGTGAAGCTCGAGGACCTTTATCTCCATCACCTCATGGACCTTTACATCTTCATCGAAGAAGACATTCACCTCCACAGAAAAGATTAGAAAGAAGAAATTCATCAACAACTGATGAGAGTGGAAATGACAGTTTTACCTGTTCAGAAATAGAGTATGATAATAATTCATTAGTCGGTGATAAACGGTCAAATAATTTGTATAATAATAAGCCAGAAAATAGAGAAGAAGAAGAGGAAGAGGAAGAAAGAGAAGAAGAGGAAAATAAAAATAGACAAATATCTCATAGAAATAATGAATCTCCACAATCAACAAAACCACCTTTACCATCTAATGTTAATGTTTATGATGGCTTTGATAGTTCGTTCCGGGGTTCTTTAAGTACATTAGTAGCATCTGACGATGATTTGTCAACACATATGGGAAGTCTTTATAGACCTACTAATAATGGATCTCCATCTGCTATCAGAGCACTTGGTTGGGATTATTTATTAAACTGGGGTCCAAATTTTGAAAATCTTATTGGAGTATTCATTGATATTGCTGAACTTCCTGATAGTAACAGTAGTAATAGAATTAACTCAAATAATTTAAGATTACCGTCAAATATTCCAAAATCATCCGAAGAGTATGTTTAATTGTTGAAGTTTTAATCATCATCGACTGGATGTTTTTTTACTTTCGACTTTTTTGAAATTATAAATTAAACTTGTATATAATTTGAAAGAATAGGATCCAATATTCTGTCTTGCCATTATGTATTTTTTTTTTAAATTAATTTAATTAAATGTACTATTTTGTTTTTACGTGATAATTGATAGGATGTATTATATTAAAATTTATTCAATTTAAGGATAGCTAGAAAAACATCTTGTATCAGGATGTTTAATCGTTTGTACAGTTTGTATATTAGCAAACTATTAAATTGAATTATTGTATATTTAATGTTGATTCTTTTTTATTCTTGCTACAATAATTTTGTTTCTATATCTTGATATGAACGTGCCATTTTTTTTTTGTTCAATTGTGCACATTTCGAAAGACAATAAAAAATAAGATTGTTGATAAATTGAAAATAAAATAGATAAATTATTCGATGAATAGATAAATAAATCAGAAAATTTTCTAATTATTGATATTTTAGAGACTGAATATTACTTTATGAACTTCATAATGCCATGAGAATTAATAAATTCTCAAAACTGTAAATATATTTTTTTTCTGTATGTGTGTTTATGTAGAATAAAGATAAACAAATTACATAAAAATTCGTTCTGTAGTTATTTAAATAAATGAACATTTTTATTATTTCATATACAAGTTTTTTTTTTATATACACAATCAGATATATTGTCACATTCTTTTTCCACTTCAATATTTATTTTATAAAATTTATATTTTGTTTAAATAAATCATTTTTTTTTATTACATTCATTTCATAATTTTCGTATCTACTGTAAATAGGACACATTTAATTCTAATTTATATAATTATTATATTGTAATTTATTTTTTTTTTCATTCATATGACTTGATCATTAGTTGAAGATATAGATATCTTCTTTAATAATACTATTAAAAAAAAATTAAGTCATGATATTTTATATGTAAATATTCCCTTTTATATTGTACTATACAATATTTTTATACTCACAAGTATATACATGAAATTTATAAAATATACACTCAATAAAATAGGGTAAACCTAGAGTATTTCACACACTATAGTCATGCTAAACTTAATAAATATTTATCAGTAATGATAATAATAGGTGAAATACACAAAATTTAAATAAATATTATGAGATATTTATATTAATAAAATTATAATTAAAAATTGGTAACTTTCTTTAATTGGTATTTGTTGTAATAACACCTCTTAATGTTGCTGATGAAATTTCATTACTTTCCAACCATTTTTCCACTTCCGGTGGTATTTTTGGTTTAACATGAGTTATCTGTAAATGCAATAAACAATTAATATAAATATAAATGACAAACAAGTAAATAAAAACATGTTATAACATAAAATAAAATAAATTCGAAAGTTTCTAAAAGCAGCTGAATATCATTTCAACATAAATATTAAACTTTTTGTTTATTGTAATCACAATGATTTTGTTTATAAATTATCATTCAAGAAGCACAATTTGAGATGTTATTTTTCAATTCAGATCCAATAAACATTAATTGTTATGATGTTGATTACTTATCATTAATGAAAATTTTTTATTTATTTATTTCTGTTAGTAAAAAAAAAAAAAAAGATTATTCATAGCTATATACATAAGAATAACATAAACAAAAAAAAGAATACAAAAAAAATATCAGGAACGTAGAAGCGTGAAGAAGTAAAGCTTCACTGCAATCGATTTTTCATTTTACCTGCGTGACTCCAGCTTCAATGCTTCCGTTTTGCTTCACGCCACGTTCTAAAAGTGTTGACATGACAGTTTCAGCATTACAATCTAATACTCGTTGCCGGCATACTGCAATAGCTCGAACGAAATCATCTTTTGGAGTTACAAATTTATGCTCCATAAAAATTGACTTATCATCCCAATAAATTATCTTAAAAAATACAATAACATATCAAATAATAATAAATATTAGTATGTAATATATAAAATCTAAATAACTATCAGTTGATTAAATACAAGCTTATTAGAATTGAATAAATTAATTAGTATGTAGTTTAAAAAATAATAACTGATGTATGTAATTATTATTTATTATTACAAATATTTATTTCATCATGGTAAATTAATTCTCGAAATTTTCATGACTCATAAATTAAAGGAATCCACCGACTCTACAAGAATTGTTGAATTTCCTTCTCATCACCCACACATATGTACATTTCAAGGCCCCTACTGAGCTGAATACAATTCTGATAGGAATCATAATGAGCAATTAATGTTAATTTATCTGTTTAATGCGATACACATATTTTAAAAAAATTCATTTCGATTTAAAACATTTGTCAGCTATTTAATTTAATTACATTCTTGTTTATGATTATAATGATCAATTTGACTTGGACTAAGGTCAGTTTCTTGAGAGATAAATATAAAAAATCAAATATTATATTATTAAGCCATTTTGATCTTTCGTCGAGATCATTCTTCATTGACTTTACTTAAAGATGGAAAATTTTCTATTTCAATTGATCAATTGAGAAAATATATTTCAGAATATATGAATAAAATTATACCAAGTAGATACAAATGTTCAACTTTAATTATTGATGATTAATGAAAAAAATTTATTATTACCACGATATTAAGTACAGTAATGGAATTATGATGATTATTTGTTTAAACAGTTTAATTACTAATGTGTTTTTAATAACAATTACCTTAGAAAAGTTGATATAAATACCTTAGATTTTATTTGAAATATGGACAAAGGTTTTAAAAATCTTCGATAACGAATGGTAGCTGCTCCTTGAACCACTCCTTTTCCCTGGGAGCAAATTTCACGATATAAACTTGTTCTTTCGTAGAAATCAGCTCTAGCAAAATCCAATTCACGTAAGTATCTTGCATTATTCATATGATATAACAATGTATCAACATCTGTTGTGGTACAAAGACCTACATGAATAAGAAAATAAATTAATCAAACAATAATTATTTATATCAAAACTTGACTAAATCATCAAAATGAAACAAAAATTTAAAGTTTATTTTTAATATAATTGTTTAGGTTTCATTTATATGTAATAACAGTGATGTAATTACACTTATTGTAAATGTTTTTCTGCATTTCTCAAGTAATGTTAGAAAACATTCGACTGATTTATTGATTAATGAGCCTTTTATTTCATCACTTCCCTTTTTACCGTCATGGGTCAAGGTTGTAAGTAAGTTGTAAGGATTCATATCAAAATTTAATATTATTCTTTTAAATTATTGCTATTTTTTTTTTTAAATATCATTATCAAGCAAAGTATTTTTTAATAGCAATACATTTTATTTTATAATTAATTTTTATTCCAATAATTGAAAATGTTAATTATAATTATAGACTTTGCTATAATTAATCGTTTTTTATTTGAATAATAATGGACAATTTGTTTATAAAGTTTACTTGCTATTACATGGACATAAGATTGAAAGTTATCAATGATTATGAGTTAGCTAATAATGTAGCAATGAAAAAATTATTTGCAACCAAGAAAAGAGTGCAGTGTCATCATATTAAAAATAAAAAATATTAAATAAAAGATATCAATGAATATATAAATGAAATTCAATGGAATAAGTGATTGATTTTTTTTTTATCATTTGATATCTGGTTATTGAAAAATATTGTGGTAGTTATTAATATATCTACTCACTGTAAACGGTAGTTTCATCTAAAATGTGAACCGGTTTTTTACAAAACCTTGCCAAGAGAACTGTTAGGGACATACGCAAAAAATAATGAACCTCCAATAGAGAATAGAGAATAACTATTATGCCAAAAGCACCAACTAATAGCCAACAGGCGAGCATATTGATTTTTATCTTCTTTTACGTATTGAAGTATTTTTTTTTTACTCCTTTTTTTATTCCTTCTTTTAATAATATTTTTTATGATATTTATATTTATTTAAGTCACTTCATTTTATTTATTTTCCTTTTTAAATTTACTTTACTTTCACTTTTTTATTTCAAATGAACTTTTTCTTTTCACTTTTCACCATAAACTCAATAAAATAAAACATGTATAATCTCCAGTTAAGTAATCGATTTATGGTCATTTCTCGATTTACTGTTTACACTGATAAAACATCCACCTGGAGATGCAGGCATTGTCAATCTAAATCTAAATATTATATATTTTTTCCTCTTCATAGATGCTCAAACACTCAAATACTCTTCATAATATACTGAAAATAAAATCTAAGATTAATCAACTGCTATAATTCCTGCAGGTAACTATATCTAAGTATTGCAATTTTTAGAACATAATATATAAGACAAAATAAAAATTAAATAGTAAATATTATTCCATATGTAATAATATAAATAGATGTACATACCTGAAAACATTGCAATCCAATTTTTTTTATCACATTACATCTTTAAATTCCTAAACAAAAAAAATGCAATTAATCATATTTTAATCATATTAAAAAATATATATTATTTCAATACAATTTAATTTTATATATATATTTATAAATAAATATTATAGAATAGTTATGCTTATTTCTTTAATAATAAAATTTAAAACAAATTCAAAATTCGATCTTTTTTGATATAAAAAAGTAATATTTTATTTATTAAGGAAAGAATAGAAAATTTTTTATTAAAATTCTTACGGAAGTAGTTGAAAGTAGTTAAATATTGGAATATCCTTGGAATTTATGAAAGAATTACTGAAGGAGTACATTCAGGAGACGGGGTCATCGAATATATCTTCAAAAACTCGATTACCTTGATTTATTAAAATAAATAGATAATTAAAATAAACAATGAATAATAAATTGATTGAAAAATGGACTTACCTATTATTGAATTAATTCCACTAATAAACTTGAATGCTAGGAACTGATGAAGTGTACTCTTCTCGTCGACGAGTGTCGTGACGAGATAAACACAACGTCCTCGGACCTGCGCGCCACCAGGAGTTTCAAGAGTGGGAAATGATTCAGCCTCTTGACGTCAGTTGTATCTTTTAATTTTCGATCCCGTCTTCTGGTTTATTTTCAAATAGCTTTTCTCTTTTTACTGTTATTAGAATAATTTTTTATTTCAATTCCAGTCCACAAACTTGATTGTCAGTGAATAGTTTTTATTTTTTGTATAGATATTTATACTGGTGATTAGGAAAGTGATTAAATTTTATAGACATTAATATATTTTTTGTCCTTCAGACTGGAGTATTCGAATTGAATTTTTATGCACGATTAATTTTTGTGCTTGGCATGCACTCGAATTTGATAGTAGGCCGTCAATGTTGCCGGAAGGCTTGACAAAAGAAATTTTAAAAAGTCGGAAAACGTGCGCCGATGCGTCAAGATATTGCGAAAGGAATAATTAATTCCATTTAAGTGTATTACATATTTACTTTCTGATCAACAATTGAAAATCAAAACATGTGTATTGTGTCAAAGGATGTTATTTATAACACTAAAATATTCCAAAACATTCTAAAATAATAAATTCCATTTCATGAATATTTTATTATTAATAAAATACAAATAATTCTTAAGACCTTTCACTGGTTTCTGAATAATATAAATTTTATTATTGTGTAAAAAAATCTGTAACAAAAGGTTCATTAGACATTCCATAGGATGTCAAAGGAAGATCATAAGGTAATGGAAATGGTGGTGTTCCATTATTATCTGGTTCTCGAATGGGAAATAATTTTTCATTAATTAATAATTTCGGTAAAAATATAACACCTGCTTCGTAATTTAATATTGTCGTTGAAGAGTTTCCTTGTCCCCAAGCAGCTTTACTTAAGTTTCCACTCGTAACAACGATCCATGGAACATTTTTCAGATCCGGTGAAATTCGAGTATAAATTTTGCTGTGTGGCATAGCTCGTGATCGATGTTTTTGATTAGCTTTCCATTGATATAAATATTCATTCAACCATGTTTGTTTTGTATGAACTTTCATGGAGTAAGGAAGACAACAACTACCAACTTGTTTATCAAAAGAATTTTTATAATCATTTATCGAAGGATAAACCAATTGAAATTTTGGTAATGATTTTAATCCTTTATTCTTTCCACTTGTCATAGCTGGCATAAATTCTTGTGATATCCAAGCATTGATACTAGATCCTAAGCTACCAATACTGGAACACTGAGCAACAACAGGCCACTTTTTACTATCAGATGGAAGTTCAGCATGATTACTTAAAATAGTTGCTAATCTTCGAAGACCCCAGCGATTTCTGTCTAGGCCTTTATGCGATCCTGGGACTGATGCAAAAAAGAAAACATCAATTGAAGAAAAATCAAGTTTTTTTATCATTGATATCCATGAATCAAGTGATGATCTTCTGTACTGTTCTAAATAATCAATAAAGTCATGTTTAAAACCAGTTTTTGATTCTCCTTCACTTTCGTCCTGATTTTCTGATAACTTTGGTAAATGAGGAGATATCCAAACAGCTTGGGTTCTATTATCCCAATCATCATCATATAAATTTGCAGTAGAAACAATTATTCTTACTCCACCGTTAGTGTACTTTAATACAGATACTTTACTGTGATGTGTTCCCCAAGCGGTAGGTGTTTTAATACATTCTATTTTTATGTTCGATGGTAAAGGAACATCATCACATCTAGATCCTAAAAAAATTAAACTATCTGCTTTTTGACCAGCAAAAAGGTATTGTACACAGAGCCATCCAACATCAACCATAAAATTGAAATGGAGACTCTCTTCTATTACTCCAAGACTTATATCCAATATTTCTGGAAAAGTTATTGTATAAGGTTGGTCCCAAGTTTTTTCAACTCTTTGAACGCATGTTAAAAATACGTTGTACGGAAATGACAGTGCATATTTAAGATCAAACTGACCAAGAGGTACTAAATGTGGTATTCTTTGACCAGCATTTTTCATTTTTTCAAGTGTTTTATAACGAATATCTACTCTATTTTGTTCAGTCGTGCATGAATTGAATTGATCAAACAATGATTTATTTTCTCTAGAAGTTTGTAGATTAGCATTGGTATTGTCTTGATGCATTGTATTTGGATTGTTTTCTTTAATTTTTTTATTATTTATTGAACTCGTTGAAGATTCTGATATTCGTTTTAAATACAATTGGTTCTGTTGTGATACATCTGACGAAGTTTCTTCAGTTATATTTTTCGTACCGCTTTGCTGATTTTTTAATACCAATTGAAGTACTTTTAATTGTTCTAATAAATCAGATTTACTTGAACACTTGAAGTCTAACCTCTCAGGTAATTTGATTTCTCCAGTCAATTGACCATTAAGTAGATTTTCTACTGTACGACAAGAAAACCATGAAATGAAATACTTTTTTTTGTTTATCAGACAACTAATATTAAATATATTTCCATTCAACTTACAATGAGGATGTGACATTTCACCAAGATGAATAGGATTTTTTCTGTAGCATTTTTCTTTAAATGGACATGGTTTTTTATCAATATTTTTTCCATTATTTTCTATAAAAAAAACATTTATGCTAATAATAACCATTGAGTTATTGTAAATAGTGCAAAATAGGTTATATTATCAAACTAACCTTGACTAGAATTACTCATTATTATATTCTAAGAGATTTTCTGTAAATATTTGAGAAAATTTTTTGTAAATTAATAACTGAGTTAAGATAAAAAAAAGTGTTAATGCCAAAACAATTATTACTCAGTGCTTCAGTTATCTTTTGATGCTAGACTCAAGTCAAAAAAGTTTCCCAAAGTTGACTTTACGGTTTCGCGTTGTGCGGTGGAAGATCGAAGCTCGATGTCAACTGAAATAGAGTAGGTAACGAGGAATTTGTTCGAAAAATGATAAATTTCAGAGATGTACTGAAAAAAGAAAGACTTAGGGTACCGAGAAATGTCTAAATTTCCGGATCATCAGTTCCAAGCAAGACAGAGAACAGAACATACCTATCAATCTCCTAATGGAAAATTTATTTCATTCATTTTAGCATAAATTATGCTGCAATTATAATTTTGACTAGTGTATAAGAAAGATCTTATTCTTACAAATCCATTGATATGCTCATTATCTATATGGGCCTCATAGATCCTGTCTCATCAAGACTTTTCCGATGATGCTCATGGTTCTATGATTCTAGCATAAGTCTTCTTCCTGAAAATCATCAATCGTATACTTGTATGAGTGTACTCAACTCTTCAAAAAGCATTCCAATTTTATCGATAACTCGAAATTGACAATACCATCTGTCGTTTGAAATTTTTTATCGATAGATGGTAATAAAATTATAATCATACAGGAGAAAAATCATTCGAATTTGATGCAAAAAAGGACATTGTACTGTTCATTTAGTGATTAAAAATAAAATTATTATTTTTTATTCATTAAAGATTGAAGAAGATAAATACTATTATTAAAATAATAGAATCACATATATTTATTTTTATTAAAATTCAAATAAATATTTTCTGTAGCAATAGAAAAAATTAAAAAGCTCAATATAATCTTCCAAAGAACAATGGCATATTTGATTGGTCAATTTTATTTTTTTCATTCAATGCATTTCTTTGAATACTTTTTTTCGACGACAATTATTTTCAATCTTACACACTATTAAAATAATACATAGATATATAACATTTATCATATAAATGTCAAATAAAGTTGGTGTTTATGTTTAGTGATAATGATCAAAGAAGTAATATAAAATAATGAGACTGCATCACATGATGTATATATGTATATAGATTCGCGAAAGACTATTGTACGTACATAATACAATGGCCCAAAAGGAAAAATGAGGGTGGGAGGGATGTTGAGCGTCGCGACGCCTCAGTTCTCTCAGTCTCCGCCCAACCGGCTTTGCAAGCGTCCTAACGTTATCATTGCTTAATGCACATTTAAATTTTACTTAAAAGGATTTACTTAAAATTTTTGTATAAATTTAACATTATTAACTAGACTGATCAACCTTAGATGTGATTGTTAATATATTTAATTAAATGGTTAATTAATTTTATTGCAATATTTTGATAAGTAAATAGTTGTTCCTCTAAGTGTACCAAGTGTAACAAGAGAATAAGCTAAACTGTCAAAAGTAGTTGGTACTTCTGGAGTCATTAAGAAGACATTCAAGATCAATTGCTGCACGAAAATGCCGAAAAAAGGTTTGGTTGTTGATAAATAATTCATGTCAATTTGTTATTTTTATTTTATTGTCATAAAATACAAAGGAAAGGTTTATTTATTTTATTAATTGTTTTTAACTGATTGATCTAATTGAGATAAAAAGTAATTTTACTGTAGAATTGGTGTATAGGAAGCTGTTAAAGTTCAATGAACTTGAGATAAGCGAATTTTTTGATTGCTGAGATAAATTTTTTTTTTTTTGTTGAATAAAGAAAATTTATTATTTTTTTTATCAGTGGGAATAATTTTTCAATAAATTTGTATTTATTTGAATTTCCTTCTCTAGAGAAAATAAACAAAAATGTTATCTCTGTGCAAGTGAAATTTTTTCTCTAAAGAAATCAAACAAATCAAATATTTATTATAAATAAAATTTTTAAAGACCTAGAATCCTTATAGGATATTTTATTCATTCTATTTATTTTTTAGATGAAAAATATTTTAATATATTATCTACTTTCTATACACATTTTTTATATACAATTAAATATTATGAATTAAATAATAGTTATTTTGATTGTAAGAAAATTTTTTTTGTACATATAAAATGCTGAGGTAAATTGAGTGTCCTCAAATGGTAATGGAAGGGGAGAAGAAGGATGTAGTAATTGTCGACTAGTAGTTGATCCCATCATTTGATCAGACAGAATCTATGCTTGATGTCACCAACAATTTAATGCAGTTAACATATCCATTAAAATGTTATATTACTATATTTAAATTACTGTTACATACATAAATTGTATGAATATATACGAAGAAAAAAATGTTGAATAAAAATTATCCTGGCGTTCGGATAATCCAGGATATGTTATGAGAATTAACATTTCAAGGAGTGTTCAACTTTTACTCAAGATTTTCTTCAGTGTATTTATAAAATATTTATAGTATTAATAGTAATAAAAAAACAAACATACTTCTAATTATAATTCTATGGAAAATAATATTTTGAATATTATTTAATAATTTTGCAAAAAAATAAAGAAGGATATAAAATAATATATTACGAAAATTAAAAATACATTTCAAAGTAATTTTAATTGTTGATAATAATTTTCGATTAAATCATTCTTTAAATTATTTATTTATATTAATTATTAACTATTTGTTAAATTATTTAAATTATTATTTTTAATTTTATTTTAATTATTTATTAATTACATAAATATTCACTCAGAAAAAATAAAATAGATATTTTATAAATTTAAAGAAAAAACAATTGAGTATTTTAATTCTTTAAGTGATAATTAACAACATGTTATGAATAAATTAATATTTATTATAAATAAATAATGAGATGATAATTTGTGTAATACTGTTATTCACACATGTTGAAATTATAGAGATTTAAGATAGTATATTATTTGGAAGGATTTATGAAATTATATTAAGAATTCAAAACAAATCAGTTAAACTTGATGGTAGATGTGTTTAGACATAATCAGACGTACTTCATGAGCTTCTGACGTATGATCGGCAGTAAAGAACTATTCGATATACCAGATACTGTCTTTGAAGTTTTCTACCTATATTTTACCTTCCATCCATGACTCTATCTTCTATCTGACGGCTCTAGAAATAGCAGCATGATGTATATCATGGGGTGAGGAGCAAGAATTGAGGTCAAAAATTAATGCAACCCCAGCTCGCTCGATCAAGTAAATGCTTCACGATTCAACTCGACCTATCGACTTGATCGTTATATTCTTTAACTCTTTATTTCAACTAACTCAATATTCATTACAACCGTACATATTTTATTATCTACAAAAATAGTCTGGAGTAAAACTTACCATAACTTCTTGGGTAAGTTTCACAAAAACTACAGCTGTGGTAATTATTACCGTAATTTTCAATTTGTCCACTTGCCGTCATTTTACTGCAAAAAAAAATAATCTCTTTCATGTACTTATTCCTGACGATTAACTTCAATAAGATACAAACTTTTTACACTATTGTTTTATTCCGATGAGAAATGTGAAGTTTTTTGGTTTAATACTTGTTATTTCTGATAAATAGCATTTTTTTTTACTTATCCTTTCGTTACATTACATTATTTTTGAAATATTCTCATCCGCTTTGTCTTCATAATAATAAAAATAATAATTAAAAAAGACTGATGATTTTTAATTGACAGAAAATTTTTTTTTTCTTGAAATTAATTAACTTTGATAAGGATAATTAAACATATTTTAATGAAATAACATAGTATGTGTTGTGTCTAATATGTTTATACGCAAAGAAAATTTTACAATTTATGGAAAAATTACTGAAATAGGAATTTTGGAAATTTTTCTGGAAATTTTTACTGACAAAAACAGTACTTTTAATTAAGTTTTTTCAATTAATTAAACTGAATTTTCAATTTTCTTTGCTAGTAAATTTTACTGTCAATTGATTAGTAAAAATTACGGTAAAATTTTATCCTTATTTCGATGATTATTTCAACTGCACTGTCTTATAATAAGATTTGACCTTGCTATTAAATTCACAATGTAACCAAGGAGGAGAATCAAATATTTGAAAGTTGGCGTGAAATATATAAGTGTGCGGGTGTGTTATAATTAGGCCACAATTAAACGCACAACGGGTGGCACAGTCTTAATTCTCTTGTATATGTTCATTTCTCTTATCTTTACATAATACGAACATAGCTTCAGTATTATTCAGTTATTAGAGGAAAACGTTTTGTTTGTATTGTCTTAATAAATCCATTAGATCTGTTGAAAATTTCAGTAGCTCCTTATGTTTATTAAAAATATTTTAACATCCAATTATATTAAGAAAAAGATAAATACACACAAAGGTAATTAGCCTTATTACTTCATATCTCACCAATCATTTCGACTTTAAAACAATTTACTTTTACAAATAAATATTAATTAATTATATTTGTAATTGACAGTTTTTTAACTGTTGTTTACAAGAGGGTCATTTTACTTGATTAATTTTTTATCAATTTTTATGACTCTTATGAGAGGAATAGCAAAAAAAAAGTTGGTCACATAAATCAGAATTTTATTTCTTGGAAAACATCAAGATTTTGTGAAGAAAAAGAAATGTGAAAGCTTACGAATAATCTTGACTCTCTAAGTTGAGTATAGGAAGTAAAGAAGAGAAAACTTTATTGGGTCGTCGTACAGTGAAACGAACAGCTTTAGAGTAGAGACCAGATGTGACCCCTGATGCTATCTTTTCATCTTTCTTTGGTGACTCACAAGGCCATCATCATCTTTCTTTCGTTTATTTTCTGTTTTTTAAATAGTTTTCAAATTTTATTTGCCTTTTTTTTCCGTTAATTAGTGAGTTTGAGACTTGAATGTATTTTTCTCTTGAAAAATGATCAACTTTTGTCGACTTATTTAAAAAAAAAAAAAAAGAGAAATATTCAATTCAGTAAATTATCATTTAAAATCGCTTTAAAATAACTTGAAAATTCCAAGGGAAATTGATTTCTATTTTCAAACAAACGACTAAACGTCGTGGAGGCACTTCCGGTCGTTCTATTGCACATATATTGCTTACAGTTATAAAGTGCAATCACGTGCAAGTAATTCGTATAAGTGAATTTAAACAAAAAAAATATATATATATATATACATTTAAATTTACCCCTTTGCAAGTAAAAAATGATTATTTTAACCATTACAAATTTTCTTTTTTGTTTGCAGTTTCTTCCAAAAGACAATCATGACAGGAACTTATCGGAGATCGGTGAGTACAGGTAGACAATTTTATTATTACATTCTTTAATAACTTTTAAGCGTGGATTATATAAAAAAAAAAAAAAATTCTTTTTCAACACAATTTAACGACATTGTTGATGCAATGACTTGCAGAATTTTCTGTCAAATGTTACCCGGAATGATGAATGAAAAATAAAGATCGAATAATAGTAATTTACGTATGACGCATTAAAATGTATGAGAAGAGGATGTTGAAAAAAAGTAGAAGGATGAGTAGTTACAGTCCTCAATGATCAGACTTGTCTACATGAGCATCCGGATTTTTTTATTCGCTCCTTTATTCTTTCTTGTTTATGTGCTTGTAAAATATACTTCAAACAACGCCTTGTCAAATTCTGATTTTTCGCTTTCTACCGACAGAATTTAATTTTATTTTTTTCTTACTCCATTTTTCCCCTTTCATTCCAACGAATTAAAATAAATCCCAGATTCTTGATATATAAACATCACTATTATTTACGTTTGGATTTTTTTTATCAAAGTTTTATCACACATTAATTATAAGTCTAAGTACATTTTATTTATTTATTTATTTATTTTTATTGTTCAATGGGGAAGAAAAAAAAAATTAAAGTCAATTTCCCCTAAGATAAAATCATCTATAACAATTCAACCAAGCTAGTATCCGGTTTCCTAGTAAATGATGCATGAAAAGCTCTCGCAAAAATGCCAAGCTTTTAGTTTTATCCCAACATCTCACAATATGTGCACATAAGAATCCGGATGTTAGTCGATCGTTTTAACGCCACTCGACAATCGTGAAATATAATATAAAATCGATATCTAAAAAGTTGATGAGTTTTTAAATAAGAATTTCCGATTTTCCAAACTTAATATTCCCATTATTATCAACACTACGATGATATAATGACCAAACAATGTCCATTTATTTTTAAAATGATTTATTGTTTATATCAATTAATTAATTATCTCGAGAGATCTAAAATAATCGATAGAGGTTTTCAAGCGTTTTGTATTTTTCTGAAAAATTTGGAAAGATTTTTTAATATACCAGATAATAAGAAAAATATACCGATGAATCATTCTGAAAAAATGCTAAAAATTTATGAAAAATCAAAAAAAAAAAAAATCCCCGAATGTTTGGAAACTTTTTACGAAATTTGAGATGTTTTTAAAAACTTTTAAAAAATGCTAAAACATTATTGGATATCCGAGAAAATGATATTATTTTTAATATCAAGGGAGGTTGATATCGACTATTTTAATAAAAAAAAATTATTATTTTTTTTTATCGAAGGATTGTAATAAGTTTGCAAATTTTTTCGTTCAAGTTTTATGCAGACAAAGTCACAGGTATGAGTTAGTTTGAAAATAAATAATAATATAAAAAATATATTTACCTATAGAAACCTCTTGAACATCAATATTATAAAAGCATCTAGCCTTTATATGTTGCAATATTTTCTAAGATAAATTATTTCTTTAATATTAAATTTACAAATAAAATAGACATATTTTTTTATGAAGTTATCTATCATAACTTTTATTTGATAATCTATCTAGAAAAGAGGAAGAAAGTATTGAGGATGTATCTTGTTGAAGGAAATACAAAGAGTCAACTACAATAATTTTTTTTGTCATTTATAAGATAAAGTTTAAAAAATTGAAGGAATTCAGGTCACAAAAGCTCTACTTTCAGGATTACTGACCCGCAGAAACCGATCGATTATCGTTGAACACGCGAAGGTAATCGGTTCCAGTATTCTAGAACAACCTGGCAAGTTCTCTTATGTGGTTTATGAACTGGATAGCTTAAAAGTGCATTGTAATATCGTGAATTTCTGCTTGGAGATGAAGGAAAGGATTCTAAAACAAATAAAACTAAAAAAGAAAATAATCATAAAAAATAAAAAATCAAGCAACAGGTGTCTTGGTATCATCAAGACTCATCAAACTTTTATTTTTATGAACTGTCCTACAATCTATTTTTGAATGTTTGATATGGTACTGCTGGATGATAGTAACTGATATTTAATGCTTTTTATTAATCGGTGTTGTTAGTACATTCAACTATAAAGTTCAATATTGATTTATGTAATTTTTAGAATATTTTATATCATTGGAGATTGCTATGATTTGAATTAAAACATAAAAAATACTAAAAATCATTCTAACATCCAAGAAGTCGTTTATAAAAATGTAAAATAACAATTTCGAAGTAAGTTTAGCTGCACAATATAAATATCGATCGTGAAACGTTTCTTACAGGTCAGTCATGCAATGCAACTTTGGTACAATGACCTCTTGGGGTTGTTGTGACTTGGTATCGATCAACGATCACCAAGTCTAAGTGTGTTAAATCTTTAAATACAATGACAAATCGAAAATAAATGGACATGAAAAGAGAACAAAAAAAGTGCAAATGAGGAAAAGAAAAAATTAATCATGTAAATAGTCGTAGACATACTTGGCATATCATTTTATAATTCTGTTGGATTGTTTAAAAGTATTTTAAGCTAGTTACCAGTCGAATCAAATCCACTATATCAGTCTAGACATTTAGCTAGAGACTAATTATTTATTACTTGCATCAAACTTTCAGACAATATTTTTTTTCTTTAAACTTGTAAGTGAATCGATACAAGTCATTGTGTGATGAATTTAAATAACTATTTAGCATTGTGTGATAAAGAAAATCCATCAAATAAATACCCTTGAAATCTCCGTATGTTAGAAAGCGCGGGAGAAGACGCAGAGAGTTTTGGAGGTGATGAAGCAATCTCCAACATGACAACAAGAATGTCACGAGCAAGTATTGGTGGTCACTCTGGTGGCTTCCTTCGAGGAATCGGGAATCAACAGCAGCATCAACATCACGTAAGTTTTGATCCAGAGGCGCCAGAGCCACCATCAGCATCTCCAATGTCTCAACATCAGACACGTAACTTTCTAGAGAAACCAGAGGTTGATAAAAAGGTCAAGGTAAATAAATACTCCTTAACAATCTTTATAATTAAAAATTATATTTCCAGATCTTTCATATTTACTTAAATTGCTTTTTTCTTCACTTCCAATCAGTCAATTTTGTTAGCTACGTTGACACTGTTTTCATTTATTTTATATCCTGTTAGGAGAAAAAAAATATTCAATATATATTGACAGATATAAATGCTAGGACCTCTTATAAGAAACTTAATCTTACCAATTACGTATATAACGTTTAGATATATAAGAGTATAATTGTATATATAGAAAATAAGGCGTGGCACAATTAAGCCCCTTGAGAGTGTCTGGACATACCCTAGAGAAGAAAGACTGAGGGTGGCAATAAGGGAGAATTTTCATCCATAAGGCTGTTGACGAGTGTTTATTCTGCCACACCTCGACAATTGTCAAAGAGTACCACACCTCAAACCTCATCTATTCTTCTTATACTTCATACAGAATTTCCAATGCTTCATTTATTTACCATCTCAATCCAAGATTACTATTATTTCAAAATATTTTTATATCAATATCACAATAAACATGAAGATAAATTATTTAACACTTTTTATATCTTTTATATATCAGAGGCATAGCATTCATGGAATGATGGAGGAAGAGAACGTAGTAAGACCACATCAAGAAATGGCAAGTCTTTCTTTAGCAGAAAAAAAATATCTATTGGCAGTTGAACGTGGTGATGTTGCTTCAGTTAGAAGGTAATTATTATTTGAATACTTAATAGTAGTTCATAATTGATAATATTAATTATTTGATAATGATAGAATGCTACAGAGAGCTCAAGAAGATGAATGGATCAATATTAATTGCGTGGATCCCCTAGGAAGATCAGCTTTACTTATGGCTATTGATAATGAAAATTTAGAGATGGTAGAACTCTTGATTGAGTACAAAGTAGATACAAAAGATGCACTACTTCATGCTATCTCTGAGGAATTTGTCGAAGCTGTAGAAGTACTTCTTGAACACGAAGAGACACTTCATAGAAATGGCGAGCCTCATGTATGAATAGTTTTACACTATTCTGCTATCATCTATTATTTTATCATTATCTTCAACACCAAAAATGGCACATTAACAATTAGCTCTTGAATTTTATTTTAAAATTATCATTACATACATGTATATCTTCTTTAAGTTTTATAATCTCGTTAAATATATGACTGTTTATGATAGAGTTGGGAAGCACTTCATCCAGACACAGCCACGTTTACACCAGACATCACACCTCTGATACTTTCTGCACACCGGGATAATTATGAAATTATAAAAATTCTTCTAGACCGTGGATCTGTATTACCAATGCCTCATGATGTTCGTTGTGGGTTAGTTAAGTTTAAATAAACTTGATAATTGATTTACTTCATTTTTTTGTTAGTTTTAATATTTAATTTTGATAATTAATAATAAAGGTGTGACGAATGTGTAACATCCCGAATGGAAGACTCTTTAAGACACTCAAGAAGTCGTATCAACGCATATAGAGCACTTGCTTCTCCATCCTTAATTGCTTTGTCTTCCAAAGATCCTATTTTAACGGCCTTTGAGCTCTCATGGGAGCTTAGACGATTATCATTTCTTGAGCATGAATTTAAATGTGAATATCAGGTAAGTATTTACAGACTTGAATATTTTAATTATTCACATTTATTAACATAATTGTTTTATACCAGGAACTTAGAAGACAATGCCAGGATTTTGCTACAGCACTTTTAGATCATACTAGAAGTTCATATGAACTTGAAGTACTTCTCAACCATGACCCAACAAGACCAGCATTTAAACATGGAGAAAGAATGCATCTGAATCGTTTAAAACTCGCTATTAAACTTAGACAAAAAAAGGTTTAATTAATATATATATTTCCATTTTTTACTAACTAAGCTGGAAGAAAATTCATGCTACATATAATAATTAATTTATTATGAATATTAAATCGACCAAGAACTGGATAAATCACGTAATAATAATAAAGCTTTTTTATGATTTTAGTTCGTTGCTCATCCGAATGTTCAACAGCTTTTAGCTTCAATCTGGTATGAAGGTCTTCCTGGATTTCGAAGAAAAAATATGCTTCTGCAAGCCTCTGATATCGTTCGCATTGGAATTTTATTTCCATTCTTCAGTATTGCATACATAATAGCTCCTCACAGTGTTTTTGGTCAAACAATGCGAAAACCGTTTATTAAATTCATCTGCCATTCAGCTTCGTACTTTACATTTTTATGTAAAAATCGATTATTTTAATCTTTTATAAGAAAAAACACTCAAAAATAACATTGAAAATTCAAAAAAAAAATTAATACTTATCATATTGACAATTTAATCATGAATTTAATGAAATTTTTAAGGTTAATTTTTGAGTGTTAACAAATAAAAATAAAATTTTGTATTACATACCAATATTATATTATACAATTTATATAGTTATGCTTATCCTGGCTAGTCAGAGGATAGAAAGCGTTATAGGATTATGGATGGGTCAAGATATCTCTCAACACGAGCCAACACCGACAAAGCGAGGAGCAGCACCCACTTTAGTAGAATGGTATTGATTGTTGTGTTTACATGTATCATGAGAAAATTATGCAATTGGTTTACTAGGTTTATTGTTGTATAACAGGTGTATTTTAGCATGGGTATCAGGTCTTATCTGGTCTGAAGTGAAACAACTATGGGATGTAGGTCTTGAGGAATACATCCATGACATGTGGAATGTCATTGACTTTGTCACTAACTCACTCTATGTAGCAACTGTAGCATTAAGAGTCGTAGCTTATTACAGAGTGCAGAAAGAGAATGAAGGACAAATGCCTGGATCAATTGTAGAACTTCAAAGAGAACAATGGGATACTTGGGATCCAATGCTAATTTCTGAAGGTCTTTTTTCAGCTGCTAATATTTTTAGGTAATATTATTTATTTAATAGTTAATATTTTATCAAAGAGAGTTTCTTGATTTTTATAAAATTGCTAAGATTAATAACAAATATTCAAACTAATTTAATATTTTTATTAACTACCATTTAGAAAAGAAAAATATGTATATGCACAATGTCATTTATCATTGCGCGAGTCAATGCTTCAATTCAACTCGCACAATAAATTTCTACGATATTGACCCTTTAATCATCTTTGTGGTTGTTCTTCATCATAGAGTTTTTTTTTTTCAAAGCTCAAATGATAAAAACAAAACGTCACAAAAACATATGAAAAAAAAAAAAAGGGAAAAAAGTGATTTTTTTCTAAACAAGAATTTCTCTTTATTGATAAAACCAGCTTAGTAACCCCAATAATGAAGTATATTAAATGAATTAATTCATTGATTAGTTCTCTTAAATTGGTTTACATCTTTTCTGTAAACCCTCATTTGGGCCCTCTACAAGTTTCATTATCGAGAATGGTGATGGATATTATGAAATTTTTTTTCCTTTTTGTTCTCGTGCTGTTCGCTTTCTCCTGTGGTGAGTGGTACGTTATTAAATATCAAGTGCTTTTTAATATGATACCGAAAGATTTTAATGTTGATTTATTAGGATTAAATCAATTACTTTGGTACTATGCTGATATGGAAAAAAAGAGATGTCCATCAGCGTCATTATCTGGTGTTAATAATAACAATAATAATAATAACAATAATATGACAACTGACTCTAATGCTTGTATTGTGTGGAGAAGATTTGCTAAGTGAGTGTATTTAATTTTCCTAGAATATTTATAAAATATTATTACGAATAAATAATTAAGATAACAAAATAAATATAATTAATCATTTAATATTTTTCAGCTTGTTTGAAACAATTCAAACACTTTTTTGGGCAGTTTTTGGCCTGATAGATCTCGAAAGTTTCGAATTAGATGGTATTAAAGTATTTACACGATTTTGGGGAATGTTGATGTTTGGAACTTATTCTGTTATAAATATAGTAGTACTGCTGAATCTTCTTATTGCAATGATGAATCACTCTTATCAACTAATATCCGTATGTTCTATGTATTCCAATAATCTCTTGATAAACTTTTTTTTATCCATTCATGTTTTTTTTTAACATACATCTTTTTTTTTCAAATTCTATATAGGAACGTGCTGATATTGAATGGAAATTCGCAAGAAGTAAATTGTGGATTAGTTACTTTGAAGAGGGAGGAACTGTTCCACCGCCATTCAATATCATTCCAACTCCTAAAAGCATGTGGTATATAGGTCAATGGATCTACAGAAAATTTTGTGGACACAGTAAAGCCGCAAAAAAGGAACATATGAGAACTATAAGGGTAAATTATCAAGTTAAGCAATATGTCATACATGTGACATATTAAAATGATTTATTATTATGATATTAGTCAGAATATATTATGTATATCTTATCTAAATAAAAGACAATTTTATTTTAAAACTATTAATATTAAGTGTATCAATAAATTTTTTGTTCATAAATATATATATTTTCATCAGAAAAAAGCAAAACAAGCTTCTGAACGTGACTTCAGGTATCAAAGTATAATGAGGAATCTAGTACGGAGATATGTAACAGTGGAACAAAGAAAAACAGAAGGTGAAGGTGTTACTGAGGATGATGTTAATGAAATCAAGCAAGATATTAGTGCCTTCCGATGTGAACTAATTGAAATCCTTAAGAAGTCTGGAATGAACACTTCTACATCCTCTGGAACCGGTACCGGTGAGCCCCAGCCTCCCTCCTGCACTCCTTCATCATATTTTATCATCATATCTTATAATATAACTCATTTTTTACACTGAAATCCAAGCTTAAAACCTGCATGCTACTTAATATTAATTTTATTATTAATTAATTCATTAGAAATTATCTTTAATTAAACATGATACTTTTGAAACATATATATTGAATAAAATTAATGTATTATTTTCACAGAAACAAAAAGTAAAGTGTTAATTAATTGATGAGAATATTATATTATTAATATTCTGCTTATAGACGATTTATTTTTATTTAAGAAAATTCAATAGACATAATTAAAATCTAATGGATTAATATAAAACAAAAGAAGTGAACATACATGTCAATGTTTAAATGAAAAAAATAAAAAATTACAGGAGCTGGTGGTAAAAAAAATCGTCAAAAGGAACGACGTTTAATGAAAGGATTTAATATCGCACCACAACCAGGTGGAAGTGGCAGTTTACCTCCAGTTGCTGAAATTATAGCATCACTTCAACAAGTACGCGATGAAGATTCAACCCAAAATGATTTGTTTGGAAGTACTTTGAGCAGTATATTTGGTACAGTTACGACTCCAAAAAAAAATCCTCATCATATTAGTACAAATAGTGTCCCCGGATTAACAAGTTGTCGACAAAATCGTCATATACGAAATGGATCCAGAAAACGACGATGGGGAACTTTAATTGAAGCTGCTAAAGCTCGATCCAGACTTATAGGTAATTGAATTTGAAAACATCTCACTTAAGATCTGCTCTTTATAAGCTGTTAGAACTGAAATTTCTTGATTATTATTCATACGTATTTGAACGAATAAATATTATTTCAATATCACACCTTTATTGAAATTTATCATCATTTTAGTCAATTATGCAATGTTACTAGAATTATAATTATTTATTGAATTAAATCGTTGTATTAAAAATTTAACATTCAAGACAAAGTTTTGAATGTTGTAATATTGTTGAAATGCAATTATTCCAATTTTGTTTTCTCATTTAGAATCATACGCCTTTGGATCTACAGGACGATCCAGATCAGAAGATTCAATGTACCCTCCAGCTTCAGAAGATGGTGGGTTTCGTTCCGAAGGTTCTTCAGATTCTAAATCTTCTCTTGATGTACCTTCACAAATCCAAGTTTCTAATAATCAAGAGAACGCACAAAATCAAAATTCGCACAACAATAATGAACGAAATCATGATATTCATCATGTATTTAGTCATGGTTTAGGACCAGCTTTGGCTGCACTTAGGAAAAAACGTAAAAAGTTTTCTGCATCACGTGCATCAACTCCAGTAATGACTAGCGAAAATGCTAGTACGGTCGAAAGTATTTCAGGTTTTCCAATGAGTAATTCTCCAGCTTCATCAGTTGTTGGTGCATCAATTGTTGCAGTAAAAAATCAGTTACATCGAGCTAGTAGTGTTCCTACCAGAAGTCCAGATCTCTCAGGGAATCAAAGTGCTCATTCAAGACATCATAATGTTACTCAAAGTCAACAACCTAGTTTAGAAACTACAGAAATTGGTAGTGTCAGTGAACACATAGGTGAGATGTGTCAATACTATCTTAAATTCTTAATTTTTTTTTCTAGCTTCCAGTGTCTATCAATTTGATAAAATCTATTTATATTTTAGCAACAATACAAAAAGTTGATAATTTGATTTTTCAACTCATATTAATTTTACTTTTAAATACAAATGAGAAATTCATAAATAGAAATAAATTTATATTCAAAATAATAATAACATTATTTTTTTATTCATCAAAAGAAATAAATATGTCGTTTTTATTGAAAAGATTTTACTATTGAACTGTGAATTTTCACGTTAAACAAAATTATTTTATTTTAAATAAAAAAATATATCTTTGCTTAAGCTCTTTTTCAATGCCATAATAAAGTTGCTTGAGCACTTGTTTGATATGAAAAGAGTACCAGGTTTTTCTTGCTTGGTCTAATTATATTTATTTATCTCTTCTAAAATTGCACAGTTTGATAAAAGTAGTGGTGAGTCGTAAAGTTTATGATTAAATAACTAGTCCTATTTAAATTACATACCTTAAGTAAATGAAGTGGAAATCTGCATATAAAAATACTTCCTATTTTTAACATATTAATATAATTTAACTTTTAAATACTACTTTTTTAATCAAAGTTTAACTTTTTATTTAAATAAAATAAAATAGTTACTAATTTATCTAATTAAATATTATGACTGTTCTTTTCCTATCTTTTTTAAAATAATATAAAAATCAATTTTATTATTTATTAATAAATTCATCAATTTCATCTATTAATATACAGATTATTTATGTTTAAGGGATGGATGATGTCCGGATTGATGTTGAACCTCTCAGTCCCTCAACAACAGAAGAAAGTTTTATAGGTCAGTCAGCAACTTCTAGAGATGGTATTCTACCAATTCAAAGTCTCACAACAAGTGTAAAAAGGAATGGATCAGCTACACAATTGCAAAGACTTCCAGGCATTGAGACAATTCGTGATGTCACCTCTGGCTGGCTCTGAGGATATTGACAATTGTCTTGGTGCCTTGTTAAAGATATTCAAAAATAAATAAAGAAAATTTCATAAAAATAATTAGAAGCGCGCAGGCGCCATTTCTTTTTTTAATAATCTTGATTATAATTACCAACTAATTCATTAAAAACTGATTAAGTATGTTGTATTATGAGTTATGTCAATTATATAAAAAAGGGTGTGAATATATTTTTTCACCTGTAGGTTATTTTTAATGATCTTCAATGATCGTTATAAAGTGATGACATCATCACCATCAGTTACTGCCAGTTGTATTGAATAAAGAGTTATAAGAACATAACTTGATAACATCATCATTATCATCGATAATTTTATTAAATTGTTTATATTGATTTTTCTTCTCAATATAAATTGTAATTTAATTGCTTTTTATACAAAAAAGTAAATGAAACACAGCATGAGAATGTGATTGTAATAGAGAAGAACTTGTTTAAATTGTCTGATTAACTTTGTTGTTTTTTTTATCGAATGTGGTTATAACTTAAATTAATAAATTTAATAGTACTTAACTATAATATTTTATAAAAAAATTTTATTTTTAATCTAGTTTCTTAAAATGAAATGCAAGTAATTGTGGTAAAAATTAACTCCGCCTCATAAAAGAGATTATTTATTTTAAAATGGCTGAATAATTCATTATCTTTTCTTCATTTATATTATTATCAATATTATTATTACACGTAGATTTTTGATATAAATTTACTTGGCTATAAGCTTCATGAGTTAATAATTGTTGGATATAACAATTTACATGTAATTATAAATTTTCTGATTTTAATTAATATAATAATAATAACGATTATTATTATAATGATAATTATATTTCTCAATAAGAGAGAATATTATAAATTTGTTAACCGGTATAATTGATTAAAAAAAAATTGAAAAAAATACAAAAAAAAAGAAAATATAAGTACGATAGTGAATCAGACGTTATTGTCATGACCAAATATCACTTAAATAATATCTTAAATTTTAAAATATTATTCCAAATTTAACACAAAGTTTTCAATAGTACTTTTAAATAACACGCAAATGTCAAAAAATTATCTCATACGCGTGTAATTATAATAAAATAATAATAAAAATATAACTTATTGAATTATTAATATAGTGTTTTTATTATTAAATATTGCTTCCTAATGAAATCCTAATTTAAAAAGAGTATATACTTCATAATAATTATATATCATACAAAACTATGTTGCTAGCATATTTTTTAATAGCAATGATTTTAGAAATGCTATAAAATTAATTAGTAAATAAAATTGTTAAGTATTTTATGTAATAATAATAATAATGATCATTGATATCGTAATAACAATTTATACTTCAATCCATGTGCAAGTATTTTTTGTTAACTTCTTAATAACTTTCTTACCTGTTAATTACATGGAGCAAGTTGACATCGAGCACGTTTTTGTAGTTTTTTAGGGCAAGGTGTACCGCCATTCTCGGGTTCTCTCTATAAAGAAAATAATTATTTTAATTAAAAACTTGAGTTCAATACGATAACTTTCTATTACAAACTAAACTTAATTTAATTCATTTTAATATTAATAATATCATTATATAATAAAATTTTATATAATATATGAATATTTAAAAAAAATATCTTACCTTAATCATTCTGTAACTTGTTACCCGTCCAATACCACAAGTTACAGTGCAAGGAGACCAAGGAGACCAATCACTGATTTCACAATTAATAGGTATTGGAACATTCAAGTTTGGAGTACCTAATTCAGATGGTTGTTGTCCAGTTAAAGCAGCTTTGACAATAGAACATGTATTCATACATTCTTCTTGAGTTAAGAAATTATTTCTGTTGCCTCTGCAGCCACCATAACCAAATGAAATGCAAGTGAGTCTTTTAGCATCAAAAGCCCAACGCTGAAAGTAACCTCGACATGGTCCTACATCAGCTTCTTCCATGCAAACGACTTTGGCAGTAGCCATATCAAAATTACAATCAGCTTGAGTAATACATGTACGTTGTTGAACGTGTTCTACTCGAGTTGAACATTCTTCTTGTCGTGATGGTTCAACCATGAATAATCTTGTGCGAATTTTGACTCCTTTTCCACATGATGCACTACAAGGGGACCAGTCTGACCACTCGGTAACCTGAAACATATTTTAATAAATAAATATTCAATACATAGGAAATTTAATTTAATAAATTAAATTTATATATCAAAAATAATGAAATAATTTCCGTACTTTACAAGTAGAATCCAATTCTTCAGTTACTTCTGTACAAGGAGGACCCATACACTTTTCTTTTTCCACTAGAATTACATGAGGACACTTCTTACGACCCATTTTATTGATAAAGTTCCGTGTTTTCATTTTAAATCCCACTCCACAAGTTGAAGAACACTCTGACCATGAAGACCATTGAGTAGTTTCACACAAAGAGGGATCTACTTCTAATCTTCCATTTAAGTTATCGTTTTCATCGTCATCAATTTCTTTATCTCTAAAAATGTCATTCATCAATTTTATCTTTTTTCATTATTATTCTCTTTTAATTTATTTTTTAAAATAAAAAAAACTTACGGGCATTCTGGTAAATCAGCAACACACATCTCTTTAGAAACTAATTGTCTATTACATCCAATCATTTTGGCTTTTTCTGGCATAATGTAGGATCGAGTTCTCATTCGTAGACCCTTGCCACAAGAAACGGAACAAGGAGACCATAGAGTATACTCGGTAACAGCACATTCAACTGAATAATAACATACAATCTCCAATTATTACATCTATCATAGGTATAAAGATTTTTAAAAATATTATTAATGTAAATATCTTACCTCGGGAAGTATCTTCCGTATTTTCAGCAACTTCAAGTTCCGCTAGTTGCTGGGTGAGTATAGATTCATCACATCCACGTGGAATAATTTTTTCTCGATTAATGTATAACTTAGCCAGTGGTGGCATTGGTTTACCGGAAGGATCATAAAACGGAGATCTTGGGTCTTCAGGATAAAAGGAAGTAATAGGTTTCATTTTTTCTCGAGGTTTAGTTTCAGAGTTTGGTGACATATAAGTAATGCCATTGTCAGTGCCAGCATCCCATGGATAAAGATCAATAATAAGATTTTGTTTCCACGTACAGTCTTTTTCACAAAGATTCAATTTACTCACTCCTACCACCCAATCCGGTGATGGTCCAAGCATTGATGCCACAGACAATAGAGGATGTTTTCGATCAACTCTGAAATTTAAGTTTCAATATTGATGATAATAATAGTTTTTATCATGACTTTTTTTGTATAAATGAAAATGAAGATTTATAATTTATTAATTTACTAATATAAGAAAATTAAGGTCATGCATTTTATCTATAATTTTCTTGTAAATGATTATGATTATGAATTAAATTAAATTAATCATGGAATATATATATATATACCTAAAACTCGTAGTGGTATTGGAATTTACATTTGGATACCAGAGTCCAGCAGCCTTAACTAAGGTTCTTAAATGTTGCGATTTAGAGCGTAGCTCTGCTTCTAAACCAGACGCTGAGCCCCATTCTGCTAATTGACGGAATCCATCTGTTGCAATATGATCTTGACCCCAAAATGAAAATGTACTTTCATGAGATGCGCCAATGAGATCACTAAAGTGCGTTAACCAAGCAGAAAAAGGAAAATCTTTCGGATGTGTCGTTTTAGACCAAATTCCTTCCATTGTAAGCTGTAAATTAATTTTGAGTTAAAGTGGGTCAATAGTTATTTACTTAAGTCACGTATTATTTTTAATATCAAATAAAAAATTTTTTAATTAAAGAAAATACAGTTTAAAAAATTAATTAACTTAATTAACTATACCTATCTTAGATTAACATTTAAAACATTTTTTATTATCATCAATTAGAGTAAAAATACTTACCGAATATTTAGCGTCATCACAAGCACAACATCCAAACTCGTCATTTGGTATAATATCATCATCATTGGCTTCACAAAATGTCTTTACCAAGTTTTTATCATCAGCATACCACTGAGACGAATTGACTATTATTGTTGCAGTGAAAACAACACATCCTGATCCTGGAGATGGAGATCTCCACATTACTTGAATATCAGTTTTGGGAAGATCATTACTTTCTTTTACAGTATTCACACATTCTTCGTCAAAAATCGTCAAAGAATCTGGATATAATTGGAAAGATCCAACTTTTGATATTGGACTATTTGGTGCATATTGTGAATCCACAGACAATCTGAATTTTGTAAAAGTTGATCCTTGAGACTCCAAGTCATCTAGTTGGAATGCATGATCACCTAGAATTGGAAAAATGTTATAACCATTTTTTAAACAATTTTTAAACATTACTATAAAATTAAAAATAAAGATTAATTTGATACCTCGAATACTAAGTGCATAAATTTTATTCGGAATGTATTTTTTGTCTGTTCCACTGGTAATGATTTTAAATCCACCATCCCCAGGTGTTCTTGGTGCTGTTATAGAATATTCTGATGGATTAAAAGGACATGCTGATTCCAAAAAATTAACCAAAAAGGTTAAATAAATAAAAAAAATTTTCCAACGATTATGAATGGTCTTTAAGCAGATCATTTTTGTTTTCCTAATGACTTGTATCAAAGGAAATACAAGACTGGTCAGCAGACTGTTGATGTATTCTGAAATTGATATCAATCACGTGGGCTAAAAGATAGTACAACGGATGTATGGATAAATTGAATAATAAGATAACATGAAAATTAGAAGAATCATGAATAAAGCTGAAAATTATTCTAATTTATATTATTTTAAAATCAGAAGAAGAAACAAATATAATTATGCTCATTATTTTTTAAATTATCAATTTTAAAAAATAGCTATTGATGGATGTCATAATTTTTTTATTTAAATAAAATATCAACTTTAGGTCATAAGTGTATCTCATAAAACTATTGACCCTATTGATAATATGTTAAATATGATAAACAGTTAATCTAACTCTATTCAAAATTTAATTATTAATGTTTTTCATAAATTTTCCAATTTCGATAGAATTTTATGGTTATGATAATTCATTTTTGACAATTGTTTACATAATTTTTTTAACATTATATAAATAATTTAAAAGTATTAATTTCTTTAAAATATTAATAATAATAGATCATATTAATAATATAACTATTATTAAAACAATTTTAGATTTATTCTGAATTAAAAAATATTTTGAAAAAAATAAGGAAGTGAATAAATTAATAAACAATGTGCCGCTAAAATTTAAAGGTTAAAATAAACTACAGCGCCATCTAAAAATAATAGTATGCGTGCGCATATTGATCGCGGCATCAATTAAATAAGAGAAGGGAATTTTCAATCATATTTATTCAGTACAACATCAAGTCTCTAAATGTTTAACAGTTTATCAATGATTTATACATATAAATTATTTAGTTATTGTCTAAAAGTATTATAATACCGGTATATATACCGGTTTTAAATTGTTGAAAAATCAATATTCGAAATGATATTACAATACCATTAAATAAAAAAATAATTATTAAATTTTTATCATTGTGGGCTTGGTTCTTATGTGAAACGCAAGCGCCGTTGTGATGATAGATAAAATGGTGAAAATGGTTTAACAAAGGTATCAGTTTGGATAAAAGAATTTCAACGAACAAAGAAGTTGTGAGAGAAGTAAACATAAGGTTGACAACAACTTGATAAGTCATGGCTAGTTTAGCTGGCAGCTCAGCTGGTGGATTCCCAAGGCCACCAACGATGCTCGAACAACTTCTTGAAGAGATTAATTTTCAAAGAACCAAGGAAATGAGACAATTATTGAAAGATGGTTTGTATGTTTTTATGATTGTAGATTTTTAACCTTTAATCAATTTTTCCGAGTATATTCATCTATAGAATATTCCTATAAAATATTGTTTAATAAGTATTATTTGTAATACAAAGTAATATACGAATAAAAAATTAGTCTTCAGTGTTTGAAATTTAATTGTAATTATCAGTAAAATATGAGAAATTTGTTATTATTAAAACTGTAAAATAACATCTGTTTATTGTCTTTTGATAGATTCAGGTTTTGTGATGCTCCAAGGCACAACATACTGGACTGATCTTTTTGTTCGTCACTTTTTATTTCAAGGAGAGCACACTATTGATGGAGATGATCTTCTCTTTTTTGTTCGCAAAAAACACATTAAAACTTCGTCTCGTTATGTTCCAAAATTTGAAACAGAAGTTGATGTTTTTCGTAAAGACAGTAAAAAATTACCAATTGGAGATCCAGACATTGATTGGGAAGAGACTGTCTACCTCAATTTAGTTGTTCATCAATTTGATTATACTCTTACATTAGCTATTTGCACAAGAACAAGTCCCAAAGAATTACAGGTACATTTATATTTAAATATTCATTTTATCTATTTATGATATAAATTTATTAAATGTTTACAGGTCCTTAGAAGACATTCACAAAAAGTATATGCAAGTCCTAGTCGTCGTCGAATGGATGCAAAAGGTGATCTTGAAGAAATGACTTATCCACATATTTGTTTCATGGTTGACAACTTTGATGAAGTATTCTGTGATATATTAGTTAGAGATGGAGAAATGGTATGTGTTGAATTAGTTGCTTCTGATAGAGAAGGAGCTGTTCAAGGAGTTATATTCCTTGGATCAATTAGATATGATGCATTAAAAAAAGTTTATGATGCCAGAGTAAGTATTAACTAATTTTTTAATTATTAATATTACTATTAATAATAATAATAATAATTAATAATTATCATAATACAGTCAAGTTTAAGTACCAAAATGGCACAACGAATGACATTCGGACTCTTCTCAGGCACTTCTTCTCAAAGAATAGAATTTGTACGCATGAAAGGACCTCAAGGTTGATCAATTTAAATTATTAAATTATTTAAATTAAAAAATTTATCTAAATATGATTACATTATATTTATAATAACTTCTATATTTTCAGGAAAAGGACATGCAGAAATGGCTGTGACAAAACCTAAGGGTTCAGGAGCGGAAACTCCAACATCAGAACCGGGATACTCAGCAACAGATGCTCTTTGGGATGCAGATTGGGATGATGCTGAAGAATTATTTATGTATCGACACCAACGACGTCTTTCAGATCCAAGTTCTAATCTCAATAATTTCGTACGTGGTGGTTGGAGAACAAAGCCAGACTCAGCTGGAACAAAGGCTAGATCTGAGAATGAAGGACTTGATTCTATGGCAAATGGATTGAATGAAATTGAAGCTGGTGATGTTCGAGACGGTGAATATAATTTAATGAATCATTCAATTTTGGTTTATAACATTCAGTAAATAATAAGAGATATTTAAAACATTTATAATTATAATCATATCGTTTTTCTTGTAATCAAATAATTAGTTTTATTATCCTTATTGATTGATATTTTTCAAGTATTTAATAAGATTTTTTTTAATTTAAGTAATAAGAATAATAATCAAACTGCATGATTCCAATCCTTTGGGAGCGGAGAAGGCAGAAAAATACGAACGAGTGACGACTTTATATCGATATAATCCATTTAAATAACATCCGTAGTGATATGTTTATTCTCTCTTCTTCTCTCTCGATTATAATTCAATACCCTTTTGGCCCTGAGAAAAGTAGAAAATTAATAGAATCTTATACTCATACATTATCATCATTATTGATGGTTGAATAAAATTTACTGTGACAATATTTTGAATGTAATTAAGCCAAAAAAAGTTTAAGATTTATTAATTTATAGCTGAAAGACATCCTAGCAGCTGGGGCGGTCGGGTTGCATCCCCTGTACGTCACAAAGATAATCGTAGAAGTCCTCGGTCAAGACGAAGACAATCGTCTAGAGAACGAAGTGAGTCTAAGGATTCCATAGATACGCGATCTGAGAATGAAAATTGTTTATCACCGAGACGATTTATCGGTGAGTCGCGTTTATCTTCTTCCACAAAAAATTTTTTACATCAAAAAGAAGCTTAAAAAATAGAGAAAAATAATTAATTTACCAAACTGAGGATTATATCAATCAATAATTGATAATTTAGGAACTCCAAAACGTCGTCAACGGCATCAGTCTCTTCGTCATCATTATCATCATCATCATCATCACCATCATCATCACAATATTGAAGTTGGATCAGAATCATTATTAACAACAGCAGGAGAATTAACTGATGATAATGTAATGCAAAAACTAGATGCTGGTGCAATTCTAGTTCATGGAAAAGAAGAATTACCACTAGGTTATGGTAATAATGAAGATAATAGAAGAATATCCAGTTATCCAATGAATATTGAATCACGAAGAAATGGAGAAGCTTTAGATTTTCATGAAAATCCATTAGATTATCGACCAAAATCAAGACATCAACCACGACGATATTTTAGTGATGATGAAATTCTTGGAGTGATGAGTCGAAAGAATACTAGACCACTCAATGAAGATCATGTTAATCGAGTTGATAGTATTGAAAATATTCAAGATAATAATTGTTCACAATTTGGTCAAGAACCAGTGAAAGATAAAAATGCAAATGCTCGAATATCTAAATTAATCAATATGACGCACAAACAAAGTGCTACTCTTCCAAGACGACGTAGGAGACGTGCATTATCCGGAAGCTTGATTGGCAATCATCCTCTTCCACCACATCGAGTTACTCCTGATGGAACTGCTATCTACTACTGGTGCGAACTCCCGCGCCGCCCCGGCTCTCAGGGTAATTTGAATCCCCCGTAAATTACGTAAAAAATTATATCATGTCTGACCAATGGGCTACAATCCCTCTTCTTTTCTTCAGAGTGTCGTCACTCGTCCGGTTTTACACGATATTTATTTGATAAATAATTATTCGTATTTTTTATCAATCAAGTTCATATTTTTTAATATTTAATTTATTAATACATGCAAATATCAATAAATAATGTATTTTTAAGTTCTATAATAACGTTATATTAAATGCTCGATTATTTCTATGAAAAATACATGAGAAAAACTGAGCATTAAATATCTTATTTTATCCATTTTCAGTTTTTATTACTATTGATTATTTTATTTCTGTGATAAAAATTTTGATTGTCAATAAAATTATTCAAATTATGATTTTATAATGACAATTATTATTGTTATTATTATTTTATTAACATAATTTTCATTTAAATAATTGGATGATAAATAAATTTCTAAATTTTTCGTTTTTTTATATTTTGATGAAGGTTCTAAGGATACTAGCCTCGGTCAAAATAATTAATTTATTTTATTTAAACACCTAAAGTATTTATATATTAATTTTTTTTTCAATAGAACTGGACGATGGAGCTTATAATCCACTTTGGACAATGAGGGGATTTACCCAAACATTTCATTTTTGGAAGGAAACTAGGAGAGCGCAATCAATACCTTTGAATGCATTTTTAACATATATAACTTTGCCTTGGTGGAGTATTGCAAAAGGTAATTTAACTTTTATTACAATCAATTGTATTTTAATAATAATTTTAATTAAATATTCAGTCTATTAAAAATTTAAAAAAATTTTTCAGATATATTGGACCATCGAGAAGATCCAATTTTAACATTTTAGCTAATAGCTGGTCTCAGTATTTTCGTCTTTTTATTCAAAAATAATTTATCTCATATTTCGATTAATTTATGTAAAAAATACGGACACAATATAATTGACTTTATTTGTAAGAATTAACTATAGTTTCTATTTTTATTTCCCTCCCATGTTTGTGGTTAAATAGAAAGATAACATGTAAAGGTTTATAAAGTCAAGCAAACTTTTTTATAATTCAGTCTTCTTGTGAGTGTTCAAATTTTATATTGTAATAATTTAAACGATATAAAAATAAATAAACAATCATAATGAAGATAATCATTAACGTAATTGCTTATATCATTATTCACAATTTGTCGATTGTTTTAACACAAGATTATTTAGTTAACTCATCTGATGATTTTTATTCATATAAACGTAAGTTTAAATCATTAATCTGACTTTAATTATGATTTAAATTAAATAACTTCATTAATGATACTTGAATAGCTCGAATAGGTCGATACAAAGCAGCAGTAAAACCTTCAGGAGAAAATGTAACTCTGCCTAAATCATTTCCAAAATCAAAAAATTCATTTAAAAATATTATCCCACGTACACATAAAAGAGGAAAAATAGTGGGTAAGTTTGCATATATTTGATACTGAAAATAACTTTTTAATGAATATTTTATTATTAAAATGAAAGAATGTCGAGGAATGACAAAAAAGCTGCATAAAATGGGAAAAGAAGTAATATGCAAACCGAGAAAAACTTTAGTCAAATTAAATCCAGACCCAGGATACATTTATATTCCTGATGTAATCTTGATAGATAGATGTGATGGTCGTTGTGGACATGATAGCCAGTCTTGTATGCCTATTGAATCGACATCTAGCAAAGTCTTGGTTCAAAGAATGCAAATTGGTTCTTTCGATTCTCCTTGTTACGAGCTTGATGTTGAAAAACATACAAGATGCAAGTGAGTTCTTGTAACTTTGTCTGGTTTATATAAAGAAATAAGAATTTTTAAATAGTAAAAATCGATAAAGGATGTGGTTTTACATATTTCAATTATAATATTTTTTTTTCTTTTTTTATTTTATTTTGATCAACCGGATTTTCCTTAGATGTGGTTGTGATTTAACGCCAGATGATTGTAATTCTCGTCAAAGATTTAACGATGATGAATGTGTATGTGAATGCAACAATCTTTATGAACAATTGGACTGTACCTCGAAAGATGGTATGTACTGGAATCGAGAAACTTGTCGATGTTCTTGCTCAATAGAAGAAGAAACTTGTTCAGATGGATTGATGTGGATTCCTTCACTCTGCAGGTAAAAATAGAGGCAAAAAATCATTACAATATAGCATTTCATTTATTATCAATGTAATTGAATATAAATTGTTTTCTAGATGTGCTCAAGTCATGGTAGATGGCTAAATTGATTCAAGTATTGCAATATGATTTATTAATTACCATAACAATGTTTTATAAGTTCATGAATCTATTACTGGATAATCTCCAAAATTATTCCAAGTGTGATCCCATAGCATTGGATTAGCTCGAGGATCTGATTTAACTTTACGTGGAGGAACTGCTGTTTCATTCCATCTTCTTAATTCTTTTTTTAATTTCTCTAACATTTCACTATGTCTGAAAAAAATAATAATAAATCATACAAACAATTAATGTATTAATTCAATTAATTAAATTGTATTAAATAAAATATAAGTGTATTTGAAAACGAACAACTTACTCTACTGCAAGATTGTTAAATTCACATGGATCCTTTTGAATGTTAAAAAGACATGGTGCCATTTGTGGTCGACATTTAGCTAAGGTATTATTTTGTGCACCACAATTAATTCGAGTATCTTCTCGAAGTCTCTTAATTAACTCTGGAGTCAACGGAAATCCCAATTCTAAAACTGCTTGGCCAGTTAGACTTTTGATGACCTCATTGGCTTCATAAGGTAATTCCCAAGTAGAAAAACCGTACCATCCATTCCAGGAACCTTTATATGTTTCTCCTAATTTATAAACATTACATCATCAAATATTGTCAATTAAGTAATCAATAATACATTAAAAATAATTTATAAATGATGAATATCATTATGTTCAATTAGTACTATACTAAACCTTTCACTATTTTCCAATCATCCAAGGTGACAGCTGCAGCACCGTAAATATCATCAATATTATGGACAATGACACGTCGCGGTGATGATTCTCGGTTATTTAGTGCATTCCACATATCCAAACCATCAAGATTAGCAGGAAGAGAAGAATAATTACCTCCTGATGCAATTGTCATGAGTGTTGGTAGCCAATCTGTTATGTCCATTGGCTGTTTATAGACTCTTCCCGGTTGAGAAAGTTTTGAATACCATACTAAACCAGTCCCTCTTACACCACCTATTACAAGAGTATATTTATTAACATTTTTTCGAAAGATTTGAAAATTATTTTAATTAAAAAAAATATATAGATTTCTCACCTTCCCAATAAGTATTTTTAACTCCACGAAGAGGAAAGTTTGATGCAAAATTATCATTAAATCCAGCAGCTGGTCCACCATTATCCGTAGAGAATATAATAACCGAATCATTTAACATTGATTGTCTTCTCAAAGCATTAACAATTGCACCAACTGATTGATCAAGCTTCCCTAATATTGCTGCGAATCTTCTTCGTTTATAGTTTTTGATATGATTAAATTTCATCACTTCTTCATCTGATACTGGAAGAGGATTATATGGATTTGCAGAATGAACAGCACAATGTGCAATATATAAAAATAAAGGATCAGATGTATTGTGATTTTGAATTACTTTGATAGCTTCTTTAGTAAAAACATCTGTAGAATATTGACCATGAAGATCCCAAGCTGGTTCAAGATTTCTTCGCATGTCCATACCCCAGTAGGGCTATAAAAAATACAAACTAACTACATTAAAATATAATATTAAAGTTATTAAATCAATTATTTAATATAAATAATTATTTACCCATTCAACAGCTGTATGATCAAAGTAATCATGATGACCAGTCCAGTAACCAGTATGGCTTTCAAAGCCCCGATAAGTTGGGGTATATTTTTTTTTAAAATGACCTAAATGCCATTTTCCTACAATATGATTCCTGTAACCAAGATCTCGTAAATATTCAGGCAAGATTTTTTCATTTAATGATAATCCCCATGGCTCTGCGCCCATAATAACCTAGGATAAACACTTGACTTTATTCTTCTTCTTAATATAATGAGATTACATGATATAAAAGAAATATAATTTACTTACTCCATGCTGCATTCCAGTGTGAATTGGATACTTTCCAGTCATAAGAGCACTTCTTGAAGGTGAACATATTGGTGCAACGTAATATCTATTCAAAATTACCCCGGTATAAGCTAAAGCATCAATATTTGGCGTTTTTATGTCTCCTGATCCATGAAAACCTACATCATACCAGCCCTAATAAACATAATCATCATTATTATTAATCCATAAAAGAAATATTTCAAGTTTTTAAATCTAAACTTTGATCATCTTTTTATTTATTTACTTCATTTATTCTTAGTTTTAATTTTTATCTTATTATTTTTTTTTCTCATTCATTGGAGTATTTTATGATCGAAAGAGAACTAATTTTACAAAATATTTATCAACAAGTATTATCATCTATCGCAACAAACTAAATCAATAATTACTGATGCAATTGCTTACCAAGTCATCTGCAAGGATAAAAATGATGTGAGGTGATTTTGCCAAGGTTAGCTTATTCAGACCACACAAGAAGATGAAGCCGATACCAATCCACATTGTAAACTGATAATCCTACAAAAAACTAACCCAAATTCTTGACAACATTTAAGAAGGTTCTTTTTACCCAAAAAATTTTTCCCTCTTAATACGTAATTATTTTCATGAATGATTTATCAATTATTTTACTGACCATCACACGACTATTTCAGATGATATTTCCGGCTGCTGAGTCGGACGATTGACTCGCGTGACGTTGCTCGTCTACCAAGGGAGAAAGAAAATGAGACAGAAGTTGCGATGATGAACATTCAGAGTAAGCCACAATGACCAACTGGTGTTATGTAGTGGGAGCATACTCTTTAATTTCCTCTTTATTTTTTGCTTCTCCACTACATCGATCACATGTCATTGAACTCCTACCTGACTTCCTGACGTTTTCTTAACATTTTATCTTTCCAAAAATTTATAATATTTTTTTTCAACTATTGTTAAACTATATTTCCAACTTGTCATTTTATTTAACAAAGAATGGTAATTTTATACTATCGCGGTCCCCTCCCTCGTTATTTGGCTCTAGAAAATCGAAAAATCAACATTTTGGAGTGATTTTTTTTCTAAAATCTTCGTTTTACAGCGGATTTACGAAAAAAATTATGAAAATGAAAAAAAAATGAAGATTTATATTGGTTTCAGAGCTTTAAATGTTCATGTAAATGCACTTATTCACGTATAATTGTTGATAACTTTTTTACAAACAAACAATTCTCTTTTTTACTCTTATTCTTGTGTCAATTATTTAAAACAAAAAAAAAAAACTGTTCACATTTTTATATTGCCATTATTTATCATAAATAATAAAACTCTTTCAAACATTCCATTATTGATTAATAAAAATATTTATTAAATCATTAGAAATATTTTTTTTTTAAATACTTATCAATGAATTTAACTTTTTATTTTTTTAACTGCATAAACATTGACACTTTTAAATGTAATCAATGTTTTTTTAAATATTTTAATTTATCAAGATTCGTTGAATAATAATATATTATAGATGAAATATATTACATAAATTCCATTGATAATAAAATGAATGTCTTATCATGAACTTCCACCCGGAGTAGGTAAAAATGTATTACATGTGATTTTAAAGAAATATTTAACATAAAATAAATGATAAAGATGGTCCGATTTTTGTTTGTACATTAAATAAGTATTATATATATTAAACTTTTTTCTAGTATAATTATTGATTGTGATAAAAAATAAAATGCATACTTGTGAATGTATGTGTATATGTAAAGAATGACCTAGGAAATCTTTCTGATGACACAATCAGTATTTTTGGTGCTACACGTTACCGTGCATTTTGCAATGAAATTAGTATGACTGTTTTATTGAATTCCCTTGAGGTTTTCTACCATTCATCCTCAATTATCATTTATTATATGATTATAGCATGTCGTTAATGATTTACCTTTAACCTGTTAAATAAATATAATAAATACCTTTTTAAAAAAATCATGTAATAATAAATATTATAGAGAAGCTTTATAAAAATGGCTTGTTTGTGGTTTTATTGGAGGTAATTGAAAACACGTTGGCCAATATTCTAGACTCTCGCGAGAGTGGACAATCCGATGATGATGATGATGATGAAGACCCGGAGGTCGATTGTATGCCAAAGAGAAAAGTTGGACCGCCCGCGAAGGAGGAAGAGGCTTCTCTTTTACTCCCTATGCTTATTTTTTTTTTTTCTTCTTCTTTTTTTCTTTATATTCTCATCGTCAGTTAATATAAAGGAAGAAGCAAAATTGAGAGACGATTGAAGCGCTTAGTCGCTTCTACGATGAATCTAAAGTCTTTCTCTTCATCAATTCTGTCCCACCTCTTTTCTTTATAGTTGTTATTTCTCTCTTCATATGTGAATTATCGTTTTTTTCGTATTATAATTACTGTAAGACTGGAAAAAAGAATAAATAAAATAAAAGATATTCCTTCGACAACAGGAACCGACACGGCTCGTTAACGAACAAATTAAACCATCAGTAAAAGTTATTTTTAACGGTGCCACATGGATAAAACTTTGTAGTAATTTTTACTAGTTAATTTACGGTAAAAATTACTAGAAACAAATACTTAAAAATTACTAGGTTTTTTTTTTTTTGGTAAAAATAGCTAGAAAAATTTAGTAAAAATTATTTTTGTTGGTAAAAATTACTGGGAAAAAAATATTAAAAATTCTTATTTCGGTAATTTTATAGTAATTTTTACTAGTAAAAAAAAAAATTAAAAATTACCAAAATTTTTTTGCTATTTTTAATAAAAGAAAATTTATAATTTTTAATTTTTTGCTGGTAATTATTACCGTAAATTGACTAGTAAAAATTACTGTAAAAAATTTTATCCGTGTAAAGGTCTAGTATTTACCACTGGGAGTTTTATAATTACCTTAATTATATTATAAATGATTATTATTATTATTTAAAATAATCTAAAAGTATTAAATCTTATTTTTCAATGAATAAAATATAATTTTAAATTCATAATTATTTCACTATAAATATGATTATTCACTTTTTAACTCTGACCCATGGACTACGAAATCATGTCTAATTTATTAGACAGAATGGAATTGTATACATATATTGTTACGAAATAAGTAGTTATTTGAGTAGTATATTATATAGAGCATCAGACAAGAATGGAGAGATGAGCTTATAAGTTTATTTCACCAATAGAGTAGCAATTACTCGCCTCGATTATTCTTCTCTCTTCTCCTCCGATTATTTATCTCTCACTAACGAGTGATAACAACACAAGTATCTTAAATTTCCGGAGTATTTTATTTACGTCCGTAACATTATCATATTTTTACTCCTAATTTATGTTTACAATTTTTTTAATTACACTTTTTCGTCAACTTACTGGCACATTAGGGTTGACTTTTTTTTATTACTTCTTGCGAAAATATATTATCAAAAAAGTTTACTTCAAGTTTTAATTCAATAAAAAAAAAAAAAAACACTAGAATTTTTTTTTCTCCTCTTCTTTCTTCTAAACACAAAAAAGGATTCTTTGATACAATTTATTTTAATACCAAAATAAAATTAGTTGAGATTGAAAAACCATTTTTAGATTTACTCAAATATCAAATTGAAAAAAAATTATTTTTAAATACATCCAAAAATAAGTTGGAAATTTTCTGGAAAAAAAAAAAAACAAATTTATTTTAAAAAAAAACATATTTAAGAATAAAAATAATGTTATTTATATAAGACTAATTACCGGATGCATTTTATTAAACATATCGGTGCATTTTTAATTATAAATAGTATCCACATATGATAAGAAAAATTTTAAAATAGAATTTTTTTAATATCTCATTTCAACTATTAAACAGATTATTTATATTCAATGATAATTAAATGTGTCCAATCGACACAAAACTTTTTTTACAAGCGTTATACTTATAGGCGTCCTGTCACGTGGTCAAGATAAGAGATACTGAAGGAAGAAATAAATCTTTCTCAACAGCCTCTCCCAAGTCTTGGTTTAAAAATCTCACCTAAAATACATACACACACATATATACATAAATTTACCACTCAATTTCAAGATGTATCCACATTTTTTTCTCCCATTTCAGGTAATTGCACTATTATTATTATTCACTTCCGGCAATGTAATAAAATTGCATTGGTAAAAACCATGACAAGCTGGAAAAAAAAATTTTCTATTATTTATCCTATATTATTAAATTAATTTAATTTTTAATGAATATAAAGTAAATAAATAAATAAGTGATCGTGATAGGAAATATAAATAGTAGTTTGCAATTCCAAAGTATTTATTCTGAATTACGTAAATAATTATATCATATTATTGATATTAATCACTAGGAAATAACCTGAAAATGAAATTAAACAATTATTAATGAAGAGAGTAAATAAATCACACGATGAGAAAAACACTTAGTCATCGTACTGCATAACTATATCAGTTATAATCTACTGCTTGTGATGGCCAATCTTCATCGTCAATTATATTATTAAATGTTGTAATATTATACAACACATTGGATCAATAAAGAGATAATGATTATTAATTTTTAGTTAACATTAAATGATAATATAAATCAATTATATATCTATACAATAAATTTGATAAATATTTTTAAATAAATTAATTTAAAAACAAACCTTTTTTTTGTCTTATATTTTAAAAATATTATTGTCAACATATAGATTAACGTAAAAACTATACTTTTATCAAAGTTCAAAATGGTATAAAAAGATAGTTTAATTAAGCTTGGTCGACTTTGTACTAGATTATTACAGAACTAAATAATGATGTAAAATAATAATTAATCATATGAAAAATATATTTGAAAGGAAATAATTGGAAGTTTTTAGATTGAAATAATATATTAGCCAAATTGAACTACTTTTTCAAGGAGACAAGGGATAGTGAATCATCAAAGCTTGCGTCAAGTTTTACTGTGTACGTGTTGTTAATTTCTAAGAACACCTTTCAAGGTAAATTGATATTCACCTACTGGAATTTCTCAGCTTTTGTATGTCACTACCCCATGATAGCCAAGTCATTTGCACAATAAAAAAGTGACATAAAAACGTATCAAGAAATGCAATTTATTATAGTGATACTTAAATATATATATATATATTTCTTATTCTCTTTTCTAACTCATTGCGCAATATCAGTCAGTTATTTAATGTTAGACAACTTGTACAATATTTTAAAAGTGTATGTTAAGAATGAAATAATATTATCAATTGTACTAGTGTGTATAGATGTAGTAGGGTTATTGTCAATTTAAAAGATCACTTGTGTGTTTGCAACGACGCCTGCGGTTCATTAACGATGCTTCCATGAAAATAACTTCATGTTAAAAGAGAATCCACGAGATTGATGACTAATCAGTAAGTTGGTCACGGTGATCATAGAACATGACAGTTAAGTATAATTTAACCACTATCCTGACTACCTGTTGGTTGATTTGTAACACGCACCGGTATCCTGCGTAATTAATAGTTAATGTCACATCAACATCACTTTATGATGTTATTGTGATAAAAATAATCATTTTAAATTATCAATAAATTTCGTTTTATTATAATAACAAACATTATGATTTAATAAAAGTTGATAAATGATAAAAATTAGAATAGATGTCATTGACAGGATATTATTATTTAAAAAAAAAAATATTTAATTAAATCATAATATTAATTTAATAAAAAATATAATTAATTAAATATTTTTTATATTTAATTATACAATATTTGGGGGAATAATTATATTTAAATATATTTTCAAAATAAAATATATTTTATTTTAAGAATATATTAATGTATATTAAAATATAATTATTCAATTAAATCTTGCATAATTGAATATAAAAAAATATGTTATTATATTTAATTATATTTTAATATATTTTTAATCTGAAATATTTTGTATTTTAAAAATATATTTATATATGTATCAAAAGAATTTAATTATTTGGCCCAATCTTGTATAATTAAATATAAAAAAATATGTCATTATATATTAAATATATTTAATTATATTTTAATATATTTTTAATCTAAAATTTTTTGTATTTTAAAAATATATTTATATATATCAAAAGAATTTAATTATATGAGCAAATCTTGTATAATTAAATATAAAAAAAGTTTAATTATATAATTGGCAATATAAATATATTTAATTATATTTTAATATATTTTTGAAATGAAATATATTTTTTGTTGATACTTGGAATGAAATGAAGTGTATTAAATATGACATAGTATTGACATCGCGATTCTGAAAATTCATTCTAGTTTATTGAGATAATTTAAATGAAGCAAATGAAATTAAAAACAATAATATTTTTACCTGGTAACTAGTCACTCTTTCTGAACGGTTCTGTGAAACTTGTGATCGATAATGTCCCGGAAAGGTATGAAATCATCACGTTTCTCGCACTTGGCCGCATATAACCCCGTTTTTTTTTTTTTTATATTTTTCCCACTACACATCTATGTATATATCTTTCATATGTGTGTTTATTTTACTCCTTTTATATTTTGTATTATTGATTATATGCTTCATTACCTTTTATTTACTTGACGTTTTTCAAATTTTATTACACAATATTTAGAAATTTTTACAATCAAATTTCTCTCATTTATTATTTATTATTTAATAAATAAATTTAATGAAAGTTTAAAAAAACAATCAAAAGTAATATTTAATATTTATGAATAATTTAATTATTTTATAGATATTTAAATATTCATGTTAAACAAATATTATCCCATCATTTATGAGCTTTTTTTTTTTTTTTTTAATAACAAAATTTTAATGAATTCTTTAAAAATTAACTGATTAAGAGAAATGGAGATTTTTAATGAATGAATAATTATTTAAAAATAATATTTTCTTTCTTGGAAGGATTTTTCTTCTTAATGACTTAAAGCTTTTCCAAATAACAAATAAATTTTTGACGAAATCGAATCGATGATAAGTTGAAATATGGGTTGTGGTGATAAAAAAGAAATTCTTCACCTTTTAAGAGTCACTGGGACATCCCCTTAAAGTGATCGACACACATAACAATAAATCGTTACTATTATCACAAAGGTAAATCACTAATTGAAGCCAATGTTATACAAGGGTGTATGGGACAATCAAGAGTATTGAGTCAGTGTTGGACTTCCCCTGTGTAATAGAAAGAAGACGGAGTAAATAAGAATGGTAATAAGTGAGAAAAAGAGAGAAAAAGTGACTGGGTGGGATACCGGCGGGGGTAAAGAAGTGCCTCGTGCCTACACTCAGTGGCAGGAGCGGGAGTAACGACGTATTATAAAGACGACCAAGCATACATGCCCTCAAACAGTCGCCACGCGGCAGTCGTATAAGACGTAAACTCAGAAATAAATAAATAAATAAAACAACATTATCATTACGAAAGTTAAGTCTGTGTAATTTAAAGTGATTACTTTTTATCAACATGTATTTCTTTGGATTTATTCGACAGCGCGCGCATTTCGCGCCACTATTTAAATGCAAGTGATTATTATTATTATTTATGTCATTATTTTTATCTTAAATACCTATTGTGAATAACATTTGAATGTTTTAATCTAACCCACTGTCAGTGAATTAAAATAATAATCATTTTAAATAGAAATAAATATTTAAGGTGAAAGAAGTAATTACTTAAAAGTGTTTTTATTGTTAAAATAAATGAATGAATAATTAAATAAAATTAAAAATAAATATTTTCTGCATTACTTCAGTTAATGGACAAGATAATCCATTTGACGGTGCGGATTTATCCCGACAAAAGTCGTCAATAGCAAGAGAAGATGTTGTGTTGAAAATGATAAAAGTAATGAGATATTAATTAAAATAAAAAAGGAAGAAAATAAGGATAACAGGCGATTAAAATAGCCTCACGCTCGTGCTTACTGGCTATGGGCGAGAATCTAATCTCAGCAGGTAATCGAGACAACGACGAAGAGCTCGAAAAGAAGACACGTGAAAAAAGTATAGGTTCATCATCTTTACGTCTCTTGATATTCATCCCTACGTGGCGTGGGTTTGTAAATCAACGTGCAAGGGTTTCAAGTCTCGTCACTGGCTTTACTCTTGTTAGTCTCCTCGTCTTTAGTCTCTTCAGGCCATCTTTGGCAGTTCCTAGGAGAATGCAACAACACCAACATCATCACCACCATCATCATCATCATCATCATTATCAAGTCAAGCCCCTTGAGACTCATGAGGGAAACAACGACAATGCGTTGCTTCATGACGATGAGCTTGAGACCATAAGAAAAAGTATCGTGGAGGGTCTTGGTCTCGAGAGGATACCCGATCCTTCAAAGGTATTTCTCACACCAACCTTATACGTGCTTTCACCCTTTTTCTCGTATCATACATCATACATGCTACTAAAATTCTAAATAAAAATACCATCACTCAACATTAGTAGGGTTTCAGAAGTTATGGTGGTCTCTATAAGACAATAGTTTTATATATACATATTTTTTTTTAATTTAAAGTCATTAAATAACGTCATTTATAATCAATTAAGTGATATACAAAATTAAATAGTTACTTTTATTAGAGATAAGTTGAATTTTAATACTTAGAGAACATTTCATCTCTTACGTTTTCTGCAACAGGTGTTTTATAAAAAAAAAAAAAACAGTTGATCCACACATGGAGAAAAAATTATAGTCATTTTTACTCGTCAATTTACCGTAAAAATTACTCACAAAAAAAATTAAAAATTGCTCGATTTTTTACAATGGAAATAGTTTAGAAAAAAAACCTAGTAATTTTAATTTGTTTTTGCTGGTAATTTTTACCGTTAATTGACTAGTAAAAATTACCGTAAAATTACTGAAATAGGAATTTATACTATTTTTTGGCAATTTTTACTTGAATACCTAATAATTTTTATTTTTTTTTACTGTAAATTTACCTATGAAAATTACCGTAATAATTTCCTTCGTGTAGGTAAATTAATTTTCTGTGTAATTTATAAACACGAGCTTTCCTGGTTCAAGTAAAAAGTGGTCCTTACATATGAGGAAGATTGAAACAGAAATAAAAAATGGAGAAACAGGAAAGTTTCAGAGAATCAAAAGTATATTACGAAATATAAAATAATAATAATAATGATAATATTGAATGACTTTGTAAGAGATTTAATTTGAAGATGATTAAAGAGGTGATCTAGTGACACTTATTATAGCCAAGCGGTATATCAAAGGCGTCCAAATTCTCCAAAACTGTGATTTAAATCTTCAAGATTAAACTCAAGTATGTCTCAGAGTCTTAAGTGAGTCTTAAGTGAGTTTAAACAAACGCCAGGTGGAATGAGAAATGCGAGAAAGGCGTCGCGACGCACAGCAAATGGCTTTTTTTTTCATCTTTATTCCTTCTTATGTTTCTTTTGAGGTTTCTTATACTTAAACCAAAAATGAAAATGACTCATTTTAGCTGTCTCAGGGACCACCATGAGTGCTTTATACCTTTACGACTTGCAGGTTCATTTCCTTCAGCAAAAAAAAAAAAAAATCTCTCATAAGAGTGGTTCACGAATTACCATTAAAATATATGCCAGTTCTTTCATCAAAGACAGATACGCCCATCGATTTAACTGCAAATGCCGCTATTTGCCTCTAGCTATTTTAATAGTTAAAATGCAATAAATCTTATACCAAATTTTTCAATAGCCTCATCAAAAATTTTAGATTTCGATAGAAAATATTTTTATCAATTTTTGATTTATTTTCATTATTATTCTGTTTATTTCAAAAACAAACAATATTTCAACATTTAATGACACATTAAAATTTTTTGTTTTTTTTAAAATTATTATTTATGAATAATAAGTTGAAAATAAAATTAAATAAATTTTTTTTTTTTTTTTTTTTTTTTTTATTAATAAATAAATTGTTAATTAATAATAACATAGTTGGATACTAAAATAATTATTTATGAATGATTTGATTTTGTTGTTTATTTTTTAATAATCAATTAATGAAAATTAAAATGAATACAAAAATGTAATTTTATGACCCAACTAAATGAGATAATATCAGAGTCAACAAGCAGGTCAATCGCAATCAAATATTCCGCATTCAGAAAAATCAATTATGAAAGCTAAATTCAATCGGTAAATCTTTTTATAAATCACCCGAGGGTCCAACTTGATTAGTTTGGCCTGGACTCTGGGTCAACGTCTTTACGTCAACAATTTAACGTCTTCATCATCCCTATAATTATCATTATCATTATTCATTCTTCACTTTCATTTTTATTGTACTTAATGTATTCATTACTCTCACAATTTTTCTGTTTCATCATATATTTAGTAATTAACAAGATGTCTCGTCTACCATTTATTCTTAGAGTTTTTTTTTTCTTTTTTGTTTCTCTCTTTCTCGACATTAAATGTATTTATTTCATGTGTCTTAGGCAAACGTGAGTCAGGCAGAGTATGAAAGAGCCCACCATGAGTACATGAACAGACTACAAATGTCGAGAGCACCTGAAGATCGAAGACAAAAAAGACTTTATACATTTTATGCTTCAGGTACTTATTTATGGATTAAATGATATTTTACATAGTTGGTGTTTTAAATAACACTGTCATGACTAGACCATTTACATCTTGAATATTTCATTAAAACAATAGTATTTATTTCAAATAAAAATTAACTTATTAATATCATTTATTTTCATTTGTATTAAATTTAGTATCATAACGTAACCTACCTTATATTTTATAAAATATATTCAAATACATTAAAATATATTTGTTTAGTCAAATCTTGTATAATTAAATATAAAAAAATATTTAATTATATTTCTATACATTTTATTATACAAGATTTGACCAAATAATTATATTTTAAATATATTTTATACAATTTTTAAAAAAATATATCTATATTTGTTTACATATAGGGACCAATTAATTTCAACTTTTAACAATTTACTTTTAACTATAATTAATAAATAAATTAAAAACAAAATTTCACTTTTAATTTCATACGACATTGATTTCATGGACTGTTGAGTAATTTGTTTGGGTTTATCTTTAATTAATGTCATCTACAAATATAATGAATTAAAAGTATCGATTACAAGGAAAAAAAAAAAAAATAATTAATTGATCAATGCATTAAAAATAACAAATTTCTTCAGTTTTGAGCTAAAGAAAAGACTTTTTTAACTATCCTGGCAATATTTATATGTGGAGGCGAGTAAATTATAATGTCGTGCATCCGGTTTATTGTCGTTGATCTCCGGATATTCTGTGTACCATTCCAAATGATGTACCAGAAGATTCAGACTCGCGGGGTCAAGCGTTGGGGCCTGTTTCCGGTGCCCGTTTTCTCAACCATGTTTATAATCGAACGAAGTCTCGCGACCTCAATTTCTTTCAACAATTTTCCGCGTCTTATCAAAGTTTTTATATTGTCTTCTATTTTACCTCTGCTTTTTGCTATTTATAACTTTTCACAAGATTATCATTATTACTCTTTCAAATATTAATTTATAAAAATATATACTTAAAATTATTTCATTTTTTTCAAATATTTTATTGAATGCAAATAGTTTATTTAAAAATTCAAGATAACGAAAAATAAAAAATCATAGATCGTTACTTTAATTAAATTAATGTTAATAATTAGTATGTGAGTACGTTAATAAATATTGCGGTATTTATGTTACGACATAGACATTCCGTTAAGCATAACGATGATGGAATGTTGAACGACAGGTTTACAAATGCAATAAGAAGAAATGGAAGACGATTTGTCATACGTCCGGTGAGATATTTTATCATCTTTTCAAGTCAATTTGAAATTATTTGCTCGGTTTGTAAGAGAGCAAGGACGCCGAAATATTAGTGTGTCATATTGTCACTATTTCAACTTCCGGCATCGTTAAAATAATATACTGACAACTGTTATTTTATTTATTTATAACAGTACCTGTTATTTTATAACATTTCTTTGAAGTACAATAAAAAGGCAAAACAAACGAAATAAAAAAAATAAAAGATATATTAAAAGGTATATTAGAATTGACTTAAAAACAAGGTAATATTTGAGTACAAATCTTATCCCACGCGGCGCTTAACGTCAAATGCGTGGGAAGGCGCCACCAGTTGGCGTCTATTTTTAATCGAATACCATGTGATAAAAGTTTCTAGTACCAAGCTCAAACTATTTGATTTGTATCAAAGACGATTTCGCTTACAGATAACTTAAAGCTCCTCATCAATACTCCCCCGTAATCTCATTCCATGAGACGCGAATCATCGTTATTCCTTAGCCGAATGTAAATATTGCAAATTCCCAGAATTTCAATCCCACGCGTTACTTTCTGATATTAAACATTTTCTAATTCAATAGCTATTTTATATTCTCGATATTTTAAACATGTTGTAAATATTATTTTATTTTATCTTTCTTTTACAGAGCAAACTTCAATTTCAACAGGACAAGAAATCTTTCAAAATGACCGTCAAATAACCTACAAGTTTTTCTTTCCAATTGACATTTCTGAACAACATTCAATTGTTGATTACGCTAATCTAAGGCTTCTTGTGGGTTCAAATGATTATCAAGATTTAGTTGGTATCACTGTTTATCAACTCACCAATTCTTCCAGACAACTTGTCACGCAGGAATACATTCGAAGACTTGATTCTCCTCGATGGATTGAATTAGATATTACCGACATGGTTACATTGTGGCATGAAGGTTCTGCTGATAACCTAGGCCTTGAATTACAATTAAACAGTAATATTATCTTTTCAAATCCAATATTAAATATTTTTACTACATTAGAATCTCGAGAATTTCGAAAAAGAAGATCAGCTTCTGATCATTTAATGTCTCTTCATAAAGGACGACGTACTGAATGTCGTGGTGATAACAAAAAATGTTGTAGACATGAGATGACTGTTATATTTAAAGACCTCAAGGGTTTTGAGTTTATTGTTCAGCCAAAAAATTTTGATGCTGGTTATTGTAAAGGACGATGTCCACCACGGTATAATCCTGCTCATCATCATGCATTACTTCAAAGTCTCATTTGGAAAGAAGATAAACGTAAAGTACCAAGACCATGTTGTGCTCCAAGTAAATTAGCTGAATTGGAAATACTTTATTTTGATGAGAATGATCCAACAAAATTAAAAGTATCAAGTTGGAAAAATATGAGGGTATTGGAATGTGCGTGTTCATAAGGAATTAGAATAAAAAATTTTTTCATTTTATTATTTACTTTACCAAAGATTTTGTATGTAGGTAAACCAAGTCCAACCTTTTTTCTTTGTATCAATATAATTGTTTCTTTTTTTAAGTTTCTCATGACTGTGATATTAAATATGGAACTTGAACCTTCCACATGTAATTTTCATCTATTATTATTTTTATTATTCATAAATTTACTAAACTATTATTAATCATTACACTGACTTGTATTAATTAATTAAATGGTTGTAAAGCACATTATTACTCTCTCATATGTTTAGAAATAAGTAACTAACACATTAGCGTATAATGACAGGCAATGGTGCAACATTTGATGTACAATATTTGAAGTTGTTTTCTTTTTTATTTATAAAAGCATTACAAAAATAGTTGAAATTTTTTGTCATGCAGATTGCGATTATTGTAATTATTTATATAATTTTAATATAACTTATTACTATGTTGACCATTTGTTTTATAAATGCATATGCAGAGAGTTAGGTAGATAGAGAGAAAGAGAGAGAGAGCAGAGAAGAAGGGAAATTGATATATTTAACATTCTAAATCATTTGTTCATGTATAATATCACATGTGTATTTATTATTATTATTATTTATTGATGATGTATGTTTATACTGATGTTGTACGTTTTTAAGTAAAATTGTAAAATTTTGTTTCGATAATATTTGTATGTAGGAAAATATTAGAATTGTTGCGTTTTTATACTATCATTATTATGATTATGATTATTATTATTATTATCGTTATGATTAGGATGTTAAAATAAAAGAGGTGTCAATAATTTTGAAAAGTCAATTATATGAGTTAATGAACATATCATTTTTTGTTCAATTTATTATTAAATTTTGTAAATTAAAAAGATGATTTTTGTTTTGAATAATCAGTTGTTTAATTTAAGAATCTCATATTTGAGGATGGTAAATTTAGAGTTTGACTGAAATTTCGATCTCGTTTATTTACTTTCCTACCAACTTTATATCATCTGAGGTTGTATAGTGTTTTATTATTATTTTAATTCCTTGAATTAATTGATATTTATATTTAAAACCTCGTAATTATTTGTAAAGCAAGACTTATCAACATTATATGCCTCATTAATAATAACTATTACTTTTTTCTAATAAAATTCATTTTATAATGAAATTGAATTTATTATTCCTTCAATTATGCTGCAGATTGGTAATTTGACCGTAATAATTACTCAATTTTATTTAAATGTATCATTTATAAATGGAAAAATTTTAGACTTGTTTTATTATTAAATGTATGATAAATAAACATATTTATTCTTAAATATTTGTTATATAATTGATAAAAAATATAAATAATATTATGTTCGCTTGAAAGATTATTTTTTTTTCATCGTTTTTTGTGATAAAGAAAATAATAAACAGTGTTAATTACAGTAAATAATATAAATCACTGTAGTAATTTTATTTGCCAACCACTAAAGATGATTAAACATTTTACTTTACCAACAATCAGTAAAATATTCAAACAAATTATCCATTAAGCATCAACTATTACCATCAGATTAATAGCCAATTTAAATTTCAAAAAAATAATTTTGTTCATATGTTGCTCCAAAAATGCTAAATTTGAATTTTCTCACATTCATCCGCTTCAGATAAATATAAATAAGAGGTAAATCAAGACAAGGATAGAAAATAGTCTGTTTCGATCCTGCATTGGATTGCCATTCACTGTCTGACATTAAATTTCCTGACGAATTTTCTACTTATTTATAATACTTTTAAAAGAAATATTTATCACAAAGTATTTTTGAAAAATAATAAAAAACTATCTGTAAGTGATTTTTTTTATTATTTTCGTGATCGATAAAAAATATTATCCTATGATAATAAAATAGATAGAATTGAAGTATTTCAATTATTCCAAGCAACAATTTTAAAATTAAATCATCAAATTACTCAATTTAACGAAAAAAAATTTTTGCAGGTACCCGCAGCAAAAAAATTTCACTTTAGATAAGTCATACAGAATTTAATTATTTTTATTCCAAACAGTTACCAAGATTACATTTATTTTTCGTGAAAGAATGACTTGATAATAATAAGTTAAAGACAACTTTGAAAAAGTCTCAAGATCGATTCCATCCATATTTACGGAGATGCTTGAAGGAACCAAACGAGTTTGTGCTCACACGAAATAATCTACCAAGTCTCTCAACCTTTTGAACTCCTAACGTTATCCCTTTTTCTGCTTTTCTTTTTCGTTTGTTCAAAGAACTACCCCGTCGCCAAAGGGCTATCAAGTACGATCGAAAAGATTCTTGACTCTTAGAAATTGATTGACAATCAAGATAATCATTATTTATTTATTCATAACAAAACCTTATTACCTTGTTTTTTTAACAATATATTTTCATGTTAACCAACTTGATAGACTAAATTATGTATAATTTCATTTGCAATCACATTATGCATATCGACTAATAAATATTTCCGGTTTTTGTAGGAAATTGTAAATTTTAATAAATTAGTTTACTTTGACATTTGTTTTTAGACATCAACCTGTTATCCGTTTCATAATTAACAATTATCACTAGTTCCATTCTAACTGTCAAGAGATATTCAAATAATAATATAAATTATTTTATTCAATTACCATAAGTAATAAATAAAAAATCCAGATTCAAACAAATTCAAACAAAACATGAAAATATTATAATTAAAATTATTAATCAAGATGAAATATTTTTTTGAATAATTTATAATTAAGTCCTCCAGATTGTCAATAAAATTTTGAAAGAAATCAATCATTATAGTGATGCCAAAGAGTGATGGAAAAAAAAAGAATTGATTTAAAATAAATGTGTATCATTCTCCTACCAGCATTTTTTATATTCTAAACATTGTATGCTACATAATATTTAACGTTTATTGATAATTCAAAGTCTCATCTGACTAAATAATACACAACCTGTTTTAACAATTAGTTTATGTATGTGTAATATCTTATCGGCAACGCTCACACACACACACTCATTCATTTATATAATGCTGAAGCGCAAAAAATTGTGTTCATTTGAGTATTGTTTTTGTGGCAAAAAGAAAAGTACTGATAAATAACAATGAAGTGTTGGATTTTTTTAATAACTATTTCATTCATTAGTCTTTGTTACTCTTCTGGTAAGTAAGATAATATTATCACTTATTAAATAATAAAAAAAAAAAATAATAAATTAATAAAAATTTAAATATTAATTGCAGCTATTGAAAATGAAGCATGTCCTCCAGAAAATTGTGTAACTTCTGATAAATGTGATTATAAAATGAATACTCCTCTAGAATGTGGTCCTTCTAGAATTTGTTGTTCAGTTTGTAAGTAAATGATAATTAACATTGGAATATTTTTGTTTTGAATCATCCACGAACGAGTTAACTTTGTTAGATATATCATTTGTAACTGCACTCAAATATATAATTAAAACTTTTTCCAGTAAAAGCAGAATCGAGAACTCATTGTAGACACCATGGAGGTGAATGTATGTCGAGTTGCAATCCTCAACTGATAAGAGATGTTATTGATTGTCAAGCTGGAACTCATTGTTGTGTATTGGTTTAATAAAAACATTCTTGAAAGAAGCATCAATAAAATATGATAAGCAATTAAATAAAAGACATAAACGGTATCAAAAGAAAACATTACTGAATGTCAATTTTGAATACTCATAGTGAGAAAGAATAATATAATATTAAATAAAAATTTTGCAATAGAAATTAGCCAACTTGTAATTAGCTAAATTCTAATAAAAACATGTAACTTAAATAATGTTAATTATATTCATTACATGCTTATATGAACTTTTGTATTTTCCATAGATCATATGAGGAGTGTCTGTTCAAAAGGTCTCATTTCCATGATAAACAAATTTTACAGGAAATAATAAACAATATTTAAATTATTTAATAAAATATAATAATAATTGTTATGATTGTATTCAACACAAATTAGGCTAATTGATGTACATGTACATTTTATTAAAATCATTGTATAGACGTTATATTTTATTAATTTTAAAAAATAAAAATGTATTCCTTTCTACAGGGGAATAGGACCTTTTGAACAGACACTATGCTAAATACAGACTACAATCAACACACCTTACTTCACTTTCAACCTTGCACTCTTTAAAAAGATAAACCAAATATCACTTTATTCACATTAAAATACTCGCAAATTTTTTCATCAATTGCTTCACTCAGGAGAGTGTTAACTGACTTATTTAACGTATCTTCTCTCATACCCTTACATTATTATTCAATATAATCTATAATGTCACTACTAACATGTAACCCAAATATTTTTTGCACATGTAGAAAATATGTAATAAATAATAAAAAATGTCACTGTAGAATAATTTCTTTGCATGACTTTTTATGATAGAAATTGGAAGCTATTAAATGTTATAAAAAAAAGAGAAAAATAAAAAGATGATGATGAAGAAGAAGAAACAGAGAAAAGAATATGACCTGGGGCAATGCAGGCAGACGCGAGGTAGAGCCATTTGAGTAGCCTAGAGCGAAGCAGGAATAATGCTGTGCTCAGAAGGATGCCATAGAGAGAAATGTAGCTAGAGAGGCTCGAGGATCAAGTGGGAAAGAAAACGCCGGAGGATAGGGACGAGGTTGGTCGCTGCGGGTACGGAAACGGCCGGAGATATCGCGCGGGTTCAGATTTACTTGGCAAGGGGTATGCGGGTTTAGGGGTTGTCATTGCTCCAGGGAATCCAGATGCGAAGAGTGGAAAGATATAGAGGAGAAAAGGGGAGAGATACGGTGCCTGGGACATGAACGAGACAATGCTGTGCCTGGCGCCGCCAGCTAACAGCCGACCAAGGCCCTCTTCGACGCTCACAGAGTCAGTAACGATGCCCTAAGGCCGACTAAACCGTCGTGGAGAACGATAAGCACCAAATGAAATATTAATGAACGCACCGACCACTCCAAAGTATTGAGATCATTCCACACTAGACCCCTGAGATGTATACATTTTGCTTCAAATCAAATTGTCATTTACATTTCATCAACAATACATCTATAACAACACGAAAAGAATATTATCCTTTTTTTCTCTACAGATTCAAACAAAATTTTACTATGAGATGTAATAATGTTGGACCAGTTCGTACTTGTACATGAAGAGAATTTTTTCACTAAATCTAAGTGCAAAAAGTGGCAAGCCCACTTTTCAAAATTTATAAGTAAAAATATCTCTGTTCAACAGTGAATTTTGGGTTGTCGTAAATAAACTTGAGACTTAAAAGGTGTCTTAGTAAAAAAATTACTTACGACAACCCAAATATTAATGATTTAATGAAAAACTTCTCTTCGTGTAATACTTTATACTGTGGCCCATAGTAAAAACTCTCAAGGAAAAATTTCCCATTGACCTGAACTTGAAAATATTATAAACCACAATAAAAAGTCTTACAATAATTTGTATTAACTTATTAACCTAGTGAGGTCTCTTTCATTTTGGAGTCACAATTATTTTCTCCAACTCCCTCACTTTCTTCCTGTTATTCTTCAAAGTCTATAAGTTATCATTAATAACTTATTAATTATCAACAATTCTATGCAGCCATATTTAATTTAAATAATTTTTTTTTAATTAACAAACAAATATTTAATCCACGTACCAAACATTGTTAAGAAAAATAAAAATGCATGAAGAAAAGTATGTTAGGACTTTTTACTATGATTGATAGCATTTTTAATCTCAAGTTAATGGGGAATTTTTTTTCTTCTGTCTTATACAACAAACCCGTAACAGAATTTACTATTACAAATCCATAATAATTTTTCTGTGCATTTTGTTAATTCGATCTATTTTAAATTTCATTTGATTCTCACTCGCAAATATAACGAGAAAATTCTTGAAGATAACCTTTGTGATATTTTGTAAATATTTATGATAATACGTTACTGTGGTGTGCTTTTTTCTCTACCGCCTTCTCTTAAGCTTTCTCTGGTGTTTCTCTTTTATATTGTTTGGCATTCGAGATGCTCTGCATGACGCCTCCACAGCCACGAGCCGATCTTGCTCGCGCGCACGATCTTCACGAGTCGCCTAAGGATATATCCGTATGTATGTAGACTTTACGGAGCCGCTCAAAAAATATCGAAAAATTTTATCATTCACATTTTTTTCTTTACATACTACAGACAGCCTAAAGAAATTACTCACACTAGAAATGCAACAATAATATTCCATAAAAAATCAACTGATAATACATGGAGGTATTGTTGATATAAAAAAGGAGAGAAAGATGAATATCGATGATTTAGATGACCTGTAATCAGTATTTGAAATGTATGATGATTATTTGCAGGTTAATATGTTGATGAGGTGGGAGTTGAAACTTAAAGCGCGTCCCACGGCCATTTACGGCAGTCTTTGCCTTTCTCACAGCTCTTCCATCCCTTTTCTTCTCTTTTAACATACACGTGTGTATATATATTGGTATATTTTCTTCTTATGTAAGTGCAAGACTGGGGTAAAGTAGCCTAAAGCATTTATTCTCGCTGCGCAGTCTCTTCACAAAATGATTCACAGCCTCTGGTAATTTACATTCGCTTGCGTGGGTGATTGGTTCACAATCCCCACCACCAATCACTGGTGTATATATGGTTACACTACTAGATGGCGTCCTTTTCCGTTAATGTAATGTTGAAAAAGGTTAAACATATATCGATGCACAGGGGTCGGGTCGAAAACGCCAATGGAACTCGAGCGAATCGAGGATGAAAGAGAGTGGCTTTTGATTCAAGCTATATATCTATATATTTAAATGTATAACAAAAAAGGAAAGAAAGGACCTGAAGCTGAATATTCTTTGCGGAAGAATGATCGCACCTAGTCATAGTCGATGTATAGTAAAATTATAGGTATTGAAGAATTTCCGTTCTCATTAGTTATGATCTAGAATAATTCCTCTAGGCTAATTCGTAGCTGCTGTTACTACTGTAATTGAGCTTTAAAAAAGTCACATTACAGCTGGTTATATTTTTCCGTGATCTAATCGGAATTATTTGCGCGGCTATATTGCAAAGCATCATGAAAATATAAGGGGAGAAAGGAGAGAAAGAAATATTGCCAAGAGCAAGCACGGACTTACGGGAAGTTCGATTGAACGATGATAGGTATTCCATAAGAGAAGACTTGAGAGTATCAAAAGCCTTGAGGTTATTTCAGATATTCTTGTAGATTCTTTGTAATCGTGGGACCACGACTTTTTACCAAATGTCAGCAATTACGTTATCCTATTCATTCAATTCATTGACATTCAGATCATTTATCAGCACACCACAAACTTTTTCACTAATTCTCGTGTACTTTTTACCTATCTTCAATATCCTCCCGATGTGCTTTATGGTAGGAGGTAAATGCCCAAGGGCTGACGCGACCCGCTTGAAAGACACGTTCTTCGGCTTCAGTGGACGAAAGCCAAGGTAGTATATTGTAAAGGTAGAGAAAAGGGAAAAGAAATGCAACTTCTAAAATATGTGATGCCAACGGCTATTCACTTGGATTCTTCTCTCGTTACATTGTGGCTTAACGCCCCCCGGGAACCCTTGAACTACGCCGCCTGTCAACTATATACAGATACACACATATACATAAACGCCGTCAATTCAACCCTTTGGCCATCGTGAATAGTATTACACTCAGACTATAACGTTCATTTCATCATGTTCAATTAGAATGATTTACATGTCAATAAAATCATTAAAATATCCTTCTAATATACATTTCACTTTTAATAGAAAAAAAACAGACACTTTTTTTATTAATTATTATTTATTACTTATAAAAATCTACTTAAATATTCATTTTATATTGGATAATAAATAAATTAAATATATTTTATATAATGGGGAATATGCAATGAGAAGGATATTTAAAAATAATCATTTGTCTGACTCAAAACAGTTTTACCACTTACACACATACAAACGATATTTAAAACAGTAAAGACAAAATATATATTTTTTTGAGGCATAAACACACGTCACTATGTCTCTGAGTAAGCCGGACGTTTATATATGCGAGATGCATCGTATTCGGGTTGGGTTTGGAAGTGCCTGGAGCAATCCTGGAACGATGTTGTCGGCCGTGGCCGTTTGCGCTTAGAGGCATACCTCCAGTACGACAGTATACTCCATGACTCTCCCAACTAGTCCCTCGGTTCCCTTTATATTCCCTTCTCTCTTCTTTCTCTCGTACTCATCTCTCCCTTGTATTTTACAATCCTGTACCATTATTTCCAATGGCCAATGGTATCAAGGACCCTCCAGTGCCAATTTTTCCAACCACATGCACTTTATGACTCCGTTATTTTTTTTTTTTTCAACATTTTTTTACTCTAAATATTACTAATAAAGAATTAGCTTTCAATATTTGCATAATTATTCTTATTTTATTTTAATGCTATATTTATCAAGTAATCAGTGAGAAAATTTATTAAATAATTTAATATAAAATATTTAAAATAAATAATTGATTTAATTCAATTAATAATATTGTTAATATAATAATTCTTTTTTTCATGTAATAAAGAAATATTTTTTGAATTAAATATCGTGCATTTTTTTTAAATAATTGTCAAGGATTATTCAATTAATATAAATAAAGGTTTTTGTACGTGAAATTACAAAAAAAAAAAAAAAAATGATGCAAATGATTATTATTAACCCTCGTTTGAATAAAATATTTTATTTCTTATATGCAATACCCTCTCCTTTCACTTGCACCTTTTTTTTTCATGTTCTCTTGTTCCTGTGTTTTGGTAAAGAAACTGGAAAGGGGATACCAATTGCGCGTGCGCTTATTCTGCCCGCGAATATACTTCAGTCATTGACAGACTGTGAAGCAGAGCATTTCATAGTTCTTATACCACGTGTTTTTACCCACGTGGTAATAGTGTCGAGTATAACTTATTAATTAATTTATTAATCAATTAATTAATGTACCTCTCAATAACTATAATTAAATAATTGATTATATAAATCAATTAATACTTTGCATAACAGTAATTAAATATTATAAAGTGCATACGAATGATTAAAACGAATAAGTTCATTTAAATATTTCGGTGAAAATTCACTTTTTGCATATTATTATTATTTTTTTTTTTCATTTGTAAAGTGGACAATAATAAGTCAATCAACCTGGAGCCCGCTTGTCAAAAGAGGTAATGAATAAATCAATAATTATGAATACTATCAAGGTAATTGTCAATTCTACTTCAATCAATTTTTAATTTTTTATGTCACAAATATTTGCCAATATGATAAATTAAATTTCTAAAGTCAATGGAAATAAAAAAAAAAAATATTGGCAAACTTTCTCATTTCTCAGCATTAAACTGTGACGATAAATTTCGCAAATGTCTTGCATATACACGGAAAAAAATAGTAAGGATTATAACGCGTTTTCTTAGCGAGTAGAAATGATCATGTTGATTTTATTTCAAATATTATGAATTGTTATCATCTTTAAAGGACTATCAATAATAATATTATTGTAAAGTTATAAAATTTTCCAAATAATAGAAAAAATATTCTAGGAATTTATTATTTGAGTGAATTGAAATTAAACTTGACACTAAAGGAATTTGTTTTGTTTCATATTCAGCTCTAACAATTTATCACTCGCATATAAATTACTGAAAATTGGAAAGTAAACATTACTCGTCGTAAAATATAACCTGTGTGCTGATAAATTAATTCAATCATTATTCTTTCATTTATTAATTCATAAATATGTCAAATGATAATTAAAATTTATAAAACTATCAAATAACCTAATTTCCTTTGAAAAAAATGGTCTAATAATTAAGTACAAATAAAACTAGAATTTATTTAATTCAATAATAAAAATTATTTTTTTTTTCTGTAAACTAGTTACGTTTTCTAAAATGTCATCTACAATTCGTGTTTTATATATCCTAATAGATTAGGGTATCCAATACTATCATCAATTATTAATTATTTATTTCGCTTATTATTATAATTTTATCTAAAAGTTAAAATAATCAAAAAATGTATTAAAATATTAACGAATTATTCGAAGAAAAAGAAGCACGAAGAGAAAGAGAACTTTGTTCCTTCATACATGCCTACAAGGCCCAGAGACTTTGTTGAACCAAGGGCAGATGGAAGAAGGGGAGATTCAAGATGCCAGGGGGCTTTTATCCTGCGGCACGGACGAGCTCTGTACTCGCAGTTGCCGTAATTAGAACATATCGCCTCTAGCATTATTGCTTCAGGCAAACGAGTCTTCGTTGAATCAAAATTATTCATGAAACATGCTTCAGGATATATTTTCCGGCAAATATTTCGTTCCATTCAACCGTCACGATCTTTGCTTGACTTGAAAAAAAAAAATATTCTTCATTTTTAATAAAATATTGAAGAAATTTTATTAAAACATAAAAAAAAAAATTGATGAAAAAAAACTCAACAATTCATGGAAATATAAATATAATATTGATATTAAATAAATAAAAGATATTTATTAGTATAAGTATATTAGTGATAGTGTAAATGTGATAGTGGTGATAGTTAACCTAAGGCAAAGTTACTGTCTAGTGAATAAGTAGGTAAGTTATGTAGTGAAAAGGGAATGGATAGGAATGAAATGGAGCAAGACATGCATTGGCGCGTGTCGGGAGTGCCTCGACCACTTTATCTGAGATAAAGTTTTAAGTTCCTTCTTTTTTACACGATATAATGAAAGAGAAATAAAAAATGTTTAAATCAGTATCAAGAGAACAAAATAACATAAAGGAATAAAACATAAAAAAAAAGGAGATTGAGAGACAGAGAGAAAGAGAGAGAGAGAGAGAGACACGTAAATTGCGTGGTATATAAAAGAGTATGACAGGTAGATACGAAGAAATACAAACCCGCTCAGTTATGTCTTGTTACTTTTGCTTTGCGTCTGTGCTGTTCTCTTCCAGCAACACTTTCGGTATGTTAGGAGCACCGTATGCAACCAAAGAGATTTAAACCGCCTTCGTTGTACATAAGACATGGTTACATAGGTCACGCGTTACGAATTTCACTAAGGAATGCAAGATTTACTTAATGATATACGTCCTCAGGATATTGAAATAAAAGCCGAGCAAACGCCTTTATTACATTCTTTTCATTCCAATATTCTTCAATTGTATTATTCCTTTGATAAATATTATCTCTTGATATCAATTATATTGTTTATAATTAATTATTAATAATTTTTTATTAATGTTCATGAACTAACGTAGAAGAATGTGTCAGTTAAGATGAATATATAAGTTGTAATGGCAAGTGTAGTTACATTACGAATCAAAAACATTGGAGATGAGGGTGGTGATGGTGGTGGTGAAGGCAATGGTACTGATATGAAGACCACAACAACCGAAGCCTCAAGGTAGATCAACGAGTCGAGCTAGGGATACTTCTCTACTGCTAAAGGCAATGACTACTTTCAAGGCAGTACTTATTTTTTCATCTTTCCTATTCCTCTTGAAAGGATATTAAAGAAGTTGTGATTTCTATTTCATTTTGTCAGTACATCATTCAAGTATGATCAACATATGAATGTTTATACAAGAATAATTATAGTTTGATAATAAATCATTGAGATAAATTATTTTATTGATTGAATTATATTCAATAACAGTATTAATTGAGAAATTATTCTGTTGTATGATAAAAGAGATTTAATATCAAATTTATAAACTATTTAATAATTAAGAAATGACCTATGATTTTTTTCACTAGACATCTATAAAATATTATCCAATGAATTGCTTGTGGGCATCTGAAGCAAAAAAAAAAGCCTCTAGTTTTTGATAACATAAAAATTTATTCACATTATTATACATACGATAATAAAATATAAATTTTTTGAAAAAATATACTCATTGTTGCATAAAAATATGTTTAATTACTTTCACAGGAGTTTTGTGAAATCAATGTTATATCAACATCATTATGAATATAACATGAGTTTTATATCTTTTTTAGAATAAAATAACTTATTTATAATAAATATAATCATTAGTATAATAATAATTAATGAAAATAATATGATAAAATATTTTTATATCATAGTTAAATGAAATCTCAAACAATATGATTCTTCCTACAAGTAGATCAACATTCAAACATTCATTGTAAATTCGAGTTATGAAAATTGTTAATTTATATTAATGATATCATAATATATTCACCAAGCATTCGTATTTTTTAGCTTTATTCCAGATAAATTGAATGATGAAATTCAAAATTTAAATATATTGATAATTTTCAAGACGTAATATTATGTAATAATTTGATTGGATTAAAATACATGGAAATTACTATTGATTATTAATAATTAAATATTGAAAATTAAAATTGCAAGTGATATTTTTAGTGTATTTTAGTAGTAGATATTAAGAAAGAATAAATAATTAGCATATCAAGAATTAAATATTACTATTAACAAGACAATAAATAAATAATGTGATCTCTAGAACCAGTATTGATCATGATTATTAATTATAAATTAATAGAAATTTAATTTGAACATCTTTTGCAGGCGGAAATGTGATGTTGATGGAAGAGAGTCAAAAGCTGAGTTGGTGCAACGCAGTATGTTTCCTAGCACCCAAATTAAAATGAGGTACTTTTCAATAGTATGAATTATTTAAAATAATACTTGATTTTTTTTTTGTTATTTCAAAATAGTATTTATAAATGATGATAAATTTTTTCTTCCTATTTACACTTTTTTTTCAATTGTTTTTTCATTGAAATAATTTGGAAGGAAATCTAATGATATCTAATGTTATAAGTATCTTTATCAGATTGCTGTCACCAAGCAGTTCACCAGCAACATCACCAACGATGTCCAATTCATCATCACCAACTCCACCAACTCCAGCTGCTCCAACGTATAACACAAAAATACACGGTATTCCTTGTGTTGCTGCTGCATCAAGATATACAGCACCAGTTCATATTGATGTTGGTGGAACAATTTATACATCTTCATTGGAAACTCTTACAAAGTAAGATTATCACGTAATATTATTACATTTTTATTTAATCTAAAAATCAATTATTCTCATTAAAATTCATGCTGATAATTAAAACAATAGCAATAAATACAGAATAAAAAATTTTTTTATCAAGTTTTAATTGCAATTTTTGAATAAAATATGACTTCTCTTAAGAGTAAATCTACAATAATGATGAACAAATAAATTGAATACCATTTTAAAACGATGCAAATAAGTCTTGATGGAAAACTTGCTCTCTCACTTGATTCTTTCACGCTTTATTGCACCTTCCTCCCTCATTACGTGTCGTTGACCGTATTATTTAGTTGAAAGTTTTGCTAGAAGCTCATAAAAATTCAATCCACAAGATCTGTAATTATTAAAATAAAATAAAATCTTACTTACCTGTATAAATAATATGAATTTCAATAACGCCTATGGATAGTTATTATAAATTTTCTATTTGTTGCATCTTCACTCTTATAAAGAAATAGCAGAAATCAAGTGAATGTAACACATAAATAGATAGTTGAATAATATTTGATTCAATTACACGTTAGTGTTTAATTTATGTTGGTATAATACTCAATTCAATCCATAGATATCTATACATACATACATTAATACGAAAGCAGAGCGGATTGTGAGTGATGTGAGCCGATCGTTTAGCGTTTTCCCATAGCAAGAACAGATCTGACCCGGGTTGGGACCTTAGCTAAGATTACCCTGAGGTAATCACGGTTCTCGTCCTCCGCCCCCGGTCTCGTTTATGCTCTCTCTTTCTTTCTTTTTCTTTTTTTTTTTTATCTTATTCTTTTTCTGATGTATAGTATTCCCTTGACTGTCAGTATTTCAACGTTCCCTCCTATACTGTCGATTAAAGAAATATTTTAAAAAGCCATCTCTTTACTTTTGCACCACGAAAGTCTCTAAATTTACCCTGCGGTATCTCGCGAAGTCGAACATCTTGAGGCTAGCGCGGTCGTCGTTATTATACGTTATCACGGGAAGAAGGTATGGGAACTTGCCTAGAGCTACGGATAGGTAGATATATACATCCCTTTTTTACCTCTTCCCACTCTCTTATTTTTAGTCTCTTTTTCCATTTCTCTCCCTCACAAGTTTACCAATGCCGCTTCCCAACCACCCCCAAGTCATCTTCTACGCTCTTTACTCATGTGTACTCTCTACTTCATTCGCATGACGCCATATAACGCACTCACCTTATAACGACTCGTTGCACCATCCTTACTTCTATTATATGTAAAATGCCATATATACGACCTTGCTTCAAGCCTCCAGCCATCTCTTGAGAATTCTCCACTGAATTTTCGGCTTCACTTATACCTCTCATTATATATATTGTTTTATTTACTTAATCGTTCAGTTATTAACATTACTCACTCGAAAAATATCAAACTTTCAATTTTATAATCACTATTTAACATTTTTCATCTCAAGAATCCATCTTGTAATTAGCGTTATCGAAATCAGATCACAATATCGATTGTTTTACAATTTTACAGTTGTTGATTCGATTACAATCGATACATCGATTTTTTCGACAACACCACTTATTTGCATGACAAATTGGAATAAATAATAATATTATACTCTGTCTTCCGGCAATTAAATAAATATGAAAAAATTATGATGATAATAATTATGAATAAATGATTGAAGAAAGTCAGTAAGGTAAACTTGAATATTTTTATTACTTGTTGAGTATATTCATTACACCAACTTTCACGAAAATAATAGAGGATTGTAATGTGAAGCGTTATCGTAATGCACTATCAGTAGTAATAACATTTAAGGATGCCGGAAGTTAGTTGGGTGGGCATCAATGCTCAAATTATGAATATTCATTTAATTATATGATATGAAAAATAAAATGATGATTATATAATTTGAGGGATTATCTATCTTCAAGACTAAAGTATGTGTCCCTGTTCCGAGACTAATATAAAGATTGAAGCTCAGGGCGGTTGTGTGGCAATGTGATTAAAAAAGAAAGAGAAGGTCATTGAAATGTTGGTGAATAAACAGCTGAATTTCATAGAAAGCCTAAGGCTAAAAGTAGACTCGAGCAGGTGCCAATATCATCTTGATCACCTGCCTTTTTGACTTGACAAATTCAATTATTAATAAAAAATTTTTACGAACTTTATTATACTTTTCCAGGTATCCAGAATCAAAATTGGCAAAACTGTTCAATGGCAGTATACCTATTATGCTGGATTCTTTGAAACAACATTACTTTATTGACCGAGATGGAGGGATGTTTAGACATATTTTAAATTTCATGAGAAATTCACGGCTACTAATTCCTGATAATTTCGCTGATCTTGATCTTTTATTAGAAGAAGCTAGATACTTTGATATTACCCGTAAGTGTAAATGTTAATCAATAAGATAATTATTAAATAATTTATACAGTTAATTAATAATTCTTTATTTAAATTATTAACAGCAATGTGCAGACAAATAGAACAACTTAAGAAAGAACGAATTAAAAACGGAATAACAATTCAATCATCAAATCCTCTATCAACTTTATCAAACAGAGGTGGAGCAGAAACACCACCTTGTCGAGACACTGACAAAAGAGCAACACCAACATTTGAATGTTTAGCTCTTCATGTAAGTCCTGATCTTGGAGAACGTGTCATGTTATCAGGTGGACGTGCTTTAGTTGATGAAGTATTTCCAGAAACCACACAGGCAGTTATTGATGCTCGTTCTAGTGTTGCATGGCATCAACAAGACACCCGACATGTCATTCGTTTTCCTCTCAATGGTTATTGTAAACTTAATTCCGTACAAGCCATCACTAGGCTGTTAAATGCTGGTTTTCGAGTGGTAGCAAGCAATGGTGGAGGTGTTGAAAGTCAGCAATTTTCAGAATATCTGTTTGTACGCCAAGGAAGTAATACTTGACAGGCTAATTTTATAAATAATAGTATTGAAAATTTTTAAAATTATCTTTAACAAATTATCTAGAAATAAAAGTTTAAATAAAAAAAAAGACTTAGAAATTAGCCAAGTTAAGTGATAAAATTGAAAAAATCCAAATACATATCTAAGTTTCATTTTAATATCTACTTTATTCTCTCATATTTTTATTTCTCCGAAAATCTGTCTTTCTTTTCGATTTCAATTTTATTATATTCATAATATACTTACTATATTTATATTTAATTTTAATTCCATGTAAATATTAATTAGAATATCAATTGTGTATGATAACAATGTTCATAAAACATTTAATATATTTAAGTATAAATATTCTAAATAGCATCATTATTTATTTCACCCATCAATTATAATTATCTTTTTTTAATTTATTATTACTATTATAAATAAAATAGAAGAATTTTTCCTATTGGGAAATTATTAAGATATGGAAGACGATTAAAACATTAAATACAGCAGAGTTAAGTTAAACACAAAGATATAAAAATTATTCTAATCAACAAAGGTGTAATAAGGATTCAGGTGAAGCTTACTATATTGATAACGTAACCACACGAATAAGGGATGAAGCGAACAAATGTTCAAGCCTTTGGCAAGTAACCATGGTTACCATGAACTCAATATCCGTAGAGCCTGAGGGGTGAACTAGCTGCAGGCTGTCATCCCTCGAAAACCCACCAAGTAAAGCGCCTAGCTGATTATATTCCATTTCTGGATTGCTTTAGGCGTTAACCAACCCCAGTCTTCAATACTCGACACGTGCAATCGCCTTGGGCATATACCTCCGAGGCAGTTTTTTAAATTTTATGTTAAAAAAAAAAAAATAAATTAAAAGAAATAGTATTTAAAATGAATTACATATATAGTATTTAAAATAAAATAATTTTCCTTATTGGTATAAAAATTTTAAACGTTGAAAATTTTTTATTTTATTTATGTACAATTAACGCGTAATTTAAGTATCTTATTTTATTTTTATATAAACGTCCAAACGAAAACTATTTTTTTTTTTTTATTGTAAAAATTATATAACCCCTAGAATGTCAAGAAGGCAGGATTTGGTAAAACTTTTGGTCGTATTTTTATTATTTTTCTTAATTAATGAAACTTAATCTATACAATTTGTAAAAATATCATACTGTACCAAAACAGTTATGCCATTATTTTTATTTTATTTTACCTGAATTATTATCTATTAATTCCACTATTGTGTGGCAGTTAAGGAGAAATTTCTCCAATATTAATTAACACTTATTTAATTCTTTCCACGCTATATATATATATATATGTATATATATATATATATATATATATATATAGATATATATACAATAATATTTACTTTAATACACTTGATAATTATTGAATATAATTAATACCTATTATATACAGATGAAATACAAGAAATAAATTGCGCTTTACGACAATACTAATCAATTGATTGATATTGTGGTACTTAATAAAGATTAATGATTGTCTCGTACAAGAATATCTTGTTCGAATTGAATTAATTATCAGAAACTAGAATGGAGATAAACAATTTCAAAATAATTCTCATTTGTGTAATTTTTCTTTTCATTCATGATTATTTTTACCTTTTTTTGTTTTTTTTGTTATCATCCGTACTGTACAATTAGCTATACAAACAATTATTTTATGTATGATAACATAACATCTTGAAATTATTTGATTATTATTATTTTCAAGAATACAAAAAAAATACTACGATTAATCTTCACAATGATATAGAGGAAAATTTTTTACAAAATAAAAATTCATTACCATAGATTTTATCGAATAGATTTATAAATAATAATTAAAATTGATTAGTTTTAAATAAACTTAAAAATATTATTGTAATTTGTAAATAAATTTGATGATTGTAAAAATGACATTGAAAAATGATAGGTTTATATTGAATGCATTATTGATATTTTTTTTTTCTTCTCATCAATGAATTAATTTTTTTTTTTTTAATAAAAATTTAACATTTGATTTTATGATTTATAAACATTCTAAATGTTAATTATAACATAATATGTATATTAGTAGTAATAACAATTTCGTATAAGAGTGAAGAATAATCGCGTAGCAATATACTGTTTTATCAATGTGAAAGTTATCTATATTAAATTTTTTTGTATTTCATTATTTTTTTTTTTTTTATTTATATGTGACATTAGTAATATATTTTACAAATTACACCGTACTTTTGGGACATTGCTCTTTGTTCTTTACAAATCTTTTAAGAGTCATTCTTTCATTCATTCAATGTTTTATTCATTTACTCACTATTTACTATTTATTTTGCAAAAATACATTTTACTACTTCTATGTTTAAAAAATTAATAAAAGAAATATTATGTTTAAATTATTATTTAGCACATGTCCAAAAGTATTGGTCACATACAATTTATAACATATATACAAATGTATATATATATATACGTACATATATAAGAATTCAATATAATTAGCTTTTTTTTTTTGTCATAATTTTATTATCTCAATATTTTTTTTATAATTAGAGTGACGAATACCATCGCAATAGTTAAACTTTAAATATTCGTTTCATTTTTATTGGGTTAGAATAAAAAATATTTTCTAAAAAAATTATTTTATTGAAAATGTAAAATAAAGTTTTATTTATAATAACGATGATTTTGCGTTGAAAATTAATTACAAACATATTTTTTTTTATAAAATATATTTATTAAATATTATATAATTTCACAGTAAATATTTGAAATTTATGAATATGTCAAAAAATGAAATTAATTATTTCATATTTATTTTTATAAAATCTCTTTCAAAGAATGACAATGATTTCAACTAAAAATTCTTTATTTTAATTTTCAATAAAACAATTATTTAATTTAATAATATTTTTTTTCTCTTAAAAAATAATTCTTTAGTTCACAATCTTCTTTTAATTCACATTATCTGCTCATAATTCATCTATTGTTATTTTCACCTATTTTTTTCTTTCATATTATGAAAGGAAAACAATCTATCATATATTACATTAAAAAATGCTCAGTCATTCACGATAATGGAAAGTTTACCAGCATATTACCAATTGAAACCGATGGTGAATATTTTTTAACAATATCAAGCTAACTTCAAGCAATCCTGTACATACCAATAAATGATAAATAATTACGTACAATGTAATGTAATTATTGTAATAGTAGAGGAGGTTCATCGAGGCTAATTCTGGTAGGTTACTCGCGTTCCTACCCCTTCCAGAACATCACTTCAAATACGCTTTATATAGCATTGTACTTCTACACAACTCTTTCTCTTGTTCTAAAAGAAACAATAAATCCCTGAAATTTACTCGTTTTAATCTCGGTCTTAATGGTATTTGTCGGTTTAATCCAGATGCTGATGCGTTTAAATTTGAATTTCCTGAATTATTTGTGGAAGTTGTATCAAGTCTCGGTTTTTTTCGAGGACCAATTGCTTGAAGTGCTGTCAAATTAGCTTCACGTGTTCGCAATTCTTCCATTTCTGCTCGTTGCATCTAAATTTTAATAATTTACAATCAATGAATGAAATATTATCAAAAAATATATAAATAATAACAAGGAATTTTTTTTATCTTTCATCAGTTGAGTATTAGTTATTCAAGTATTTAATAATTACTTCTTTAGCTTTTTGTTTCAATTTGGCTTGTTCAGGATCCTCTGTTTTTGCACGACTTTTAGCAGCTTTTAAAAGGATTTCACGTTCTTGTTCCTCATGTCTTCTACGTTCTGCTCTATCGAGTTCTTCTAAAAATTTTAATTGACTTCTTACATCTTGAGTTACCTCGTATCGTGGATCTACCTATAATAAAAGAAAAATTAATTAAAAAACAATATTAAAATAATGATCTCATTCAAAATAAAGAGTAAATTATCATCTATTTATCCCCTCACAATTTTAATATGATTTATAAAAATTGGATATTTTCTTGTAATTTTATTAACACTACACAATCTATTAATTTGATTAAATTAATTATTAAAGATTTACATTATATAAAAATTTACCTTTATAAGATCTATTCTATGTTCAGCGATAACTGCTAACTTTTCGACTAAATTTTTCAGCCTTTCCTGAGTAGCATGGGATATTAATGCTGCAACTTCATGATTAGGTTCTTCTAAGCCATAACTCGATACTAAAAATATTTTAATAATTATTCAATATATATTATACATGAGAATAGTAGTATAAAAAAAAAAACATTTAATATTCTTACCAATTTGTTTAATTCTTTGTTGAAGTGGTGCAAGATGTAAGAAGATTTCATCTTTACATGATCTTATTTGGGTTCCAACAAACTCCGTAGAACCAAGAATCCTTTGCGATTCTTCGGCGAGATTGACACCTCCCATTGCCGCGACATCATTAATATCATCATCTCCCCTATAGGAAAATTTAAAAAATTCATAATTAATATAATAATTATTAATTTAGTGTTATTCAAGAATAAATAAAGAATAATAATTACGTATAGCCTGCAGATGAAAAAGTCTTTTTCTCTTTTTCTTTAGTTGTAGATTTAGATACAAGAGAAGGCACTATGGTTTTATTAACAGTAGTGGCGGTGTTAAGAGTCTTTCCCTGCATGGTAGTGGTAATAGTTTTTACAATAGTAGTAGCTACAATGGGTGATTTCTGTACAGTTGGAGCAGACGGCCTCATGCCTGTTACTGCAACTGATGATTTGACAGTGTGTGCCACTGGAGTACGAACTATTGTTGTGACAGGTCGAACCTAATTTACATTAAAATGATTTATATAATCTATTCAATTAATAGATAAAATAATATAATAAAAAAGGAAATGATTTATTACCAATCTTGGTGGAACAGTTTGGGATGCTCGAGGAGAAATAGTTGTTGTTGTTGGCGGAGGTGGCATAATTCTTACTGGTGTTGAGGAACTTGATACAACAGTGGGAACTGCTGAAGCTGCCACTGCAACTGTTGGTCTGATTTGATTCTATAATATAAATATAAAGAATATTATATAATCAACTCATAAATACACATACATATGATTTATTTCTAAATAAATTCAACTTACTGATAGAATTGGAGATACACCCGATTGTATTGAAAATACAACATTTGCAGGTGGCGGTTTTATACCATCGATAATTAACTCTTGAGTAACAAGAGATTGCCGTAGAAGAGGCAAACTTTTTTTGAGAAATCCAATCAAACATGGTTGTGGTGAAGCATTCAATAATTTTTCAAGTCTATCACAAAACTCTTCAGGTTCAACTTTTGTATCAATAAGTTCTTGAATTAACGTCCGAACATTACGTTCCACTGCCTTAGGTTCTCGACTAGACAACTCTAACAAATTGGCTAAAAATTTACGACACTTTTCTTTGGTATTATCCGCAGTTTGACGCTGTAAATGAGTTTGACATTTATTACAAATACAATTTTGATAATATTATAGAACACAATAAGCTATTTTTTTCAACTATGATATAATTTCTTTTTTTAATTATTATTTTTATTCAAAAAATATTCGTCTAGTACATACTTGAGCTGTCGAAACAGAAGTTGCTTGAGGAGTAGCTGTTGTTGTAGCTGCAGTACTTGTTGGTGATGGTGTCACTGTTGTTGTAGAAACAGTAGTTGCTACTGTCTAAGTTTATAAAGAAATAATAAAAATTAATAAGTGAAATTAATAATAATAACAACGTATAGTTATGATAATAATTAAAAATCAAAAAAATCAATTCTGATAACTACATTCTACATTTTATTCAAAATTTTTTTTAGATTTATGCTAAAATAAATTTTTTAAATATTAACAAAAATATATAAAACAATATTCATCAAATTTATCTGATATATAAAGATATAAACAATAGAATTAGCTATATAAAATATTTTAAAAAATTATATATTAACATGCTTTGCCATCATTCCTTAAAACTTGTTTGCATGTAATGATGAAAGTTAATATTTATTTTCTTCATGATCAATTTAATATTATTCATAATTACTTGAAAAAATGCAAAATCATTTGTAATAATAACCATTAATTTCAGACGCACTCAAACCTTATAAAGACCCACGTAGATAATTATTCTTTGTCTTTGTAATAATATTTATAAAAAAATTATAAACTATCAATTCTTTAATTATTTAATATAAATTATTTGACGTACTCGAGAAATATTTTGTCTAAAATGTAAAAAAGCCAATTCATGCATAAAGATTTTATGTTCATTCAATTAAGAAAAAAAAAAAAAAGAAAAACAATCAACTATAAATAAAAAATGAGTAATAAATTGAGATCTCTCTCAAGTATTTTTAATAGATAATAAACTTTAATAATCACAATTGTGTTCATATTGGCATGCCATTCTCTTTGTAAATAAAAAAAAAACAGCTTTTGAAAATAATAAATAAAATTTTTCCACGATGCAATAAAGCTATTCGCTACACCTTAGATAAATAATTTGTGCATTGCCTACGATTGTCAAAAATTCAAATAGCGTAAAAAAAAAAACAAATGTCTAAGTTGAGAAAATTATTTTAAAAAAGATGAATAAAAAAAAATGTATAAAACGAATAAAACTCTACACGAGCAAATACACTGAGTCTTGAAAAAGGTATTAGAGTGCGTCACCTGAATGGGTTTTCGTATGGTGGCGAGTGGTGGACCAGTGAACTGTGCATTTAGCCTACTTACAGCTGGTACTGAGGCTACACGAAAAGTTGTTCCAGCAGCTGGAGCAACAACGTTGCCAGTTATATTATTTGGATTAACTGTAGTACTACCAGGAGCAGCAACTGGAGCTGGTCCTACCCTTAATAATTGATAGTGACCATTTTCTGTTTTCACTATTAAATGTCCTTGAGCTCCCGGTTGAAGACCATGAAGAGTAATCTAAAATAGTACATTTTCATTAAGACACTTTAATTATTATTAATAAAGAAATAGCAATTGATAAATAAAGCTCACCCCTGGTCCTCCCGGTCTTGCTCCAACTAAATGTTGACCAATTAAAACCCTTGGAGCAACTTGTTTTCCCGCTTGCTGCCCACCTACAGGAGTACTGGGTCTCATAGGATTAACATTAAGAATTTGTACATTACTAGGTACAATCGTTGATTGTACACCAGGTTTTGCTTGAAGTGTTGTATTGGCGACATTGCCAGCAACAGAAACTGGAACTGACATTGGGACAGACACCATACCACCAGGTGTTCCACTGGTTTTAATAACAAGGGCAGTTCCCGTGGGTTTATTAACACTCGTCACTTGCTGTCCACTTGTTTGAGTCACAGAACCAACATTAGTAACATTGGAGGTAGTTTGAAGTACTGGTTGAGATGAAACTCCCAAAGTTCCATTAGCTAACTGACCTACAGTTTGCGCGGGGAAAGACAACTTTGTATTTACATTAACGACACCCGTGGTAGCAATTACTTGGCCGGCGGTTGGATAAATAATTTTGACAGATTCGTGAGTCTTAGCCAAGTTTGGAATCGTAGATTGGTTAGCAGCTCCTTGATTAATATAAGAAGTCACAGGTATACCACCTCCCGCCTGTATGTGTGGTTGACTTGTAACGACGACTTGAGAGGTGACTGCATTCGATGTCACAATGTTGACCGGTACAAGTGTCGTCGTGGCTATGGATTTGGTTACTTCTTGAGTCATCAGACTGTTCACGGAAGTGGTACCGCCGCCGTTGGCAACCCCATGTTTCTGTATCGCTGTGGGGATGGTGCCTCCGTTGGAAATACCACTATTTAACTGATGATTTTGTTGACTTACAACCGCAGTTATAGCCTGGTGACCCGAGGCCGCCGGTGTCGATGTTACCAACTGCGTCTCAAGCGAACCCACGATCGCGTTTACCGCGGATTCATCGACGTCCGTGCTCAGAGCTTCCTCCAGAAACTTAGCTGACGCCATTTTCTTCCAAGCTCCAACTGTAAACTAAACTGCGCAGGCGCGTATTGCAAATACTTCCCATGGTGCTTTGCCTTCCCCCTCTTCTTTTAACGTCTAATGAGGTGAAGATTTAACACTGACGTGATGACCATTATCATCTATTTATCATTATTTTCTATCTATTTTATATTATTTTACAAATTATTTCAGTAATTCTTTTGAAAATTTGTTCTTGTATTCAATCGAAATTCCATTTAGTTATTTTTTCTTTATATTTGAAACTGTTATAAGGCCTCATGATTTTTATTGAAAGTAACCTTTTTTCTCTTAAATAACGTACGCATACTCACACAACGTTCTGCATTTTAATATGGCTATCAATATAACACTGAACTTACACAAACTTGTCACGATGTTTAAAATAATTTAACATAACTACATATTGCATTAATTAATCTTACTTTACCGTGTATTTTATTTTTAATCACAATTACATGAGAACTTTGTAAAATCGTTGTAGAATCTGAGATTTAGTACTTTGTGTAATTGATTTTTTTCAAACTAGTATTATAACATTAAAATTTTCACATATAATAATTTATTTTTGGCGCGTTTAATCCGAAATATATATATACATAAAACAAGGTTAAAAACAAAGTAATATTCTAGTTACTTTTTTTTTTTAATTTCAGGGATTTTCGTTACTATTCAATATCTCCCATGAGAAAATAAAACTGCAGGATTATAAAATAATTATAAACGAAATATTTTCTAATTATTTGCCATTTATATTATTGATACTTATTTTTTTATAATTTTTTATACTTCCAAAGCTGTATATTATGTTGGTATGAAAAAAGCGACACGGCGTGAGAGATGAAGGAAGTATTATTTAGTTCTGTACTCACCTGTGAAGCGGCGCAGTTGTCGTGTTTAGTTTTCTTAACCTCAATTGTCAATCACGTGACGTGAAATTAACCTTTCTAAATTTCGTTGTATTGGAGACCGTACGTATTGACAATTAAAATCTATTTTTTTATTGTTAATCTTAATTTTTAATGATAAAAAATGACTTATATCATATACAAAAAATTTAGAAATACTAATATTCAACAATATTGATAATAAATTATAATTAATTACAGATGTTTTATTTATTTAATTATAATTGTTGATCATTGTTTTTACAGTACAGTTGCTGTTATTAAAGTCCCAATATGGCAATCAGGCCGGTGTACAGACCCACTATTGTCAAAAAAAGGACAAAGAAGTTTATTAGACATCAAAGTGATCGTTATGATAAACTTAAGGTAACAATTTTTTGTTCATACTTCAAATATAAATACCTAATGACTATCCAACATTTCTTTAAAAACATGTACATTTTAATTTTCTGTTGATTGTTTACACTTGAACAATTAAACTCTTTTTCAAAATAATTAAAATTAACATGTAAATAACAAAAAATTAGAAATGATCTTTGAATTGGATGTTAATTTTTTCAATCTTACAGAGAAATTGGCGAAAACCTAAAGGTATCGATAACAGAGTTCGTAGAAGGTTCAAGGGACAATATCTGATGCCAAACATTGGTTATGGAAGCAATAAAAAAACACGTCACATGCTTCCCACAGGATTTCGTAAAGTTCTCGTTCACAATGTAAAGGTAATTATGGAACTAAAAATTAATTTTGTATGAATTGATGGAAAAGAAATTTTTCATAAACTAAATTTTTTCTTCTCTCTAATTTTACAGGAACTTGAAGTTCTTATGATGCAAAATCGAAAGTTTTGTGCAGAAATTGCTCACGCAGTGAGTAGTAAAAAACGTAAGGCAATTGTTGAACGTGCTCAGCAACTTTCAATTCGTGTAACCAACGCTAATGCACGTCTCCGTTCTGAAGAAAACGAATAAACCCAATTATTTATACTATAAACAATAAAATAAAAAAAAAAGAATACAAAAATAATCTTCGTATTGACTCATTTTCTTTCACTTAAAAATGTTTCATAAAAACTTGTATTAGAGCTTGGTTGCATGTTGTAAAAAGAATTTTTTTTTATCATACCGTCAATAACATGGCTAGTAAAATGAGTTTAAGAACTGATAATTACATGAAAACACCTAGTAACAACTTGACTATTGTTACAAAAGTTGTAAGAAAGAATGAATTTGCGTTTATAATAATGCTTTAAATATTTTTTGACCTATTTTTAAATGAAAAACATTACAAAAATAAAACTGTTAAGAATTATAATAAGAAAATAATAGTACACATAGATCTTGTAGTCTTATCGGTTTGCGTGTCAAGCACTAGCTGACCTAAGAGAGAAAGATTATCGACCTTTCTTGACTGTCTTGACTCACTACAAGCGGTTGTAACACAATTTTGTTCAAAAGCCATGCAGACATTGTTTCAAATATTTGAATATAAATTCACCAATTACTTTAAATTCTAAAATTCAGTAATAAAAAGTGTCTATCTTCTAAACACTTAAAATTACTTTAAATGACAAAACAGAAAAAATTAATTTCCATAACTTAAACTTGACAATATAAATAAATATATTGAACATAATAATAATAATAATAACAATATTCATAGTGATTGCAATAGAGTTATAGAATAAACGAGAATGTTTTCATTGGAAAAATGTCCTCAATAGCATAATCAACAGAGCGTTGCTATTCTGACAATCATCCAGCAAAATCACTTCCCAAAATCATTAGCATTTCCCATCACGCTAGTACATTGTATTAAAAACTCTCTGCGTAATGTGACAATATTATCACTACGACCTCATGCGTATACTCAAATTCAGAGATTTCAATGACCGGATGAGCTATTGCTTTACATTACAATTTATTAAACAAATCCCTGATTAATAGTAATACCAGTTAACTCTTATCCATACTCCAATCTAATTAAATGTTATTACGGATTGGTTTTTACTCATAGCAATCATGTTACGACGAATGCTTATACAGCATAACTAGAAAACTTTCTAATTGATCTCATTTAAAACTAACTATAATTGAGGACAATCAAACTTTTTTTTTTTTTAAATTAAAGAATACCAATTATTGCTAATTTTTACCAAGACATAGAAACAAAAAATATGACAATAAAAAAAAATAACCTAATTCTTATTATATAAGTAAATCATAAAAATTATATTTTCATTTAACAATTAGATAATTATTATTATAATAATAGTTTGCAAATACTTTTGAAATAATAAATAACAAATTATGTAGTATACTTGAAGTAATTTTTTTTTAACGAGACAAATGATCTGTTTATAAAATCAATAATGACAAGCAGTAATTTCTGGACATTAAACACCTAGGAAAACTATGTTATTCGATAGGAAGGGTAGTAACTGGACGATACTTTTACTGCTTAAATTCAACGTTTCGTGGTGTGTAAATCCGTTGACCGTTGGCCAGTTCTTCACTGTGACTCAACACAGAAGGATCGTTGAGAGTTACATTTATTTCAATTGACTATTTACAATTTTAATTAAAAACTACAGTGTAAATTATTGCTTTTCCTACATTGATTTCATTGATTATTCAAACTATTATAATCAATATAAATATTCAATTAAATTAAATAATAAATTTAATTAATTTATTTTAATGTTTCTTCAAGAGTTATTGGATTGAATACAATCTTTAAATGCCAGAAAATTCGGTAAGGATATTTGTATGATTTGATGGTAATAATAATTAATATATTTTAGAATTCATTTGTTTATAAAATTTAATTATTTTCACGTGTTGGATAATTTTTTTTTTTATTTACTTTATAAAGAATGTCATTGCATAACAAAAGAGGGAAAATTTTATAAACAATTATCTAATTGTCGTCCTCTTTGTTTATTTATTTTTCATTAAAGTACATTTTGCACAAAGGTATAATTATCAAATATAAGAATCACTACATAAATCAGGGAAATTTCAGTCAAGGTTCCATTGGTTTATTTTAGTTTACCCTGCAATTATTTTATGCTCTAATGTAAGCAATAATAAATGACCAAACTAATCGATTTGACCTATAACACAATCAACAAAATAACAATAGAATTTAAAAAAAATTAATTTCTTCACTTGAATAATAGAAAGAAAAAAAAAATATTTTAATTGGAAAGTAATTGAATGAAATAAAGGATCAAGTATTTTATAGTTTACTCTTATGGTTCAGTGATCACGTATAGACACAGTCAGGTGTGGTTATTGTTACATTTTTTTTTTACTGTATATCCCTACATAGGGATCAACATTGATTACTACTTATGTCGTATTTCAAATATATAATTTTTAATATAAACTTGGTTTTTATACTTTCTCAGATCAGTCAGTATGTATTCAATATATTTAAAATAATTGACTTAACAAAATATTTCTAATTTCAACTCTTGACTTTGACATTGCTAAATAGTTAAAAGTTTACCCTAATGTCATGGATGACTCAATAGTGAAGTAAAAGCTATAAGCTTTTTCTTCAATCAAATATTTATTTAACCTTGTGACATTAACAAGCCAAAAATATTCATTTAAACTTTTCATAATTACTAAATTGGTTTTATTTTTTTTTCAGATATTGTTGTGAACAAATTACACCTGAATCATGAAGTCAAAAGTATTTTTTTTTATATTAATGACAAGTAATTATTTTTAATATTCAATTTTTTTTTCATGTTTATTTATCTTATTCCTTTTATATATGTAATAATAATATTTTTTTTTTTTAATAGGTGAATTAATTAATATTGCCTTTACTGCGGGTTGTAGTAAAGAAGATCATCAAAAGTGTGTTACATTAGCAGACCCTTTATTGAAAGATCCTCATCTTATATTTCCTGATAACTTGAAAGACATTGATACAGTTTGCAGGTAAATTATTTCATTATATATTAATAGTACAGATAATTGTAAATAAATATAATTCTATTCATGAAGATGATATAAATTTAACAATGATTAATTAGCATTAATATTTAATTTATTTACAGATCTTGGTCAGGTTTTGTAGATTGTATAAAACGTTACATCGATCGATGCTTTTCAAAGCAACGAAGGGATCAATTTAACGCAGCGGTAGAGGCGCCAATAGCCTCTGTACATCAAATGTGCTCCGTTTCAACATATCAAACAGGTACTATAATAACTGTTATGAAATTAATTTGATTGATCGGATATTAATTATAATAATTATCATCATGTTTTTTAGAATATTTGCAATATGCTAGTTGTTTAAAAGCTACAGTAACTGATCCTCAACATTGTGGAAATGAGTATTCAGCTCTTGTTGAAGAGGTGTCGAAAGGAGACATGGCACGTGCAAGCCTCTGTTGGTTAGTAATTATACATTTTCTAATTATAATTATAAAAGTAATACAATTATTATTAATTATACATAATTATTTAAAATTGACAAAATAACTGTATTTGGTATTTTTCAGTTTACATCATCATTTTAGATCTTGTGTAATTACTGAAACAAAAAAAAGATGTGATAGAGGTCAAATAGACGGTGCTGCTTCACGTTTTTCACGTCAAATTTTAGATCGGGCATTGAGCTTTCTTCAAGAACAGTGTCAACATTATATGTTAGTATATAAAATTTAATTTAAATAATATTAGGATATCAATTTAGATGTTATTAAATAATAAATGATAATCAATAGTAACTGTAATAACAATTGATTTGATTTTTTTCTTTTTTAGTCCGAACAATGGAGATTGTTATAACACAGTTACAGGGAATTCAGCTACGTTAGAAGCAAGTTCGTTCTCAGAAGTAACAAATAGCCGTGGAAGCAATCGTCGTCCTTATCATCGTACTCTATCTCCTGATAGTCATACAGGTCAAGTCAGTAATTTTTATGGGGCTAGTACGAACGCAATGAACAGTCCATCATACAGAAGTACCGGAAGATCTTTAAGTGCATTACCAAGTAAGTTACAACTATTGATTTAATTATTATTATTATTTTAATAAATAAATCTATTTTCAATGTGATAAATAGTTTTTTTTCAATCATTTTTAATTTCTTTTAAAATGAATTGAATAATTAATACTCATAAAAAGTGGTATATTATCTTGTAGAGAACTATGAACTCGATAATCGTGTAATGCCAACGTTAGTTACAATGGACATTGTTCATCATTCAACTTCAGAAATTACTCAAGCTGTTACTACGCAAACAACTGAACATCCTGAAATGAAAGAAAATAAAGAAAGTAAAGATGAAGAAAATGTCAAAGAAGAAGAAAATGTAAAAGAGACAATAGCAACAACACTTGCTGCATCTAATATTGAAGAACCAGGTGTTGTTGTTACACAAAGATCTCCTAATTATGGAAGAGGAATCTCTTGGACTACAGCAACTTCTAAAGTAACTACAGAAATTCCTGCTTGGGCTACCAGTGTTTATGATGCATCATTAGATGTAAGTATTAAATTTATTTAACTATTTTTAAAAATATTATTAATTACCTTATCTATATCTTTGTATCTATTTAATCAGGAATCAGTGACAGAATCTTGGTATCCAGCAGCAGGAAGTTTTGGAGGAAATAATATTGATGAACCAAACCAACAAGGGCTAAAAAATGGCCAATTATATTTAAAATCTAATTTAACTTTAATAATATTAATAACTATTTTTTTTTATCTTTTTTAAAACTACGTAATTATTTATTTTTATTAAACATCGAATTATATAGATCAATCAGTAATTATAATCGTAAATTAAATAAATATAAGAAATTAATTGAAAACTATATATATATTATTTAATTTAATAATAAGTCGTAAAAGATTTCTATCACTATATTCCTAATATCAAGTATGGAATGAATTTATTACTTATTTTCACTAATAATTGTAATTACAATTATTTAAAAATTTTTTTGAAAATAATTGTAATATTTAAGTTAAGAATTTTCTATTCGTATTTTATTAATACTCATTACGATAGTATTTATTTTATAACATTCGAATAATTATTATCAATTTAATAAAAACTTTTATGATAGTTTATTTAATTGAAATAATTGTATAATTCAAATGATTATAAAGTACATCCATCCGATATAAATTTATCAAACATTGTACATGACAGTGTATATAATTATGTAATATTATTAAACGAAAATATTATAGAAAAAATAGAATTTAAATAATAGCAATAAGAATAATAAAATGATAAAGCTTTATCGTCTAGTCTATTAAAAACTTAATAAAAATCACATTTAATAATCATTAAAAATTCATATTCTTTGATTTCTTTATTGAAATTATAATTATATGCATTGTTTGTAGCATTTTGTTTTGTTGTAAAAAATATAAATATAAATCATTGTTTTGTCAATTTAAAAAAAAAATGATAAACATAATAATGTAATAATTTTTTTATTGTTCTATGTACAATAATAATATTAATAGAAGTAATTACAGTTAATTTATTTCGTCTACTTTTTCGATAGGTCATTAAATAAATAATATACATATACTTTTCTATACATGACAATTTTTTTTGCTTAATTCAAAAATGGTTCAACTATTTATTCATTGAGTAACTGCCTCTTATTCAATTGGCTTTATGTTTTATTTTTTTTTTAAATTTAAGTTCATTAATTAATCTTTCAATATCTAAGTATCGCACTTGTTAGTTAATTTATATATTTTTTAATGTAAAAATATTCTATTGGAAAAACATTGTATTTATAATACAGTGAATTTAATATAACATTTGCCTTTTCCATTCAATAAATCTACATAAATACTTTTAGTTCATAACATTTTTTACTTAATTTAATATCTTATGTCGGGTTAACTAGACGCATGTAGTTAGCGAGCTATTGTTTCTAAAATCTACAAAAAAAAAACAATTTATTAATTACAATTATAAACAAATTTTAGATATCATTGGAAATTTATACTTTCAAGTCAACTATAACTTGAATATTAAAAAAACCATTATTTTTAATTATCGAGAATAATCATAAAGAGAAATTTATTTTCTGATATAATTTTATTCAATTATATTTATCATTAACTTTTTATTGTAAATATTTGTAATAATATAAAAAATGCAAACAACTTTTGTTTGTGCATTTACATATTATTACAAATAAAAATTCAATTAGTTATAAAATGTATTCATTATTATAAATTATAAATTACCTGATAAAGCCAAATTTCTGATGACTAGGATTTCTCCTTAATGATGAACATACATATATTCAAAATATTGTAGGTTCTACGATTATATATATATATAATTCAGTAATTAGTACGTTATTATTTCATTAATAACTATTTATATGATAATATTATTTAAATACAATTCTCAATATTATACGCAATGACAAGTTATAATAGTATTCTTCTCAACAATTTCCAAACGAAGAACAAAACCATTGTTCGATATAATTATTATTCACGAAATTTCTTACAATAACTATATTTTTTAGTAGATTTTCTATTAATATTACTTATATACATATTTATAGTTACGTGTAAGCAAATGATAAAAATTAAAGCATTCACATAGTATTTTTTATCAATTAGATTGAATTTTTTGTTCACTTGACATAAAAAAAATTTGAATTATAAAAATGAAAAAAAAAAATTTAATATAGTCATGTTTAATTTTTTTTTTTTTTGTTTCTATTAATTATATTTCTTTAATTGCAAAGAATTATACTAAATATAATTAAAACATTCAATTATATTTAATAAATTCTGCCAAGTATGTACGGATTCTTGAACTGAACAAATTACATTACTCAAATTATTATTTTTCAGATTTAATTTTGATTTTAAATATTCGCCTTCCTATTCATAAAATATTTAATTAGTTTTTTACTATATTCCTTTTTAATTGGTTTATATGTTATGTTTAATTACATGAAAATTTTTTTTAGCTAATTACTCCACGTGTTTCTAATCATCCCACTCATCATCATCTTCACTTATTTCACTACTTGAATCTTGACTATCATTTGAATACCCAAGTAATCGTGATCTTTCAGCTAGAGCTCTTGATAAAGCACCTGCAAGACCACCTTGAGCAATAGTTGTATTAGGTTTTGGCTCATTTTGAATCACCGGTTTTAATTCTACACCTTGTCTAATCTGATTTAATAAATCACTTCTTGAATCTACAATTGGATTAGGTTTCTTTTCTGATTGATCCACTTTCTGAAAAAAGTAAATTTAAACAATTTAAACACTGTTACATACTTTACTTTTTAGAAAAGAGGACATTTTATTTTTAAATTTCTTCGATATTACCTTTAAAATAGTAGTACCACTTCTGATTGCATCCATTAACTTTGGCCTTAAATCCGATGTATCACCGTTACTATTTCCATTACTAGAAGACGAATTGACGTTGCTTGTAACATTGTCTACATTAAAATCTGGTAACGGTGGCGGAGGAGGTGGAGGAGGTGGTGGAGTTGGAATACTTGAAGTGTTTGAAGAGTTGGATGTGTTTGAAATATTGGAGGTACTTCTTGGTGGAGGTGGTGGGACAGAAGGAGGTGGAGGTAATGCGGGGGATCCTGAAGGTGGTGGAGGCCTTGAAGGAAGTGTCCTATGAGCAGGCGGAGCACTTGGTGGGGGTGGTGGAATATTTGTTCGCACTGGCGGCAATGGTCTTAGACTCCTTGTTTGATTCTATAAATAAATGCGTGATAAAATTGAATCATAAATTTCAAAATCTCATATGAATTTCTAATATCTTAATTATTTTTAAATAAATATTATATAGATAAATAATTTAAAACTTACATTATTCAAACTTGGGCTAGTATTAACTGGAACAGTTCTTGCAGGAATTGGTGGTGGGTTGTCAACAGTGGGAAGGGGAAGAGGAGGTGGAGGTAATTGATGATTATCTGTTTGCGTTGTCAATTGAGAATTCGATAATTGACCCAACTCATTTTGCACTGCAGTAAGACCTCCATGTGTACCGATGAAATCATAAATAAAACTACGAGTTTCTCGGCTTGATAAATGCCTTTGTGGTATTCCTGCTGCATCGAATAATTGTTTAATCATTGGATCAAGTAACTCTTGATCAGCTATCTTAGTAGAATCACTTCCTAAATGTGCTACATGCCTGAAATAAAAAAATATCAAAATTTTAAATGAAATGAAAATACATATAAAGTATGTAGAAATGTATAATTTTAATTGTACCTAAAATTAGATGGTTGACCAATATCTGCAGTTGTCAATTTTCTTTTAGGATCTTTTTCACGTTTATGTTTTTTCAAATAAATTGTGCCACCAGAAATACCCCCATTAATGCCCACAGAGGATGATGTGCCATTTATAATATTGACGCTAGTATTGGATGAAAAAAAATTTGGTGTATTACTTGGACTTCTTCGTGGTAACGTTACAACTCTTTGTTGAGCCTCAGCCTCCATTTTAGCTTTTCTTTCTTGTCTTCTTTGTTTATTACTATTTAATCTTTCAATAATGACATTTCTGTAACAGAATATTCATTCTCGTATTAAAGAACAATTGTTTATTAACAATTATTTATTACAAAACAATAACAATTATTTTTACTACCTCATAATCATAGCTTCTGTTTCGTTAGCAAAATTAAATGCTGCCATGCAATCTTCACCTTCAAAAGTATGAAAATATGCCATGGGAGCATTGTAATCCATTGAATTATACAGTTCTTGTTCCCAAAGCATTGCTTTCCTTTGTAAGCAATATAATCTTAAGAAATAACTGCGCTTTGGGTTATCCCTTATCAATGTTATTACACCTGTATTCTTTTTTATCCATTCTCTGTGTGTTGGAGCTTCAGTTAAATACAATTGGATCACTCCGGCAGCTAGGCACTAAAATCATTATAAATATTTTACAAATTGTCTTGATTGTATATTTGATTTTTTTTAAAGAAAACCTTGAAATTTAATGTAATATTTACTATAACTGATAACAAGATTTTGACACGAGATAATAATGAAAATAAATCAATAAATTTTATTGTCATTTATTGAACTAATAAATGTATAAAAATGAAATGATGAAACTCATACAACAAAAATAGCAAATGAATACCTAATTATTTTGAAAATATTCCCACTGTGAACATTTTATGGGAATGTAGGTCAATGTTGAGATAATTATATGAATATATTTTTTGTGACAAGAAATTTTTCAAATGATTGAATATAAATAAATTTACCTGACAACGATTACCAATTAATCGAAAAATCTCTTCATTTTCTTCAGGTTTTAGAAGAACACACCCACGATGCTCTTTTGGACCTGTCGACTTCATTTTTTTCGCATAAATAGTGACAATTTCCAGGTTATGTTCATTGAAACTGGCCTGGCAAATGTGATGTATATTCAATTAATAACACATTTTGTTTAACACTCAAACTTTTTGCGTATACTCCATTTTGTATTTTGATTACAATGTGATTTTAAATGTCCATATAACTTGTTCTTTACCCACAACATTTATCTAAAAACTTGCAAACACCACCCACGAAGAAGTGTTTTACTGCAGGAAACTCAAATGACGGTTAATGACATTTCCGTGCATCCGGTTCAGTAGACCTTGTTCCGTCATTCCTTTGCTCTTAGTGATGTGACAAAAATATATATCATACACATCACAATTGTTCTCTTTTTACACATTCCAACTTCTTTTGTGCCACATATGATTTTATTCATTGACGTCATATTAAGATTTTAATTTTTTGCGATGACTAATTATCATATATTTTGTTGTTTTACTACTGTTGAGTTTTTTTGTTTCAAGTTTTTTCGATTAAACTGATTAAAATTATTCGAAAAAAAATTTCAATTCATTACAATTGATATAGACAAATGTAAATACAATATATACTTTTTTAACAATTAACAAGATCATCTGTTTTGATTATTAAAAATTAAAATGTACAATCTAAATTTATTGTTATTCTTTAATCAATTGTTTTATATAATTAAATTACTTATCAGTGAGTTCATTTAATAATAATTGGATCTAAAAAGAATTTAATGATTAGTTTTAATTTTATTTCGTAATTTTTGTTATGTTTTGAGTATAGTATATTAAAAAAATTGTAATCATTAATATATTATTGGTTATTTATTTAATTAAATTGAATTCATTAACATTAATTCACAAGTTAAAAGATAACTCGAGCAAACTTATTCGAATAATTTCGCGGGTTTTGATAAGAAAGAGAATTTTTTTGCGCAAGATTGCAAATGGCTGCAAGTGGACATAGCTGCTTAGATATCATGTCAACAAAAGGTATGTTTTTTCGCGGTGAAAACGTAAAAATGGTGATGTTACTAGTTTGATTACGATCTAATATACGTGGCACTAATTGCTGTAGTAATTAAAATAAATTAAAAATTACACGTTTGATAATTTGCGCGGGAAAACACGGTGAAGATGTCCGGTTATCGAAGGGTCAATTACTATGAACTCTGCAGGCTTTGTACTAGCAGTGAAGGTAATAAAATGAATATCTTCCGTGAGGAAGGACGGAGAAGACAACTCCAAACAAAAATTCAAACATATTTACCTATTCAGGTTAATATTTATTTGTTTAATTTAATAATATGTTTAGTATAACAAGTTATAATATTTATTTAAACAATATATTTGTTATTATTTCAAATGAAGGTTCTAGAAGAAGATTCTTTACCAAAGATCGTTTGTCATGAGTGTGTAAGAAAGTTAGAAAGCTACATAGAATTTCGTGACACAGTAGTTAGTGCAGAAGGAATGCTTGAATCATATTTTACTTCACTGCGCTTCTCCGAGGATTTTTTAAAGGAAGGAAAAGTTTATGTCAAAAATACCGAAAAAGAAAGACCTCCAAGTTTAGAAGATCCAATAAAAATAGAAAAATTATCACCAACAAACGATCAGAATGTTATTAGTGAATCTCAAACTCAACATCAGCAACCAGTTGTAGTCAATAATTTAAATACTTCAAACATTCAAATAATCAGTGGTGTTCAGGCCAGGGTCCAACAATACAAATGTGCCATGCAGGTTGTTACTCTTTACATATTAACTAAATCTTATTAGATATTTATTAATTTTTTCTTTTCTTTTTCTTTTACTGATTTTAATTTTTAGATGCAACCTGGTGGAGTAGCTGCAGCAGTGGTTGAAGCAACAGCTGAAACTCATTATAGTTATCAACAGCAAACTTCACAACAAGTATCACCTCAAAATCAATCTTCACATGGTCAGAGTCGATTAAATGAACAACAACAGCAACAACAATCTCAATCAACTCAACAAATTCAAGTGCAAAATCAAATTCAAAACCAAAACCAAATAAATCAAATTCAAAATCAGAGACAAGTAACGCAGCAGCCTAATCAACAGCAAAGACCAGTGGTTCAACAACCACAAAATCATTGTCAAATGACACAACAGATTCAACATATACGTGAGTTTGATAAACAGAGGCTTCAACAAATTGAAAAGCAAGTACAGATATCTCCACCCCAAGATCAACAACAAAATCAACCTCAAATAGTTCATCAAAATAATAATGCTTTAATTAAAACTGATATTAATATTGAACAAAATCAACAAGTGCCATTGAAAAGCGAAATAGAATCTCAAAATATTAATTCTCCCGGTGAGAACGTACAGAATTTTGCTACAGTTCAAGCTTCGCCAGAGGTATTTCTTAGTTTAGGATTCAAAGAAACACCATTAAATTCTCAGCAACCCCGCGATGATAAAGATTTTCGTGAATATATTAAAAATTCAAACGATGATCCTCTTTCACGTAATTCTATCGGGCCAATATCAGAATTTCTAAGACTTCGTTCATGTCCAGAACAAGCGTCTCTAATAACTGTAAATCCTCAAGTGATTTGTCAACCTAGTCGTAATTTTGTTTGCCAAGAATGCAATAAAACTTTTGAAAATTCAAACCAACTGAATAGCCATCAGTGTCCTAATTCTCCAATGCTAGCTGAAATAACTGAAATAAATGTAAAAGATGATCAAAATCAAAATAATGGTGTTAATTCTTTCAATTGTGATGTATGCGGTAAGCCTTTTAAAAGAAAAGAACACCTATTTCAACATCGAAAGCTTCATACAGGAGAACGTCCTTATGTTTGTACAACTTGTGCTAAAGCATTTAGTCGTAAAGAGCATCTTGTTCGTCATTCAGTATCTCATACAGGCCAAAAAATGCACGAATGTGAAATGTGTGGTAAAAGTTTTTCACGTAAAGATAATTTACATAAGCATCGTAAAACTCATGGAGTATCCGGACCATATATTTGTGAAACTTGTGGAAAATCTTTTGTAGTAAAACATTATTATTTGATGCATCTTACTACTCATGCACCAACAATTGTCGATGGAGAGAATTGTTCTGATCCTTTGCCTTATAAGTGTGATCTCTGCCACAAAGCATTTTCTGTTAAAGAGTATCTGGCTACCCACAAACAACGACATCGTTCTAAAAATAATTCAAATCATTCAAATGGACAAAATCAACAACAATCACAACCTCAACATGTGCAACAATCAGTTCAAAGTAGTGCAACAAATGGAATCAGTGTAACTACCAATAATGTAACAAATAACAGTTTATCTGGAACTAATAGTCAAAATAATGAAACTCCGGTAGTTGAAATTCATAATGTCATTGAGAGAAATGATTCACAATCGGGACAACAACATGCTTCTTATAACAATAATCAATACCATGGAAATATACAACAATTTCAATGAGATAAGGGAAAGCGTGTATACTATGTTCTCTTACCTAACGGCAATAATCACAAAATTGTTGTTGTCTAGAGTAAGTTAAATAGTATAACACGCTTGTTAACTTCACTGTTAGTAATCAATGCTAAAATTTATTTTCGAACATTTACGCAATATTGAAAATGATTTTAAAAAGATAATCAAGTTTATACATATTTTTTTTTTTATCCGGAAGGTAATTGTTATTTTATTTAAATATATTATAACAGATTTTGTATTTTAATAATCGTGAAAAAATCAAAAACAGAAAATCATTGAGTATCATACTAATTAGAAAATTTTTTTAATGGCTTAAGAGACTGATGAATATATAAGGACACTGTATATATTTTATCAGAAATGAAGTATTAAGAAAATATGAGATAATGATGCATAAGTATGATGTAGTGATATGTATTTATAAATATGCCTATAGAAAATTAGTCGTAACGTAATTTCAGGTAAAAGACATGTGAATTGAAAAAAATAATTTCAAACAAAAAAGAAATAGATAAAAGATTAATATGCAAAATATCAAATCTTGTGGATAAATTTTTAAACATTATAAAGATTAAAATATATAACGGATTTTAAATAACCGTTATTAACTATTTTTTCATAAAATTCTACTAGACGGATATTTTATATTGGTTATTAATTATTATTGTATTGAATCACCGATTTTTTTTTGAATTCAGTTCATTTATAATCGTATTTTTAAGTGATATTTTATTTTTTTTTTTTTTAGAAGCTATGAAATATCAATATTATTGAATTATTTATACAATATTGACAATATTGTTTCTTTAATTTTTAAACGTCATTTAATGACTCACTTTGTTATTTTTTATTTAAACAAAATTTTGTGCAATAACAAGTTTTATTTAATAAAAATTTGGGATATTTAAAAAAATTAATCATTGATAATTACTATCATCAAGTAAATAAACTTTGCATTTATTTTCATAGCTTTGGAATATGAAATTTTTTTTTACGAATTGATATGATTTAATAAAAGTTAGTTCCATATATTTATATATGGATACTGTATATGAATGTATATGAATAGGGTAGAAATTTTAAGACCAAAGAATATATTGTGAAAAGAAAAAAAATGTATGTGTAATACCTATCAAGTAAAAATGATAGATCGAATACATGATAATGTAAATCTAAATGGAGTAAATTGCAAGACTTAATAAATATTTTAGTGCCATTGACCAAACAAAATTACATTTTACAAATTCCAATAATTAGTAATCATCTATCAATTAACTTAATAATAAATCAATTTTTCAATAAAATTATTTAAATTATCATTCGGCTAATTAGAATTTTCGTGATAATTATATTTAGTGCGAAATAAATATAAAATATTAACCTTCCGCATCTGATTATAAAATAAAAATTTATCAAAAAAATAAATAAATCAACATTCTATTTATTTTACCCAATTTCAATTTTATTTTATTGTATATTCTTATTATGCATGGCTTTGTAATTTTTTTTTTTCCATTAAAAAAGAGAGAAAATATAGTGTTTTTATTATATAAATAAACTAAGTTTGCATTAAATATATTCTAATTCATCAACGCATTCACTGATCAGCCACATTGATGCAAAAAAAAAAAAAAACAATTTACACTCAATTATTTACGTATTTTAATTTACAATATAATCTACATGGAATACTTGCAGTTAATTAATATAAAGATTTATATTTTATTAATAACTGTAATAATTTTTTTTATTAATTACTTTAATTCAAGTTGGATACTTGAATATATTTATTATTTTAAACATAATTTCGAATGAAAATTTTTTCATCATAAACATTTAAAACTCTTATTTTTAATTTCACTTCATTTCATATGAGATAAATTAAAATTTCCTTAATATTACCACAAAAAAATAATAAAACAGTCTTACATTCAAATCTATACGTTCGAGAACAAAATAATGGTGAAAGACAAAATTTAAAAAAAAAAATCCTATGTACAGTTGTCATAACGTTCAAGATCATACGATCATATTTGCTTCTTCAAGATTATTTTTGAAATTGCACTGTGTTGTGATTAAAAATTCTTGCCTTAGCATTATGGCATGGCAGTTATTATTAAATCATGTAATGTACAGTTTATTATATATTTATTAATATGATTTAAGTTTCGATGTCAAAAGATGAAATAAGTGTGACATTAGGTCGTTGTGATTTAAAAGTTTGAACTCCACTTTCAGTTACTGATGTACCAGTAACATCTAGATACTCCAAATTGTTAGCATTTGCCGCAAGATGAACTAAACTTTTATTCGTTACTAGTGGATAGTTTCTGTAATTAAATAAATAAATTATTTATTATAAATCATTAAAATATTTTTAATTAAACCATAAATTCTACTAAATAATTAATCATTTATTTACCGTATTACTAAAGTTTTTAAATATGGATTATTCAAAACTCGAACTTCCTCTTCATATAAAACATTACGGGATACATTATCTAAAACCCTTCTATCACATACATAACTGCCTAGTGAACAAATAGATCTATCAGTTATTCGATTATGTGAATGATCATTCCATCTAAATTGATTTTCATCCATTGCATATTGTGCTACAACTCTATCCTCATACGTAGGCTCTTGAAAGATGTCTCGTCGAGGCAACGTATCATCAGATTCAGAAAACTCTGATGAATACTCCAAATATAAATGTGTTAAAGTTTTAGTATTACTTAAACAACGAATTTCACTGTCTCCGATACTAGTACGTCTCAGATCTAACACTTCAAGTGTTTTAAAACCAAATCTTGTGGCAAGACTTGCATAAGCTACACAATCACCAAGGTGTTTACAAGAATCCAATCGTAATTCTTTAAGTTTTAGGATTTTACTGATTACCAGTAACGAATGACCCGTCAACCATTGACAGTCACTTACTATTAATATCTGTAATAAATATTCAATTTTATTATTTATATTCGATAAATTATTTTAAATTATTGGAAATATATATTTTGGTTGCTAATAATTGTTGTAATAAATATTTTTAAATTTAAAAATATAATAAATAAATTGTCATTACTTTTAAATTTTGCATATGAAGATCCATTTTAAAAAAGTACGATTTTATTGTTGGTAAATGAGATACTTTGGTTCCTTTGAGAGATAATTTTTCAAGCGTCGACGGGAATTCCGTAATTTTTATCTGAAAAACATTTTAATTATAAATAAAATTAATATGTAATGAAATATCTTAAGAATTATCTATCACTATCAACTAAATAAAATTACATCTTTACTGATAATTGAATACTCTTCAATAATTAATTCTTTTAAGTTAGTGCACACTTTGCCAATCTGGGAAACAAAATCAATTTTTAATTCTTCTAAATTATCTTCACTTTCATTTATCATTGTACGTCTTCCGTTAATAGCAATACTGGTCGTAGATGGCTGTAAAAATTTTATCACATTTTTCAAATCTTCATTTTTGGTAGGTCTTGATCTGAAATCCACAATTCGCCAAAGAGTTCTATCACGAGAAACTTGATTCAATCTTTGACAGCATCTATGACAATAATAATATAATTATTAATAATAATAATAATATCATGATAATAAAACTAGTCTTATAAAACTTACAAACTTAAAGCCATCAGATCTTGAGGACTTAAAAATTTTATAATATTGAGCAATACATCATCAGAGAAGTCTAAAATATGAGGCTGACCATCTTGAAGTTTCCCCGTGGATAAAGTTTTGTCAAAAAGTTTAGGAACTTTGGCATCTCTACTACTCGAAGGCTCTGGCGACAAAGACTTACTCCTTTTTACTTTCATTTTTTTACGACACCTAAACAAAATTATTAACAAACATAGCATGAGAAAAAAAATAATTTCATACAAAAATATTCTACATTAGACAATCCGAAGAGCCATGAGATAGCTGATTAGTAGCAACAATTTTTTCCCATAGAGCTTCAAAATGTTTTGACATGTTAACGTTAATTTTTGACAGGAATGATATTTGCTGATGACCACCATCTACTATAAGTCACAACTAAACTGAAAGAAAAACTCGATTTGGAAGCTACACTGATCTAATTTTGACTTCACATATTCTCTCTTAAATTTTGGCATAAGCCCAAAATAAGTAATATAAGTATATGAAAGTTTATTTTCTGCTCTCTCATGGTTCTTTGTGCTCTCACAGTCACCATCAATTCCACTTTTTGCACTCATTTTTATATACATAAATAATATTAATATCTAAATTAAGTCATCGTAATAAAAAAAAACTTTGTTTAAAATAACTTGGTAATAAATTTTCTATAATATTCAATACAACAAAAAAAATTGTGTTTAACAAAATATAATATCAAAAAAAAAAAAAATTAACCAATGTATCTTTACTCTGACTAAATAACATGAAAAATTAAATTAACAAAAGAAGTAATCATTGTGTCTTTGATTATTGATGGAACATTCAAGCTATTTAATTGTAATTACCATTGAAAAAATATTAAGTAAACTTTAAAAAATAAATAATAATTTTCATAGCACAACAATGATATGAATAAGATAATTTATTTTCTGACAATGAAATGGAGACAATACAAGAAAAGGAAAGTTACAACCTACAATAAAAAAAACAAAAAAAAAAATAAAAATAAATATATTCTTACTTTATTAAAAATATTCTATTTAAAATAAATTGTGTAGATAGTTTTATTCTACTACAAAGAATTTCTTCAAATGTAAATATTAGTTGGTAAAATCTCCAATAACTTGACACCAGGCGTCACAGAAATGAAAATGTGTGTAATGTATGTATTTAACTAATGTATAACACTATTCGTTTGTGTGTATGTATGTGTGTATATATACATGCATCAAATTTTTTAGTAAAAAAAAGTTAAATTTCCTAGAATGGAGCAATTTGATATCAAACAGATATTATAGAATTGGTAAGGTTGTTTTTTGGATAATTGATTCTATATTACCATCAAAGTGCAATATTTTTTTTAGTGCCAATAAATTTAACTATGTTAGATGGCGTGGTGATCGTTCGTGGAACAAAAATTAAATGGGAATAAATAAATATAGCTTTGATATAAAAAAAATGTTAATTAAAATTAAATAATTTTAATGTTAATTAATTAATTAAAATTGATTTGGATTTGGATTAATCCATGTACTGCTTTAATTTAAATTTTAATATTTGTAACATTTATAATATTTGAATATTTTAAAAATGAAACCATATTAACTAATGACTTCGTGTTAAAATTAATAATAAATATTTAAATAAAATAAATAACATTATAACTCCGTCATACGATATTTATTTAGTGTAAGTTTTGTATATACATGTAGGTAAACGCGAAAGAAACGATTTTAATTATTTAATACTTATAATTTTTATTCACTTGTTAAAAATTTTTTCCTAACTGTATGATGAATTAATTATACGAAAAAGTTTAAATATTAAATGAAAGTATATTATGACTTTTTCTGAAAAACATTTCTTCTTTGTCATTCTATCACATTGTTAACTCCTGTAAAATAAAAAAAAACTCATTATTATATTTATAACATTAAATTTGTAATAGAATTGTTTAAAGATTAAATTTTCAGTCTGCCAAGATTATCTTCAATAGTAAATCTGACTGTGAATATAAAAGCGAAACCTTCACGTTTTTCATCATGAATATTTATAAAATATATACTTAAATAATGACTATTGATAGAATTGAATATATTATTTACCATAATAGCATTGACAATGTCATTTTGATTGTTCTTGAGTGCTTTGATAGCTTTCCCTCGAGAGACATTGGCTTGTGCCATGACCAGTTCAACATCTTTTTCTTCAACACCAGATTCATCAACTTCTTCTTCAGATTCTTCTTGTATAGGTGCAACAACAGTTGTACTTCCTCCTGCTTCAGCAGTTGAAATAACTGGAGGTTCTTTGAACTTTTCAGCAGCAGCAACTTGTGCTTGTTGACTCAAGTCCTCGATCTAAAGTTACAAAAATTATTAACAAAATATTATTTAAATCTGTTAAATTATTGGTTAAGTAAATAAAAAAATATAAAAACTTACTTTAGCTTCACCAAAAATAATATATGTGTCAGAAGCTGGATTTTTAAGGACATCTGGTTTATTAATGACGAAAAGAATATTTTTAGATTTTCTGATCGTAACTCTGTTGACACCCTGCACCAACTTGAGCCCTAATTTACTCATTAATTTTCTCGCTTTCTTTTCACTTCTACTTTGTTTAGCTTTAGATATTACATCAATTGGTAATCCGCTAACATTAGTACCAGAAAAGCCACCACCTCCAGCATTTGTATCTTCTAAATCAGGAATAGATTCATCAGAATCGGAATCTGTTCCAGATCCAGCAGCTACTACTTCTACTTTTGTAGGATCAGAACTCGCTGCCTTGTCTAATTCCGTTAATTCAGGCATGTTTATGAATCTGTGGAAGATCTAAGTAAAATTAATCATTCAAGTATTTATTACTAATAAAATCATCAGAAATTTGACCTTAATAAACTAAAAATATATTCTAAGTAGTTAAATGGAGCTTAATAGGTTAATGCATAAGATAATGACATTGACAAAATTTTTTTTATCCAATTATTTGTTTTTTAAGATAATAATTTAAATAATTTGTCATGTAAATAAATTATTGTTAATATTAAGATTGACAATTTAATTTTTTTACATGAGTCATTCAGTTTAAATGGTATTATAAATAAAATTGTACTGTAGAGAAAAAAAATTACAACGCTATCTTAAAAACAAAAGTTATTAATAACAATAACAAAATTTATGACTTATTATTATAAAAAATCTATAAAATTAAGATTGCCTTGTTAAATTAATTTTTTATTGTTAAGTAATTCGTTGTGATGTCATAAATATTATTGGATTTACCTCAATGTGTAGATTATTTAGCCGATTAGTATTTCTGGAGAATAATAAAGACCAATATAGATTGTAAACTATTCACATGCATCAATCGGCATAGAAAATGCTATGATCAAGAGCTGTAATCATAATATAATTTTTTTATATCTTTCAATTACTTTTTAGAAAAGACACTTGGTGGCGTGACTCATCAATACACACACACAAATATATGACAAACAGAAAATATAGGTTAGGGCATATACGAATATGTAATATGAATGTGTGTGTGTGTGTAAACAGTCGAATACACATGGAAATTTCAAAAATATAAAAATGCACACATATGAAAATGAATAAAATCTTGAAAAATAAGTACATGATGGTTTGTAATAAATAACTTTGTTCTACATATTTATTTCTCAGAATTTTATATTATTAAAAATACATTAATCTACATATATATTTATAAATTATGATGATTAATATTAAACGGCGTAAAAACATTTGTAATATAAAAAAAAATCACGCATCAAGACAAACATTATTCAACGGCTTTTTACAGTCATTTTTAATGGGATTTTTTAATACAGTTAGGGTATAATTAATAAATGAATAATATTATTCTGTGCAATGATCTATGGGCATAATGTTAAATTTTACCTGTTTCCAAATTAATATAATTCCTCACAAAAATGTACAATTATGCAAAAAGAAGTCTTCATGTTTACGTCATTGATAATTACGTTTAAATTAATTCCTTTTATGAAGCGTCTGAATAACAATTATATTTTATTCTTCTTCTATATATCTATGATTAATTTCAAACTATTCAGTTCATAAAACGTGTCACTATTGACATAACAGATACAAACTACAACTTGTTAATGAAAATTAGATCACATAACTAATAGAATTTCACTTGTTATCCAACGTTGAAATTATTTTATCAAATTGACTTTAAATTTAATATTTTTTTTTTTATTACAAAGAAACATCATATGACAAATTAGATATTAAAAAAATAAATTAATTTATATTGAGTCGGACTATTCAGAAACTTTGTTTCATTATTATAAATGATATAGACTGGAATGAGGACAACAAATTATGACGGGAAAAATGACGCGTAAAAAATTTAAGCCACTGTTGGTAATTATTTTCAACTTGAAAATTTCAATAAATTATATCAACGTGGAGATTCATCAATCTCCATTTTTTCAAGCTGATTATCATCAAGTTTAGTTGTGTCTTCAGTGTTTTTCTTTTCTACCAAATTGTCTGTAACATACAGCCTTTCAATAGTACGATAAAATTATTTAAATAAATTTATAACTCACCTTCTTCTTTTTCATTGCTATCAACTTCTATTTTATTGTCTATTTTTTCCGATTGTTTCATTTCATTTTCAGGTGTTTCTGGTTTCTCAACTACTTCAATATCTGAATCTGTTTCAGATGAAGTTAATATATCATCAGTTGATTTCGATTGGTTCTCAGATGAATGGGAACTCGTAAGATCCATTTCAAGTTTTGGAGCAGAAGGTTTTTGTTTTCTTGCTGGATTCCAGTAGTTACAGTAGCAACATCTGAATCCTTAAAAAAATATTATGGATATTATATTATTTTTATTATTTTTCTATTGATCCAGTAGTAATCTAATATGAATAAATTAATGGCTGTTCAAAATCCATACCAAAATATTCAAATTCTTCTTTAAGTGCCATCCCATTATGAGAATCACACTGATGGCAAATAAGAGCATAACGATTCGATGGTCCATCACCTACTAAATATTCTACCAAACGGTCCAAATAACTTCTTTGTTGAGGAAGTATCGGACGAGGAAGTGGTGACCCTATTATAAATAAATATTATATAGATATTACTGATAATTAATTAAACATGAACACAAAAGTTTATTCACAGTGCCATTAAAGCTTGAATGTTAATACTAACGAGGATGCATTAATGAAGCATTTTGTAATCTATCAGTGGGCTGATAATATGGAATCTGCTGAGGAGTATTAGCAGGAGAAGCAAACCCAAGTGGCACACGACCAGAATTAACGGGCCTACCGATTGATGCATTCAACACAGGATTGACATTGGTTAAAGTTCGTTTTCTTAATTCATTATTATTCGGTGTAGATTGAATTGCAGTTTGTGGTGTGCTTGGAGCACGTGGATTTGTAGCTGTACTCATAGATATTTTAGAAACTGGCTGAAATTTATGATTATTCATTAATTTATAGTATTTGTTAATTATTAGCATTTCATCATTATAGTATCAAATCTATAATTCAGACACATCGTTGTCAAGCAAAATATTACCATTCAAATGGACAAATGATTTGCAGTGACATACATACCTGTGGAGTGAGCTGAAAAAAATTATCATCGTGTCATTAAATCTATTAATTGAATATTTAATTATTTGAAACTTATACTAATAATTCTAATTACCGGTGACATTCTTAATTGATCAGGTGCAAATTTTAACAAAATTTCTTTGGCTTTTTTATACGTTTCTGTTTCTGTTACTTCATCAAGTATTTTTTTCTTCTCTTTTTGCATCTCAACAAGTTTTTCTTGATTTCTGGAAATTTTCCTTTTATAATACCAAGTTACCATTTTTTTAGTAAATACTATACTGAAATAATAATAATTACATTTAGATATTTATAGGAGTCAGCTACATAAATAATAACAAAAAACTTACTGTTATTTATTATAATTAAAATAATTATTAACTTACAGCAGTGGAAAAATAAGTAGTGGAATTATATAAAATAGTTGATCATAAAGAGATGCCGGGAAAAAATAAAAATAAAAAAGTACTGCTGTTACAATGTAAAGGATGACACTATAAATTATCAATGTTCCTACTATTTTTTTGTGTCTCTGTTCAGTTGTTGTTCCATACTGTTCTATTGCTTTTATTTTCTACAACAAAAAATTTTCAATTCATTCAACTAATAGTAAACATTTTTAAATCTTTCATATGTCTATTCATCAACTCACTGTTTCCAAACTATCCAAAATTTCGATGGTTGTTTTTTTTTTCTGCAAAATATAAAATAAATTTTTTTTTACATTCAGATATATACATATATATATATATAAATATATATTAAGTATTTTTATTATGTAATATAAATATTTAACCTTATCAAACTTTAATTTTAATCGAAAAATTATTAATTATAATAAATTCATTTGAATATAAATTATGAAAGTGCGAAAATGTTTTTAAATATAATCATGACCTATTTGACCATCTAAAGAAACCATTTACACAAGTGCAGTTGCTGTGTCATTGGACAGTAATTTTGGATTCAACCAGACAATTGTTAGGAATGAATTAATTCTTTGATTATATTGACTGTATTATCATTTCATTATATTTTTTTTATATATATATATAAAATAAAATGCTTGATAATTAATTCAATTCTTATCAATTATACATGATACTCCATAAACATATGGAGTATCAATTGAAAAGGATTTTATTTTGAATGTCGCGCCTACCATGAAAACTGATTTCATAATGATAATGATAATAAATAAAGTTTAATTCTAAATATAACTTTTGTTCATCATAAAAGATTATTTTTGTACATCGAGGTGTAGGCTAGAAATTTTATTTTTTGATATTAAAAAATGACAATTGTTTATTGAGTTAGATAAGTTAACCTACAATTTCTAAATTACCGCGTAAAGACTGACATTCTATTAAGAAAAAAACAAGGATATTAATTACAAGTTAAAGGATGTCTATAACTTACCCGAAATCTGGAGAGTAGTATTCCCATACTTGTATAAATTAGGTATATTTTATAATAAATACCAAATTTTAATAAAAAAAACACTCACTGGATAGTTAATGCACTTAACCAATGTCAAGGAAAAATGCTCCAGTCTTTCGAGAATTTCAAAATAGACTGGCGTATGCGCTTTATAAGATTTCAATTGCAACCTACCTATACGGTATATAGTTCACAAACATAACAGTAATATTCCAAATTTAAATTCACAATATACGTGACTACATTGTTCTTTATAACATATACCAATAAATATGCAGCATTTATTTATTTCTATTTAATCATTATTGATTTTAAATTGAATCATATGTTAATTATTAAAACATGCAAATATATATCATACGCATTTTATTTTTTTAATTATAAAATGCTTTCTAAGGTTCATATGGATACATTGTTGCAATTAATAATGATTATTACATTTTACAAATATTTAACATTTCAAACTTATTACATGAAATATTCATTTTTTTCAGTAATTATTTCTTACTAGCCTTTGAGATAATATTATTCTTGGAAATTATAAATAAGTCTGAGTATAAATCGGCTAGCAAAAAAAAAATTAGAGAAATTTTTGCCATCAAGTTAGAAAAATTAGGCTACGTTTAGATTTTTAAATTTCTTCGATCGTTAACTATACTATATCTATGTAATAAATACATGTATGTACATATAAAATTATATGCTATATATGTATATAACAATGTGCATGAATTGTACTTAATTTGTTCGTTTTCTGTGGGTGCTTGAGCTATTTCATGCAATAAATTTTTTGCCCATCTGGTTTACTTTTAAAAAACGTTTGTGCAATAATCCGGATGTTTCTCAATCAGCAACAAAAAAGAATTGATTTTAATAAATACAAATTATCAATAAAATAGTAATAAAAATGTCGAGACATAGAGACATACGTTGTATGAACTATTCTGATGGTAAATATCATTTAACATTTAGGTCTTGTTGAAGGTTATTTAACCTAGAGTTTACTCCAAAAATTTGCATATAAGTGTTAGAATTATTTTATCAATTTTTCTTTTTCATTGTATAGAATACGATGGATATGATGATGTGTATGGCCATTCGGTCGAAGATGATTATTGTGTATCTCCTGGAGGTAAATAGTTGATTTATTTGTGTTTTATTATCAATAGATTTTCTTTTTATAGAGCTATTACATAAAATATTATTATTAAAATTTTTTTACAGCTGAACAATTTATGTATGATCGGAATAAACAGCAAAACATAGCTTCATTTATAACGGAGCCTGATATCAAAGAGGATAATGAAGAAGAGTACGAAGACGAAGCTGTATCACCAAAAAATTATCAACTTTCAGATATTGATACTGCCAAACTCATGTCTTGTATTGAAGTCATAAGAAATGTTATTGGTGATGCTCTTCCAGATACAGTACTTAAAGAAAAAATAATTGCATTTAACTTTGACACTCAAACTATTTTAGATCATATTTTGAATACCACACTGGCAACAAAAACACCTACTGGTAATTGATTTAATTAATAAGTTTCATGTACGATTGTATTTATTTTAATTTTTAATTATTAATTTTCTTTTAGAAACTACAGTTGAAGCTAAAAAACACATCGCAGCACAAACAGGTATAATAAATATTTTACTGTTATTCAATATTAAGGTAAAAGCACTAATAAATGATATCAATTCTCAAGGAAGGGGCTTCAATTATTACCTTATTAGTGTTTTTACCTTAAAAATTGCTGTTCTGTATTTTAATAGAATATTTATTTTCTTTTTCATGCATTGCTGCTCGTTATTTCATATCGGTAAGGTAAGATTTCCTTTTATTTACTAAAGTATTAACTGATAGTTCAAATAATTTAAAACCAAGATTGATTGAAAAATCAAATTTATTAGGAGGACGACTACTATCTAGCTCAGAGAATTCAAAATCTGAAAAAAATCAAAATTCTTCACGCTTAGAGCTGGTGTCAAATCATAAACCTAAATTTTCCAATTTTTCCGTCAAATCTCCAATATCGTTTAAACAAATAACACCAATTCAACAATCAAGTCAAATGAATAGTCCAACAAATACAAAAGCTGTGAGTCAAAATAAAATATCCTTTAACTCTTTAGCAGAAATGACTGCACATCATTTAGAAAAATCTAAAGATTCTTCAAACAAAAGTAATTTTGCACCAAAAATTTTTAATAAACCATTCGTTATTCCTAAATTAAGTAGTAAAATCACTAATTGTCAGACCAATTCAACAAACAATAATAAGGCCACAGATTTAATTGATCATTCAGAACGTAATAGTAACGAGTGTTTATCATCAGTACAAACTGACTCTGAAACTGAAAAAACAGTTAATCATAAAATAAAAGATCTATCTAATGAATCACATAATTGTTCTGAACTATATAAATCATGTAGTGATAGTTCAGATACGTTTAATTTAGAGATTGATTTAACAGCAGCTCTGCGACATAGTAAAAAAATGCATAAAAAAGCGAACAATCATGAACATGTTCAAGAAAATATGTCAACTCCTGTAGAAATGTTTAATCTTGATAAAATTTATGAAAAAATTGAAACTCTACCGTCATCAGTGATTGAAAAAAGCTCTAATATTCTTGAGTGTAATTTAAGTATGATGAGTTTGCGTTATAAAAAGTTAAATCATTCAAATAAAGTTGTTTCATTATTTGGAAAAATTATATGTAAAAAATGGACAACACATAGTAGACCTTATATTAAATCGTATCGATCAGAATTGAATAAAAATATTAAAAGATTTGATTTTACTTCTCTATCACCTGATGGTATTGTTCTAGCAAATTTGAGAAGATTATGAATTGATAATAATTTAATTGTATATTTTTTTAAAGATTTTATATTATATACAATACGTATGATATTAAGACGTATCTTTATCGAAATATTTATAACGTATTCATTGATATCTTTTGATACGTTTAGTTTATGTGTTCTATTATATTATTTTTAATATATGATTGTTATGATTATCATTTTGATGGATAATTCATTTGACAATACGGTTATACGTAATAGTTTAATATTAATTAACGCTTAATATCGTTATAATTAATTGTATATTATAACTAAAATAAAATATAATTTTGTCTACATAATATTTAACTTTATATTTTAATAATAATCAATATTCATTTTTATTTATAAATAAATATTTTTTCAACACAAATGTATAGGTACCAAGATGATAACAAAACCTGTAATTCAAGTAACAACACCGTCAACAGTAAAAGTTGTTTCATCAACAAATAGATCAATTATAAAAGGTTTCGACCTTAGTGGTACTGAAAATAATGATTTTCTTCAACCGCGGCAAGAAAGTCCAAGATCTCAAAGTCCATCATCGTCTGATTTTAATTGCTCACCAAGGCTTCAAAGGAAACAAAATGAAGGGAATCAAAAAAAATCTCTAAATGCTTCTACATCAAACTCACCACGATGCCAATCACCAATGTCAGAACGAATTTCTCCTGATTCTGATATAAAATCTAAGAATCTTTTTGAAAATAAAAGAGATGTTTTAGAAATTTATAAAAGTAAACGAGAAAGTGTCAAAGATCAAATACATCTTGTTGTTGTTGGTCATGTTGATGCTGGAAAAAGTACACTTTTAGGTAGATTATTGTATGATTTAGGACAAGTGTCTTCAAAATTAATACATAAATATCAGCAAGAGAGTAAAAAAATTGGCAAACAATCATTTGTTTATGCTTGGGTGCTAGATGAAACTGGTGAAGAACGGTAAAGTATTTTATATTAATTACTAATTACTTATATATATATTATAATATTTCCAATATATTTCTAATTTAATTATTTTTTTAAACATTATTAGGGAAAGAGGAATAACTATGGACGTTGGTTATTCCAAATTTGAGACTGAAACAAAATGTATAACAATTTTAGATGCTCCTGGCCACAAAGACTTTATTCCGAATATGATTATTGGTGCTACACAAGCTGATGTAGCTTTATTAGTCGTTGATGCTACAAGAGGTGAATTTGAAACTGGATTTGATAGTGGAGGACAAACTCGAGAACATGCTCTTTTACTTCGATCTCTTGGTAAAAATTTACTTTTCTTAATACATATTTTTTTAAGTTGTTCATTTGTGATTAATTGAAAATTCAATTTTTCTGCAGGTGTCTCGCAAATTGCAGTTATCGTTAATAAGTTAGATACAGTTGATTGGTCAAAAGAAAGATTTGATGAAATTGTTGAAAAGATAAGTGTTTTTTTAAAACAAGCAGGTTTTCGAGATTCTCTGACATTTGTTCCTTGTAGTGGATTGTCTGGAGAAAATTTAGTTCATCCACCAAAGGCTGAGGCTTTCGCTAAGTGGTAAATAAAAATTCAAATATTTATTTAATTGAGGTATTTTATTTTTATTAATATTAATAAATTGAAAATTTTTTTTTAGGTATAATGGGCCAACTTTACTTTCAGTAATTGATAATTTTAAATGTCCAGAAAGACCACTTATGAAACCATTTCGTTTATCAGTAAACGATATTTTTAAAGGAACTGGATCAGGATTTTGTGTATCAGGTCATATAGAAACTGGTATGGTTGCTGTAGGTGATAAGGTTTTACTTTTACCGAGAAATGAATCAGGAGTTGTTAAAGGTATAATATAAAAATGTTTTATAATTATTATCAAATATTACGTCTTGACTGATTAATTTATTTCAGGAATATCAATAGATGAAAATTCGCTCACAACAGCCTTTGCAGGTGATCATGTAGCCTTAACATTATCAGGAATTGATCAACCAAATGTTGGAATTGGTGATATTCTTTGTAATCCACATAAACCAGTACCAGTAACATCTTGTTTTGAAGCTCACGTTGTTATATTTGCTGTTGCAATCCCTATTACAAAAGGTTTACCTGTTGTTATACATATTCAATCATTAGTAGAGCCTGCAGTTATTACTAAACTCATTGTACAATTACATAAAAGTTCAGGAGAAGTCATGAAAAAGAAGCCTCGATGTTTACCGAAAAATTCTAGCGCTATTATTGAAATTTCGACGCAAAGACCTATTTGTTTAGAGCTCTATCGTGATGTTAAACAACTCGGTAGAGTAATGTTACGTGTTTCTGGTAGTACTATCGCAGCTGGCCTTGTGACAAAAATTAAATGAATTTTTTAAAAGTGGAAACAACAATCATGATAAAATGTATATAAATATATTATATGGATTTTATTATTTATTATTATGGAATAAATTTTTTTTCATTGAACTAAAATTTATTATGTAGCTTATATACTTTATATACTTTACTTCGTAATAGTGTTGAATAAAAAATATTTGAAAATTAAAATATACTCATTCATTCATCTTTATACTAAGTAATTTGAATTTTTAATTATTAATTTAATTCTGAAACACCCAAAAGATACATGTTAATAGAAATAATTCGAAATTTGTATTAAAAAATTGTGTTATTGTCTTGCGCAACTACTGCATCCTCCAGGCATATTCATAGAAGGTTTAAGATCTAAACGACCTAGTTTCTTTGATGGTGGACGTGGTGGTCTAAAGAAAATATATTAAAAAAATGATAGAATTATTGTATATATTGACAATTATATTTGTAATTGAACTATTTACCCTGACCCTGGACGATAATTTCTTGTGTATCCGTTGCCATATTTAGTTGTGCCAGGATTTATTAATGTATAAAAACTAAAGAGAATTGTTTTCATAAGAATGATATAATATTTCAATTATTTAATAATAAAAAAACTGGATCACATAATACTCACAACATAACGATTCCAAATATCAAATTCGTAAAGAATCCAAATACTTTTCTGATACTCCAAGGCTCATTTTGGAGTAAACATCCATCTGTAATAAATGTTTATGCAATTAAGTAGGTTCATGTCAATTGTGAATTCATATAAAATTAAAAATTATCAATCTCTTTACCACCGGATATGTAAGTCATGATTATAAAACTGCGTGAATAATACGTTGAGTTTATAGTGCAATAATGATGGAATAATTTTTGTAAATATTGAGTTTGAATTATTAAAAAATTTTGATAATTAGTTAACCTCAAATTAATCAGTATATTATAATTTTTGACATTTTAATGCTCCAAATTTTTGGAGTTTGAAAGAAAAACAATTTGGGAATGACTGAATACGTATACATACAATAGTATACAACCTATAGTCAAAACATATATGGATATATACATATATATATATATATATATAACCTCAATTAATCAACAAAGTATAGAACTCGATCGTGCATGCCATATAATAGTTTTGATACCCAATAAAAGGATCATTATTATGACATATATATCAACGTCGAATAATACAAATACAAACATGTATGTATGGCATGCAAGCAAAGAAAAAATATTACAAATATATTTGATGCGTATTATATAGGAACGTGATTTATTTCGAAATTATTTCCATGCTGTAAATATAACTAGTTTTACTTCATTTTTTTATTTCTACTTCAATAAATGATGGGTATGTTCTACATTTATCGTATAATATAACTTGGAGAAACTGAATATTATTTATAATTTAATCATAATTTATTTTATCTATTTGTATTTCGTCAAGACAAATAATGATAAAATCAGATTCAATAAAAGAACAAATTATTAATTCAAATTTTAAATAAAATAGTTAAAAAAAAATTCAAATTTTTAATAATTTATGTAAATTATGATTCTAATTCAGTTAAATATTATAGACCAATGAATCGAGTAAGAATTAATTTTTTTTTTAGATAAAATGAGATCGTCTTCTATAACAGCTGTAACAATCGGTACTGGATCATTGGCCATTTTTATTTGGTGGTGGTTTTATAAGGGGAAAAAAGTACGACTACCAAATGAATGGTATAAAGTTGGCGAAATAAGCGATATTTTTGTTTTTCCCATTAAATCATTGGGGTGTGTTAATGTGACATCCGTTGAATGTACTATTTTAGGATGTAAAGTCTCTGAATGGATAAGAGATCGAACACTAATGGTCATTGACTTAAATAAAAAATTTGTAACTGCAAGAAAATATCCAAAAATGGTCCAAATATCTCCAAGTGTTACTGGGTCAGTATTGACTTTGGAAGCACCTGGAATGGTGAAGATCAGCACTGACTTAGCACAAGTTGGAAAAGTATTTAAATCAGAAGTCTGGGGCCAAAAAGTTCCAGCCTGTGATTGTGGTGATGAAATTGCACAGTGGCTATCTCGCTTTATTCTTGAACAAGATACTGGATTACGACTTGTATATTATCCACTAGATAAATCATCCAGAGATATTCGACCTAATAATCGTCTTTTTCCATTATTGAAAAGTGTTGATTCAGTAAGTATAAGACAATTTATTTCACATAGTATAAAATAATGTATGACTTCAAGACACTTCGAAGAAGAAACTAAAAATTTTTCTTCAAATCAAAGGGTGCATATCCGGATTGTACTTCTTATAATCTTATAAATGAAGCTTCTATTGCGGATTTGAATACAAAAGTAGAAGACCCAGTCACTCCTCTTCAATTTCGCCCTAATTTCGTGGTCAAAGGGCCTAAACCGCTTGAAGAAGACACTTGGGATTGGATAAAAATTGGTTCTGTGATTTTCAGGAATATTAAACCTTGCACTAGATGTATTTTTACTACAATAAATCCTAGTAATGGATGTAAACATCCTAAACAAGAACCTTTAAAAATTTTAAAAGAGTAAATATTAAATATTAAAATATTCCTAACATAATAAATAATTATAAAAAACATTCAACAATGATATCTAACTCTTTTGTTTTTTTTTCTTCAGATACAGACAAATAGAAAACCCAGAATTTCGTTCATCGGTAGGAGATAGTCCTGTAATGGGTATTCATCTGGGTTTAAAAGGACCAAATGGAATTGTAAAACTTGGTGATCCAGTATATCTTGGAAAATTTAGTGATGATTGATTTATTGCAATAATGATAAATGATGTAATCACATGTTTACTATCAAAAAGACATATATAAGGAATTATATCTATTATTCTAGTATATTTTCTTACATTTTTATCAGTTGTTAAAGCAAATATTAATGTAAAAAATATGTTTTATATAAAATATAAAATATAATATTTTACTAAAATATTTACACTGTAAATATATAAAAAACATATGATGAATTAAATAAATATGAATAATTCATAAAATGATTTTTATTTAAACATTTATATTTACACTACTAAATTATGAAAACAATTACATTTACTACGAGGCAATATCTCGTGGAATCAAGCAGTTCTCTTTAATATAATATCAATTATAAATTCTCAATTTGTTTTTTATTATAGATATATATATATATATGTTTAAAAGACAAAAAGAGAATTTATTGTGGCATATGAATCTCATCCTTAAATTTTTCTTATCTCTTTGCGTAAACATAATATATAAAATCACTTTTTCCCTTTATATTTGTATAATTTTCTAAATATTTACAGGCGTACATTTGACTTTCTATATTGTTTAACTTTTTCATGTCATACTGAAAAAAATTTCGGAGTTTCTCTATAACATAAGAGATCGATTCCACGCTTAGATGACTTCTAAGGAAATCATAATGGAAAGCAAGAGATTGAAAAACTCCGAACTAATCGGACGGAATCGAGTGTGAAGTAAAAAAACGATTTAAATATTTCAATTCTTTTCTCTATACAGTTACAGTTTGAAATATTGATTGTAATATTCACATTTGTTTTAGCATATTGTCGAATCCTAGGAACAAAGAGCGACATTATATATCGCTGAGCGTCGTACCTACGATTCCAATAATCTATTAACTTTCATTGTTCATTTTATTCCATGCTTTTTATCATTTGATGTCGATGAATTAGCGGTGTATCAGATGATCGATGTAATCAACCGTGCTTTGAAGTTAACAAAACGTTCACTGGTTGCAGCTAACCGCTGAAATAAATATTTTTTTCATTAGTTTTTTGTTTCTTATAATGAAATAAATACAATGTATACAGTATCGTTTGATAAATGTTAAATAACTTTAGAAAATACAACAACATTCTAATACTATTATTATTTTTTATTCTAGATATTTAACTGCATTGGACACTATTGGAGTTGATTATGTGTTATATGTACGTATATTATAATTGTGTTAGACCGTAAACACTTTCGAATATGCTATTCGTCTTCTATTCGTGATATGAAATTTAATGTATTATACATTAATGTTTGATTACGAAAAATCCATTTTTTAAACTAAACATTGCCAATAAAATTTTTGCTAATCCCATTTATATAAAAGATATTTTCTAAAAATATTTATAGCATTTTTTAATTGTTCCTTATTTAATGATTTATATTGCACTAATTAATTGTTGTTAAATACAATTTGAGAATTAATTTTCTAAGGAAAAAAAATGCAAATATTTATTAATGAATATAGTAATGAAAATACGTGTTATAAAAAAATCTTTTCTCAATAGTAAACACGTAGTAAAATTAGCATATTAATCTACTCTTGAACTTTTTTTTTATATTTTACACTTGAATTGAGTAATTAATTTATATAGCATTAAATAACACAAGGTTAAAACAGCTGTCGAACCTTTCTTTTTCTCTTGCATGTTAGTTTCTTAAAATCTGACTTACGTAACTTATTCCCTACTTTAAAGTGAGAGAGAAAGAAAGAAAAAAAAACCAACGAGCTATTTCGTAGAGAAAGTCGCGCCACAATTTTGCTTTCCATTGATTCGACTCGCCACTATCTCGTAATAATTCAATCTAGAACAACCGAGTGACATTATTTGTAAAAAAGAGACAACTAATTATTCAACCTTTTATAGACATTTAATTATTATTCAATAAAATAATAATGATTATTTATCTAATATAATTTTTACTTTTATATTCGATCCAAAATTATTTGGTCTATCAACATTATTTGAAAAATTGAAAAGAAAATGAATACATAATTTATTTCACGCTTAAAAAAAATTGATTTAAGATGTGAATCTTGAAATTAATTATTGTATTGTATAAAAGCATATATTAGCATTGTAGAAAGTTTTCGTTTTCAAGAATAAATTTAATGTGCATGTATAGGTAATCCCCAATCGTAACTTTTGAAAAGGAAATAAAAATTCAATATACGTTTTAATGTTTGAAACTTTATGACCATGGCTCCAATAGTGTTTTTTAAATTTTTTTTTATCAATTAATAAATTATGCAACGACTAAAAAAATTCTAAGACAGCATAAACTTTTACTGATGATAATTGGTTTCAAATGGATAATATTTATAATTAACACTGTGATCTAAAAATGATAAAATATTAATATAATAATAGACTATAGAGATGTATAACATTAATACATAATTTACTTACAAGTATGAGATCTTGAATTAGATTAGAAATACCCCTATTTGCAATAACAAAAAGCCTTGTAATTGGTCCTGGAACAGCTTCTTCAGTTCTTCCAGCTGAAGAACTACTATCGCTAGGTTGAGATCCACTTCCTGCCACCAACTGTAAAGTGTGTCACAGAATTAGTATAATAATCATTAAACACATATCTGACATCTAAAAGAGAGTGCAAGGATAATGCTAAAAACCAAAGGTTGAGGAAATTAAAATAGTAACAAATTAAATTAAAACTAAATACCCAAAAATTCAACAAAGTAAAAAAAATAAACGCAACGGCGTTCCATCTTAGTTCCCGTTGCATCCAGTCCCCCTCGATCCTGCCGCTAAATTCGTCGCAGGATCATATGGTCTTTTTTTTTTAAATTAATTATAACTATTTATTGTGCTTTTGTACGGTGATGAAAAATAGCACTAATATTTTTTTCAAGTGCTTATTTATCATTTCTATAAAATATTTTTACTTTTGTGCTTAATAATACAACGGACAATTAATAACTACACTACTTGACTTTGATATATCTATCAGGGATATTAATAGTGTTTATTACTATCCATTAAATAGGTTCGTCCTGGTGGTAATTCCGGTTAACGCGTAACTACATTACATATGCCAGTCTGATCGTCAGGATCTTTGGTTGGACGGCGCATTGGACGGGACGCGATTGCGGGAATATTTTTTTGTTTATTTTGTTTTTATTTAAAATGCCATGAGATACCCAAGTGACTTTGAATTAGAAATAGTGGATATTAAGTTTGTTAATATTTATTGGTTTTTTAAATGTAATTAGAGGAGGAACAATGTCAAATAAAAAACAACAGTTTATCAGGATATTAAACCAAGACGAACAAAAAAGTAAATAAATAAAACGAAAGCAAACCAATGTGCAGGTGTCACGCAATGTGTAAGCGTAAACATAAGTGTAAATTAGCATGGAAAACGTGAAATAATTAAGAAGGTAATAACCAAATTTTTATCAAAATTCCATGAGATTATTACTGATATATTTATTTAAAATAATTGGATGCATTATTTTAAATAAATTAATATTTTGTTAAATTTATGGTTGACAAGAAAGTTAATTTAATTATATTAAAGCTGAGCTTTTTTAACCTCAAATCATCCCAAATTTTTCATGTCAAATTATGCGTTTTTTATCTATTTTTTTTATATAAAAATTATTTAGAGATGTTGAAGAAAATGATATATAGTGAGAAAGACAAAGTTTGATAGTGTAAGTGCAGTAATGATTGCATAATAAATTATTTTTTAGTGGAAGGCTCATGACAAGGACGCCCGCCATGACACCTCAGAAATCACTAAAAAAAATTAATTATAATATGATAATTACTGCACTTACACTACTAAACTCTATCTTCCCTTCTGAATGCTATTTTTCTCTACATTTAAAAATAATTTTTACATAAAAAAAAACAAATAAAAAAAACATAATCCGACGAGAAAAATTTGAGGTGATTTGAGGTTAAGAAAGTCCAGCCTTAAATAGTTATTAATATTTAAAGTGATAAAAAAAAGGAAAAACAAAAATTTGTTTAAAATAAAAAAAAAACTAAAAAGCCAATTGGAAAATAAGAGTAAAAATGAAAGAGGTTGATGGTTGTCGGAAGGAGATGGCGTACCGATGGTTGCGTGCCAGTTCCGGACGCAGGGGTTGCTTGGGTGGCGGTTGCGGGTGCGGCTGTAGAAGCAGCACTCGCTGCGGGTGTAGGGGACGGACCTAGGTCACGCGAAGCGCTTAGACCTAGACCGAGACTTTGTGTGCCGGCTACCACACGGTAAACCGTCCCAGCCGCTCTTGCCGCCCCGTCTGCTGCTTGCTGAGAAGACACAGACCAGTATTTTTTTAATTTTTTCTCTTTTTCGTTAACTTTCTCTTCATTTAAATATTTCTCCATTAACCTAGACTCTAAAATAGATCTTTCCCATTGTATTGTTTGTTAATTGGTGACAGAAGGAATTCACTGGAAATTATTGGATTCATCGAAAGCGCATATATTTATTTAACTATTTGTTTAACATTAATTTCTTTTATAGTTGTCAAATTGAAGACCTATTAATGTTTTCTAATTTTAAAATCTACTTGACATGAAACAGAAAAATTATTATGTTTTTTCTCTTGAGCGAAAATCAATTTTTTAATTAAATATATATTTATATATTTAACTTAATAAATGATAATATCCATTAAATATATATTAATAATAATTGCACATTAACTGAATATGAAAAAAAAATGAAATTAAATTAAATGATCATGCTAATCAAGACTTACTCTTATAATGTCAAAGAGAAAGTTTCCAGAGCCGCCTCCACTGCCTCCACCTGATGCTAAATTACTACTTCCGAAGCCAAAATTCAGGAATCTTTTGTTCCTGTTCTCGTCGTCGTCTGTAACTTGAATTTCTTCCAATGGAGCTAATCCCGGTTCTGATGCTTCGTTTATTGAATCTGTTTGACTGTTTCCAAATTGAACTTTGATTTCGTTCTTCTGTGATTCCGCGACGTCTCCGTCTGATACTTGATTTTCCGCTTCGGGGTTTACGTCCTAAGAAGCATAAAAATTCTTCATTAAATTACTACATTATTATTATCATCATTTATCAAAGGATTAATTAAATATTAGATTATAATTCATATTCAATGTTACATAAATTCTATAACTAAAATGTATATTAATAAATGTAAATGATTTAGATGATTGTTAAGTATCAAGGTGGTCCGGTTGATGCGGACTTAGTTGACTGGAGACCTTCTTAAGTGACCTTAATGTAAAAGCAAGGAAACGTCGCCGGATCGTCTAAGGATCTTTTGTTGACAAATCATTTTTCGATTAAATTAGAAAGTAAAGATAAGAGGTAGAATGAGACCAAAAATAATTCTTGAGCGAAGGTAAAACGATGAAGAAATAATCTCAGTGATTTTGTGGAAAAACATTGGACCTTCTGTATCGTTTAGAGTTTCATCCGTAGTAGAAGAATTCTGTGTAAATAATTTAGTCGAAGAAGTTGATGTATCTATTGAATTCAATGTTGATAAATCTTCTGGTATAGGAATAGACACTCGAGATTTATTTTGCTGTGAATCAGTATTAAAATCATCGTCATCATCATCATCAAACTCTCCATCTGGAGGTGCAGCTATTGTCACAGTTGATCCATCATCTTTATCCCTTGGACTATCATTGCCATTTCCATTACCAAATGCTCCACCGCCCAAAAAACCTCGTAAAACAGTTGGTCCAAGTGCTCGTATGATCTCAGACACTATCATGTTGACTTTATCATCAATTATCTACAAAGATTTTTTATTTAATTTTCTCAAGTATTATATATGTTTGTTAGAGTTTATCCAAATTTTATTATGCAAATTATACCGTAGGTAGTATCTAAAATTACTATCTAATCAATAGTTTTATATTTAATTTAATCCAAGTTTAACATAAATTATCATCTAAGACTCTAAAAATGAATCAAAAAAACATCAACTATTTTCCTGTTTCATATTTAGAGATCTATTAGCTGAATTTTTTGGTTTATATTACAAAATGTGAGCATATTTTCTCTTTCATCAAAAAAAAAAGACTGAAAAATAAATATATATCAATTATTAAGTAATAAAGATTTTTATATATACAATAAAAAAAGAAGTAGATCATAACTTTTAATAGTTTTAAAAATTTTTTTCACACAAAACTAAGTAATAATAGTAAAGGAAAAAATGTACAATTTTATCACATACTTTATGAGCAAAAAAACACTTGCTTTTTCTTCAAGAAATATAATTGCTTGAGCATGCATTTCGTTACGCTTTTTGAACTCACGAGATGTGTGCTATATAGTATATACCAGCAAAGAGTAAAAAGCGGAAGTATAATAAACGAAAAGAAGAGTGCCCTTCCTGTCTTGTAAACAATCTAATAATACAATATTTTCGCGTGATGAGAATTTTGCACTTAGAAATAATCTTAATAGTTTCATTATCTTCAATAAATATTATTAATATTTATATTTTAAATGGCGATAATTAATTTTATCTTACTTTAGTAATATCCGGAAAGAATTGACGTAATACACCAATAGTCCTTTTGCCTCTGAGTGCTGGATCTTCATCTTTATCAGTGACTACGACATGTTCCAATGTCTATGATGATAATAGAAAAAGCAAAAAATCATTTATTTTTATTCAAATTTATCAATTATCTATAAATTATAATATTTAATTATAAATCAAAATTCATACCGATATAATTATTTATTCATTTATAAAGTATCTTTAAATAGATTGCCAATATTGGCTACTCATGTTATTAGAAGTGTTAAAATTAATAATACATTTTGTTTTTTTCTTGAAATCAATAGTTGAGATAAACTTATTAAAATAATTGCTGTAGTTTGAAAAGTAATTGCAATATTACATACACACTTAATTGTGCAAAGTAATAATATTTAAAAAAAAATTCCATCTAGTATAGGTTATGATTTATTTAATTTGATCTAATAATTGATCTGGAGTAATTGTATCATAATTAAATGAACTTTTAAAGCTTCATATATTTGGATTTGATTTTTTTCAATAAAAATTGATTATAAATAATGCGGATACTATGAGATAAATATTTCTTGAGAATTTTTATGAAGAAGAGAAAGAGATGTTTCATGAACTTTCCACTGGTTAGTACCGATCGAGCGAAGAAAGTGTCCAGTTGGCAGGTAATTCAGCGAGTATTTCAAGTGAAAGTGCAACAGCCATATAGGAACATACCAATACACATAAGAATATGATCCCACTCATCTCATTAGTTCGTACAAATTTCATTGTGGCTTGAAGGCCGTGTAAATTATGCGTTTGTATAACTGCAAAAGCTTTTATGCAACTGTAAAGCGTATCTAAGAAAATACTTCCGTCATTAATAAACATTGAATCATGATAGGATGTATTTTTAAAATTATTATTCACTCTATCACAATTTTTTCTTTTTTTTCATCTAATAATTAAATTAATTTTTTATTTTGAAATGACTTTGAAGAAATTTTATTATTTACATAATAACTCATGATAAATCTTGAAGTCTTAACATAGTATAACTATTTTTTTACAATGTTAAAAGTGGCAATATTGAACAAAGTGAAAGAAAGAGTGCAAATTAATATAAGTAGAGATTGTTAAACCAGAGAAAAATGTAGTATGTACATATATGAAAGATGAAAGACAAAACATTGAGATAATCCTTGTTTACAACACGTGAAATTCAACATGAGTTGATATTATACATAAACTACTTTCCACATGAGGATATAAAATAATAGTAATTGACTTTTGTATTTTTGTTTCATCTTGAGAGGTTGTTATTCAATGTCAATTTTAAACTACAATGTTGATAACATAATTATATTTTACTCAATGAAAGTTTTTTGATTGATAGTATTGATAATCAAATGATTCATTATTAATTTCAATAATAATAGGTCAATGATTTTTGTTTGTTATTCTAGCAATTCAGATCAAGGCTTGATAATCATCATCATATCATCTTGATGACGCTAGGAATTTCTTATTATGATAAAACTCAACATAATTAAATAATTTAATAATTCAATTACACTCACCTTTGATCGTAGACCTTCATTCTTAGAGATGGGATGTGTGTTGATTAAGGTTACTAAATATGTAATAATTATTATTGATGTTATTATTTTCATTGTCTTCAACTTTTTTGTCTTTTTTTTTCAGATTATCAATTACACACCACTGTGAACAAGTTAAATATTCAATTAACAATCAAATTTGTATGGCTAATGAGAAGATTATTAAATGAGAATGTAAACAAGGGAATGAATTAGATGATGACAAAAAGCTATAAGAGCAAAAAGGAGAGGTTCACCTTTCTCGAGCACGAACCCAAGACTCACTTTCGTTTAGACGAAACGAAAGTTAAGAAGTTGATTTACAAGCACGTCATTCTCGTTTTTTATATATATATATATATATTTACATATTTTTTTGTTTTTTTTCTTTTTTTCTTTTTTGATTGCTAAATATTATACCTTCATAAACGTTTTTGAATGAAAAATTACATAAAGTGAAAGGACCTGCACTTGAAATAGTTCAATATGTAATGCAAAATTATATAGAAAAAAATCTTACACAATTGGGGCTATAATTAAATATCTTTAATATGCCCCTCCCCACCTCCCCTTTATATGGATAATCTATGAGGTTAATTATTAAGGGGTAATTTGGATTCAACACGCAGGGCGATTTGTCTGCAAATATCGAGGTTACTAATCCTGTTACTTTTCAGTTGAAGGCCGAATATTTTTTAGCTACTCCAAAAATTTTATTTTATCAATTAAAAAATATGATTCAGGTTTTTTTTTCCTTGTTCTACTTTTTTTTTTTTTTTATAATAAAATAATTATTAAATAAAAAATATTAATAATATATTTATCAATGTCAATATAATTAATAGTGAATAATTGTCACTGTCATTGATTTGAAAAAAAAAAAAAATCAAAACTCACTGATTGATTTCACAATAAAATATTATTCAACGAATAAAAATTTTTTGATTTCACTGCAATTTTTAATAATTTCACTTGATTATAAATTTAAATTAATTATAATTTATGTTGATTGATTATTTTATGATATTAATCAAGAATACAAAATAGATATTTTTTGTTTTAATATCAACTCACCACACATAAATTTCAAAACTCAAAAATTCATAGAACATTAATGAATAATCGTCAAACTTGCGTGGAGCTCACACAGCTCCTCGTGATTGTCTGTATAGAATCGCTTAGTGAACGGCTTTTATTACCAGAAGAAGTTGCGACCACCACCTTCTTCATTCTTCCACAGTACATTCAAATCTATAACCGAACATTTAGTAGTTGAAAGAGAGAAAAAAGGAAAAAAAAAAACCTGAAATATGATAATGATGAAAGAAATTTTTCATTTTTTAAAATTAAATAAATATAAAATAATTAATAGACATTTAATCAAGCTTATTAGCACATTATTATATCTGTTCTTACATGAATTTCCTCTTCTTAATTTAAGAATTGCGTGTCTTATATTGTTGTCATATCGACAAAGTGGAACAATAATTGTTTTCCTGTTACCATTGAATATTTACGTGAACACAAAACATGTCCAAGTAGCGTTTTATGTTTTCTAATAGTGAGAAAGTTCTTTAACAAGGCATTCTATTGCTGACAATTTGAAATTCATGGACCGTTTTGTTGACTGTCACAAGTCAACATCTCAATGCCGTTGTCAAATCTTTGCAGATCTCTCCGATTTCATGAGAAAAATTGCGATATCAATAGATATCTATTATTGCATTAGAACTCGTTCAATAGAAATATTTAGCAATAATTACAATACACAAAAAAAAAATACTAAATTACTCTTATGTAAATATTTTATGTTTATTTCAATAAATTTTATTGCTTCTAATAATTTTTAAATATATAATTAAAATCTTTCAACAGTCATAAATTCGTAATGTATTTATAAATGAAAAAAAGTATAAAAAAAATTTATTAAAAATGATTATTAATATATTTCTTTAATTATTACATGTATAGATATATAGATAATTTTACAAATCACTCTGAGAGCAATGCGCCGTAAATTATTCAATCTTCAACTTCACTGCTTGCTGAAGCAGATTTCTCGATGCACCGCAAAAACGGAAGTTTTTTCTCTATAAAAAGTATTAAAAAATTTCTCGAATTCTTGATATGATAGATTTGGTTTTTATAAATGAAAGTCACTTGAATGATGATTCATCTAAAGAAAGATTCATTTTAAAATATTTCATTTTTTATATATTTTTTTTAATTTTCTAAAATTAATTATTAATTATATAAATTAATAATAAATTACTCTATACAAGTTTTTTTTATATAATAAATTTGTGTTTATTCATGTACAGTAAATATGATAACTTAAATAACTTTGGCTTAAAAAATTTATCAATATTATATATTATATATTACTCTCACATACATTCACTGGCACAGAATATTATAAAAAAAAAATTAATTGCTTGGTTCTTCAATTTATATTAATAAACAAATAATTCAATGGCAAACTTGTTAATACAAGAATCTCGTAATGTAACAATATTATTTTATATACAAAAGATAATTTATTGCAAACGAAACAATTTCATTTATTAGCATAATTAATGAGCTATAAAATATTGTTCATATTTATGCTAATTTTCTATTTATTATAAATCAATCGTTTGTTCTATGCCTAAATTTTGGAATTTTTTATACATTTAACTTTTTTCTTTATCCATTGGAAGAATTTTTAAACAAACAGTATAAAATATTCATTTTTAAAAATTTATTTTGGATAAACCCGATGCTATGTAGAATGTATTTATATAAATTAAATCTTATTCAGTATTATCAATGATTTATATAAATTATAGTTCTAAAGTATGCAAATAATAAAATTTCAATAAAAATACTCATCATGCAACAGATTCTTCAGTAATCGAAGTCTCGTGGATCCCATATGCTGGGATCCACGCGCGTTCCTAGCTGACATTAGTATCGTAACTCTTGTAACTGTGGGAAGATCGTTTGTATTTAACGGTGCAAAACAAAATCATACTTGTTACAAGACCAAAGAGTTGTAAAAATCCGACAATTAATCCTAATGTTCCTAGTACATGAAGTCTTGAAATGATCCAAACTTGAATTGCAGAAGCACATCCTTCTTTGTACCAAAATTCTTTATTTCGTCCTTCCAAGTCCAATCTACCACAGTATCTAGTTCTCTTAATACAACAAGAATCTGGTACTCTATCTTCTGATGGCCATGCATCTATTTGAAACCAATCAGTATAATCTCTCACGCCGCAACAATGTAACTAAAATATATTTAAAAATTTAAATAGGCAAAATAATTAAAAAATAATAAAAATAAATAGATTTTACCCCTTGGTGAATAGAATCCCACAATGTAGGAAGTGTTCCTGGTTCTCTAGTAACATTATAATATTTATTTATTCCAACTAAAAGTTCTTCTTGTATACTTCTTGACATGTGCTCTCGGAAGATAAAAGAAAGAGCGCCAATCATAAATTCAGCCAGGAACAACATAATAACTAAACTGAAATACTAAATAAATTTTTAATTAAAAAATTATACTATCAAATAAATAACTGTCATATTACTAAATAATATTTTATTTAACTAATAACTTACTGTTATAAGCATAAATCTTGATTGAAACCATGCTCCACAGCATCCAAAGAATGCTACGACAAAGGTTACACAACCGATCACCAAGAAAACTGAATCAATTGATGTGAAATTATATTGAGGTACCAAATTTGCTAATCCAACACTCGTTAAACGTAGCCAAAGTGTAACTCCTAGTATACCGCATGCTGATAACTGTGAAATGACAAACTCAAATTACTAAATAATATAATAATTACTTATTATTATTTATATAATTATCTATCATTTAAATATTAACATTAATAGAAATAAATAAAGTATAAATATTAACCATTAAATTTAATTCAATTCATACTTGAATTAAAAAATCTTAACTGTTAATATAGTTCATGATTATTCTAGTGAATAATTATTTGTCTTATTTAATTAATTAATAAAAATAAATAGATATGAAGTAAATAAAATAAATCTTACCCAAACAAGAACATTTAGAGAACAAAATATATGCCTAATACATGTATATCCTGTGCGACTCATTGTGAAATCATCAAGTATTTATTTGATTAACTTAATTACTCCTGTAAATAAACAAACAATGATATTAGATTAATAAATAAACAGATAATGATATGATTAAAATGACAACACTTACTATTTGCAATGAAATCAATATTACTTTATGAATTCAAAAAATGATTATTTGATCAAGTAAAACTAGTTCTTTTAGTAAATAAGTGCCGTTGTAGTCTAGTCAAGCATGAGTTTGAGGTCTTCTAGGTCTCTCATATAACGGGATCCATAGCAAAACTATCACAAACTTTTATTTACTATATACTTTTTTTAAATTCTTTACTATCAAATTTTTATGTCATTCAGATTATCTTTCATTACATCAACTGTATACACACACACTCCAGGTTATATTTTTTTTCGTTCATAAACTACCTTTCATCAAATATAATTTATTTATCAAATTTCAATAGTAACTTGATTTGATGGCAATCATTAGAAGTATACATATGTCAATTCACTTGCACAAAAAAAAAAATTCCAATAAATTATAATATTTTTTTTCTACTGTTATAGTGTGATTTATTTAATTTTATAGACAAAATTGAGATGTAAATAATTTTTATTCAATGTTGTAGATATTTATTGAAAGACAGCCAATAAAATTGCGCTTTTTAGAATTCAGTTTAGCCTTTGATGGAAAAGCGTATTGAAGCAAGCAAAGTAGTACTCATATTTAAGAGAATTGTGATGGTAAAATTACAGATGAGTAGCGGTAAATCATCATTGACATTTCTTTCACGTCCCATCAGATTGAAAATAAGTCATACAAGGCTAGTAAATTCAAGCTAATATGATAATAGCTGGATTAAAATAATTTTTTGTCATTTATTTTATCTTCTAATGAATACATTATTTAGATATTAATTAAAAAAAAAAAAAAAAACTTGGAATAGAAATATTTTCAATCAACTATTTTTCATAAAAAATATTGGAATAATTTAAAACTCAAGATCAATTTAAAATTAGATTTTTTTTGTTCAATTCTATCGAATGAAAGCAAAAAATAGCTGGGTTAAGTTTTGGATAAAAAAATGGTAAAAAATGTAAAATGATGATAAAAACAATAGGAATATAATAGTTTAACAATGGCGTAGGTGCATTTGCACGCATTATGTTTGAAGGTTCCCCATGACTTCCTGCCAATTGCCGGTAATTTTCAATCATCTACGAACCCTACACGTAACGCCTCAATGTTCATCTCTATCACCAACCTGATTTATCAAATATTACCGAGATTAATACGTCCCATTTGGCGTTGCTTGAATTTCCCACGTCGTGAGATAGCATTATTTCAATAGTAACATCACGATATTTAACATATATTAAAACATCAAATATGTTTTTTATATTCTAATTCAAAATGATTGAATATTTATGCTAATCAAGGTATCCAATTAGGTATAAGGAATTTGATGAGGTACTTTTTTTTTACCAACTATGATGAAGATTATTATTCATGAGAACTTATGATTGGATTATTGAAAAAAAAAATATATTTTTAAAATAAATATTACAAAGTACCAAAAGAAAATATTTAACAAAAAAAAAAAATGAGCAATGATTTTATAATGTTACTTTAAATTGCGATAAGTATTTCAATCATTTATTCAGTGTAGTATTATTCAATCAATTTAATTCAATTATCAAAGCAATTTTACAAAAAAAAAAACGAACTATGAGTTTCTAAGATCTTCATTATGATTTTATCTTTCAATAATTGTTTTCTAAATAATCATTTTATTATTTATTGACAGAAAAAAATAAATGACATAATATAATCTTACTATTCAATCAAAAATAATTATTTTCCCATTTTTTCTAATATTTTTTTTATATTTTTAGTAACTAATTAATGAAAATATGTATGTTAATCATATTCGAGTGTTTATAAATGCGTATTAAACTTACCTTATTTATAAAATTTATTTTAAACTGTTATTTTCATCAATAAATACTTGTAGATAACAACAATTAAAAAATCGCGCTGGTTAAAGTCAACGCGGTGAATTAATATTAACTGCGCTAACGCTTGTGTCCAATGTAAATTCTGTAGATCCTCAAACTTTACAAGTAACAATTGTAGTGACAATAACTAGAGTCCCCAACGATATTTCCAGGGATTTTAGCAGCAGTAGCAGCGGCAGTTTCTCTGGATCAGTCCAGTATGAACTGAAAGTTCAATTGAACTATTAGCTCCATCTTCTTGTACTGAAATGCACTTTATTTTAATCTCTTGGAGCTTTATTTATTTATTTAACGAATAATAGAATACTGAAATTTTGAAATATAACAGTATTTTAATTATTTAGCAATGTAACTCGATGTGATTGTAAGTTTTGATCTTTTATTTATTGATAATCCCCTGTTACAACCCAATTCCGATCAAAAACACATGATGTAAGTGTTTGATATTTGTATATTCACAAGAATAATAGTAATAAAACATCCAAAATTTGATAAAAAAGAAGATAAATGACAACTAATATTAAATAAATAGTATAAAATATAACATAAAAAATTATAACATGAAATCTTCAATCATTTGATGATGTTTTATCATTGCTTTTTCAGTTTTTCTGATGACAATTGCATTGAATTCAACCACATTTTCAATTCTTCACTGAGCTCTGGTCTTTTTGCGTTTGGTTCAACTGCTTCAATTATTTCAGAAACTGGAACTTTCAAGTTGGTGACAGTTTGTTTACTCAAAACAACTGCTCGTATAAAATTGTCTGATAAACTAATAAACTCATGTTCAAGATAGAAATTTTTATCCTCCCAATAGATGAGCTTCGTGGTGACTTTATATGGAGTGAAAATCGGAAGTGCTCGTCGGTATCGAGTAGAAGAAGCTCCTTGCACTGCACCACCACCTCGTTTACTTACTTCAGCATAGATTCCAGTTCTGTCGTAAAAATGAAAACGAGCAAAATCTAGCTCTCTTAAGTACCGTGCATTATTCATGTGCTTCAAGAAGATGTCAACGTCTTGAGTGGTGCAAATACCTGGAAATACAATATTAATAAATATAAGAATAAAAAAATGAATGAGTATTTTGTTTTATTTTCTACTTGATAGCATAAAGATAGATTTATAATAAAATAATTATAATGTCTTTGAAATAATTAAATTAAAAAAAAAAGAGATAAACATACCATAAATCGTAGTTGTGTCGAAAATTTTCTTCTTTTTTTGAAAAAGTCTTCCCCAACCGATTGTGAAGAATATTCTAAGAAAATAATTGACATCGAAAATGATATAAAGTAATGCAAGAATTACCCAGGTACAAGCACAAACCATTTTGTAAATTATTTTTTAATGTACTTCGGCCAATAATTAAGATAATCAAAGTTTGAATTGTAGTTTTAAAAAAAATATAAATTCAATGTATTTTCAATGTTAGTTAACGGTCGACTATTGTTGCCGCGTCAGCGTGGCTATACAGTAGTGTATACTAGCTACATATCCCCTCTCTATGATGATTGGACTTTGTATATAATGTCGACGACGTATTACAGTTCTTACACGGTTTATTTCATTTAATAAGAAAATAAAAATAATATCAATTTGTTTAAGACAGAAATTGATACAACTATTGTTTTGACATCAAACAAAAAACAAATCAAGTCATTAATAACCCAATGGTTTTGTTGGTTAGGAAATGATGAACTCTATTTGTATTAATTATTATACAAAATAAACTAACTGATAATTCAATTCCAGTCTGCATCAGATATTTTATTGGTAAAACATCATAATGATGATTTTTTTCTTTGGGTTTATTTTATAAAATACAGGTTATGTTTTTCCATTTAATTTTTTGGAGTTTTTTTACTCCAAAAATTATAGCGTTGCATTGAAAGGTTCCATTGAGATTGAATGATAATTAAAAAGAAATTTAAACGTGACAATTGACTTTGTCTCATCATCAAAAGGTCAAGAACTTATGGAAGTCTCAAAAATATTGAAATATTCTGCTGTTCGCGTACATAATTATACCATGAATAATTTACGGAATTGATTGGTAAATGTGCATGTAATTTATTCACTATTCAATTTCTTTGTGATAAGAAAATTATTAAAATAATTTTATATTTATTTATACATCAATTCAAAATTATCAATGATACTCTTTCAAAAAAGTTTTAGTATTCATCAAAAAGTTACTCCAAAAAATTTTTTATTTCGACATAGTGAAAGATAATAATTAAAACAATTAAATCACAGTTTCAACAATAATAAATGCATAAAATTGAATTCAAATTGAAGAATGATTTTTTAGAATGACTACAGTCTATAGTTGTGTATTGTATAGTGCACAGACACTATGCAATCTCTAGATTACTCAGTTGATACATATCTTTATTGTTTCGATTAGAAAATTTCCAGTTTGGAGGCACCACTTGCTGAAGAATAATTCTGATAATGGAATAGAAGTTTTATGTTCATGAAACACAATAAAAAATATATATCTAACCTCTTTATGGCTTGTAAACACATGGACTGTTTGAAGAAGAGTATCAATAAATAATGTAATAGTTTCAGTCATTTATTAAGAAGAAATTTTGAATAATTCATCACGGTAATTGGTTTCTATTACTTAATAATACGTGTATTGTTGAAGCTATATTGTTATAATTAGTACATTACTCAATCACAATGTTATGTTATTACGAAGTTTTGAAAGTACCACGAGATGCCAATGATGATGAATTAAAAAAAGCATACAGAAAATTAGCATTAAAATGGCATCCTGATAAAAATCCTGATAATCCTACAGTAGCTAAAGAGCAATTTCAATTAGTTCAACAAGCTTATGAAGTACTCAGTGACCCACACGAACGTAAATGGTACGACAATCATCGAGAAGCTATCTTAAAGGGTGGCAGTGGTGCAGATTACAAAGATGATCTGATTGATCTGTTCCCATATTTTTCTACAAACTGTTTCAAAGGTTACGGGGATGATGAAAATGGATTTTATACCGTTTATAGAAATGTATTTGAAAAAATTGCTGCTGAAGATTTGGAATTTATTGACGATGATGAAACAACTATTGATAATATTCCAAATTTTGGAAATTCTCAAAGTTCCTATGAAGAAGTAGTACATCCGTTTTATTCTTATTGGCAAAGTTATTCAACCAAAGTGTCATTTGTTTGGCTTGAACCTATTGATACACGTAATATTCCGAATAGAAAAGTTGTACGTTTAGCAGAAAAGCAAAATAAAAAAGTTTGTGATAAAGCTAAAAAAGAAAGAAATGAACAAGTTAGAAATTTAGTATCATTTGTTCGAAAAAGAGACAAACGAGTTCAATTACATGCTCAGAAACTTGCAGAAAGGGCTAAATTAAATACTCAAAAGGTTCAAGAACTGCGAATGAAACAACTTGAAGAGAAGAGGAAAAAAATAATGGAATATAAAGTGTCAGATCAGTACCAATATTCTGACGCTGAATCAGAATTGAAAAATATTGAAGCTAATTTAGCAGCAGAATTCGGAGAATCATTGTCTGAAAATGAATGTTCAGATGAAGAAAATGATGAAAATATTCAATCAAATGGACTTTACTGCATAGCATGCAGTAAACATTTCAAAAAACCTCAAGCATTTGCAAATCATGAAAATTCAAAAAATCATAAAAAAAATTTCGCCAAAATGAAAAATACTATAATGAAAGAAGAAGAAATTATTAACTCAAATAAAAATAGTACCAGTCAAGTTACTGATCCGAAAAAAGAAGAGGAATATCTTTTTCCTGAACCAGTAAATGCAGAACTTATTAATGATAACAATGATGATAGCAATGTATCTGAGGGCGAGTTATTATCTGATGATGATGATAACGATAACGATGTACTTCACATAAAAAAAGATGAATTTAGTACCAAATCGAATGATGAATATATTTTTCCGCAACCTTTAGAGAATCAATCTGATTATGATGATGATGTTTCAGAAGGAGAATTAATATCAGACAACAGTGATAAAGAAATACTGGAAGAAACTTCAAAATTAAAGAAAAAGAAGAAAAAAAAAAGGACAATTAATAAAAATCCTATTTGCAATGATTTCGATGAAAATCAAGACATCGAACAACTTGATGATGCTTTGAGCCATTCTTCTAGATTAAAACAACGACGAAGAAAAAAATACCAAGAAATGGCTGCTAAAAAGGGTGTAGAGAAAAGTGAACCTGATATAAAAGAGAATAATGATGTAAATTCTGAGAATGAAAAAAAATGCCAAAAGAATAATGTAAATACTAACGATGTGGATGATACTGAACATATTTGTGTAACTTGTAAAGCCAAATTTCCAAGTAAAAATAAGCTTTTCGAACATTTAAGAAAATTGAATCATGCAATGTACCTACCAAACGTTGCAAATTCTAGTAAGAAAAAATCTAAAAAAAAATCTAAAAAGTCATCTGACATCAATGACGAATAGATAGAATTTCAATAAGTTATTAATAATGTATTATAAGAAGTCTAGATATAAATAAAGAAAATTAAATTTTCATTTTAATTATTGTAATACAACTTACTTCCAAAATTTTCATCTTTCAGATTCAAAAACAAAATTTTTACCTGATAAATATGAATGCTATACATACTATTGTTAATCGCAGGTAAGTTTTTTTTTAAATATTATATTATTTTTTAACTGAAACAAAAATAATATTGTTTATTGTAGGATAATGACAAACCAGCATAAAAAATTAATTTATCCAGCTGCTGAACGTAATAAAGAGCCAATACTTCAAGTTCTCAAAAGAATCATTCGTCCTGGTTCAAATCAAGTTTGTCTTGAAATATCATCAGGTTCTGGTCAACACATTGCTCATTTTGCTCCACATTTTCCTCAAGTAACATTTTATCCTTCTGAATGTGAACCGTCTTTATTAGAAAGTATATCTGCTCATGCCACTAATTTAACAAACGTCAATGAGCCATCCTTAATAGATGTAGCAACTGATTATAAAACATGGCCTGGTGATTTATTCAAAGAAAAAAGTACCGATTATATTTACAATTCAAATATGATGCATGTATCACCATTTAAATGTACAATTGGTTTATTTGAAAACGCTGATAAATTACTCAATTCAAATGGAACACTAATTACATACGGACCATATGCAATTGACGGTAAAATAACTCCAGAAAGTAATGTTGAATTTGATAAATCAATAAGATCTCAAAACTCAGAATGGGGATTGAGAGATATTCGAGATTTAGAAAAATTAGCAACTAAAAATAATTTAAAGCTTATTGAAATGGTTGATATGCCAGCTAACAATAAAATTTTAATATGGAAAAGAACAACAGAACACAATTTCTAATTATACATTAATAAAATAAAACTATGATTAAATTTATATTTAATAAATTTACGTTTACTTTTTTATTGAGTATAAATAAATATGTATAATTTAAATAAATGTAAACAGTGTATATTATACTAAATGAACTGCAATTAATGATGCCATTGAAATCCACCAATAAATCATTTTTCCACTAGAATCATTTTTAAACCAATGGGCGAATAATGCTATAAAAAAATTCTTTATTATCTGAATGAATTTGTTTAATAACATCTTTAATAATACGCACCAGTGTCATCATGATTTGTGATCCATCCAATAATTGGTTCCATTCTATTTTCTTGTTGAAGCCATTCATTTAGTGGCTCGAAATATCTCAATAATGCATTAACATCAATTCTGTTCATTTTTCCTCTAGTCATGATACGTATTATTTCTTGCCAATTGCTAGATGATCCCAATGATAATATTTCTCTTGAAATAAAATTCAAAATTCAAATTATTAACATTATTTAATATTAATTGAATTATTTATTTTCTACATACGATAATAAGCGACCGGCTTCTTGAGATTTATAGATATCACATGTATGTAAATCTCCAGTATGACCAGAAATATCGCAAAAAGATTCAAACAATTGAAATTGAATTACAACACCGACAAAATAACTGTTAACATAAAACTTATGTAATTATCAAGTTAAATAATAATTTAATGTTATATAATTACTTAATATAAGGTATATCAGCTGGTATATGATATTTGGAACCTGGATCAAAATCTCTTTCAATTCTTGGAATAGGAGGGATAATTCCTTGATACTGAAGTCTTAATTCCCACCATTTAGCTGTCATATCGGCTACACCATCACTGAAGACTCTCCATCTCCATTGTTCGACAATATAAGCAAAGGGTAAATAAACAACTTTTCTTAATGCCATTAGCATTAAAAAATTAATAGTAGTCTCATAGTCATTTAAATTTGTGGAATTATATAGACCAATTTTCTTTAAATGATAAGGATTCATAACTGAAAGTTCAATAGCATCACTTACAGCCTCATGAAAACCTGGCAATGGTTCATTTCTGAATATCAATGGCTGCTCTTTGTACTGTAAATAATATTGTATATGTGCCATTTCATGATGTGTAGATGATAAATCTTCCATTGTTACTTTTGTACACTGTTTAATTCTATAATCAATTCGATTACAAAAATCCCAAGCACTTGGAGTACATTTGACTTGTCTATCAATTGGCTTTTCAAACATTGAAAATCTCCAAAATTCTGGTGGCATTGGTTTCATTCCTAAAGATGTAAAGAATTCTTCTGCTACTTGAAACATTCTAAAAATGATTATAATTATTTAATTTATTAGACAAAAGAGAAATAACAACTATTAATAATAATAATGATTACCTTAAAGGTGTAAAACCTTGAATAATCATTTCCAAAGTAATATCAAATTGTCTTGCTGCTGGAAAAGGTTCAACTAAATCATAAATTCCTTCCCAATTTTGCGCCCACATATTTCCAAGTAAATGAGCTGGTAAAGGTCCTCCAGGACGAATTTTATCACCGTATCTATCGATTAATTTTGTTCGAACATATGTAAATATATTTTTATACAGTGGAGTTATAGCTGATAAAACCTGAGCAATATTTTGTTGAAAGTAATCATCATCATCATAAACTTGACGCATTTGATCACCAGCATCAACAAAGCCATTCAATTTAGCAGCTTGATTAGCTAGTTGAACATATCTCATGTATTTATTTTTCAATGGAGGTCCAATTGCTTCATGCCATGCTCTCCAATAATAAAGAAGCTTATCATAATCTCGAGATTTTGCCATTATTTGAGCAATGTCTGTATTTAGTTCAAGATTACAAGCAGTACCACCTAATTTATTTTTATAAGGACAAAATCGAGTTCTTGAATAAAGTTCTTTCATTTCAACTATCAGATGATGAATCTAAACAAAAATCATCATTTATTATCCAAAAATTATTTGAATCAAGTAATTTAAAAAATTATTACTTCATTAAATTTATCTTTAGACAGAGCATTTCGTCCTTTAATAACAAGCATCTTCAATTGTCTTCTAGTCAATGGATCAGGAATTCTTGTCCAAGCAAAACTGGTAGCTTTTTTCCAGGATGATCTTTCAAACTCCAATTTTTGAATTTGTTCTTCTAGCTGTAACATTTTATTAAAACATTTTACATTTAAATATTTTATATTTTTATGTAATAATTAATAATTACCATTTTTCTTCGATTATAGTCTGTAATATTTGTCACAAAATTCCACTGTGCCATCATTATTTTATTACAAACAATTGAAGCTTCACGATCATATTCTCTTAGAAATTGCAAAGCTTCACCCAAATTAAGATTAAGTCCCTAATAATAAACATATTTAAACAATAATTGAAAATTAAACATTTAAAATTTTTATATTACCTCCAAATAACGTTCATGACTTTTGTTAACAACTAGTATATTAATTAAAACACTAATGTATAGAAAACGATTTAATTTATTCATTCCTTATTCTTTTTTATGATTAATTTATACCAAACACCATTGGAATTCTCAAAATAATTCAGCGTCTTCACAAATAACTGTTCGATAACGACTTAAAGTATTTGCAAAAATATTTAGTTAACGCAACTAGAAAGACGACTGTAATTTTTAAAGATACATCAGCAAAGTTAAAGTAAAAGAGGAAGAAGGGACAGGCATCGTCAGTGCATGAAGCGTGACTTTACACTAACATCTAACACATCTCCATGACATGAGCCAAAATCTTCTGTAGCATGTTATTTTTAAATCCATCTTATTGACATACTAGTAAATTATCTATGATCTAATGGTATGTCATTTGATTGACAGCTTTGGGGATGAACATAATTAATTATTTATGATATATTTTAGGATCAATTAAACAGACTCTTCCAGCTAAGTAATTATACAATTTATTATAGCTATGATCTAATAGATAAAAATTTCTAATAGTTTCCGGTGTGTTGTGTTTTTAGTTATGAGTCTTTTTACTGTTAAGAAGAAGAAGATGTATAGCGTAATTTGTGCCAGTCATGAATTGTCATAATGACTAAAACAATAATTACATTTATGATGTTTGTCTTTGTTAAAAATTTTAAAATAGACAAAAATCAATTAATGTAAAATTAAAATTGCATTTTAATCAATTATCTCATCTATTTATAGAAGTTAATTATTCATGTAATAACATTTGACGTTTTTTAAAAGTTTTTAATGCTGTTATTTGAATATTTTTATGCCTCTCAATACGCTTTTGTGTTTTTTTCATTTCCTCAAGTTCTGTTTGAATTTTTATAAAATCAATTACATCAGGTAACTAAAATAAAAAAAAAATGATGAAATAGTTTAGTAAAATATTATATTTAATTTCTTCAATTATTACCTCTTTATCAATAAGAAATTTAGATTTTTGTTGATTTATATTTTCAAGTTTTGATTTGAAAAGTTCAATATCTTTTTTCAATTTATCAATATTATTTTCTTTTATATTTATTTCTTTCTCCAGATTATCTATTTTATTTCGTTGTTCTTCTAACTTTTTTCTAAAATGATCCAATTTTAAATTATATCGTCCCAAAACTTTCTTCAAATTTATCAATTCTTTATTAGTTGTTTTTATTTTCTTTAAATAATCTTGATTTTCAATCGTAAGAGCTTCAAAGTCAATAACATAAAAAGTTTGTTCAAATTCTTCTCTCTGTCTTAATTGTTGCTGAATTTTTTTTATTTGAGATTTAATAGAATAACTTTTTAAACGTAATTTATCCATTACATGAGTAACAGTTTTCATCCACGTCTTCATATATTTAATAAATTTATCAGCTAGAATTTTTTTCGTTGTTGATTCTGCATCTTTATTTTGTATAATATATTCTAGCTCTTTTTTAACTTCTTCAATATCTCGTATTCGTAGTTCAATTTCATCTAATTGGGCTGTTAAATTCATCTTTTTTATACCAATTTGTTTTTCACGAATTATAAATTGTTTTTTCATTTCATCAATTTGTTTATTTGTCATTTCAATTCTATGTGATAATGTTATTCTACAAAATAATTTTATTCTTGTAAAATTACCAATATTATTAATTATTGACATTATCTCACCGAAATCCTTTTGTTGATGAATAATTTGATAACACTGAAGGATAAATACGACTTTTACTAAGATTTTCATTACTGTCGATATTTTTAATACTTTTACTGCTGTTGCTGATTTTTCCCGGTGACATAGGACTATTTTCTTTGATTCCTCCAATATTCTGACCAAGTTGGTAGAAATGTGAAATTGACGAATTTGAAGAAGAACATGAAGACCCATGAGATTTTTGTGATAAAACTTTTTTAGTTGTCTCTAAAGTCTGAGTCATAATAGCAAGCGCTTGTGGATTATTATGAACTAAAAAATTTTCAAATATTTCATTCTCCAAAGTAAGAATTCTATTTATATAAATAGAATCTTTTAAATAATCCTTCAATTCTTCGGTATTAATATTTTGATAAATAGGCTCATTTTCTAAAACATTACTCATCGGCATCAACAAACTTGATCCACCCATTTTTGTGATGGACGACATTTTATATTACAAAACACACGATTTTTTGTTTCTAAATAGAAATTCATCTTCTATTATACATAGAAATACTAGTCATTCATTTTTTTGATTTTTATTTTATTGTGATGATAATTCAGTGATGGTGATAAATTAAAACTGAGTGTGTGTAGCAAAAATAATTTAGTGAGTTTAAAATTTTTAATTCAATTGTTTACGGATCTGCCAATAAACCTTTTTCTGTAATTTCTGTTCCATCTATGAATAGCATGTATTTAATACCATCACTTTTCTTCTCAGATGTACAAGATTGTATTACTGCTTGTTTTCCACCAACTGTAAAAAGCATTTCAGCTCCACCATCAACGAATTGATTCTGTAATAGAAATCATTTATTTATTTAATTGACAATAAAATCATTATATTTAAATGATTAAAATTTCATTACTTCAACATCAACAGGCTCTCCATTTACACGTATTAATTGACCAACTTTATCGAGAACTATTCGGTATTCAGTGTCATCAATTGTGGTAATCCAAGTTTCAAGAATTTTTGACTGAGATTGAATGAAACTTTGGAAACTTTTTCCATTTACCCACAATGTATAAGAGTATCGTAAACCTGTGAATGAATCTTAATAAGTCATTGGCGTAGAAGATGATACATTTAATAAAATTTTTAATAAAGAATAATAACAATAATGAACGAAAAAAAAGAATAAATATACCCGTAATTGGATCTACTCTGATGGTAAATTTATTTCCAGCAAACATAAAGGTTTCATCGCCAACTAATCGAAACATCCATTCTCTATGTATCAGTGTTGTTCCATCGATTTTCACAATTCGTCGTCCACTGGCAGTACCATGATCGAATTCTACTACGTGTGTACGGCCATCCTGAAGAGGAACCACCCAACGTGCTGTTGGTTCAGTTGACATAATTTTCTTTAATAATGTATGATTTTATTTGGCACCTTTTCTTGATAGGTGCTAATTAACTATGTGAACATTAAGTCACACAATGACACTATGTATTATTGATTAAATACATGTACCTAGTAAATAAATTATGTGTATATACATGTATACATCAATAGTCTGTATGAATATTTATTTCACCATTGAAAAAATCGAATATCATCATTGTTACATCAAAACAATTTATTTGACAGAGATTATGAATTTTTGCAAAATTATATGCATTTTTAGAACTTAATATAATTGAAGAAAAATTTATAATTTTTTTTAACTTAAATATTTTTTTTTTTTATTAACATAATGAAATAAATTGATCTAAACATGTAATTAATAGATTAAAAATCATAATAAAATAATGTAAATTCTAAAGTTAACATAATCCAAAAAAATTAGAAGAGAAATATATTTTTAAAAGATTATAATTTTTATACCCATACATATCTATTTTTTAATCATTTTTATACGTAAGATTTATTTTTATTTATTAATTAAAATTTATTATATTTACAAGATAAGCATTTTTTATATTTTTCAATGAAATTTTTATTAAAATTACTCAAATAAATTCTATAATTAATATTATTATATGAAATAAATGTGTAAAATTGAAATTCAAGTTTTTCATGGGCTCAGTAGTAGAAAAATTAATTGTCACAAACACTTGTGTATTATTTATTAATTTGCTATGATTGTGATGAAGTATCGGAGATACTTTGTCTCCAAGTGGCATGGAAAGGTATTTTTAATATTTTGACACGTGTTTTCGGTAATGCTGTTAACAATAACTTTTGAAGTTGCGGTAATGGTAGAATATCAACTTGAGGAGTTGGTAAATTTAATGATTTTTCATCACCTATATAAAAATAAAAAATAATATTAGTATTGATAAATAACAAATAAGAAATATATATATATATATATATATATATAAATATTTACCTTTTTGAACTTCATCTTGTTCAACATTTTCAATTAATTTCAGACATGGAACAGGTTTCAATACTGGTATAGAATCTCCAGAGACCTGTTTGTTCATTTGATTACACTGATCAACAAATAACTCTGTCACTCTAAGTAATTCCAATGTGACACCCCATACAAAATGAGTAAGACTGTTTGACAGTTCCGTAACACCACCAAGTACCATATTATTAGATGTTGCTGATTGAGATATATAAGTTGGTATAATCAATAAACGTTTAATATTTTTACAGCTTGCCAAACGTTTATCAAATCCATTTTTAACATCAAAATTAACAAGCTCAAGTTGTTGTAATTTTTCTAGTTTAGCTACTCCATTTAAAATATCAAATGTGCAGCAAGTTCCTTGGCCCTTTTCAAGTCTTAGGCGTTCTAATTTGATAAGTTTACATAAGACAGCTGTGCCGAATTTGGAAGGAAAGTCTGAACATTCTCCTAATTCCAGTGTTTCTAAGTTTATTAATGAACCTAAAACTTCAATTTTCTTTTTTCCCAATTCCTTTACTGATGTTAAACTTAGGTGAGTTAATTGAGTTAAATTTTGTAAAGGTGTCAAATCTCCATGTAATGACATTCCTGATATTGATTTTAATTTAAGTTCTCGACACCGAGTTAAATTACCCACTGCTTCTAGATTTAACCATTCACACTTTATTGTCATAGAACTGAGTACTTCAAGTTGAGGACAAGCTTTAATGACTTGTTCGACAACCATGACTGGACATTTACATAATTCTAATTTTACCAATGTTGTAACATTTGGTATAACAGAAACAAATTTTTTCCACGTACTATCTGATTCTCCAGAAATTAACATCTTTCGTAGATCTAAATGTTGTGTACCATGTCTTTGTAATGAAGCAACTAAACCATCCCAATCAGTTACTTGACTATTTTTCATCCTCACAGTTTTCCATAAAGCTGGATGAGCTGCTACATCTCTCCACATTTTACATACACGAGCAGCACGAAGAAGTTCTTGTACTTTGAGATATTGAAATATTCTTGTTAAAGCATTGTATCCAGCGCAAACTGTAGACATGAAATACTGCCTTTGATCAATCTGTTGTGGTTGATCTGCTAAACCAGATTTTTTCCTGTAAACAAAAAATTGTTTTTAATTTTATCATTTCTGTTTTTATAATTTAAAAAATAATGTTTATAATTTAAAATCGGTCATTCAATTCAAAATCAAAACATAGTTTTAAAATTGCAATTATTTCTATAGTTATTTAAAAATACAAAAAAAATAAATAAATTTGGACACCTAATCTATTCTTTTAACGTTCATTATTATATACAAAATGAGGATCAAAGAAGGAAATGATTAGTTATATTTTGAGGGATAAGGATAACGCGGAAAACGCACTAAACAGCTTTAAATATTTTTTAATTTTGTGATCTGGCTGGTCTTTATATCTGGAAATATAAAAAGTAAAAATGAATTAGATTTTTGTTTGAAGCACTTATTTATATATAACGCTATAATTGTAGCATTAAGGTAAAAATTGTAATTTTTTAATCATTGAATATTTTTTTAAATAATTATGTAAACTAAAAAACATATTACATTGATACTACAATTATGTTGAAATTATTAACAATATTTTAAGATCAATATTAAATGGAAAATGATCCAGAAAAAATTTATTTCAAAGGATTTATCTCCTCGAAGCTAAGGCAGTGTGCTTCTAGAACAAGGAAAAATCAAATTCATTTTTTATCTTTGTAGATTTTTATATTTGCAAATATATATATCTATATATTTAAATTTTATAATATATCTTATTGGATTTTACGAATAGTATTATATTCTTAAGGATCAAAAGAGGTCTTGTGAAAACAATGTAAAAAAAAAATTATGATGATTATCATAAGATTTTCATCATAGGTAGAATATAAATAAAGTATATAATGTAAAGCAACTGCCAAAACCTCATACAGAAAAATAAAATATTTAAATAATAATGCAAAGACTTACATGTTGTCGACTAGCAATGGAGTTATTGTCAAATTAGCATTTATTAATGATTGTTGTGTATTTTGTAAGTTTGATAAATTTGAAACTTCGTCATTACTTATTCGATCGTGATCAATATTTAAATCTTCACATAATATTGTTGTATTTAAAGAAATAACTTCTTTATGTATTTTTTCTAAAGTATCCACACATGACTCAACAGTTGAAGCATCTTGTGTTAAAATATTTTCTGTCATTTCTTGTTGTTTATTACTATTATCTATTAATACTGATTTATTTTCCATTGTTTTATCTTGAAATTCTGACAATTGTTGGGGTGGTTGTAGGTGTTGTTGTTGATGAAGTAAACTATTCTTATCGGCACTGAGACTATCTCTATCAAAATGATCTTTCATGAAAGAAGCTGTCGGTATTGGTTGATTTGATTTGTCAGTTTTAGCAGTTATTGCTGGTTGAACAGCTCCAGCATTATTTTTAGGTACTACTATGTATTTTTTACCAGATAAAATAGCAATATTTTGTGCTGGTTTAGGTTCAAAATTATCTGAAATGTAGTCTCTTATGCCACCAGTCCCTACTCTTGAACTTAACCATGGTGCAGAAATATCAACTTTATTACTAATTGAATAATTATTACTTGCTTCTATAGATGACTTTTCAGAAGTTTTTGATATTGATTCATGAGAAGAATATCTCGATTTAGAATTCGATGTATTAATCATACTAATTGGAATTAATGGTGGTGGTGTCATAATATTCGATTTTTTTGTTTCTTCATTTTCTTGTTGATGACAATTCTAGAAAATTATAATTTATTGATTGATAATAAAAAATATAATAACCTTTCTTGTCATTATTTTTCTTTTATTTACCTTGCAAATATAATCTTCTACTACTGATTCGTCAAAATGATCAACACATTCTGGATGATAAAGACAAAGACAGACACAACACTGAAGACTGGGTATTAAACCCATACTCATTGAACATCGTATACTACACGGTTCTTGCAATTTAGTCCTGTAATATTTGTGTGCGTAAATAGGAGGAGAGTAGGGTGGAGTAGAAAACGGAGAGGAAAGGATTTTTCTAGTTTAATTATTTTAATATATTAAATATATAAAAAAATAATAGTATTCAAATAAAGAAATATCAGGATGTTTAAGTTAAAGAAAATATATATTTATCTAATTTGGAAATGACTATGTATTGATAGAAAATTCAAAGTCAAAGTAATTCATTGAATTAATACTATAAAAAGAAATTTCATAGAAATAATATAAGTATTATAAAAGTATAAATATTTATTTGCATAAAAATAATAAAATTTCACTTACTTGAGTGATTGCTTCATTTTATATGATGATGTTGATTTTTTTACTGTAGTACGTCGTTGACTCGATGAGTTATTCCAGGATGTAACTATATCCGATTCTTTTGGCGGTGATACATCTTCTAAAAGATAATTTTCCAATGTATACAATTATATATATATTATTCATATTTAAAAATAAAAATACTTTTACACACTCTTTTGTTGAGAAGTTCCTCTTCTGCCAATGACTTTAGCTTTTGAATTAGTAGAAATATTCGTTTTATTTTGAATAATTTTTCCAGAGCTTTTAACAACAGGATGAGTTGGTGAATAAGATGCAGATGGCAATTTCCCACTCATCACTCTTCTGGACATTCCTCCTCTTTTACTTACAGATCCTTTTTTACCTCCGGATGAACTAACTGTCAAAACTGGTGTGCTTACCTTAAAAAATAATAGAAAAACATTAAAATAAATATTAATCTATTTTAAATGATATTCATTGAAATGTTGAATATGAAACTTACTATATCTTCTTCTCGAATTATTTCACATTCAGAATCATTTATTCCTATTGGTTCCTGAATGAATGTAAAATTATCTATCGTTAGCTCTTTCGTATTTACTGCAAATAAAAACATCAATGAATAAATAACATAACTGTTAAGTTAATTATAATAATAATAATGATAATAGTAATGAACAATTAGACTTACAATGTTCAGCAACTTGTTTGAGATTATAAACTTTTTTGTTACCCTTTGGTGTAATGTAAAAAACTTTTATTGCTTTTTGTGAAGAATTTTCTAAATCTCCTTTATTATAAATAAGTTCCCTTTTCCAACCGTATTTGAAAGGTTCTTTAAATAATGGATTTGTAATATCAACAGATTTTTGTTTCATTATACTGGTAGAAGTAGCACTACCACTACTAGTAAAATTTGTACTTTTTAATCCCTTTTGTCGATTTACCCCAATGGGACTTTTAATAGAAACTGATGTATTATGCGTTGTATCTTTATTTTTCAGATAATCATAATCAGAATCAATATAAAATTCTTTCTTATCTAAATTATCCGTAGTGTCATCCTTCCATCTCATTTTTAGATCATTAGCATCAGGTATATTTGACGTTACAGAGTGATTGTCTGTTGTTTGTCGTGGTCCTTTTGATACTGACCGTCTCATACGTTTCATTGCTTGTGCATCAAGAGCTTCTGCTTCGGCAATAAGTTTTTGTAAGATTGCTGATGCAGCTTCTACTATTATTGTGGAATTTTTATCAAACCCAGTAAAATCCATAGAATCTTCAGAAGATATAACACTGTCTGAGAGTTTTCTTTTTTTATTAGCTGGTTCATTTTCAACATTACTTGTCGAATTTGCTTTAAATTTACGAAGTTTTCTTTTAGCTACTGGTGTAATACTTTTTTTGCCAATACCACTTTTGACATCCCCGTTAACCTCTTCCTCCATTTTGGCTGGTTCGTCTAATTTCTGCTGTACTACTGTTTCCTCATCGACCTTTTGTATCTCTGTAGCAGCAACTTCTGGATCATCAACGTTGCGCGCCACCTCAGTATTCCCGCCATTTATATCGCTAGTGGTAATAACCTCAATAGCACTATCCATTGCGTATTTTATTGGCGATTCCTTTTTTTACAGTTCTTCGTTTAATCTTTTTTTTTAACAAAAAATATAATCAACTTGATTGATGAGTAAAAAATGTATTAATGTTACTGTTTTGTTTTATTCTAAATACAATGTTTGTATTTTAAGAATAAAATAATAATTACTATATTGTACCTGTTTCACTAATTTATAGTATTTATGAATATATTTGGTGATTTTATTTGCATAAATTTGCTGATTATTTTTAAACTCGTCTGATTCAATCGAATCATAGCCACAGATTATCACTAAGCATTAAATCAGACAAAATTTTCTCGCTTGAATTAATTTTAATTGTAATTAACATTAGTATGTGAATCGGTGATGACGAATACACATTATTTAATATATATATATTTTGTATAATTGCCTATGTACAATATCTGTACATAAAAAAACGAAAGTAGCGTCTGCGGAAAACTATGACCGGAAATTGAATATTTTTTTGCATGTGATGATACTATAAACATTATATTAACGAAAAATTAAAAAAAAAATTTGTTTTAATATTTTAAATTAAAATAATAAAAAAAAATCTATAAATCTATGAATCATTTTAGTTAAAAATTATTTTTTTTTTTAATTTAATAGAAAATCTTGACTAGTGTCTGATGTCATTTCCGGGTTATTATATGACACGTGATCAACATGGTAGATATATATGTGTTTCACTTTCTCTTTACTTCGAAAAATTGAAGCGCGCAAATTAAAATAAAATAATATTCAAATGTTTTTATATAATTAACTTATTAAAATGAATGAGATGAAAATTTAAATATCATATTTTACGTTTTTATTATTTTATCAATAAATATTTATTGTAATATAGATAATTTAAAACAAATTTATTAAACAAACTGTACATATATATAACTATAGCTCTCTCTTTCTTCCTTCTCTTTTTTTTTTTCTCGATGACTCCAAGTTTGTACTATGCTTGATGGTGTCGTTACTGATCAAGCTATTGTTAATGGTGACTTGAAATTTGAGGTTATATAGTTGTAAAAATTACAATTTACTTATTTGTCGTAATTTTTACTACCAAAGTTCTACTTTTTAAGTTCAACATACGGTAGTAATCATAAAATTCATAAATAATGAATCATTTCATTGATAAATAATGTTTATTTGAAACATTTCTAAAATAATGTGGTCCATGAGAATAGTGATGGTAGTGATGATGATGGTGGTGGCTATTCAGGCTGTTTGACAAATAGTTCAAATATTTTTTTAATATATTAAATTATCATTTAATTCATCATGGTTAAAGAAAAGCCAAATTCTATCCGCATTTACGATTCTGAGGGTTATAGACGTAGAGCAGCGTGCATTTGCGTCAAAAGCGACCTCGAAGACGAGGTAAGTAATGTATTGTTGTCATTTGTACAGAGGGCACTGTTTCAAAGAAGATCTTGATGAATTAATTTTATTAATAATTATGTTTTATTAATATAATAATATTAAATGAATTAATAGGTTTTATTAGTAACATCGAGTAGACGGCCAGATAGTTGGATAGTACCTGGAGGGGGTGTAGAACCCAATGAAGATCCTGCAGTGACTGCATTGAGAGAAGTTAGAGAAGAAGCTGGTGTATTAGGGCAACTTGGTAGATGTCTTGGTATCTTTGAGGTTCATATTTTTGATTAATTTTATTCTTTATCACAACATCATTAAGATCTTACAATAATACTCCAATTATCATTTCAGAATCTAGAGCATAAACATCGTACTCAAGTATGGGTGATGCGAGTAACAGAAGAATTACCAGAATGGGAAGATTCACGAAATATCGGACGAAAAAGACAATGGTTTACAATACATGACGCTTTAGTACAATTAGCTCAGCATAAGCCCGTCCAACGCTCTTATGTTTACAGTCTCTGCAATACCAATCCTCGACATGGTACATTAACAAACTCCTCATCTTTACATCATCCTTCGCTATCTACCACGACAATTCAACTTGTCTCAAATGCATCAACAGACACTCAGTGTCAATGTAAACACAGTTAATGTTAACAGCAATAATTTTAATCGAATAATTGTTTCCATCAAATGTGCTATTGTATTACTGCATTCATGATTAATGATGATGATGATAATGAAACAACTATCATACATATTTTATACATAATAATTATATTCATTTCATGGATGTTGTTTATGCAAGTGGAAAAATATGTGAGGCCAAGAATTGAAAGATTGATTTCTTTGTGGAGATTTATAAATGACTATTGTCAGCGTACGGGGGATTATAATTTTAAATAAAAACTAATTTATATGCTTAATATATTTGTTATAATTATCTGTATAAGTTTCTTTTTTATTTTATTATACTGCTATCTTATTCATTATTATCTTTAATTTATATTTTTATGTAACATACATACATTCACATAAAATAAGTCATCTAGTTAATAATAAGGAAAAAAAAGAATAGTTATAAGAAAAATTTAGTACGTTATCAGAATTTTATAAGTTTCGGATCATAATGATAAGTTAATAAGTAGAAAGTTATAATATGAAAATTAGAAAATAGCTAGTATAAATCCCTCGAGTTTAGCATTTAAGCGTGTACAGATGTTACAAATCATGGAACTCTCACATACATACATACACAATTTCATTTGTTCACCAATCACATTGTTCAATACAAACCCAAAAGCATACGAGTCAGGTTGCGTTCGAATTTCACAACTTTTTGAATCACGTACTATACATACATCGATGCAGTAAATATACAAAAGTACAATACATATATATACATCGCAAAAACTCAAAGCACGTTTGTTTCAATTTGTATACAATTATTGTGTAATAAATAGTTTAAAAGTAATGATTATTATAGTTTAATTATGAATTTAAATACCTCTAATGAAGTTCCGGTGAATGAAGAATTTTATTTCGAGTCAGATCATCTGGCTTTGAAAGGAAATAAAGACTATACTGCACTGCTAAAGACAATTGTTATTTTGGAGAATCAGAGAACACAAGCAATACAAGATCTTGACAAGTTGTTATTATCTAAATCTAAGGCTTTAGAAAATCCAGTAACTTTTGTAGCACAATTACAAAATGGTCATTTTCTTGATCTGTCAAGACCTCAAAAAATTGCAGAAATTCCGTATATAGATTGGACCAAATATAATATTGTAGATGCTGATGCACGAATTAGACCTCAAACGAGGCATGGACATTTTACTACTCAAACATCAACGAAACTGGAACCAGAGGATAAAAAGGTAACACTAAAATATATTTATAATGAAGAAAATTGTTTTAGAATTTTTTATTTATCAAGAAAATATTACAGATTTTAGTTCGTGGACGAGCTTTTGACGAAAGTAAACCAGAAACATTTAATCAACTATGGACAAACGAAGAACAACGTAGATTAGAACAATTATTAATAGAATATCCACCAGAAAATGTAGAAATGAAAAGATGGACAAAAATAGCAAATGCTTTAGGTAAATGTTTAATTTTTATATCGATAAATATTTAGATAGAATAATTAAACTGAATGAAATTTTTGTTTTATTTAATAGGAAATCGGACTCCTAAACAAGTTTCGAGTAGAGTACAAAAGTATTTCATCAAATTATTACGAGCAGGTCTTCCGATTCCTGGTCGAGGTCCAAAATTTAAATTAGACATAAAAAGAGGATTTCATTATCGTTATCAACGTAATCGTTATCCTTTTTTTCGGAAATCAACATTTTTTCCTCATCAAGATTTAGTTACAGCAGATGATTCTATTAGTGATATAGTAGTACATCAACAGCAACAAAATTTGGTAAATATAATTATTAATTAAACTTTCTTACAGACATTCGTGAATTATCATCCATTTAATTATATTTTACTGTCTTTTGTTTAGTGTACGATATGTGGGCGTGATCTTATAAAAAAACCATCAGAAATTCAAAACGAATCTTCTACTAAAACTTGTGCTAATTGTGCTGTTGGAGAGTTAGATACAAATAGCAAACAAGTTTCTGAAAAATCAAAAACTATTGACTCATCAAAAAATTATGACAGCGATTATTATTATCAAAATTTTAATGATTCGTCATATAATTATTTAGATACAAATTTTTTACCAGATTAAACGTAGATTAGACTTTTTATTCATAAATAAATGAACAAAATATTTTAACATGAGTTTTTTTTAAATATAAAATTCTATTTATTTATGCAAATAAATATCAACTATTCTTTGATAAATGATTTATCAATTGTATTTTAAATTGTGAAAATGATCCATCTTTCAATTTTTCTCGAATCGTTTCAAAGAATTTTAAATATTGATGTATATTATGTCTGTAATAAGAATAAACATTTTGAGTAATTCTTATAATTAGAAGCAAATTAAAATTAACTTACATCATTAAAAGTATGTATCCAAGTAACTCATTAGTTACACACAAATGCCTTATGTATGCTCGTGTATGATTTTTACATGTTAAACATTCACACAATTTACAAATTGGTGAAAAATCATTAGCAAATCTGTACAAATAATTTTAATTATACTTCAATTTTATACAAAATAATCATTATGCAAATAATTCTTACCTTGATTCATTCATCAATAATATGCATTCTCGATTTTCTGAATGGTTGTGAAATAAGCACATAAATGTTAGAGCCTTCCATGATTCTGTTATGACATAAGGATAAGATGAATCGAATATATCAACTCCTAAATCAATTAACTCAAGAATAACTGATGGATTCCAACATCCTAATGATACTTTCATTTTTTCAGTCGGTAATAAGCTCTAGAGAGAAAAAAAATAACTTTTGTTTGATTTGTCGATTGACACATTTTATCAATTTAAAACTGTCCAAATATTTTCATACCAAAGTATATTCAACAGTATTTTTAATTGTTTCGAATTGAATATCTTGAACAGTTGGTCCACCGAATTGTAGTCCATCAATTACATAGCCATCAACATCTTCTTGAATTAAATACTCTATCGACCGTTTACGAGCAGCTAAATTATATCCTCCTTCTACTGGTCCCAAAATTCCACTATTACTTATTATTCTGGATTTTTTATGTCTTTCCATGCATTTAAAAAATTGAATACGACTCCTTTCAACTGCTTTCATTATACGTTTTTCACTACTTGAATGATCGGTATAACCATCACAAAGGGCAACATAAATATCTGGTTTAAAAATTTCAACCAACTCCATATATTTGTCAGGATTTAATGATTGCTTTCCATGTCTTGACCATACTGCTGTTGAATGGTGTTTCTGATACCCAGGAATCATTTGGACTGCAGGATCATGGATCGTTAAGAAGTTTGGATATTTCTATTTATGCATAAAAACAATAAATTCACTAGGAAATTGGATTAAATAAATTTTCTTTACGTTCATTACCTCCATACCGGTAAGTTCTGATAAAGAGTTTAAATTTTGTGTAGCATCCTTCATCGTGATAATGGACGGTAATGGAATCGACAACATGTGTTTGTCTGTAGTTAATATTTGAGTTAAAATTGGTTGGGTTAGATGCGGTATACTGCCTCCCTAAAATAATTATGATTAATAGATGTAATGAAATATGTTTACAAAATCAATATTTTAAAAATACCCTTGTATGAAGTAATAAAAGAGGCGTTTCATATACTGAATCGGGAAATCTTTCCAATTCCGAAAGGAATCCTAGTCGTGCTGCACATCGTGCGATCGATTCTGTTGTAAATTTCATCTGTCTATTTTTTGGAGCTCTTTATAAATTTAAAATAAAATATTTCGTTTTATAATATAACCGTATGAACAATTATGTGCATGTAATTGATAACCTATTTGTTTGTATTCTACCTTATATCAGGTAATAAATGTTCTATGTATATACTAAAAGCACATTTTGTTTCTGATTGGATACTTTTCAAATTTTTTCGTTTATAAATAAACACCAGATGGCGCTAATTGTATTTTCTTAAGGCGGGGCCGTATTGGGGTATTATTTTTTATTAACTTTAATTGTTACAAATCTATTTAAAAAAAAAAAGACGCGCGTATAATCATAGAAAAACCTCTCACCTTTCGATTAAGATCTAAATAATTAAAAATTACTCCTTTTTTACCCAGTAATCTGTGGAGGAAAATTTTTCTTTTTTTCGAGTCAAAATACGAGTACAGCACAAGATAGTGTGCAAAGTGCATCAACTAAGGACTTTAATAATGATGTCCCAATAGTAATATTGAAATAAACTGTTAATAATAATAATAATAAATATTTATCTTTTGTAAATATATTTATTTTTTATTGACAATTGATTGAATGATTTAATTGATACATATTGTCAATTAATTTATAATTTTCCATTGAAGCAGATGAAATAGTAAAAAATTGTATAAAAAGCTTCTTGAAAAGTAATAGAGAATGAATAATGTGGATTGATTCTGATAGATTCCAGAAAACTGTAATTGTTCACTGTTCCTATTTTAGAAGCGCAGCAATTCCCTGAAGTATAAAAAGCAACATCAATATTAAGAAACAGGCTGTCACTAATTTTTCTGTATACATGATCAATAATAATATTCATTAATAGGATATCTTACTCCTGCAACCGCTCCTCCTGCAGCGACAGCTGCTTTAGAGACAGCTCCAACTGCTCCAATACTTTGAAGCGTCGCAACTAGGCCTCCAGCAGTTGTTGATGCGCCCATCATTGATGCAGCAGTAGTTCCTGCTGCAATCCCTGCTGCTTTAAAGCCTAATGCTCCAACAGCAGCAGGAACACCATAAGCAATGGCTCCGGCACCAAGAATTACTGCACCACCGATTTGGAATATTGTATTCATTTTTAAAACGAAAACGATGATTGAATTATTTCGCTATTGACGGTTTCGATGTCACACAGAAAATGAATCGTCGAATATACTTTGCAAAATGTCTACGACTGTACAGGATTCCCCGTTTTATTTCATTCCTAACCAATTGCGATTTATAAACGATTCTTGTCTTTGTGGCGGTTGAAAATTCGCTTACTGCCCTAAGTAACCGGCAACGCAATTACATATTGTGCGTACGGCTTTATGGAACTTTTAAGTAAAGTTTCGATGCCATTAAAGATTATTATTATTACATATTGCGCGTCTGCGTTGATGAAACATTCATCTACTTATTTCTTATTATAGCTATGGCTAGGAAGATCTAATATTATCAAGTTATGTTTTTTTATTATCAATAAATAATTTGTTGATTGTTTAAATATTACTCATCATTTGATATTGCTTCGGTACAAAAGGCTAGAACTTGTAGATAAAAGACGTTAAAGTGTTTCTTTTATGCAATATGCACTTTACAAAATGCCTTTTTATTATCAGATTTAAACATTGAATTATAAATGTTGACATTTCAATTCAAAAAGTATAATTTTTCTGCAATCATTATTTATTACTTCAACGTTTGTTCAAAAAATATAATGCCTCTATATGAACCAATAATTTGTTTTCGTTATCCATAACAGTATTTGATTAATTCAATAAAAAGAACACATTGTTTATAATTTTTTATGACCATTTAAAAGTAAAATATCCAAAGACAAGCATTACTATCATCAGTATTATTGATGTTTGGTATGACAACTCATTCTTTCTAGTCAATTTAAAAAATCCTAATTCTTTCTGGATTTAATTAATGCTATACAAGTAATCAAAAAGCATTGATAATTATAATTAATAAATTATAATTGTTATTATATCGTAATGAGTTCGAACTATTTTACATTCATAATTTATTGATTAATTATAATGTCTATATAGATATATTTTTTTTTAATGAAGATTTAATTCATCAAGATAATCATATACAAATTATTTGACGTATTATCCTACTAATTTCTATGATTTAAGTATAATTAACATGTAACAAATATTTTAATGAAAATTTTATTAACATGTCAGTATATTTTCATTGAGACAATATGTAAGAACATAAATGGTAAATTTTATTATGTATGTCCAATATATAACTCAAATTTACAATTTCATTTCACTACTCTGCTGTTATTGCATTATTACGTATATAAAAGATAAATCATAATAATTCATACATGCAGTATTTTCAGTATTTTGCCCGTGTAAATGATCAGAAAATTTATAATAACAAATAAATGTTTTACAAATAAATAAGAATAAAATTAACTAAGATATAATTTAATTTAAAATTTATTGAAAAATGAAAAATTAGTACGAGTCCAATTATTAATAAATCAAATAAGTCGTTGTATACTATTGTTATTGTTTTTCTTATATTTTTTTTTTTTTTTTATTATTAATTAATTTTAATTTGGCAAATTTTCAATTCGACACTTATGGTACTAATAACTATAACAATAATAATAAATTATATTATAATCATTATTATTACAAGTTTTTAAATTGTAGTCTCAGTAACAGTAAACGTAGTTATGGTGGTGGTAATGGTAGTAGTAGTCACAGTAGTACTTTGTTGTTTGTTGTTTTTTGTATTGTTTTTGTTAATATAGCAGTAACAGTAGTAGTAATGTTAACGATTATAATAATAATGATAATTATTATTATGAAAAATAATAATAATAAGAATAATCTCGACGTTATCGTGTAGGACTAAAAAAAATTATATTGATAAAACTTTACATTAGTAATATTTTCATAAGAGGTTGAGACAAGGCAGTTGATTACTCCTCAATGACTCCAGGGATGCGTTGATGACGCTCTTGGGCAAATCCACGAGTGCCGTCAGGACCTTTAGGTTGCCTGATTACTGTTAATTTTGGACCAGCATCTTCTAATGATATAGTACGTAATCGATTTATTAAACGTTCTGGTCGTTGTTGAGTAGATTCACCACTGAAAGAATGGAAAATTTTAATATATAATAATTCTATACACATAAAAGAAAAAAAAAAATAATTAATTAACATACTTGAGCCGTGAAACATTGCAAGCAAATGATTTGCCAGTTCGTTGATTTGTAACTAAAACGAACTCAACTTGATCACCAGGTTGAAGATTGGCGTGATCTTTAACTTCAGTCATATGAAAAAAAAGTTTCTTTCCATCATCTACTTCAAAAGCAAGAAAACCAAAAGCACCTTTAACTGCATCAACTGTAGCAATTCGTTTTTTACGAACTGCAACAATATTACAAGCATGACCTTCGGAATCAATTTGAAATTGTACAGGATCACCTGCTTGTAATAATTCTCGTTTATTTAGCAAACCCATTATACCAAATTCATATTTTTCAGAGCTATTTTCATCAGAACCAATGCCAAGTTTAATTAATCCGGCATATTCAATTTGTTCAGGATTAGCACTGCGTAATGGTCGAATTACAGTACCATCAAAAACTTCACTGACAGGTGTAGCACGTGGAATTGTACCACGTGGTATTAAACGTACCAATTCAGCTGCAATACAACCACCCGTACCTCTTCCATTTCCTACACCTATGGTACATTCAACTTCAGTGCCTAGTTCTAAAGTATTTGCATCTCCTTCAAACGTACTAAAAAAAAAAATTATACGTATATATTTTTATACAATTACAGGCAATAAATTAATTATTGTTAAAATAAAACCATTGTTTAACTAATATTACCTGAAGTGGAAAAATATTTCTTTTTCATGATTTACTGTTTCAATAAAACCAAAACCGTCTTTAAGAGCAGCAATAAAACCATTACATGTACCTCCGGTAATAACTTCATTACCATTTTGTATTTTTTCACCACTAGAATTCAATAAAGATATGTTGACTGCCACTAATTCTTTATTCCTTTTTACTTGGCAGATACTAAATTTAACCTAATAAATATACATAAATTATTTTTTGTTATCTACTTTAACAATTATTAATCATGAAACAGTTAACATTTCTATAAATAAAAAATTACAAACCTTATCTCCCAACCTAGGGATATTTTTAGAATCACAATCTTTTGTGAAAAAAATTATATTTTTCTGTTGTCCATCTTTTGTATATCCAATGAAACCAGGATCAATACCAGTAACATCTTTCACAATGGTACCTAATAAATCTTTTTCTGTTATAGTTTCAAATTGAACAGTGCCTGATGGTAAGTGTCTGAGGCGAATTGCACTTTGACGTGTATTTGAAAAAAACGTCGGTGGATCCTTCAAAAGGAAATTAGTTCAATCAAAAAAGCCATTATCGTAATTATCTATAGATGATTAAAAAAAAAAATCAGGACTTACTTGAACTACAGTAAATTCAACTTCATCGCCTACTGTTATTTCTTTATCAATATCAAGAACTTCACTGAAATGGAAGAACAATCTTGCATCTCGATCAACACATCTAATAAATCCAAAACCATCTTTTAATGCAGCAATAACTCCCTGTTCTCTTCGTTCGCCTGATACAGCAAAAGATTCAGGTAATAAAGAAATTTCTGTGGCTCTTTTTAATTGATCTCTAGTGTCTGTTGCAAGTAAAAATTGAACCCAATCACCGTGTCTATAAGAAAGGAAATAATTATAAAGTTGTAAAAAAAAAGCACATAAATTTTAAAATAAAAAATTGTAAAAAGAAAAAATAATAAATATTTATTTACTTTAGTGTAAAGTCTCCTTTTTGATCTTTATCTCCAAATGGCACTTCAACTTCTGAATAATCAGGAGCTCTATACCGAATACGACCAGGTAATGGATCATTTTGATGACGGGCAACATTTCCTCGTTCTAATGGCTTCAAAACTTGTCCTTTCATTACTTCAGTTCCAACTTCTTCAAATACAATTGATCCAGGTGGCAGTTTGGTTATGTTACACGCAACTTCTTTTCCCTAAAATAATTATTCGATATTAAAATAAATACTAATACACTTCATATATAAATTTAATAATTTCACTGAATAGAAAGAAATACATGAGTCAAAATTTTTTAAAATATCAAACTATAATACTAATTAAAAATAAAAAAAAATATTAAAGTGAGAAAAGATCTTATGAATAAATTAAATGATATAACTAATGTTTTGTTTGTTTATAAAAAATATAATGAATTTATATTCAATAGTACAAATATGAGACTTGTTGATGTTCAATTGTTTAAAATTGATTATATATATAAAGGATACTTACGTTTCGCGTTTGTATAATAAATTCAACATCATCTCCTAGTCTCAATTCTTCTTTCAATGATTTAGCTTCACTAAAGTGGAAGAATATTTCTTTAACTACATCTGCTCGTTCTATAAAACCAAAGCTTTCTTTCATTGTACATATAACACCACGATAGCGAACTGGATGTGCTGGATTTTCTAATCTGACATGACATGCGCCTAAATTTCCACTGCAATTCATCATTTATATAAATTAAAAATCATAATTATGTATAATAAAAATAATAATAACTTATATCATTATTATAATAATTATATTTTGTTTATATATACCGTTGATTAGTAGCAATTTGAAATGAAACTGTATCACCAACATGTAAAGTGACATTTCCTTCAACATCGTCTTTGGTATAGGGTAGAAAAAAACATTCTCCACGATTTTCATAACTAATACGACCTTGAGAATCACCGCTTGTTTGAAGTTCAGTTGTTACGTTACCTAAAACTCTTTCTTCACTTAATACCTATAACACAAAACATAAATATAAAGATTTATTACTGATAGATATTTAATGCATCTTTTTTATGTAAACTTGATACAGTTTTTTCTTAATTAATGATAATAATAATATTTAGAATTAGAGAAAAAATCTTACAACTTCAGGAGCAATCTTGTTTACAATACTGGCAATTGGTTTGCCGGTTCTACGATCATATGTCATTTCGAATTCAACTGGGTCACCAATTTTGAGATGCTCTATGGTACCACTGAATTGACTAAAGTGGAAGAATAATCTTGCTTGACGCTCACAACACTGTATAAAACCATATGAATGCTGGAAATAAAAAAATAAATAAATAATATCACCTTAAATTTCAGGCATTAATGTCAGACAGTTTAAATTTATGAATTTTAATTGATAAACTTGACATACCAGTAATTTTTCAATGATACCAGCTTCGCGTGGACCTTGATTATTGGACTGATCTTGATATAATGAACTAACGGTGTTAGATTTTGTGTTGTATTCAAAATTACCTTCTTCTACAATAATTCTATTATCTGTTGATGACCATTCATTACGTGATGATGTGATATTACTGTTAGAGTAGTTACTGAATGATGATGAATTTTTTCCACACTCAATTCCGGATACCACATAGTCAGATACCACAAAATTACAACTGGTACCATTACGATAATTATTGGTTGTTGATTGTTGTGATCCAGTAACAGAACTTTTTGTCGATATTGACATAGACTTATAGTCAAGAATAGCAGGGTCAGAATTCATTATTGGCGGATGGAACGTCTTCCACTGAGGATCATTAGACATTTTTGTTTTGTTTTTTTTTTTCCTTATTAATATTTTTTTCAAATTTAAGAACTATATATATTTTTGATACGTTACTCCAGTGATTTACACAGAATATATGTATTTTTCTTTCTACAATTGAAGCTTGTAATTAATTGTAACTATTTTATATATCTTTTTCACGTTAACGCTGAGAAATCTTATTCCTTTTTTTTTCTTTTCGCAAGTCGCACAATAATTACTGTTAGTTATTTATATTAAAACATTCTTAGTCTTTTTAATTATTAATTAAGTGTTAACATACATATCACAGAATGGTTCTTGGTACCTTAAATCGTTTATTATTATGTTTAAAATGATGATTATTATTACTATTATTATGTCCAATTTTTATGCGTATTTTTTTTAAATTTATCAATGATACTAATAAATATGATACATCGTGAGATTTACGAAAACAAATATCGCAAATATCGACAGATTAATTCTTCGTATAATGATCTGATGAAAAAAAAAATACAACACAAAAATTACTCTGAATATCAATGATTCTATACTTATTTATTATTATCAATTATTATTATTGGTGTTGTTATTATTATTATTATTGTTATTTTTCGTTTAATAATAATAATGATTTTCTTTTCAAGTTTGAAGCACCAAAAAAAAAGTGTTTACGAAATGTTGTTAATTTTTGAAAACCGACGTAGTTAAAAAATCTATTATAAGACAATTAAAATCACAACCAACTATATAATGATTTAACTGTGGTTATGTTTCATTAAAAAATTCAAGTTCTATATACACTCTGACTTTTGTGAATCAACTAACGAAAAGATTTTCCAACAGATAAGTATTTAAACAATATTTACGTATCGTGAAATTTTTTACAATTAACAGAATGACTTCTCAACGATAAATAAATTAAAAATCAAAAATGATTTCGACTATAAAACACTAGGTTTTATTGTATTAGAAATGTAATTAACCACTAAAAATGTTAAGGAATTAATGTGGATAAGAAAATCCTCAGATGTCTTCAATGCGTGCTGAGTGTGGTTGTGTCTTTCTTTTCTTATTATTATTATTAAGTATTTTCTTCCTTTTTAACTTCGATTGATAGATTTTATAATAAATGTTGAATTCGAAAATTGTCCTAAACTAATAGATACACAAGCTGAAAAAATAAAAATTTATAATTATATCCAGTTGTTATGATAAAAAAAAATTCATGAACAATGATCGCACGCTTTAATTTAATTACAAAATGATATTAATGAACGTTTTAAAAGATAATTTTCAATTGTATAAAAATTAGCTATGGCTATTCACTTTGCAAAAAGATCGTTAATTATAAGTTTATCGGCTTAATTTTTCATTCCAAGCAATGATTATCATTTTTAGAATTAAGAAATTAATGAAATTTGTAATATTTGAATAAAAATAATTATTTAAATAATAATACACGAAATTAATTACTTATTATATAAAAAATTATTCGAATAGTGAATATTTTCATCTTAAATAATGAACACCTTTGTATTAGGTCGGCATAATTAGAACGATATTGCATCTATATATTTATGGTAAAATTGATCTATTTTGGAGTTCTGATTATTTCAATTAAATTAATTAATCCAAATGTCCGAAAACTCATGTGATAATATTCTTTTATATTTTTGATTTATGTATGAATTATTCTAAAGCACACAATCATTATCCCCGTTAACAAAATTTTATAAAAACTTACCACGACACAGCACAGCACTGACGACATGCCGCCATGTTGAATGTCAACATTTGAACTGATTCCAATAATGGCAGCCTCATAGGGACAAATATAATCAATTCTAGGTATTTTAAGTTAAATTAGTGCCAACATTTACTTTTTTATCTATATATTTATGCATTTATTTAATAACAATAAATATATTTTTTATAAAATCATCATAATTCATATTAACAATTTTAATTTTGTTGAGCTAATGGTAAAAAAATATCAAAGAGGACAGAAATTTTTTTTTAAATAACAAAAACAGTTTCTATTTAAATCGCGGTATTAAAGCAGTCACTACAAGTATTTTTTTTAGTATACTGTACTATTTTAAAGGCTTATATACAATAAAAAATAAAGAATTTAATTTTAATAATTTTCAATATATTAATATTTTTATTTTTTCTTTAGTAAAGTTTTGTTATAAGTTTTAACAAACAGTATAATTATTATAATGAATTTATACACATCACTGACCAGATAAAAACCAAAAAAAAAAACTATAATTATAAAAAATTTCTTTTATGTGATAACAGTTGGTTTATCACGATTGGTATGTTCTTGCATTTTGCTCAAATTCAAAGCTATGTTAATAAGAGGCTTCAGTACTTCCTGTGCGTCATTATAAAGAATATTTTGATCAGTTTCATAAGCTTCGATATAAAGTCTGATAGTTGCTCCGGAGCTACCTGTGCCTGATAATCTAAATATTATTCGTGATCCATCTTCAAATAATATACGTAAACCCTAGCAAAAATTGAAAACATTAGTAAACATTAAAGATTATTTAATAAATTATTTAAAAATTTTTCATACTTGTTTTGTAGCAACACTTTTATCAATAAGATCTGTGTATGAGTAATTATCAGCATGTTTGACTACATAATTTTTGGTCCCATCACATAACTTTGTGCCTTTAAAAGCTGGATCTAGTATTTTAGTCTCAACTTCAGTCATTACTTTATTTGCTTTTTCTAATTCACAGTTTTCATAGTCATATCGTGTGAAAAAATTCCTTCCAAATTTTAGCCAATGATCTTTTTGAATTTCTTCGATGGACTTTTTAAGTTCTGCTATAACATTTAGCCATGCTAAGCACGCCCAAATACCATCTTTCTCTCTGATGTGATCAGAACCTGTACCAAAACTCTCTTCACCGCATATTGAAAGTCGTCCAGCATCCATTAAATTACCTAAAATGAATCAACAACACTATAATAATTATAAAAAAGAAAACGATTAATATTGTATATAAATGGATTGATAATAAAGATTGAAATGATTATAATTATAATATATTATAAACTAAAGTTGTGATGAGTATTATGATTATCTACCAAAATATTTCCAGCCAGTAGGAACTTCAAAACATTCAATATTATTCAATTTTGCCACTTGATCTACAGCAGCCGCAGTTGGCATTGATCTTGCGTAACCTTTGATGCCATTTTTTTTAAAATACGGTATTACATTTAAATTAGCTGCTAAAATTGCTAGTGAATCCGATGGTGTAACAAACAATGCCTTTTTTCCAATAATCTAAATTTTGAATTATTCATAATACTTAAAAAAGCAGTTCTTAAAAACTCTGTTACAATAAATAAAATCTTAATAATTAACTTTACCATATTTCTATCACCATCACCATCAAATGCTACTCCCATATCATAAGTACCATTTCTAACTGTCTCCACTAAATCTTTAGCATATGTTAAATTTGGATCTGGATGTAGCCCTCCAAAATCTTCAAGAGGAATTGAATGTACTATATTAGTATCATTGAGACCAAGTTCTTTGCCAAAAATACATTTTGCATAGGGTCCAGTAACTGAAAGTAAAATAATTGTTATTAATGAGATAAAGAATTATTTTTTCTTCATCAAAATTCATAATGTTAAGAATAATAAATACCTCCATTGAGACAATCAACTAGCAATTCAAACTTTCTCTCTTGCAGAAGCTCTTTAATGATAGGAAAGTTAAATATTTCTTTCATTAATATAACATAATCATTAACAGAATCAATTACATCAACTGTAAAAGTGTTGTCCAATTTAATTTCATTGGTCTGAATTATATCAATATTAACATTTAATTCAGGAATAATTTTATATGACGTTAATGATTTGGTAATATTGAAAATTTTATTAGTCATGTGATCAGGTGCAGGTCCTCCATTATCACAATTAAATTTAATTCCAAAATCAGCATTTGGTCCACCTGGATTGTGGGAAGCTGTAAGAACTATTCCTCCAAGTGTTTTATATTTTCGAATTAGATTCGAAACTGCTGGCGTAGATAAGATTCCATGTTGGCCCACAATTAATTTTCGAACCTGATAATATATTTATTTAGTTGTAAATTGTGACTTTTTAATTAATAAAAAATATTTAAATAATACCAATTCATAAATAATAGTAACAATTTATGTGTATGAGGATTAATAAATGTATTCTTACTCCATTAGCTGCTGCAATTCTTATAATTTTTTGAACAGCTTCTTTGCCGTAATAACGTCCATCACCGCCAACTACAAGAGTTGAACCAGTAATTTGATCTTCTAATGCAGTAAAAATTGCTTGGATAAAATTTTCTGTATAATGTTCTTGCTGAAATACTTTTACAGATTTTCTCAGTCCTGATGTACCCGGCTTTTGATCGTCATATATTTTTGTTTTAATTTCAACGATGGTCATTTTGTTTATTTAATAATGACTACAATTACTAACCCAAAAAATTATTCAATCAGTTATGAAATATTATACAACAATCGTTTAATTATTAAGTTCAATGACACTCAATGTCATTCATGGGTAAAGATACATATAGCTAATAAATGGTACTTTATCTCACATTTATAACTAACATTACCCAAGAACTGATTGAGAAGAAAAAAAAATTTATTTTTTTATCAATTAAAGAGTTTGAAAAAAAGAAAAAATATTTAATAATACAAAAAAACACACAGTTTAGAGACTTTACTACTACTATGAGGGTGACGAAATATGTATATGAAGGAGATTTAAGAATTGGGCTTTAACTTGGAGCGTACCATGCGACGACTCCGAAAATTTTGCTAACATAACCTCTGTGTTTATTGTGTTCTTCAAGAATGGCGCTCGACCTTACTGTCAAAGTTCATCCCGTTGTTTTATTTCAAATAGTAGATGCTTTCGAGCGTCGAAATTCAGACTCTCAAAGAGTTATTGGTACTTTACTAGGTAAATAATATTTAACAATAAATTTTTTTATCTATTCTTAATTTTACTGTAAGCTAGTTTATAACCTCAAAATACATTGGGTTACCTGACGCTATTTTACTTTCATTTCTAAAAATTAAAAAACATTAAAAAGAATCCATAAGTTTTATCATAATTAATAATATAATAATAAAATTTTATATTAAAAAATTCCAGGAACGGTGGAAAAAGGAATTGTTGAAGTAACCAACTGTTTCTGTGTACCACATAAAGAATCTGATGATCAAGTTGAAGCTGAACTAAGTTATGCTATGGATCTTTATGATTTAAATCATAGAGTGAATGCTCAAGAAAATATTGTTGGATGGTGGGCTACAGGAAAAGAGGTTACAACTCATTCTTCAGTTATTCATGAATACTATGCACGAGAATGTAATAATCCAGTTCACTTGACTGTCGACACAACTTTAATTAATACAACAAGAATGGGAATTAAAGCATATGTTTGTGTTCAACTTGGAGTTCCAAATGGCAAACAAGGATGCATGTTTACTCCTACTAAAGTTGAGGTACAGTATAATATTCAGATAATTTTTATTAACTTTTATAAGTATTTGGTAATTGTTAACGTTTATTTTATTAGATAACTTGTTATGAGCCTGAAATTGTTGGACTTCAATTATGTCAAAAAACACAAGCATCTGTAAAATCAGGAAGTGGTGTTGAGCCAATGATGGATTTGGCACAAATAGCTGAAGCAAGCTCAAAGCTTTCAGTTATGCTAGAACAAGTTCTCGCTTATGTTGATGATGTTCTTGATGGAAAACAACCTCCAGATAATCAAGTTGGTCGAGCCTTACTTGATATGGTCCATTCTGTTCCAAAAATGACTAGTGATCAATTTGATGAAATGTTTAATAGTAATGTCAAAGACCTCTTGATGGTTGTGGCATTGTCACAATTAATCAAAACTCAACTTCAACTTAATGAAAAATTAACTCTTCTTACGACGTTGTAAGTATTAAAATTAAACAATGAAGAGATACACAATAAAGAACGATGGTGAAATTCATAAAATTGTCAATTTAATATTATGTAATACATGTAAATCAATACAAAAATTAAAAAATAAAATTAATATCAATACATAATATTTTATTATTAAACCAAAATATTTTAAATTCCATAGTTAGATTCAACTTCTCTTTGATTATCAATTAAATTAGCCCAATCAGGAATTCTATTAGTCTTGAGGTATTTATCTTTAGTGATATATCGTGATGGTAGATCAGCAATACCAAAAATTGCCCCTCCAAGCCAAGCAGTGTAATTCGGCTTACATGGAGCTGAATGAAATTTAAAGGTACGTATTTTTAATTTTTCTGAATACAGTTCACTCTTAACAAGGTATGTAAGTTCTTGTTTGAGTCGTGCTGCAAAACCTTTAGCCATCGTTGTGCCTCCAATTAAAAGAATATTTTCTGCAAGTTCTTGTCGAGTATCTATTGAACACTAAAAAAGTAAAATAACAAAATGAACGATTAATTAATGATAAATAAACCTTTCAAACATACAATTGATCAATGAAAATTATTTTACTTTTAAAATAGCATCAAGAATCATCGTAGGAATACTTAGATTATCAGCATCACGCTCCCATAATATTTCATAAGCCTTTTCTCTTATGTATCCTGGAATTGTTATCACTTTAATACCTGGATACTTAACAGACGGGGGAGGTACTAAGGCATCTTCTGACTTTAATTTATTTGAGCGCTCTAAAGTCGTGACAAAACACGTTCGAACTTTAATATCTTCTATAATTTTTTCCTCAAGATTTACATTGGGCATTTCTTGTTGTAAATCATTTCTGATACATCTGGAAATTATTTCAGGTAATTTGTTATAATTAGATAAACTAAGGATAATAAAAAATATGTATGACTTACTCATGAACTGCTTCGCCTGCTAAAGGAAGGCTCTGCCATGCTTTAAGTATAGGAACACCTTTATAAACTGGAATTAACGTAGCTTCTTGGTATCCTACGTCGAGTACAAGGACAGTATCCCATCCTAAAGTACTTATTGTTACTAAATGTGTAGGTAAAAACATCAAAGAACCGACTTCAAAGTGTCTAAATAATACTTTGGCCAATGTATCTCTAAATTTTGATGGTGTTAAGAGTGATTCTACTATGATCATCTTCACATCTTTTGGTGTTATCAGAACATGTCTGTAAAATGTTAAAAAATTTTACTTAAATATTAAATTATATGTATTAGTGCATATTACGTTAGTTTTATTAATACTCTATCATACTTGAAAAATATTGCATGAAGAAATTCTACAAGTAATTGATAAAGATCCTCAATATCATTATATTTATAAATTTTGCATATTTTTTTAGTCTCTGGAGATTTGATCTCAGTTCTTATAATTCCTCGAGGTGTTGCTTCACCAACATATCCAAATCTACAAACAAAATCATAAGTGTTTTTCAATATTGTATGATTTTTAATACTGTTGTAAATGTAATAAATCCTTACTTGGTGTAAGCTGAACCAATGTCTAGGACAACTATCTGTTTATCAGAAATAAATCGTGCTCCTTCGTATGCCCTTGACATTTTTATTATTTTATTTATCACTAACAAATGTTTTATAATTCATTAAAATTCTTTAAAATTGTCATCAAACGCATTTTGCATAATTTATTGATTTTATTAAAAGGAAAAAACAATAATGCAAGTATTTTATTACACCATATTTTGTCCTAATTATTTTAGAACTCCAGAAGATGGCGTTCACATCGGTCCGCCATGTTTCAGCACAAATTTCAAATAAGACAAAAGTCAAAACATAATTAATAATTGAAATAATAATGATAAATAATAATAATGTGATACGAAAGACAAAAATTTGATAGCTATAAATATTAGATATGTGATTTATAAAGACCCAGAAGTACTGAATTTTTATATAAATATGTATGGAATTTTATCTCAAATCGGTTTCAAACAATAGACCATGGTTCAGCATCAAACTAACGTCTCTACGTCAGACTCCATATATTTAGAGATTCTAACCTATACTTAGACTTTGCAATATTCGTAAATACATCATTGAAAAACTTGTGAAATTTCCATTAAAAAAATATTATTTATTGTTTATAACAAAAATCAAGTGAAGTAAATCAAGCAGTTATTAAATAATAAACATAAAAATGGGTCGGCGTTCAATAAATACTACCAAAAGTGGGAAATATATGAATCCTACTGATCAAGCTCGTAAGTTCAATCGTTATTAATTGTTATAAATAAAAAGATCAATCCTTATTACATTTTATATAATTATATATTGATATTGTAGTAAATAATAGAAGTAGTGATGATATTTTTTTTTATATTATGCATTTATTATTTGAATTTCTGTCGTGTGCATTTAAAATTGAAAACTACAATGTATCATCAAGTAAATGTAGAAATGTTAATTTTTAACAGGTAAGGAAGCAAGGAAAAAAGAATTGAAAAAAAATAAAAAACAAAGACAACTTGTAAGAGCTGCTGTATTGAAAGGGAAAGATCCTATACAAATTATTGAAGAAATGGAGAAAATAGATCAAATGGGTAAGAGTGAATTCACTTTAAATATATATCTTTTATAAACACGTAAGAAAAATTTAATAATCCATTAATAATGAAATTTTAGAATATAACGTTATGCAACCACCACCTTTAAACGAAAAAGTTTTAAAAGATAAACGAAAAAAATTAAAAGAAACTTTGGATCGTGTTTTAAATATGTATGTAAGTATTAATTGAAAATATAAAATAGTTTTCACGTTAATCTATATAAATTATCTATTATAAAATACAAAACTTTTTAATAGGCCAAGGACGATAAAGAAAAATGTTTTGAATTAAGAGAACAATTAATTCAATATGAAAGACGTCGAATCGATTTGGTAACTTATTTCGAAGCGGTAAGACATGCCCAACAAGTTCAAGTAGATGAAATTCCACTACCTTCAACAAATACTGACATATCTCGAATGTATTCAGGTATGCTAAGTATAAATATCATCAATGAAACTCAATTTTTCAATGTATATATTTTATTGCAGGTACTCTTGCAGCTCAAATTCCATTACCAGACATTCCACAGCCACCAAATGTTATGTATACACATTCAAATTACTTGCCTCAACATCATCCTTTAATGAATATCCCTGTACCTCCGAGTATATTGAAGAAAACAAGTATATATTCTGATATATCTGGAGCAACTGTGTCAGCAGCTAATAAAGAACCACCAGGAGTACCACCTTTTCCACCACCTGATCTTTCTCTTGAAGAAGAATTTCTGTCTGAGAAGGTAATATCAATTTACATGACTTTTAATGAAAACAAAAACCAATATTCCAATTAATTATTTCATGTTTTTTTTAATTATAGTCAAAGGATAATTCTCAAAAACTGCGATCAATTCGATTTGCCGATGAAAAAGATGATAATAAACATGAATCAGATGATGGTGATAAAAACTTAGATAAAGAAAGTGACAAGGATAGAGAAAAAGACAAAGTAAAACCTACATCTGTACAACAAAAAATGTTAGCAATGGCAGGCCAGGATATTGATCAGTTTATGCGAGAAATGGAGGTAGTCCATAAGAAAAAGGAAACCGAAAGGGCTCAAGATTTAAATATAAGATTGTCAATGTTAGAATCTGAGGAAGATAAAACGAGTAATAAGACAGATCATGAAAATATGGAATTTTCTAGTTCATTAAATCATATGACAGCTGTCTCAGGTCATCACCATCATCCTCATGTTCAGCATCCACAACATTCTATATCATCAATGGGAATACCACCTCCTCCACTTCTCTATCGACCACCACCACCAATGCATCTTCGAATGCCTCCACCTCCACCGCCAAGGATTGGCTTGAGATTACCACCTGGTAATTTTATTTATTTATTTAGCAAAATACGTTATCTCAATTTATTATATCATAACATTAAATTAACAATTATTATAATTATAGGACCTCCACCAGGCATGCCACGAATGTTGAGACCAGGACCTCCAAATTTACCTCGTATTCCACCACCACCACAAATGCAAGTTTCAAACTTGTCGAACTTACAGAATATGTCGAATAGTCAAATACAAAATAACAGTAATAATAATTCTCAACAAAAAACGCCAAATGTATTATCAGCTGCTCCACAATTAATTAATAGAAAAGATAAAGACAATAAATCTACAACTACGATAGAAGCAAAACCACAAATAAGAAATTTAGCAGCTGATGTTACGAGATTTCTTCCTACATCATTACGAGTTAAACGTGATGATCGTCGTAAAACAAATATCACGCGAGTATCAGAAAAAATTATTGAAATACCATCTGCTAAGGTAATACAAACGAAGACTAAAGATGATGCATACATGCAATTTATGCAAGAGATGGAAGGATTATTGTAATTTTTACTCTTAGTGTTATTTATTAATATCAGCAATGATCATGATTCAAAATTATTTCACCAATTGCATTATATATAAATGTTTGTGAATTTTTTTCCTCAATTTATCTAATCATAATTAAAACACTGTAAAGTAATAATTTAATATTAAACATTTTCCAATTGAAATAAAACCAATACATACTAAAATTTAGTATAATTATTTTGAGTTTAATTAGAAATTCATTTTTAGCATACTGTTTGAGAATTGATGAATCTTGATCAGGTATTTATAGTAAAAATCACTATCATTACAATATATACTGTAAATTTTATTATATATAATGAAAAAATAAAAATTAACATTTATTGTTAAATTTATGATGTATAAAATATTTCTTTACAATTCATTAACGCAAACTTCCATTTTCTTTTAAATGTCCTTCATTGATGACTCCTAATTTACAAAGACATACCAAAGCTGCACCCTGTTCAGCTCTTTTTTTATTCTTTTCCCTAGCAGGTGAAAGGAAATCAATGGAAAATTATTTTAAAAATTCGAATATTAAACAGAGAAATTATATAAATAAAATTAAGACTTACCAATATGTCGAGCTATATTTTTTATCGTCAACAACAACGACAGAGCGAAATAATTTATTTTCATACCACGTATAATAACGAGGTACTATGTCACTCTTTCCATTTTCTCGGAGCCATTTTAATAATCGCGTTTTAGGTAAATCTGTATCACTAAGATAACGTCCTCTTAAAAAGACACAACGCATCAGTGTTACATCGTCATCTTCGTATTTTCGTTTACATGAACTATTATGTGTTTTAGCTCCACTAATACTAGCGGGTGTAAAATGAATACGGTTTTGGAGCCCTTTAGCTTGAAACTTTTTAGATTGAACTCTATAATATTCATCCATATCCCAAACTTTACTGTAATACAATAAATATTATTAAAAGGTTTCCTATAAAATAAATATTATCATTAAATAATAATATTACCATATTTCTTCTAGAGTTTCAGCGCGTAAAAATATTTTTCCTAATGGTGATTCTTGCAATTCTCTAATAATGTTCTGTATACAATACTTCGTGTTCGATGCTGAATTATCATAATCAACAGCATATTTCAAATATGATTTAATCACATCATCTTTTGGTAATAGACCTTCTTTTCGAAATATTGAACAATTCCATTCGGCAGCACGGGCAATCATTACACTGTTACAGTGTGTTTCTTTCTTAAATTGGGCAATATCTGAATACTTTTCAATCTCTCTTGATCCTCCATTAGCTATAACAGGAATTGATACTGATTGTGAGATAGATTTAATCATTTCATTTCTGTTATTATGCTGTGGTCTTTCGTGTATTGTACGACCATGAACTGCGATTGCTGATATTCCGGTTGATACAAGTTTCTACAAAGATTTTCAATTAATATTTTTGTTAAAACATAATATAAGATTTAAAATATGGTATATATCCAATTACATTGACCAGGTCTATAGTTTTTTGGAGATTATCGAAAACCCGGATTTTACAAGTAATAGGTATATTTACTCCTTCAACTAATTTAGTTAAAATATTTGTAGCTTTTTGTTCATTAGATAAAAGAGCTGCTCCCATTCCACCATCAAGAGAAAATTTCTTGGGACATCCCATATTTATGTCAATTCCAGCTACGTCATGTTGAACTAATTGTGCAACCTTCAAGGCTCTATCAGGATCACAGGTGCCAAGCTGCAAAATTACACGATTTTTTTCTTCAGAACAAGTCCGAAAAATGATTGTTCCATCAGTTTGATCAACGTAATCAATTGTTCCTAATACATCTGTAGAGTAAATTTGATAACTAATTATTATGTCAATAACTTATTTTCTAGAAAAAAACTCAATATATATTTTGATAACTTACCATTTATTTGACGTGTTGACTGAAGTAATTTAAAGTCAATAAGTTCTTCAGTGTAAACAAGATCTGCACCATAATGTAATGCAAGAAGTCTCATTGGCAACGTGCATACTCGCACCATTGGTGCTAGAATAATTTTATTTTCATAACTTATTGGTTTATTTAATTCAGCCATTTCGAGAATATTTGAGTAGTATTAATAAATAATTTGATAGAGTAAAAACATTAACAAAGTCTTCTCTAATATAAAAACACATTAAAAACACGGACATTGGCATTTCGAATGAAAAAGCTGACGTATTCAAAAAAGGTATTTTTATGCAATATATCAGGAATATCCATCAGGTCTGCCATGCATTACAACCAAAAATCCAAGTTTCTACACTACACGACACAAATGGTGTCGGATTTTTGTTTTTTTTTGAGGTTATGCATACGATTCCCCATACTTTTCTATATCAAATTGAGACGCCATGTAAAAACAAAAAAAGAATTTTGATAAGGAAACTGATATTCACAAATTAATAGTTTTGTGCGAAAAAAATGATTATGATGTAAATAATTATTCATTTTTTCAATTTAAAATTTTTTTAAAAATTTGCGCGTTACAAATTAAGAACAGTTTTTGCCGCTAGATGGTATCGGTTGTTTTTTCTTAGCGAAGAATTTTGGACTACCGCCACTGGCGCACATTTGTTGAGGTTAGTTTATTCTAAAAATTTCTTTCCCGCCGAAACGAAACAATGTAATGATAAACAAACAACGTAATTGTTAAGTTAATCGATTAACTTTAAAAAATATAATGCTAACAAAAAAAATGTTCATCAGATAAAATGTGAACACAGAAATTCATTAAAAGAATCTATTTTTTAAAAAGTTAACCTTGTTTCTAAATGTTTTTAAAAATCATTGTTATAAGAATTGCTATACATTGGTTTGTTTCAAATATTATTCGATAAAATGGGTGATTACACATTTAATTGTACTGGAAAAGTGAATATAAACGACTTTAATATTACTAAAAGTGGTTTTATGATGAAAGGTGTATTGGAAAGCATCACAGAATTAAACAGTAGAGAAAACACAACAAACGAGGTCAATGTCAAACTGTTTGACCATGATCTTCCTACTTCAACTAGTGTTTTACACCTTGAACATTTGATCAAGTGCATGGAGTAAGTTTAAAAATATCAAACAAATTCTGTTTCATAATGTAATTAACATAATTCATTCAAGAAAATGTACTCATGCTTTGTAATTCTTTTTTTAGGATGCAATTAAGAATAATCAATCGATATGAAAGTTTTAATATGCAAATTCTCGATAGTACTCCAGATGATCAAATAGATTTATATTCATTGAGAAAATCAATATGCGATTTTGTTTTTCACATTAGCCTGTATATGAAAAAAATTGAATCTGAGAGTATACGTTCAGAATGTACATTGATTATGAATTTTTATGATCAGATTGAAAAAATATTAATAGTAATAAGGAAATTCATCAATCGATTACGTTCATTATCAGCGTCTATTTTTTATTACGCTGTTTCTAACATAGGGAATAAATGTGTTCAAGCAGAATTTCATTTATATCACATGCATTTAGAATTACGATGGTTACTGTTCATTCTAGTATACATCAGAGCTTCTAAATGCAATTCCTTAGAGTCTTCAAGTTCCATCAATGACTTACATCAAACATTTGAATTGATAATTGATGATTTAATTTATATTTCTTACAAAGTTTTTGAACGGATCAATACATCTGATTTAAGAATAAAAAGCCCTTACACTTGTTCATGTGTCAGAGAATTGTGGCTGATAATCCAAATATTAATTGAAAAAACTCATGATCACATGAATATTAAAGATTTTTGGGAATATATTAATTTATCATTAGAAAAACTTCCTAAACAAAAAAATGAGATGTTTAGTATTTGGATGATTTATCACCTCACTATTTTGCAAGGATACAATACAGATTTTCACTATATTGGAGCAACATCATCAAGAATTAATCCTAATTATGATAAAATTGAAAGAATACTCAAGTCTTATTCCAACAGAGTTATTAGCAATGAAGTCGTAAGGGACGATGTTGATGAAGAATTGAAAATATTAATTCCTTTATTAAAAACTTTGAGTCTCGAGTGGTGGCCCTTTAAAGTGATGGTGATAAATTATTTATGGGAATGTTTTCACAGACGGCTGGACCGGTCATTTTTAACTCAATATTCAGGACTCTGGACCGTATCAATTGATAAAAAGTCACCTCATGATATCCTGAAACAAGTTAAGGAAAGAATCAGCAATCATGGTGATCAAAATGAGTCGTCTTATGCTATGTTTTTAAGATTCTTAGGCATGGTACTGTTGAAAAAGAATGATAAAAATGATTCCAAGTATTGGCATCAGATGAAAGGTCGTATCTGTTCAAAATTTACAAAAGCAAAAGTAGCTGAATTTGGACAATCAGCGTTAGTTAATTTTATTTCATTATTTTTAACTGTTGCTGTAACTACTGATGCTGCAAATGTATGTTCCATTATGCTCAATCTTCTTCCAGATATACACCCGGAACGTGATAAGAAAGAATTTGACGATTCTGATAAAAAATCACTTATTAACTGGAATGGCCAATTAGTAGTATTAATTATATACATGGAAAATAATTTAAATTTTGAGAAAATCACGAATAAATTAATTGAAGTAATAAATTTAATCAGTTGTAGGAAAAACGAACTATCGAGAAATATGATGGCAAATTATGTTGATACTTTAAATTATATTTTAGAATCAAGCGATAAACTAGAATGTGGAGAATATCATTTGATTGGTGGCTGGGTTGATAGATATTTATTGGAATGCCCGAAAAATAGAATTGGACCAATTTTAAAAATGCTAGCAGTTGTTTTTGAAAAAGCTGTTAATATTTCTTCAAGCTGTGGAGAGTATAATAGTAATAATTTTAATTCCAAAACAATATCAAATATTGGAGCAACAAAAATGCTTGAAACACTTTGGTCTGTTGTAGCTGGAAGAATCCGAACAATGATTTTTGATCATAATTTAACTGGAGAAAATTTTCAAGAAATTTCTCGATTAGCTGTTGATTTTACTGTTGAAGCGTGTAGGAATCCATCTATGGCATCTGCTCATAGACATTCTGCTACATCACTTTTTCTTCATTTCACATCAACTATTAACGTTAAAGATGCTAGAATTATAAAATATTATGTCTCTAATATTCTGAATAGACCTGAAATCATTAACAATTTTCAAAACAGTATCAAGAATTTCAATATAATTATTATTCAAGCTTGGTTGAAATGTTGTATACATGGTCAAGACGGCAATGATACTGAAATGAAAACGATTAAAAATTTTTTATTGCAATTAAATGATATTCAGCAAGTAATTATGTTTAGTAAAGACACAGAAGCATTTATAAATAGCCAAGAATCACTGTTATTATATATCATGGCTTGTGCAAAAAAACGAAATAATATTAAAGAGACTGAAAGAAATAATTTTGATATCAAAATACGTGGAATACTTAATAATCTAGATAAATGGGCTCTCTTTCCAATTCAAGAAGAAACTAAAGATACTGAATTAGCTTTTTGGATTTATAGATGTTTGGGCACAATTTTCTTGTGTTGTGCAACCATGTTACATTCTAAAAGTCAGTCAAGTATGCTGAGAAATTTTATAAACAAATTTATCTTACCTTCTAATGAACAGCTAAGCTATTTAAAATACTTAGGAAAGAAAATTTTCTCCATGATAATCCTTGGATTTGAATCCATTAATGCTAAAAATGACATAATGCTTAAAAATATGATTCATGAACTCTTTCAAGCATATCTTCCACTTTTAATTACTGAAAATGATGAAAACAATGTATCTTTTAAATTCTCTGAACCTTTGATGAGATGTTTTACAGATGCACAAACAGAATTTGTCGAGTTTATTTTTGATATTCTATCAACAGGATTTATAAAAATAGCTAGTGATAATTCGATGCCTAAATATTCTTATTTAGTAATGGCACTGTTAAATATATTATTGACGTCTGATAATAATCTAAATAGTTATAATAATACAGAGAACCATAAATTGAATAATTTCAAAGAGATTACAGAATTTATTTTATCCAAATGTACCAATAATATCATAGAGGCATACATTAAAGTTCATGGGCTTCATCCTCATAGAGCTGCAACTATCAATTTTGTTAAAAATGTCGTGACTAATCATCATTACAAAAATAATATTCTATTGAGGTAATTATTATTTGATTTGATTATTCAATGTAATAATGATTCTAAAAGATCAATATAATGTTTACCAACGATTAAATAACCATGTGAATTAAATTTCCAGGGACAAATTTCAGAGTACAATTTCTACAGTATTAATAAACCATGTTTTATCACATTCTCAGGCTGTATTGCAATTTATGAAATCAATTTCCGGTGTAGATATTGAAATTGTTAAATTTATTATTCCTCAACTTGAAGTTTGTGCCAAACAATGGGGAAATAATCGTGTCATTGGAGGAGGATCCTTACGGTAGCTTATTTTGTTTATTATTATTATAAATATTATATTTATATGTATGAAATTATTTCATTTTTATACACTGAGATTTTTGATGAATAGAAATTCGATAATTTTATTCATTTTTAATGATAAAATCTTATTCAATTACATTCTTAAATAGTCGCGAAATGTATTAATTGTTGATCTTTTATTATTTTAGATATCTTATAACTCAACTTTATGATCTTACAAAAAAATAATCAAATTACTCCAATGGAATTGTAAGTACATTATTTTTCATTTTTTTTTGTCTCTTCTTCTTATTCTTATTTTTGTTACTGCAAATAAAGAATGTTACAAACAATTAATTAGAATAAGATATTGTTTTTTTTTGGATACATAATTCTATTATTTTTAATACATGAAAAATTCTTTATAATTACTGATCATGAATAAATTTTTCTCTCAAAAAAGTTAAATTAAATAACTTAAACATTTGCAATTATTAGTATAAATAGTAATACATTAAAAAGCCTTAGAAGTAAAGAATGCAAAACCGATTGACATTCCTCTATTTTTGTAGAGTCAGTTGATCAGTATTTATAAAGTAATAAATACAATTAGTAAATATATTACTTTTTATGTGAATGTCGAGATCGACAATATTTAGTATTAGAAGTAGAAGTAGCAGAAGTATTAGTGGTAGTAGTGGTTGTAGTGATAATAATAGTAGTATTCGATGGTGAAGGTCATCCTTCTAAATCAATTTTTGAAATATTTCTTCGAATAGCATTTCTTAATGCAGGTTCTAGGTTCCTTTCAAGCAGAGCTTCTAGTCTTTCCATATATCCATCAAAATTTTCTAAAGTTGCTCCAGTATAAGTAACCTGACCTAAAATATTTTTTTACAATTCATTAAATAATTAACCACTGGTTTTTCATTTATTTACAGACTTTAGCAGTGGAGTTGATAAAAAAAAAGTGGAAAACTATACCTGGGGCAAACATAGGTAGTGGACAAAAATTGAAATGATAAAGTATCTGGGTTCGAAGAGAATCTAAATGACGTTGAAGAGATTGATTAGTGATTTGTTGTTGATTAGTCTCTGATTCTAAACGATTCACTGCCCCACGAAGGCTGTCAACATGACGCTGAAGAACAGCATTTTGAGCTTCGTAATCTGATGTAGCTTTTCGAAGCTGTCGGAGTTCTGATTCACAAGCTAAATTGTATATAAAAGAAAAATTAACAATTTAATTTTTTTATACTAAATAAAAATGTATCATATTTTTAACATATATTATTTAAAATCATCATCAACTAAAGAATGATTTTATTTAATACTTTACCTTTATTATGATCTAAAAATTCTTCTGTAAATATTGGAATATCAAATCCAGAAAAATCATTATCTTTTTCTGATGAATTTTCCTAAAATAATATATGTATAAATTATTAATTAATATATAACTCGATAAAGTATCTTTTACATACAATTTGATCACTGTTTTCATTGGTATTTTTTTCCTTTTTTTCATTTTGCTTTTCCATTTGTTTTTCACTGAACAGCCTGTAAGCCTCAGTTTGTTTATAATCACTAAATTCTCTATTGTATCTCTCCTTGTCTTGTTCAGCAGCATTAAGATATTGTTGTTTTTGTTCTGTTGGAAGAGAACTCCATTCAGCAGCCAAAAGTTTTGTAATTTCCGTGAAAGACATAGTTGGGTTGTCAGTTCTAACTTTTTCTCTTCTGTCATTTAAAAATCTAAAGTATCCGGTGAGTGGCTGTTTTGGTGCTGTAGCATCTCTAGGTGCCTTTTTACGTTTTTTTGGCTTTCCACCAGAAGATCCTCCTCCAACGGGAGTGTTAGAGGTATTACCTCCTACAGATGAAGAAGCTTTTTTAACGTTATTTTCACTTGAAGAGTCGACTGGTTTTTCTTCAATAACTCCTACAGATTTATGAGAATCATCTGCATCTCCATTCAATGATGGCTGGTTATTTAAAAGGTCTCCAGTTCCATTAGTCTCAATTGGTTCATTTTTTGTTGTTTCTTGGCTCATTTTTTAAAAAAGTGGTTCCAAAAAGCCTTAATAATTTATTTTGATCCAATATTCTTTTCGTTTAGAACCTATTCATCAAATTAAGAATCAGAAACTTTATTTTTTCAATTAAATAATAAACTTTAATCGTACTAATACTAATTATATTGAAAAATTTATTATTAAGTCAGTAAATATTGTTTTGGAGTACTTTAATTGTTAACTTTAAAGAAAAACTGACATTATGAATATCCTAAGGTTATGTTATTTTTAATTCATTCAATTTCAATGACAAAACAAAATAAAAAAGAGCTAATTTTAATTAGGGTATCAAGATAACTTACTATGAATACAATGTCGCTGATATGAATGTAAAAATATAAAAATTTGTCATGTATTCTATTTTATTTACTTTAATGAACTTTTATTACAAACACATTGACACAATATTGTGATGCTGCGTGAATATGTTTACATATGTATATATATACATATAATTCTTGTGCTATATTATATGGTATAGTTACACTGAATTCTGAAGTTAGCAGACAATTCTCCATTCAAATGTGTGGTAAATGATAAACATTATCAAAATTAAAAAATCCATTTTTAAATGTCCTCTGACGAATTGGACAGCTTTTCTTCCAATCAAATTATAAATCAAACCTTTTCGTTTAATTTTTAGAATTATATCCGTATTTTTTGGGTGCCATAGGGTTATGCGAATGGAAAAAAGACCTACCACTCTAAAGTAACTAAAACGAAAAGAACTAGTAAGTATGTGAAACTGCAGAATAAATGATTTCCTTTCCCTCATCAATTTCTTCAAGAGGATCTTCTTCAAAATTTGGTTTCCCCAATCCCACCACTGCAATACAGGCAAATTCACGTGAATTAATCATTTCTGATGGGATTTAAAAAAACATAACCACAAATTACTATTCAAAATTATTGGAGTTGATGAAAAATTTGAAGATTCTAAAAGGAAAAATGTGAAAACTATAAATATTCTATTTATTAAATAATTAAAAATATGTTACCTGTTTCCAGAATAAAGGTATGTTATACGTAGATAAACAAACAATTGGTTTTAAAGTATAAATTTTAATAAATTAATGTTAGACTTGAATTGTTTGAATACAATTATTCTCAAAAATGGAACGAATGGAAATTGATGATGGATCGAAGTCAACAGGAGATAGCAGTAGTAAAACTTCCGAAGTGGAAACTTTATGGCATGTGATAAATACTCCAGTAGTTGGAATTTTTTCAGAATTAATTAAAACAGGAAGTGAACATGGACTCAAGTCATTTTTGGAGTCAATGACAAAATCATCAGATACTTTGATAAATATTCTTATTCCTACTTACAAACGAAATGGAAATTTTTATACAATGCAAGATCAATATACCTCATTTTCCACATGGCTCTTTGGAATGCTAGTCAACACATTAGTGATGCCTCTGAGTCCTGAAATAATTGATAGCAGTATAGAAGTTCAAGCTATAATGCTCAGGATTCTTTTTAGACTTTATTCTTTTGGTTTTGAATCAATATTCAATAAGTACATGACTATTTTTGATAAGATTTTAAATACTAAAGATCAAATTGATGACAATGAAATAATTATTATCAATTCGTTTCATGTAGATAAAGAAATTGAACAATTGGATCTAACAGTTCCACCAATGAATATTGAATCCATGAATCGTGAGCCAGTTTTAATTTCAATAATGAAAATTATATTAAAATCAGGTGTTTTCTACGAGAGAAAAAATATTCTATGGAATAGATTAATGGAATGTCTAAGTAAATCTAAACCAAATGCCAAGCTCGTTGCTGCTTTAGTCATATCAGAAATTTTAAAATTCAGTTTTGTTGATGATAATAAATTAGAAAGTTTTTTTCGTTCTAAAAGTGAAATCATAAAACATTCCACATATTGGATGAATTATAATTTATGTAATTCATCAATAATCCGTGAAATGAGTACTGTACTTGCTGATATATTAAGTAATATCTCATTCTCTATGACATCAGAAATTTATGATTTTTTCTTTCTTATTCTTGAAATGTCATCAGAGATATCTAATCAGCCATCAACAGAAGAGATTATCACCAAACAACTTCAAGAATCAATTTGCTTGAAAATTGTTGACTATTTAGAGGAATGTCCTCGATTTTACAGTAATGATGAAATTAAAAAATATGCCGAGTACTTCCAAAAATTATCCGACAATCAAAATTTTTCTCGCATCTTGGCTCATTTAATTATACCTGATTTGAAAAGTAGTCATCATCATTCCATTGAAAGTTTACTTTCTAAGTCAAAATTATGGAAAGAGCTTCATGACTGTGTGATGCTAAACCTCGGCTCTCCTGAATTTATTAATAATTTTTATAATTTAACTAGAATAGCACGATCTTTATCAAACTGGGTATCAATAAGGCAGTTGAAACTGAAATTCTTCGAGGATATCAATGAAATTGTGAATTATTTGATAAAAGCAATTGATATTTCCAACATTCACGAAACAAAAATACACAAATGTCTCCAGTGTATGATCAATCTATTGGCTATAGACAATGGTAATCAAATGGATATTATTAATATTCTAATGATTCCTTGGACTTCACTCAAACCATGCAAATTAATGAGCGAATTGACAATTAGTAATCAATCACTATCACTACTACAAGCAGTAGACAATGACACTAAAATAAAATGCATTGAAAGTATCAGTGAATTTTATAGAGGAAAAGAGAAAATAAAATATCTAAGTGCTTGTATTACTGGAAATCAAACCGAATTAGGAATAGCTGTCATTCAAAATACACCATTACTATTAAATGATAAAGAAATCAATTTTTCTGATATTAATACTCATATCTTGAAGCCAGCAATGATTACCCAGAAGATCATTTTTCATGAAGCTTTGAGTTGTGTTCTTGGGAAAATTGTCTGTATCCTTTCAGGAAAAGGAATAATTGAAAAAGAGAAATTTGATTTAAATGAGTGGTATATTAACTGTAAATATTGTAATCAAGAGCTAGATGATGAAAATCATTTTATTAAAGCAGAAGAAGCAATGTTACTTCATCCATATTACACTTTATTTCGTTCAAAAGATTTTAAAGTGCGAAATAATCTTGTTAAAAATTTAATCAATTTCTCAAATCACATTAAAGAATTCAACTCTACTGAAATTTTAGGACTTTGGTTGCCATTAATTCGAGATCCTGAAGAAGAAAACCGAGAAATATTAGCAAAGTCAATTGAAATAGTTATCAGAAATCGATTGAACATTGAAAATATTCCAAATAAACACTTAATAATGATTGATGATGATGAATGGCCGAATGATCTGAAACTTTTTATTGAAACTATTATAAATATATTAGTCGATACATTGAATGAAGCTTTAGAAAAATCTAATTCTAAAATTCACAAAACATTACTTTTATTCGCTACAATGATGGCTAAAGTACCAATTCATTTTATAGAATGTCGGCTTTGTATAGTGTTTATTATTACCATTATTCACTTGAATTCAACTTTAACGTTAGCAAGAGAAGCGACAGTTGCCTTCAAAGAAATTTCTACATATTATGGAGTAACTCCGAAAGATCTTTTTGTAAGATATAGAAAAGAGTTGATGGAAGTTATAATCCGAATGGTAGCAAGGAATTTTTACGAAAAATCAAATAATTTAGAAATGTCTCTTCACAGAGTTGCAAATTGTATTGGATATATGGGAGCAAGAGAGTTTTTACGAAAGAATGCACATATAGCTATAAGTATTTTAATTCCATTAGTTGTTAAAATACCTAATCTTATTGATGTACTAAAAAGTATTGCCTCTTTTATCGGTCTTGATCTTAAAGATATGTTAATAGATAACTTCCAACATATCTGTCCATCAGTTCTGATCAATGAATCACCAAGTATTGCATCAGAGTGTGTATTATTTATTTCACAAACAACCAACGTACCTCCATCAAAACTGATAACAAATTCATTTTTGGAAATTTTACGGGAATTACTTTTGCATTTTCATGAAAAAATGTCCAGAGTCATCAGCAGTCTTGATGTAATATCAAAATTCCATCATGAATATCGAGAGTATAAATTTAATACTGAAAAGGTTGTTGCTGATTTTTTACAACCACATCTTCATGCAATCTTGGTTTATTATGATACAAATTTGAGTACCATTTCTGATGAGTATTCCCAAAGATCAGCGATAGTATCACTTGCAGCATTGATAGAATTTATGGGAGCTGATCGTTTGAATCAATTGAAGTATAAAATTTTAGCAACATTAAGAACTTTGTTGAAATTTACTCGACCTGGATTTAGAAAACTAACTTGCTATGTCTGGGATGCATTTTTACATAATATTTCATTAAAAGAACTTGGACCTTTGCTGCCAACCATTTGTGTCTCTTTAATTCCATTATTAGAATCCTATCCAGATGAGACAAATTCAATGTTTGAATTTATTTTTATTGAGAACAACACACAAATAGCTCCATACATTTCAGAATTATTTTTCATTGATGATCTTAATGTTAAACCTAGGATATTACAAATTGTGAAAGAACAAATTCATAAATCACTTCCGAAAGAATTTCATAAAAATTTAGAATTATGGCAACGAAGAATAATTGTTGAAACTGATGAAGTAAAATTGAAAGCACTTATTCATTTAAAAAGCTTCCTTCAACAACATAGAAATGAATTGAATGAAATGATCCTTAATGATACAAATCACGTTGATCCAGCGATTGTTAAACTATTGGATTCTCTTTTGGCAGGTTGTCAAAATGCTGATAAAGACATTTGCCGATATTGTGGAGAATGTTTAGGAGAATTAGGAGCAATAGAACCAAGTTTACTTCCAAGAAGAATTATTTCTCAAGCTGATAGCAAATTTATTTCTGAAATGGGTCGCGAATTTATTTGTGCCTTATTAATGGAATTAGTACGAGCATTCCAAATGCAAAGTACAACACAAAATGTTGATAGCTTTTCTCTAGCAATTCAAGAGATTTTAAGGTCATATGAAATATCTCCAACGGGAAGAAATCAGAAGCTTTGGAACGCACTTTCTCATGAAACTCAGCAAATTGTAGTACCTTTTCTTACGTCTCATTACAAAATTTTAACAACAATTAATCCAATTGATTATCCTATCTATGGAACTGAAACAGGATCAACATTTGACAAATGGATTTTCAACTGGGCATGTCGAATGATAGCTTCCATTGATGATCCGAAACTATCAGGAATTTTGAATGCATGTAGACCAGCATTTAGAAGAGATATCAAAACAACTATCTTCTGTATTCCACAATTAGTTGCCTATTCTATCATGAGACAAAATAAAGAAGATTATGAAGGATTGAAAAAAGAAATTTTAGCAGTAATCAAAGTAGTTGGTAATGATAAATTAGATGAAGATTTAACTAAAAGACGACCTCTTCGATTAGTCAAGGATCTCAATGAACAAAAATGTACCACTACTATTACTGGTGCTACTTCAAATACTAATGATCAATTACCTCAAGTTTCTGATGAAGATCGGCGAGTTCGTTGTTGCCAGGTAATTTTTTCAACTCTAGATCACTTGAGACGTTGGTTGGAAGAGAAGCGACTTGAAAAAAATAGCAACTATCGTGCAATTGAAGCATTTTTGAATGAATTGGATAACTTAGTACTTGCTGAAGGTTGTTATCAATCTTATGAATATCATCGAGCATTAATGTATCTAGAGAGACACATGATGTTAACAAAAAAAGGTTTTTCTGACTCAAAAGAAATTAATTTGTTGGCCAAAATTTATACTCAACTTGAAGAACCTGATGGAGTATCTGGAATTTTATCTTCTCAAGTTGAATCTCCAACTTTAGAACAATTAGTATTAGCTCATGAGGTTGGAGGTCAACTCCAAGATGCTGCTACATGTTATGAACGACTTGTTCATCGAAAACAAGATCCTAAATACATTCAAGGAATGATTGAATGTTATTTAAGTCTCGAACAACCATATACTGCGATTAATCTTGTTGATGGTGTATTGAAAAACCGTCCAGAGCTAGATATTCTTTTATCAGAGCATGAACCTTTTTGGCAATTAGCTCATTTTGTTAATTTAGACTCGAAACCGACTATCAAGAAACTTTTAGCTGATGATTTGAAACGTGGAATTCAACCAGACCTTGATGATCTAAAACAAAAATTAGTTTCAACAATTGGCTTTGCTGCTTCTCATCCAGATGCTTATCAACAGAGTTATTCTCAAATTCTAAAACTACATATCTTGAATGAGTTTGAAAAAGCTACTGAAATGTTGATTAAAAATAAAGATAATTTAATAAATATTTTTGATGAATGGGAAAAAAGAGGAAGACTAGTCAGAGCTTCTCGAGGAGTAGAATTTGTTCTTGGGATGCGAAGAGGTACTCTTGGGCTTATACTGCAAGTTGAAACAGATAAATTTTTAACCGATCAAAACAATAAGTTATCAAATCATTTAAAGTCATCATGGTATTCTCATTTAAAAGAAGAAGTTGGGAAAATATGGTTAAAAAGTGCAAAAATTGCTCGAAAGTCAGGACGATATCAACAAGCTTATATGTATATTCTATCATCAAGTGATTTGTGTCCTCCTCAAGAGTTACATATTGAAAAAGCTCAACTATATTGGCAAAAAGGATGCCAAGAAGATGCTTTCCTTACACTAAATAGATCATTTACTCAATGTTTCAAAAACAGTCAGTATTATATTGAGCAATCTTCAGACCTTTGTTCTATTGAAAGGCAAAATATAGCCAAGGCAAAACTTCTTTTTGCTAAATATAATGATGAAGTAGTGAATGTCCATACAGATATAAATCGAAAATATTATCAAGAGGCTGTAGATGTTTGGAGATGTTGGGAAAAAAGTTATTTAGCTTGTGCACAATATCATGAAACTTTAATTAATCGTATGAGTGAAAATGAAAAAAATTCTGGCAATGGTTTGTGCATGCAAATTAATATAATTAATAACTACGGGAAATCTTTGCAATTTGGTTGCAAGTATATTCATCAATCTATGCCTAGGATGTTAACAATATGGATGAATTTTGCATTGAAGGTTGTCACAAACCGAAGTTCATCAAGAGCTCAAGTGGAAACTTTTTCAAAAATGTCGAAAATTATTGGAGTTTATGTTGACAGACTTCCAAACTTCATGTGGCTTACAGCATTCAGTCAATTGGTATCGAGAATTTGTCATCCTGCTAAAGAAATTCAATTAGTATTGAATAAAATTTTTGTTAATTTAATCATTGCATATCCTCAGTATTGCTTATGGATGATGACATCTGTCTTTAATTCTTCATACCCTACAAGAATAAAAAGATGTCATGATATTTTCAGTAATTCACGACTTGATACTTCATCTCTAAGATCATTAATTAGAGACTTCCAAAAGCTATGGGAGAGATTAATTGAACTTTCGAATAAACAAGTTGATAAAAAAACCAAAAACACAACTGTATCAACTCTTTGTAAGCCTCTTATAAGACTTCTAGCTACTGCTAATTTCGGACCAATTATGATACCTACTCACTTATTTCTTCAACTTCATCTACCAAGGAAGAGTGGTTGGAATCATAGTATTGATCAGCACAATCCTTTTCCTACAAATTGGATTTCTATAAAAAGCATCAGTGAACATGTGCTCATTTTAACATCAATGCAGCGTCCCAAACGAATTACATTCATTGGATCTGATGGTAATCAATATCCATTTATGTGTAAATCAAAAGATGATCTGAGAATAGACTTTAGGTTAATGGAGTTTAATGAAATTGTTAATAATTATCTTCAAAAGGATCCAGAATCTAGACAGAGAAGATTGTACATAAGAACTTATAGTGTAGTTCCATTAAATGAGGAATGTGGATTACTCGAATGGGTTTCAAATTTAGTTGGATTTCGGCAAGCAATCATTACACTGTACAAAGAACGAGGTTGTTATTTAACAGCAACTGATCTGATGGCATTATTATGTGAAAAAAAAGATTCCTTAGAACGAAAACGGGATGTCTTTCTTAAATTACTGCTTCCAAAGCATCCACCAGTCTTCGGAAATTGGTTTCGTATTAATTTTCCTGATCCTTATGGATGGTATGAAGCAAGAAATGCTTATATTCGAACCACTGCTGTTATGTCAATTGTTGGATATATTCTCGGACTTGGCGATCGACATGGAGAAAATATCCTTTTTGATTCCAAGTGTGGAGATTGTGTACATGTTGATTTTAATTGTCTCTTTAATAAAGGAGAAACATTTGAATGGCCTGAAAGAGTACCTTTCAGATTGACTCATAATATGATTGATGCTATGGGTCCACTTAAATATGAAGGACCTTTCAGGAAATCTTGTCAAATTACTATGAGAATTCTTCGAGAGCAAACAAGTACACTGATGAGTATACTAACTCCTTTTGTTTATGATCCATTAGTCAGTTGGTCGGCTCAAGAACAGTTGAGTGAAAATGCCGAGATGACAAATGTAAAGGTAAGAAGTAGTAAATATTAAAGTTAGTTTTATTTTAATATTTATTTATCTATTAATAATGATACTGTGATTCACTTTCAGGCAGTAAAAAATATAAGAGATATTGAAATGAGATTAAAAGGCTTCGTCAAGTTTAATGACAGAGGCAATGCAACAACAACTGGTGCAGTGAGTTTGAGTGTTGAGGGTCAAGTAAATCATCTAATACTTGAAGCTACAAACGTCGATAATTTATGTCAAATGTACTGTGGATGGAATCCATTTATATAAAATATATTTTTTTAATCGTACTTTATTTATACATTAGTTGATAAAAGTATTGTTAATTGAAAGTGATAATACTCATAAATTTTTATAAAATATCGGTAGAGAACATTAGTGAACTTCATTCTTTATTAAGTGATTTCAATTGATAGAATGTTTAATAATTTTTTTAATTTAATAACTTTTGTAAATATAATAACAACAAATCTTATGTCTCATCAGAATCAAAATGTTTAAGAAGCATAAAGTATGATAGTGAGGTACTTAGTATCTGAAAAAATATTCAATAGAAATAATTCATAGATATTATTTTAATAATGGTAATAAGTTAAAATTACTGTATTAAAACTTTCCAAAGACATCTGTTGAAATTTGCCAGCTGTTAAAAAACAAGGCTTTTGTGCTCGATGAATTAAGGTAATAATTTCAATCTTAACTGGTTCTTTGCTCTCATACCAATTTGTTGAATAGATTGCATTACTTATGATTGAACTCTAATTAAAGAAAAAATGATGTAAGTTTTTTTTGTACAATTTTGAGTATTACAAAGAGAGGCATTCTATTACTTACATACTTGATTAATTTATCTCCAGGCCAACAGAATAATATCAATTGAAAAAGAGCCATCAATAAATAGGATAGATATTCCATGAGTTTATCACTTTGAGACATTCTCTAGTTGTTCAACACATTTTAATGGAAAAAATGATTTATCATTTTTTAAGTAGATAATTACTTACAGAATTTACTTGAAATCCAACTAAACAAATTATGAGACTGCTTGCTAACACTTGTAAAAGTATTATAGAATTAAATGTTTCTTCAATTTGTTCAGAAAATCTAAAATTCGTTATAACTAATTGAAGTTGTTTCTAATATGATGATATTACTATTTGTATCACTTTTTTTAAGACTAATAAATATTTTTATAAATTTTAAAAAATTTCAAACTTTGTACCTAAGAGCAATTTTATGATGTTTAATGTAATTAATTAATTTTGTATTAACATTAAATCGAAAATTGAGTTTTTCTAATTTTTTTTGCAAACATGAAAAATGTCCACAAGCATAAAAAATAGCTGTAGCTATTATAGTATCCACTCCAAGAGTAATTAATGCACAAATTGATGTAGAAATTATTTGAGAAAAATAAACAAATTGAAAATATGGAGATTCATAACAAAATTGTGGATAAGATGCTGCAAATGGAAAATGAATGCTAATATTATAATGATGATTATTATTCATTGTTAACTCTGACAATTTATTTAAAAAAATATGCCGAATAGGAATAAAATAAAAAACTATGACAGCATTCATAATGAAACATGTATAGCTGAGAGTAAGTTTCTTAGCAATTCTGAAAAACAATTAGTTTTAATTAAATTTTTTGTTGTAAGATAATTTTGGTTAATTATAATAACAAAAATTATTTCACTAATTATAAATTTGGGAAAAAATTACAAAGCATGGTCGTAAATACATTGAACTTCTTTCAAGCTAACAATAACATCCCAGTAGGAATTAAATAAAAATCCAATTAAATTTTGCGTTTTTCGTTGAAAAATCCATAAAGTAAATTTAAAAATGGTAAGAATCATCGTCAGAAGAACTGAGCTACAATTATAATTTTAATTTTCATTATAAATTCAGCACACTGATTGTGAATGTGTTACCTGGTTTCAAGAATTACTTCTAAGTCATGAGGATATTTACAAATTCTCACCACTTCTGGTATAACAAGTAACAATGAACAAAATAAGAAAATAGCATATTTTATTAAACTGATAGGATAAAGTCCTGCAATTTTGAGAATTTTTTTGTTCAGAAGAATACATTTATCTGTACTTAAATTATCAACAGCAAAACTCATAACTTAATAAAATCGAATAATAATGATTGGATAGAATACTGTGAATGCTTTGTTGGAAATAATAATAAAACTGATTTAATATCATTTCTAGCAGCATATGGAAAGGGCGAGAAAGAAAGAGACTATTGAATAATTGATAGAAAATACGGAAAGCAATGTGGAGATTAAACAGTTCGACGCCGTATAAGCAATTACGTTATAAATAATTTAGAATCTTACAATAGAAATTTGCAGAAAGAATGGTAAATACCTACACGATCATTAACTCACCCACCTGATCATTATTGGTGCAATTACTGAAGAAAGTAAAGATTGAAAATTTTATTTTAGAATCCCTACTTTCTGTCTAGATTATATGTTGAAACAATTTACGAACCTTCCAACATATTATTAGTAGCAGCTTTATTTTTTTAAAAATATATATAATAGATTGTAGTGAAAAAATTCTAATAAAATTTACTGTGTATATTTCAATTATAATTATAATCAATGTCATTACAAACAAAAATTACGTTAAAATAGAATAATTTACAGTAAGTAATCTAATTTTATTTTGTATAATTTTTTATATAAACAAGAGCAAAAGTTTTTTTAAACATTTATTATCAAAGTTATGAATAGATATTAAAGTAAAAATTTACAAGACGAATATCGCGAGAAGTCATTAGATAAGTCTATTTGTTTCTGATTAATTACTTTCCTGATTTAATTATGGGCATTTTCTTTCTACTTGGCTCTTGCCACTTTCTTCATATTCTTGACTCGAAATCCACATCTGTTGGAAGGTACCAATTGAGGCTAAAATGGAACCACCAATCCAGGCACCAAATCTTCTTTCGGCACATCCATTTGCACTGATCATTTTCAATCGCATACTTGATGGTATTCTCATTGATAAATCTCGATTCAATCGTTCTGGGAATCCCTGTTAATATAACACATACATTCAAGTACTAATTGCATATCATTTTAGTTTGAATTTAATGCTTAATATGAATCTTACTTGAATAAAAGAATTTCCTCCTGTAACTACAACACTTCCATAAAGTGCAGGTCTTACATCAACATCACACATTCCTACACTTGTCGTAACAATATGACCAACTCCTAACATTGTATTGCCTACAACTCCACCTCTCATTTGAACCATACTTGGATCAAAGAGAGCTTCTGGGATCTTAAAACGTTCTGATGCAAAATCCTGAAAGAAGAAAAAAAAATTTTTTAATTTTGTTGAATAATTTACATTGAAAAAAACAGATCAAAAATAATTACCTGATGGTACCCAGTGGGAAATTCATATTGAACAGCGGGGATAGTAGAAACAACTTTCTCATCATAAGGTGTTTCAGAAATTTGTAAAACACTTGCTTGGAAATCTTGAACTAATTTTTTAACCATATAATTATGCCAAGACTTGGTAACATCTGGAATTCCTTTTTTTCTAGTCCAGCGAGGTTTTTCATGGTCCTTTACAACTTCTTTTCCTCCTATCATATAGGCTGGGGATAAATCAATGTCATTTTCTTGAAGGAATTGACGACATTGCATCGTAATATAATCTCCTCCAAGTGGAGATTTGACGATAGCTTGTGTTAAAACATATCCATCTTGAACTGGAATAGCCGACGTGTGTGTTGCACCACTATCAATAACAATTCCAGTCGCTCGTCCGTTAGCAAATGCAGCTAGGACTGCATTTTTTACTAAAAAATAGGCTGGCACATTATATTTTTCAAACATAATTTCTGTAAGTTTTTCTCGTTTGCTTCTAATATTCCATGGAGATTCAGAAAATAACACTGGATGATATTCTGCATTAGATTGAATAATTTTAGAATACGTATAATCAAGAACTTTTTCAAAATGATCCCAGTCTTCCACCATTCCATCTTTCATATAGCTAACTACTTCCATTCCTGATCTAGGAACATGTAAGATAGTTGTGTCAATGTAATACTTGGGTTTTGATTGTGTTATGTTATTGTCTGGTTTTTTATCATCAACATCCATAGGTTCTCCTTTTGACGGTGAAGTATCCTCTCCAATGCCAACTACGGCAGGAATTTCAGCTTTTGGAGTATCTTCTTGTGCATAACCCACTCGTAATGAGTGATGGCCAAGGTCAAAAACCAGGGCACCAATTTCATCACCTCCATAAAGCATTCCTCCGGACATTTTGAAAATTGAATAATTAGAAACCTAAAATAATAACAATTTATACTCCAATGTATATCAATAATCAATGACTGAAATAATTTGTAATAAATAAAAAATGTTGAATAAAATTAGAAAATAATTTATTACTTTGTAAGAAAAAGTACTATATAGCTATTTTGACAAAAATCGACCTTCTAAAATATTCGTTTGTCAATAGCACCGATAAATACGAATAAATCAGGATATTTATTTATATAAAATACTCCAAGACAATCATGTGAAACAGTTGATGTAAAACATGTTATTTTTAAATAATTAATACTCACAAAACTTATATATAAATAAAAGTGCAAATTGAAATGTTTTTAGAAAAACAAGTGTCACACAGTGAAATGACGCTAAACATAACCTAATTACACAACAGACGCGCCGGCTTTTGTATACGATTATTTAATATTAAATATACAAGTACAATAATTTAATATTTATACGTATACAGTATGTATTTGTATACGTATACAGATATTAAAATATTATTATTTAATAAATTATTAAAATTTAATAAACTTTTCGAAAATGAAAGCACAACTATGAACCAATCTATCGTCGAACTGAGAAAAGAATTCCTGAGTTGTTTCAATGATTTCGGACTGCCCACCATTTTCTCGATCGATACACGTTCTGAATTACCAACATAACCAACAAATGCTAAATAAAATATTAAAAGTATAGTGAAAAGTATCTGTATATTGCATAGTGGGTAGATAAGCTGTATACACAGGTATTTATGCAGCTGTATCGAAGAAAATTGTGTGTGAGATTGAAAGCAAGTTGAATGGCAGCAAACGACGCTTACTTTTTCATTTTCTCTTACACGCTTCAATATGTCGTCTAATTAGGGTTCACTATAGACCCAATAATTTAACCTGCCTTAAAAAATGTCATAATCGATAAAATTGCTCATTATCAAGTGCATTTCAATATTTATTATCAATTGAAGTTGAGTTGGAATTGAGAACCAAGACATGAGAACTAAATGGAGATGGTTTAATTGTAGACTATAAGGACGAATTCAATTTTCGGAGCAAAAAGTTTACTCTTTTATATTGATATAATCATAATAATACTTAGATTTTACTAATGGAGAAAATTATTCAAGTTTTTTTAGCGTTACTAATTACATTAATTCCACGATGTAAGTAATATTCAAATCAATATTTTAAAAAACTTGTATTTCTCTTAATGCTATCTTTTATTAATTTTTATTATTTACCTATTATTTTTCTTCACATCCTGTTTTTTAGAAATATCTATTCGTAATTACCAATATCATTTCACAATTATTACCAAATTACCTTTTGACGTCTAAAAGAATATTAATAAAACATAGAATTTGTTACTCATTGTTTCAAAAGTGTCATTTTTATTTTTTGCGATCTTTTGTAGTACTCTTTTATATCAATGAAAATTACCATTAATCACCGTTTTTTACCCTTTCTTTTCTATATTGAAGCCCAAACAAACAAATTTAATTTTTTTAAATATTGAATTCCTTTCCAGGTATGTGTGCGGAAGGTTTAGACTTAATAATTGAACCTCAAGATGTAATTGTAGAACCCGGTGGTTCAGCAAGACTTGATTGTAAAGCTTACAACACGTATGCTAATCCTGTTAGTATTCAATGGAGAACTGAAGATGGACAATTGATAAATTTTATAGGTGATAATTATCGTTCTCAACTGCCTAATGGATCACTTTATATAAGTAATCTTTATCCTGAAAATTCAGAGTTGATTGGTTCTTATCAGTGTTTAGTTTCTGTCGAAAATGTTGGCTCTATTGTCTCACGAGCAGCAGTAATTAAACTTTTAACTTTACCGGAGTTTGACCAAGAACCTCAAGATGTGATTACATATCCCGGTCAAACTGTTTATTTAGGTTGCAGTTTAACAAACTCTGATATAAGTAATATAGAGAGAGATCGTCTTCAAGCTACTAAACAAATTCAATGGCTTAAAGATGAACATCCGTTAATTTTGGATGAGAGCAGAATGACTCTTTTAACATCAGGAGCTTTGGAAATCGATGATGTTCGCCTTGAAGATATTGGATCTTATCGATGTAATGTCAGTATGTTTAGTCAACATCGATTAAGTAGGAAAGCACAATTAATGCTTGAAGCTGAACAGTTTGAACCATCTCCATCACCACCAACATTCATTGCACGGCCTAAACCTCAGGTTTTTAAGATTTGTTTTTAAATCATAATCAAAAATATTCGAATGCTTAATTATTTTATTACTGTAGATTGCTGTTGAAGGATCCACTATTACTCTTGAATGTGTCGCAAATGGAGTTCCAAAACCATCGATTCATTGGCTTAAGGATGGAATAGCAGTAGATTTAGCAGCTCTAGATTCCAGGTATCGAAAAATAGCAGCTTCCAGTTTAATGATTACTGATATTATGGAAGAAGACCATGGATCATATCAGTGCAGAGCTAAAAATGAGATTGAAACACTTGATGCTGTTGCCCAAGTCATTGTTCACGTTCCTCCAAGATTTATTAAAAGACCAGAAGATAAAGTGGCTAATGAAAATCAAGATTTAGAATTTGAATGTCAAATATATGGTAAACCTGAGCCAAAAGTTACTTGGTTAAAAAATGGAGAAAAAATTACGTTAAGTGAATATTGGCAGCTTGTTAATAATAATAATTTAAGAATTAATGGACTCTTACCAATTGATGCTGGTATTTTTCAATGTATTGGAACTAATCCTGCTGGGAATATTCAAGCTTCTGCTAGACTTGTGATAAATAAACCAAGTAAGTATTAAGTTTTTCCTATATGTTTTTTTTTATTTGTAGATCTTTATTTAATTTATTTTTCATTAAATAATTTAAGTATTTATTATTTTTATGTACTTATTTTAATTTAATTTTTTTTTATTTTAACTCCTTTTTTTTCCTTACCTACTAATTGTCGTACTTTTTAATTAATAAGAAAAAGAAAAAAATCTATCAAAAGCATCAGTAACAACAACGCCCAAGACGATTAATAAAAAAAAATTATTTAATCGTCAATTTCAAAAGCCATTGTATAATAATACTTGGCAACATCCAAGTACTCTTCTTGGTCACACTTTATCAGCATTTACCCCAAATCCACCTAAAATTGATCTTGATCCTTTAGCAGATGATTCTGCTGAATTACTTTCTGACAAAATTTTAATCCCAAAATCCCTGAATCACAAACCTAAACCTGAAACCCATTTTTTAGATAACACGGACAACTTTGACTCAATAAAAGGTCAAGGTGGTATACCATCAGCTCCAAGGAATTTAAGTGCAATTATTGTTAAATCGAGATTTGTCACGTTGAGTTGGCAAGAACCAGAGAATACAAATGAGGATGATCAGCTGATTTATTATATTTATTATAAACAAGATGGATCTCAAAGGTATTTAAAATTAATGAAATTTCGCTTTAATTATATTTCTTATCTTGAATATACAATTTTTGTTTTTAGGGAACGAGTTATATCAGTTAATAGACCACAGGAAATGGTAGTTCGAGGCTTACAACCCGGAGTCACTTATCAATTTCGAGTAGTAGCTCATAATTCTTATGGTGTTCATGGAGTTTCTAGTAATATCTTAAGTGTAACAACACATTCCGAAGCAAATGTTCCTGGTCCTCCGCTTAATATTGAAGCTTATGCAACTAGTAGTCAGAGCATAAAAGTATCATGGCAAGAACCGAAAATTTTCAATGGTCGTATTTCTAAATACGTGGTAACAATTATGGAAGGCTCCGATGGGGAAGAGAAAACTAAAGAAACAACTAGTACAACTTGTGAATTAACTGATTTAAATCCTTATACTGAGTATCAAATTTGGGTACATGCAGTTAACGAAAATGGTCCAGGAGCATCAACAAGTGAAGTGAGTGTCAGAACTTTTAGTGCTCCTCCATCTCAACCTCCACATAATGTAACCCTAGAAGCTGCCAGCTCTACCAGTGTGATTGTAAGATGGGAGCCACCTTTAGAAGGTCAAAATGGAATTATAACTGGCTATAAGATTAGATATAGACCTCAAGATAGGAGATATGATTCTAAAACTGCCATTACTGAAGGTAACAAACGCCTTTACGTTCTCATGGGCTTGGAAAAGCGTGAAGTTTATCATGTAAGGATATGTGCGTTAAATATGAATGGAACTGGTCCTTGGACTGAATGGATGGAAGTTGAAACTTATGAAAATGACTTAGATGAATCAAATGTACCAAGTGCTCCTACTAATTTAAGAACTAAACCTATGTCTAATTCAATTTCTTTATGGTGGAGTCCACCTAAAGATGAAGGAATTAAAGTTAGAGGATATAAAATTGGCTGGGGAAAAGGTTATCCTGATGTTGATCATCAAGAGTTGGATGGAAAACAAAGGTATTACACTATAGAAAATTTAGATCCATTGTCTGAGTATGTTATCTCATTGAGAGCAACAAATGAAGCTGGTGAAGGACCACCAGTGTATGCAAATGTAAGAACTACTGAGAAAACTGCATTAGAATCCATAACACCATTGATTCCTCCAGTAGGATTAAAGGCTATTGTATTATCTGCTAATTCTGTTGTACTTTATTGGACTGACACTCTATTATCTAAGAGTCAATACGTTACTGATAATCGTTATTATGTTGTTCGTTATGCTGCTTATCATCCACCTTTAAGGTAGAAAAACACTTTTGTTAAAAATAACTTCGTTTAAAAATTCACCATCTTTAATTAATTCTTTACAGGTACAAATTTTTCAATGCAACTGATTTGAATTGTATGATTAGTGATCTAAAGCCAAATACTTTGTATGAATTTACGGTGAAAACTGTAAAAGGCAAACGAGAATCACCTTGGAGTATGGTTGTATTAAATCAAACTTATGAAGCTGCTCCAACTTCACCACCTAGAGAATTAACAGTTGATAATTATGAATCAAGTTCAACATCAGTTATTTTAAGATGGCAACCACCTAAACAACCTAATGGTCATATTATTGGATATATTATTTCATATTCTACGGACAATACTAAGAGAGATAGAGACTGGATGGTTGATGGATTATTGGGAAATAAAACAGAATACATTGTTAAGGGATTGAAACCTAGTACAGCATATTATTTTAAAATACAAGCAAGAAATGGGAAAGGATACGGGCCCTTTTCTTCGACTGTAGTATTCAAAACTCTATCAAGTAAGTAACAGTTATAACTGAATTAATATCAATTTATTTAATTTTGTTTTTTTTTTTTTTTTTTTTAATTTTATTTCTTTTAAAAATTAAGTTATTCAATTTATTTATTTTCAAATAGTTTTGACGTTTATTATATTTTTTTCATTTTTGTTTTTTTTTGTTTTTATTTTAATTAGGCAATAATTCGGAATTCGATGAAATATATAATCAAGGTAAGGATGAGGTTGTTTATGAAATTGTTTATTTACCTACGAAGTTAATTATTTATTAATAATTTATATATAATCAATACACATATTTAATAGATGGCCGTGGATTATCAGGAATGTTGATCTACATAATAGTAGGTTGTGCTGTTTTATTAATAATTGGAGGAGTTGCAGTGGTTGTTGTATTTGTTTGTTGTAGAAGAGAGTCTGATCGAAAAAAAGGGTACGTCAAATTATAATATTTTACTGTTAGATTTCATAAATTTTACTACTAAACTATAAAACATCCCCTAGATATTTGAAAGATGCAGCACAAAAGACGAATATAAAGCCACCAGATTTATGGATTCATCATGATCAGATGGAATTAAAAGCTTTAGAAAAATCATCAGTGAATGGAGGAGAAACTTGTACAAGTGGAATAGCAGCAACAACTTCAGTGAACAATACCTTACCAAGATCAGGAAATAATGATTACAATCATGATTCTAATCATCCTACTTCTGGGTCTTTAGATAAAAGGACTTATGTACCAAGCTATATGGGTGAGTATATTTATATCTGTTTAAATGAAATAATAAATCCTTTTATGATCAATATCATGACACTCACATTTCATTATTTATATTTTTAACAATAAATTTTTTATAAATTTGTGATATTATTTACATTTATAATTTAAAAATTGTTATTTTATAATAGTTGTAGTGGATTATTTTTTATTTTATTTTGTTCGATTGTTAATCGTTTAGCATCAAATAATTTGGATGACAAATGTTCAACGTTGAATAGACAACACAGTCGCAGTAGTAAATCAAAACTCATTACACTCCCTGTAGATAGTGGTGGTGGTAGTGGTGGTGGATCTTTACATCCATGTAAGTATCAATAAAGACTTTTTTTTTTATTAATTATCTCTCTTATTCATTTTCTAACTGTTAGTACAGTTACATGACTAAAAATATTTGGATCATGGATAAAATAAATTCTATGGTATTTGACGGTACTATTGGGACGACTGATATCACTTGTATTTTATTTTATTATTACTCCTAAGTCAATTCCGTTAACATATAAACATACTGTATACACAAATTAATAATTGTTTAATATCACCAAACAAAATAACATTATTGAATGAAGTGATTTGAGTTAATTTTCTTTTGTTATAGCAATTGCAACTGCAACAGCAACAGCAACAACCATTGTCAATTGTAATAGTTCATCTCAGCCAGCAATTCATTCAACTTGTTCAGATTCATCAACAAGAGATTCATCTAGATCCATTTACGGACCACGAACTGTTGCGCAATACAGCTTAAGTCGAGCTCATATAACTTTAGAACCAACTCCGGAATCTAATGTAGATTCATGTTTGATTTCAAACAGTAGTTACGAGCAAAGTCCAACTATAAATTATTCCGGAACATCTTATTCGACATCCAGTGGTGGCCAATATACTCCAGGTCACTATCCAGGTGGAAGTAGTAGTGGCGGAGGGGGAAGTAATAGTAGTGGTAGTCAATTGGCAAATACAACGCTATCATCATCAGGAGGAAACCATCCATCTACTGGAGCTTTATTATCGGGGTCTCGAGATTCTAATAATAGTACACCCGGTACAGAATCAGGCAGTATTAAAAGACTTCAAGGGCATCCTTTAAAAAGTTTCAGTGTTCCAGCACCACCTCCACAATCAGCTCCTTCAACCCCAGCACAACAAAAACATCATGGAGTTTCTCAAGCTAATATACGATCTAATTTATCAGGAAGTCCTTACAAAAAATCTGGTTCTTCCACCTTACAATTATCAAGTAAAAATCGATTAGCTTCGGTTTCCAATCCCTGTCATACTCCAGAAGAAATGGAAAGACTAAAGCCTTCTTATAGCACTGAAGAATTGAATCAAGAAATGGCCAATCTTGAAGGCCTAATGAAAGACTTGAATGCTATTACGGCTTCAGAATTCGAATGTTGATGCTACAAATTATTGAAGTGCCACTTTTTGCAGGTAATAATGATAATTATTTAAAAAAAATCTAATTAATAGTAAAATTGATGATATAAGTAAGCTTTGATAAAAATATAAAAATATTAACAATGTGGATTTGAATGGATTAAAATCCAAAAAGAATCATTTTTCTCTCGTTTTATAGAGAAAAATAATATTGACGAAGATATTGATTTTTTTTAAATCAAAAACATTTTAAACACGTACATATGATATGATTTTTTTTAAAAATCACGTTTTATATTAATATTTTAAATGAAAAAAAACATGTGGCATAATAATACGTACTAAAAACTAGTGAAAAAAAAATTTATGAATAGATTTTTATTTCATATTTATTTTGATGAAACATGGAATATCAAAGTAATGTTCGATAGTAAATGACTGAAACAAAACTTTTGCACAATCCCAGTGATGAAAAACATTTTATACAATAAATAAGAAATAAAATGATAAATAAAATTGAAGGTAGAAATACTTGTGAAAAATTTTGTATAAAAAGGTAGAAAAATCGTCAAAAAATTGGTTACATTAATTTATTTATTATTATTTAATTTGTTTACTAAGAAAATTAATCATGATCTCATTAATTAAATTACATATTTTACATTAATAACAAACAAATATGTAATTAACGAATTATACACAATAATGCATTTTTTTTTTGTATACAAAGGAACAAAACTTTATAATATTTATGAATAAGTCACTGAATTTAAATACTATTGTATTTACATGAAACAAAAGATAGCATCAAAAAGAAAGATTGTATAAAAGAAAATTTTTTTAAAATGAATTTTCAGCTCCATGAGCAAAGTATTATTGAATTAATCAACTAATTATTGTATTAATTATGTGTAAGAATTTTTTATTGAATTATCTCATAAACAATGAGATTTTTTATACATATATATATATTTTTTTTTGTTATTATGAGCTTTATACGAAGGAATTATCAATCATGAATGATTGATAATTATTTATATTTTATACCGTACTGTTTTTTTTATTTGTATTTGATACATCTCTGTAAGGAATAAAATTCAATCAGTTAGATACTATTTCTGCTATCATGGAAAAATTGTAAATAATTAATAGTAAATAGGAAGGTTTGTAATATTTTATAGTAATAATTATTATTATATTATTTAAACAATATTGTATGTGTGATCGTTATGGAATATTTGTATTATTTTTTTTTTTTTTTATACACTGATTGATGTTTCACAACATACGTAAGAGGAAATTTTCAAATAACGAATTAACTTTTCTATACAAAAATCAATTTTTTATACTTTGCTAAAATAATTATTATTAACAAACAAAATTTTACAGTACATTATATAGAATCTTTTTATTAAATAAAGAAATATAATCTTTATACACGAAGTTCGGCTATAATTAATGATATTCAATATGATCAGCGTCTGATCAAATATAAAGGACTAGTTAATCGTAGTGTACTACTAGATTAGTGATAAGATGAACATGCTAACAGCATAAGAAATAAAAAAGTATGTAACAAAATTGAAGATAAATGTTGGCCTATAACTAACGGTAGAAATAATATGCCTACAAGTTGAAAAAAAAAAAAAAAATATTTTACCATAACAATTTAGCTTTTGTAATTGGTATGTTGCTAAATTGACTACTTGTAAAATGTATGTATGCGTGTGTATATGTAAAAATGTTTATTCTTTTTTTATCATAATCGATTAATTGTCGTTATGATCACACCAGCTTCATTGCCATTTTATCTTTATTCATTCAATTGTTATTAACAATATTATTATTATTAATATCTAAATGATAGTAAGATTCTATTTATGAATTTGAGTTAAATAGTCTTAATAATATTGCTAATAATTAAAAAAGGAAAAAAAAAAACGATCTTTTTGTCTTCGTTATAAATGAAATTTATAATTGTATATAGGAAGGCAGAATTTTATATTATAATTTTTTTAATAATGCGTGATAGATTGAAAGTAATCATGTAACTATTTATCATAATTTTACTGTAGTAGTTTTATTATAATTTTTATGAATTCGATTCATCATTCAATTAAAATATAGTACTTCGATTGACAATGTATAATAAAAATATAAAACAATATTAATTGATTAATTATTATCATTGATATGGGAATTATACATTAGCCTATACAAACACTGATAACTTTATCAAAATACTCGAATTTTCAGCTTATTACAATAAATTGAATGAACAAATATGAATATTATTTTTCTTTCCTGTAATGTTCTATTTATTACTTAATATTGATTGGATATAATTTATTTTTACAGTGAATAACCACGTTAGCCATTATTTGAAAAAATCAAATCATAATTTAGGCCATTTGATGATTATCATTGATATTAATCATTTTCCATAATTCTAGAAAGTCATCTTAATCTTAACTAACATTTCAATTATTTCTTAAGCATTTAATGTATAGATCAATTAATTACAATCTGTATATATATATTTTATTTTTAAAACGAAATTTCTTTGCACATTTTGTTTAAAATTATTTTTAAAAATTAATTACTACTTTTGTTATTATTATTATTATAGTTACAATTATTATACTTAATATTTACATCTATGATATGTTGCAGATTATAAATTATCGCATTTTTTGTATTATTATTTTGCTGTTTTTTTTCTTTTTAATACAATTAACTATATTTTCTAATAGTAAAGTACATTCATTCATTATTGGATACATCATATTAAACCTAAAAAACTTTTTTCTTCTATGAAATTCAATTATTCTAGTCCATTATTGATATCTATGATATTTCATGAGTATTTTTTATATTTATTTAAAGTAATAACTTGATATATATATATATATATATCATTGCATATTTTATCATTTTTATCTTAAATTTTATCAACTTGAAATTTATTATCTACGTTGGTAATAATTGAAAATTAAAATTAATATAAAATTGTTAATTTTGCCAATGAAATTAATATTGAATGATGTGTAAAAAATTTTCATTATTAATTGATTTTATGCATGCGATTACTTTATATTTTTATTTTAATAAATATTTTTGTGTAAAAAATTTAGCTACAAGTATCAGTCAATATAAAGAATGAGGAAAGGGAATATTTGTTCCACAGCCTGTGTGCGCGCTTTGACTGTTTCATGACCGTTATCATCTTTTATATCATTATTATTATTATTGTTATTATTGTAATGATAATTTTTAGTATCGCTCTTAGTGTAATTATATGGTTAAAATAGTAAAAACGTATGAAAAAAATTGAACAAAAAAAGAAATCTAAAATATAAACTGAATTGAAAGTAAAACTTTGATCTCATAATCTTAATCTCTGAGTAAACGGAATTAAAAAATATTACTTTGAGTAGATTCTTGTTATAGTCACAATGATTATTCATTGATAAAATATTTGCTGTGATTTGTACTAAAAAATTACACTTATAAGTAAAGAGTGTTTGGATTTGGTAAATAAAGAGTTGTTATACTTGCGATAAGTAATGAAAAAGCAGTAATTAAAGAAGGGACTACTAGAGGAGTATTGACTATTGTTTCATAAGTAGCTGTGCCTATCAGCCCACTGATTCTTATTGCAACAGCCATCAATCCAAATGCAGTACACCGTAAATGTGTTGGAAAACTTTCAATGTTTACAAGAGTCAATGATGTCCAAGCAATCGCAAATATAACAAAAAATCCTCCTTCAAATCCTAAAACAGCTAGTCCATTATTATTGACTAACATCAAACAAAGGGCAATAATTGATGAAATAAAAAGGGAAACACCTGAAAAATCAATTACTTGTGAAATTATTAAACATTTATATGCAATTAAATTATTGTAACAACTACTTACCAATAAGTTTGGATGGCTGGAAAATATTTAGTGTAAAACCAGCAAAGGCAGCTGCAGGGATAAAAGCAAGTTGAGCAACTAAATGACTATGTAGAGCTTCTTCAATGTAAATATTATAATCAAGATCTAAAGTTGGACAAGAACTACTCAAACTTAATTCGGTGTTATTTGTCAAAATACATCGTGTAAAAACTTGAGCAGATAAATCTGTATCAAGAAAAGTTGAGTCTACAATAGTACTATCAGTGAAATATGTCTTACTTGATTTGATACTTATAAATTCGACCGATTGAAAAGTACAATTATCAAAATTAACATGACTAAAAACCATTTTGGTAAATTTACAATTAATAAATTTGGAATTTTTGTACCTACGATTCTCAAAAGAGACCGTGAAAGTTTGATTAAAATATTCTTTATTATTTAATTTAATTGTTTGTTGTTGATATTCCATTGCTTTGATGCCTTTTAGATATTCAGGACACCAATGAATTAGTCCATAAAGGCCAAAAGCAACACTAGACCAAATAATAATAAGGCTAATGGTTACCCGTAGATAAGGGACTGAAAAGAGTTTGATAAATGAATTTAATAATATTTCTATTGAGTAAATAATGTCGGCAAGAACGCTAGAAGTATGATGGTAGTGATGATGATGGTGATTTGATGATGATGGCGATGATGAAGATGATGAAGGTCCTCGATGATGTGAACCTCGAGGGCGTTTAGTTGGTAATTCTAATTCGGACAATTGATACTGACTTGCAGATATATTTTTTTTAGCATTATTACTTTTGTATATTCTTTGATAAACCATCATTGCTTCAACATCATGACCAGCTTCAATTAAATATCGTGGGCTTTCTGGTAAAAAAATCAGGCCGACAGTAGCAACAATTGCTGGAAGACCACAAAGAAGAAGAAACCGATGCCAAGCACTAAAATGTTCTTTGTTTTCTAAAACGACCATTTCTCCAGTTGTTGGAACAACTGCCCACGCTAAAAGGGCTGCATAAATTCCTCCTAACGCTCCAGCTCCAATTAATATCCCCGTCCATTTAGCTCTACTTTCCCGAGGGCAACATTCAGTTAAATAAACAAAAGCTAGAGGAACGCTACCGCCGACTCTGTAGAAAAAGAAAATATTTTATTATGTTGCATACAAGAGATTTCTTTTAAATAATATTACCCAATAGCAGAAATAAATCTTGCAGTCATAAATGTGCCGTATGTTGGCATAAAAGTAGCAACTCCACTGAAAAGTACATGAACAGACATGGCAGACAGTAAAGCTCGACGTCTTCCAATGTGATCACCCAGTACACCCCAAGCAATGCCTCCTACAGCGAGACCGACTAATGTAATTTTGGCTAACCATCCTTTTTCATTATCTTTTATACATAATTCAACTTCAGCAGATGGTAGAATGTATGGAACGACAAAAAATTCAACTGTGTCTGCAGCTAAACTTAGACCCACGTAAAAAGCAGTTAATATTTGGAAGTATCCAACACCAGCCTGTAGATAATCCACATTATTATTAAAGAATAAAACGATGAAAATTTCATTTATTCTAACAAATGAGGAGTAATTTACCTGTTTCACAGCATCTTCATGAAATTGTCCAAGAAGATTAGCATCCGCATTAGAATCTATTAAATCATACTCAGCAGTATCATTGAAAGTTACACCACCACCACCACCACCACCACCACCACTATCAGCAGCAGGGGTAGATGTTGTCGTTGTGGTTGCTGTTGTTGTCGTCGTCGTAGTTGTTAAAGCGATAGTTGTTATTGAATTTGTTGTTGTGGCTGTAGTGGTTGAGGGTATTGTTGACGCCATGATTTTATTAGCTTGGTGATTAATTGACATTTCTTCAGTGTAAAGAGGCACTCTAACATGAGTCTTGTTAATTCGATCACCAGACTGTAAAATAGCTTTGTCTTCCATTAAGATTATAGATAATTTTTTTTTTCTGCTGCCGAAAAATGACAGACTTTCTTCCTCTCCTCCCTTTGCCGAGGACATTACGCTTACTGGTCATCTACAACAATTTTGAATGTTTATTATTACTCCAAAATTTTTTTTGTACAAATCATAATAACTGAACCACTCACACTCACATTTTGAATTGAATACTCATCAAATATTACTTAAATACAAAAGATATTCAATAATCGACTCGATATTATAGATATTTTAAAAATATTTACTAATTAAAATTAATCATATTTTTATTCTTATTTTATTCCTTGATTAAATAATCACGTCATATAATTTATAACATGTATTAATAATTTTTTTAGTCAATCGTTATCACGAGAAAAAATTACTTGATCACTTTTCGATAAAATTCACAGTAATTATTACAATTAACTCTAATTAAATTAACATTTCTTTATCTTTTACAACCATTAATTGAGAACAATGTTAATATTATAAAATATTTCTGAACTATTTTTAGATTTTCTTATTAGTTTTATAAAGTAATGAACATTTTCGTGATAAAATACGTAATGAGACAATACAACGGAAAAATATTTGTATATTGTATCGATTTGAAGCTTGAGTTTTGTACTATTGATGATGCTAGTGGTGCTGCCGTTGCGTGACTAGGATACTACTAACCAATAGTCATACATTGGCCAACCCATCATATGATTATAGTATGTACCTACTTCACACACACTATATACAATTATAATTATAAAATTATATATATACAGTGTTGATAACACATGGTTTTGATTAATTTAAAAAACAGGGTTTTCATAATTTTTTTATAAAAATGTATTTTAATAGTTTATTGTCTTCTAATCTTTCTTTATGAAGTATTAACATCATTATCATCATCATCATTCTCTTCTTCGGAGTCATCATTATCATTATCATTATCATTATTCTCTCTAAGTTTTGATTGTGAAATTAATAATTTAGCCGGATTAAATACTCCATTCGTTTGTACATTACATATAAAACATCTCGTTGATTTTTTGAAATGATTCAATGCGCATTTTTCACAAAAATAATGCTTGCATCTGAAAGGAAAGAAAATATTATAAGCTATGTTATTCATCTTAATGAAGATTGATTATAATTTATGATAAATACTTTGTCACAATAGGATCAACGAATGAACCTCTGCAAATAAAACATTTGAATGGTAAATTATCTTCATCACTATCTATTTCATATTTTTTATCATCTTCATCTCCACTATCAGCTGCTCCAGCATCTCTCTCCAACTGCCAGCCTAACTTGTAATCAGATCTGTCATGCAAGAATTTACAACTATCTCCAAAACCACAAAACCCAGTTTCTTTGTAATCTTTACAAATATCTGGTTGATAATCCCATCTAACAGTAGCTCTTAAATTTGTTGGAGCTCGTATTGGACCTTTTCGAACCATTCCACTGGATGCATTACCAGCAGCTGTGTCTTTCTTTTTATAATATTGAGAATAATTATTAACTCCTCGATAAATTTTGTCATCAGCTTTTCCTTCTAATTCTTCATTTATCTGTTGAGCTTTTTCAAAAATTGCTTGAGCATCTTTGTCAAGTTCCGTTTCAGTTTCCAATATAGCTGTAGCACCTTGATCACTAGGACCAGCTATGTTAGCAGATCTCGCACTTTTATACGATACAATTACATTTTCGTCTTCTTCATCATCACTACTACCTGCTTGTTTTTTTAATTGTTTCTTTACATGTGATTTTAGAGTCTAAAACAGTAAAAAACAAAATGAACTCATGAAAAATTATAAAATTTGAAAAAGAGTAACTTTAACCTTACACTTTGTCGAAGTGGATTGGAGTTATCAATTTTCTTTTCTTTTTTTACCACTGTAGTTTCGTCATCACTACTACCTGAAATAATTAAATTTGTATTAAATTTTGCAAAAAAAAATATCAATTCATTACTTAAAAGTTAACCTCAAAGAATGTATTTTTTCGATGAAATATACCGTTTGCCTGTTCTTCAGTGTTACGTTTTCTTGCAGCAGTATTTCTTATTTTTCTTTTTTTAAATAAAAATTTACACGATTCATCTTTATTTGACTCCAATTCATCTGCCATGTTTGTTTATAATTTTATCCTAAATAATAAGTGATGTTTATTTATGTGTGTATTATTATTATTATGTTGGTCAGACGTCTATTTACGCATGCGCGAGAACACCAGACGCCCCCTAGTAACGACAAAAGATATCAAAAGATTTCATGGAACATTACTTGAAGTTGTAGGATACACACTTATTTTCATTTTCCTTCAGTTTCATTTGAAAAATGAAAATATAAAACGGTGTAACGAAATGTAATAACCTTTTCTGTATATAAATATTGTTATTGTGTGTGAAGCAAAATGTTTGTTGATGATTTGAATGGTTAAAACATGTCAAGGAGTAAAGGAGTTATTGAAAACCCTGAAGTACCAGGTAAGATTATATGTGTATATTATTATAAAATAAATACACTTATGTATAATTGCACTTATTATATAAACACATATACATATTAATTAAATGATCCTTTAAATATCTCATTATTTAATACAGGTTGTGAACAAAATTTACCTCCACCACCACCAGGATTATCTATCCCACATAAAAATGAAACAAACCCATCACCTCCATCATCAAATGGATCGCAACAATCTCTTAACAATGTTGTTGTTGATCAGTCAAGCCAACAGGTTCCTTGGTGGATACCAACTGATGCTGATACTCAAGATTTATATTCTCATCAATGGTTTGAGAGTCAAAAACCTTGTTTTATATCTCCACCGCCACCACCACCACCACCTCCACCACCGCCACCGACACCACTTTTATCACAGTCAAAATCACCTGTAGTGTTGTTGACGCAACAACAAATACAACCATTTTCAGAGAAAACTAAAAATAAAGGATTTAAACGAAAATTAAAAGAACTTGATCCTGCTGAAGATGCGGGTGAGTGTTGTTTTTTATATTAAATTTTCAAAAATTTAATAGCAGTAGATCTTTACGGGTTTTATCAACTTCCAAATATGAGACATTGAGATTATTTATTATTTTCCTTCACAGAGAGAGTTGCAAGTGCCCAGAGGGAACTTACTGCTCTAATGAAACCACTCAAGTGTGATCTTTGTAATGCAGTTGTGAGGATCGATTTGAAATTTTTTTTTTCATATACGCGTATAATAATTTTATTCATTTATTTTATTAATTATTATAAAATTATCTGTTTAAATTATGTTGTAGATGAATTCTACACTCCAGGCTAAATTGCATTATGATGGAAAACCCCATCAGAAAAAAGTATCCATGTTTCTCAATCAAAGTGTAAAAAAAATAAAAGTTGAAGATAATCACATTGCTATTGATGGAAGTACTGATAACAGTAGTAGTAATAATGGAATAATAAATGACTGGAATACTTTTTGTTCGGTAAGGAAAATTGAATTTTAAATCAAATTCAATTGTTTTGAAATTTTAATTTTTATTATTATTTAAATAATAGATTTGTAAAACGTGGTTTACGTCTCATACTGATGCTGCTCAACATTATGCTGGAAAAAAACACATTAAAGCAACAACAGGAATGAATAAACAAAGGTATACCTATCTATTCTTTTATAAATATTGTTAGTATGTAAATACATTATTAATACTTGGCTTTTTAAATTCAAGGATACAGAAAAAACCTGTATATAAAAATCCTAATATAGATCCATCAGGAAGATATGGGATTGGAATGGGTTTTCAATCGGAAAATATTGGATTTCCTACAGTTATTGACAATGTTTCACCAGAGAACAATTTACCAATAGCTACTAGTTTAATAACATCACCAACAGCGATGACTTATGGTGCTGCTCTTCGTTGTGATTTGTGTGGTGTTTCTGCCAATCGTTTGGAGCAGTTAGAAACTCATAAAAGAGGAGCGAGACACCAAAAAATGCTCAGATTGAATGGTGTTGATGCAACTGGTAAATTTATTTAAATTAATCTTATGTTATTTGATGTGATTATTTATTGAACCAATATTAAATTTTCAGTTTTATCAGATACTTCGGTGCTACCAATACCACCACCACCTCCACCACCATCACTACCGGCGCCAATAGTTAATTTATCAACTATCATTGACTATTCTATTTACAGAACACCATCTGGTTCTTATTATTGTGCACCATGTAATAAGTCATTTGCTTCTGAGAACAGTTTTGCCCAACATGTTGAAAGTAAAAAACATAAAAGTCAAATTAATCCAAAATTTCCTGTTACAACCACTACAATTACCACCACCTCCTCAACCAAAAAAGTCAAATTGAAAAAATTAGTGTAAATTTGTAAATGTTTTTTATAAAAAAGTTAATTAAGCAAATCTTAAATATAGTTTAAAATAAATAATGTTTATTTAGGATTACTGAATCAAATGAAAATAATGAATAAAAGTAAAGAGTTTCTTATTGAGAAATTATGTATTGTACAATAATAATCATTATTTATTAATTGTGTAATACAAGATTTATATATATATATATATATACATATCGAGGTATATGAATGTATTTTTTCTACTTATACACCTTTTTCGCGCGCATGTGCGGTTTACACTTTTTCCAAAAATCAATGATTATAATCTCTAAAATACATAAGAGGTGGTGATCTGTAAGTATACACAATTTTATACTATATCAAGGGATAATTTTGTTTTTATTATTGTTGCTCCTTTTTTTATGAAATAAAAATTTCATGTAATTACCATTTATAACCTATACTTTAAACATCATTGAATCATCAGTACCAATGATAGACTGAAAGTAAATGATTTTTATTTAATTTATATATATAAATAAAAAAAGTGTACATCCACAATTATATCTGTGTATATGTATGAGTAAAGTGGGCACTAGTGTAAACCAGCCGAATAGCGGTATACGGTGAAAACCTGCCGGGCAACCCCCACTAACCGCCAGACAACCCTTACTACTACAACTATGGCGTAGTTCCCTTCGGTATTTCAGTCAATTTTAGTTCGTGCCAGTTCGTGCCTCCATCTCCTTAATGCTTCTCAATGTTTCTTTGCTCCTTGCTTGCCAGCAGCAGCAGCAGCAGCAGTACAAGTATTAGTAGCAGGATAAAGAACGGAATGTTATACGGTATTATTTTGTTGTATATTACTGTGTTTTAGTTGATATTAAATAAATAAAGTGAATTTAATATGTAAAAAAGTATCTGAAAGACGTAAGTGTATGATAAAAGTGTAATAATTAAATTAAATCTGAAAAATAATAGTGTGTATGTGTGTGTGTGAAAGAATAATGAAGCTCAAGTGAAACTTGTTGGTTTATAGAATTATATTATTTATTTATACTAACTAAAGATTATTAATTTTAATTTATAATAATTCAGTGTTGTGTTTTTTATTTTTTTTTCTTTTTAAAATATTTGTTATTATAATTTTTATGCGCTCATATATATGAATACTGTCGCGCATTGACTGCACACAAGAATAAACTAAAATGGCGCTTGCATTCACTCTTCGTGCACCACACATACACACTTCTATCATCGACCATGACAAATTATTCAGCAACGGTAAATTGGAGTGATCAAAGTAAAGCTTATAAAAATAATTTGGAATTTTTGATAAAAAGTCCTATTATTTATTAGTATTTCATTTTATTATTTTCGTTAAACTTTAGAATTGTCTGTGTGTGTGCATTTGTGTGTGCTACAGTTTTAACTGCATTTTTACGGATTTTTTTACATCAGTATTTTTTTCTTACAAGGTATGTGCTGCAACTTTTTAACCATGATAAGGTTATATTAACCATAAAAATTTTTTGGTGATAATGGTTAACAATATTATTATTTAATTTTCAACAACTTAGACAAGATAAAAGAATTTTAGATAGAAATGCAAGTTGAATTATCATTTATTTATCAAATATTGTAATTTTGAAAAATTTTTGTTTTATTATTGCGAGTTGAGTTGACATTAAAGAGGGTGTGTAACTTGCAACCCTCAAGTGCACTTTTATGTATATAACAGCGGAATGTCTCAATTGCTTCTTTCTTTTGCTTTATATACATGTATATAGCGATTAATAAACAAGTATTGCATATAATATTCTTAAAACAGAGGTGAATGATATAAAAGAAAGAAAGTGGTCTCCAAATTTTTTACAAAGCTGTCAGTGCGCTGCTCTTGAGTCAACTCTCTTATAAGTATGTATACCTGAGGCGCCGCTTTACCCCCAAAAAATCTGCAAACTCGCTCGTGCAAAGAAGGGTCTTTGCCCGTTGAAGGAGAGACATATTTTTTTTTTTCTTATTTCAACTAATATAAATGTATACTTTGTCTAACTTTTGTGACTTCAATCTAATATTCCAGTAGAATATAAGTTTTATGTTGTGTTGTTATTGATATTCGTAGCAACAGTTTGTTAAACTTTGTTTATTTTTTTTATTTTTCAGAACACGGTTATATGAAATAAAAATGAAAATAACAAAGAATAACACTATAGTGATGTTTCGAAGATACAATGTGCTACGATAATGGTGTTATACTGTAATAAATATAAAAATTTATATTTGACAAGTTTCATTTGTCAACAAACTCCATATTATTATCATCATCAACTGTGCTCACAAATTATTTAAAACTGAAACTAAGAGTAAGACTCTGTAAATAATAATAATAATGATGATGAAACTTCGTAATGTTTGAAAAAAGTTTGTTATAAAACTTTTTCACAAAAGAATAACGAACTTTAAATTATGTATGAAAACTTATGGAAACGATATGAATGTTATCAAAATACTAAAGTGTGATAAAAATAATGTCAATTGATGACGGAATCGACATTGTATTACACTGGCGGTGGATGAGGATTTGAGTCGTTATAACAAGTACAATAAACAATATGTATGCAAATGATAAAAATTATGTTACTTCCATCACTATCATCTTTCTACTACTGTATTTCGATACAACAATTCGAGCAGAACAAGGTAAGAAATACCATATTATATAAAATTCGATCATAATATATAAAAAGAAGAAAAAAGTAGAAATGTAATATTATTATAATTTAATATAAAAAATAATATTTCATTACTAGAACATAAATATTTAATTTTAAGCATTCTTCTATTTGTTGTATCTCTGTGCTATGTAGTCTACTCTCTATCTCAACCATCAGTTTTAAACTTTTTATTCTTTACGTCTTTTCACATACACACACATTGATTCACATACACATAGAAAAAGAGAGAGAGAGAAAGAGAGAGTGAGATGCGGCAACATTGCAAAGAATGCCTTACTTGAACCAAACCAGCAGCAGCAGCAGCAGACTAGCCTATCGTATCTATAGTACATACCTGTTATACTCTGGTCCCTAGCCCTTTCTTTTACACTTTTTCCTGCTATGATGATGCTGATGTTGATGACGATGACGATGATGATGATGCTGTTGCTACTGCTGCTATGATTCTATTCATAACTTTTCTATTTAGCAACTAATTTTATTTTAATTATGTATTTCCTTTTACCTGTTATAGTTGTTTTATTGGACACGACAACGGAAGAAATTTTAGATTGGACAAAATTTCCATATGGACCACAAGCCACAACACCTGGCGTAAGTACTGTAGCATTATGATAGTGGCTACTACTAATAGAGTAAAATGAGGAAATATTCATATTAATGATATAATTTTCTATGTATAGTGGGTGGAGGAATCATTTACAAATTTCGATAAAGGAATAAATTGGCGAAGTTACGTGGTTTGCGATGTCGCTTATAATAATGTTAATAACTGGCTTTGGACACCATTTATTGAACGTGGTCCAGCAAACCGAATGTATATTGAGATTAAATTTACAACAAGAGATTGTTCATTATTTCCGGGAAATGCTCTAAGTTGTAAGGAAACATTTTCTCTACTTTATTATGAATTTGATGCAGCAACTAAAGAACCGCCACCATGGGAGCCAGAAAGTTATAAATTGATTGGTCGCATTGCTGCTGGAGAAGGACGATTTAATACAAATACAGAAGTTGTAATTAATACAGAAGTTAAATCTATTCCAGTAACTAAAAAGGGAGTCTATTTTGCATTTAGAGATCAAGGTGCTTGTATCTCTATACTTGCTATAAAGGTTTATTATATAAGTTGCCCAGAGGTATCAGTGAATTTTGCTCATTTTCCGGCGACACCAACTGGCCGTGAAGTGGCATTGATTGAACAAACGATTGGTACATGTGTCGATAATGCTGTTAAAATTGAACAGCCAACATTTTTGTGTAAAGGAGATGGTAAATGGTATTTACCTTCTGGTGGATGTCACTGTAAGCCTGGTTATCAAGCTGACATTGAAAAACAGCAGTGTAATGAGTGCCCTATTGGAAAGTTTAAACATGAAGCGGGTTCACATACGTGTGAAAAATGTCCTGCACACAGTACAGCACCAGATTATGGATTTACTGAATGCCGATGTGATGTTGGCTATTTTAGAGCGCCTAAAGATCCTAAAAAAATGCCATGCACACGTAATTATTCATTCTTTTTTTTTTGTCAGTTGTTATTGTATAAGAAGATAATTTATTTATTGTCATTATTTATATATTACAGAACCGCCATCCGCACCACAAAATCTAACTGTTAGTTTTGTTGATCAGTCAACTGTCATTTTATCATGGAATGCACCGCACATGCAAGGTGGTAGGACTGATACAACTTATCGAGTTGTATGTGACGCTTGCAGTTCAAATGTCAAATATATTCCAAACACTGTGAGTTTTATTGATATTTTAAAATCTTTTTTTATATTTATATTCATTTGAAATATTTGTTCAATTAATATTAACACTTAATAATTCACAGGAAATATTCAATGACACTAAAATCACAATAACAGATTTAAATGCTGTCCAAACCTATCGTTTTCAAGTTTTTGCTGAAAATGGAGTGTCACAAATGGTGAAACGTTCTGAATATGTAGATATCACTGTAACAACAGAAGCTAGTGTGCCCAGTCTTGTTAGTAATGTTAGAATTACAAATGTCAAGAGTTCGGAACTTAGTATAAGTTGGGATGCACCAATTACTCCAGAACAATTAGGGGGAGTTGGTGAAAGTGACATTGTAGAACGTTATGAAGGTAAATATATACATAGTTGGTTCGTTGATTTAACTCCGTTTATTTATTGTATGCGTGTGAATAAGAATAATTTAAAATTTTTTCAGTACGAGTATACCCACGTTTCGATGATGCAACGAATGCAACAGTACTTCAAACACATGATCTGTCGGCAACCTTTAAAGGTTTAAAATCGGCAACTGATTATGCAATTCAAGTAAGAGCGAAGACAACACGAGGATGGGGTGAATATACACCGGTGATTTATAAAAAGACTGCCCATATTATGGGATTAGGTAAATGTCTAATATATTTGATTTGATTATCTATAGTTAAAAAGATGATTAATTAATTATATATTATATTTTATAGATCACGCCGGTGATGATGATAATATGCAAGTGCGAATAATTGCAGGAGCAATTGTCGCAGTAGTAGTTTTACTTGTGATAATTATTATCATGACTGTATTATTTTTAAGAAGGTAATGATTATGTGACTAGTAATTGTAAATTTTAAAAATCGTGCAAAAGTTTAAATAAAAATAATTAATTTATTTCAGCAGAGCTTCTGATGAATGTAATAAGAAACAACCAAGCGATTGTGATACACTGGAATACAGAAATGGTGAAGGTACGTTTGTGTTTATTTATTTAATTTTTTTTTTTTTTTAAACAACAATAGAAGTATTATTGGACTAATTATTATAAAGTATAAATTTAAAAATTTATGACAACCCTCCCGCCACATTCTTTCGTCGTTTTTTTTTTTTTTTATTTTTATTTAATTTGGCCAAATTACTTGATTGTTTCTAACTAAATTCTTTCAATTCTTTCTTTTCATGTGCGCATTCCCTTAACCACACTTGAACTACTACCTACAACTACCACCACCACCTCTACTACCTATATGAAAACAAATAAATCAATTTGAAAATTTATATTTATATATACATGAACAATTGAAACAAAAAAAAAATCGCCTGCTTGTCTACTCGATGACAGGACTAGTTGTGACCTACAGTAAGTCTTTTTTAACCAACACTTTTTTTTTATTTGCGTCAAAGTTTTTTTTTTTCATTGACATTCGATTGATTTTAGTAGTATTAGAGTAGAATGATGAATTAAAATTTTTTTTGTCTATATTATTAGCATGAAATATATATTTTTTAGTTTACAAATTTTTGCATGAAAAATATTGGGATAAAAAGATTTTTTATATTATAATTATATTAAAATAAGTAGTTGATAAATAAAATGATGTACACAGTTTTAATTTTTCTTTGATGAATGGTAAAATAATGTGTTGTGAATTTATTGGAGTTTGTTATTTAAATATTTATTATTAAAAAGGAAAAGCATGTACTAGTGATAAGTGTCCATGATGATGATTATGATTATGATAATAATGAATAAATATTTTTTAAAAGAAGGTTAAAATTAAAATGCATGTTAATGATAACAATAACAAAAATACATATAATTGATTACAGTGACTACACCATTATTTACACCGGGTGGAGTGAATTCAAGTGGTACTACTGCTGCTGCTAATGCCGGTGCTGGTAGTGGTGGTAGTGCTACTGCTGCTACTGCTGGTGGTGGAGCAAATAGTGCAAAAAGTTATGTCGATCCTCATACATATGAAGATCCAAACCAAGCAGTACGTGAATTTGCTCGAGAGATTGATGCTGGATATATCACTATTGAAGCGATTATAGGTAAATTCAGCAATAAAACAAAAGGAAAAAATTTCATTTTATTTTCAATTAATAACAAGCGAGGATAATAATGAAAAAAATTTTCAGGTGGTGGAGAATTTGGAGATGTATGTAGAGGAAAATTAAAATTACCACCAGATGGACGAACAGAAATAGATGTGGCTATAAAAACATTGAAACCTGGCTCAGCAGACAAAGCGCGTAATGACTTTTTAACTGAAGCGTCAATAATGGGCCAGTTTGAGCATCCAAATGTGATATTTCTTCAGGGTGTTGTGACAAAAAGTAATCCAGTGATGATTATTACGGAATTTATGGAGAACGGTAGTTTGGACACATTTCTACGTGCAAATGATGGTAAATTTCAAGTGTTACAATTGGTGGGAATGTTAAGAGGTATTGCGAGTGGAATGCAATATTTAGCTGAGATGAACTATGTTCATCGAGATTTAGCAGCAAGAAATGTTCTTGTTAATGCCACACTAGTTTGTAAAATTGCTGACTTTGGACTTAGTCGTGAAATTGAAAGTGCAACAGAAGGTGCTTACACGACTCGAGTAAGTAAAATTAAATATTCAAATTCCATTTAAATGAATGTAAAACTGCAAGATGTCATATTTTTTTTTTCATGATTCAGGGTGGAAAAATACCTGTACGTTGGACTGCACCAGAAGCAATAGCATTTAGAAAATTTACAAGTGCATCAGATGTTTGGAGTATGGGCATAGTTTGTTGGGAAGTTATGTCGTATGGTGAAAGACCATATTGGAATTGGTCGAATCAAGATGTTATTAAATCAATTGAGAAAGGATACCGATTACCAGCACCAATGGATTGTCCTGAAGCTATATATCAATTAATGCTTGATTGCTGGCAAAAAGAGCGAACTCATCGACCTACTTTTGCAAATCTCACACAAACATTGGATAAACTTATACGAAGTCCAGATACATTAAGAAAGATTGCTCAAAACAGGTAAATATCGTTTCATTTTTAATAATATAATTTAAATATAAAATATTATTTAATATTTTGATATAAAAAAAAAAACAATGACAATATGAAGAAAAACGGATGTGATGGTGACTATTCAAAAATACAAATAGTGTCCATAAGTTGATTTTACTCCAGTGTCTATATATTAAAATTTTCTTTCTTTATTCGCTTTTTAGAATTATTCATTAATTCATTAAACGTGTTTGTGTGTAAGTCTCACTTTTTGCTCACTTGTATCATTCATTATTTACATAATATCAGAAAAATTAACAGAAAGAGAGTGAGAGAGAGTGAAAGAGAGAAAGGGAGCGTAAACAATAAATTAAAAACTTTTTTATCTATTAATATAAGTTAATCATAATAATTAATTATGTAAATAATTTTTTTTTTTTTTTCATTACTAAAACTTTTAATTTAATTTATTTTTTTTTTACTATCAATTATTTATTTTTTAAATTTTACATGACGCAAGAGCAAAGTTGATTTATGGACAAATTAAATGAGCAAATAATAATTTTATTTATTATTTTTTATTTATAATATTTATTTATTTTTTTTTTTAACTTAATAATTATTATTAACAAACCAGCTTTTATTTATCGTCAATTGCTCTTAACTCGTAGTATTTAAAATCGTAAAACAAATATTTGTTTTTTTGTTAAATTTCATAAAAATTTTGCTTATTTTATTCTTGCTATAATTTCTGTTTTTTGGGCTAATCTTTGTTGGTTTTGGTTTTGCGTGCTGTGTTTTTGGCCAATCCACGCGGTCTTCAACTGCTACTACTACTACTACTGCTACCATTACTACTATTACTGCTACTACTACTACTACTTTGACTACGACTATATATGAACATCTGGTGGTAAATGATCAAAATTAACATGTTGTTTTAATCATCATCATCATTACCGTCATCATCATCAACAACAACAACAATATCAACTTCAACATCATCAACGGCAACAGTGTGAGGCCACCAGCTCATAATCCATATTTTATAAGATCAGCATCGACAAGTTTAAATAATCAAATGTGTACAAATGTGACTGGACCAAATAGCCGAGGGGGTGGTGGTGGCGGTGGTGGTGGTGGTGGTGTTGGTGGACTTATGTGTACAAGTCATTTTATAGACGTGGCAGCTGAACCATTTGCTATGGGGGTAGGTGGCCGTACGGCTGTTTCTGTAATGCCAGAACAAGGAAACTGGGAGGGTGGGGTAGTTGGGCATAATTATCATACACGTTTAGCAACAACAGCAACACATGTACTACCATCATCATCATCACATTATCAATCACAACAACAACCACATCAACAACCACCTACACTTGTCTATCCAAATTGGGTACCATTTTCACATTTCGGTTAAATATGTAGTTTCTAATAGTAATTGTAGCAAAATGTACAACGATTATTTAAAAAAAAAAAAAAAAAGTTTTTAATTAATTGTAAAATGTAATAACAGTATTTAGAATATTTAATAATAATTATAATTGAATGTGTGAGTGTGTATGTGAGTACATAAAAAATATGAGAAAAAAGTGAGATCAAATATGTATGACAGATAAAAAAAAAACGTGTTTAAATGGATGTGTATAATTTAATTTTTTATTTCGACAATTATTATAAGACAACGATACGACGACGACGATAAAGATAGATTTATTATATAAAAATAAAAATATATAGTATAATAAAAGATTAAAAAAATATTTAAAATAAATTAGTGAATTAGTTGTGTATATGTAACTAATTTTAACAACTATAACAACAATAATTGTGCCAGAATCAGAGAAAGAGGTGCACCACCCCCACCTCCACCGGCTACATCTACAATCGTCGTTCATTTGAGGCAAAGGTAAAGAAAAATGAAACGAATAAAAAAAATCAATGAGATGAAAAAAGATTGTCAAGTTTTGCCAATTAATAAATAGTCCATTTTAGAGTGTAGTTAAAAGTACTGAAAGTATTCCCCCCTCGCCCTGTTCACCTTGTTGTTTAGAAACAATAATAATAATAATAATATTAATAAAATATGCATTATTATCATTAATTAACAATGACTGACAAATGTATATATTATAAAATACACACAAATGTACATAAACATAATATAAAAGTATGTATGAGAAATTTTTTCTAAAAACTTGATCGCACTGCTTGCTAATTTTTTTTTCCTGCAACAATTATTATTTATTTAAATTAAATAAGTATGATGATACAGTTGAAAAAATGGAGAGTGTAGGAGAATAAAGAGAAAATGTATTTTTTCTTGAAAGAAGAAATTTTTGGGATACTTTATTGTTAATATGTTGCTACTATTTTTTTTTTGTTATTGTATATATCATCTACCTCTCATAAACAAATATTTAATAATCAATGATTATTGTGAATTATTATTATTATTCACAGGGGAACTAATCCGTTGGCTCCAGATGCAGTGGATTTGACCCAATTAACATCTGTAAATGAGTGGTTAGCATCTATCAAAATGTCACGTTATTCAGAAAGTTTTGAAAGAGCTGGTATAATAAGTTTGGAAGCAGCAGCAAGGATGACTGTACAAGAATTGACAGCACTTGGTATAACTTTAGCAGGTCATCAGAAAAAAATAATGAATAGTGTTACGGCATTGAGAGCGCAAATGTCGGCAGCTACGTCCCAGGGCTTTCTTGTTTAATAATTAATTATATTTACATTCCATTGGACCCTAAATAGCAACAACGATAAAAATTATGGAAATAATATGTAGTGTAATTAGTAATGATAAAATGTGAAATGATGGTTAATATAATATAAAAATATATACATATATAATTATTATAATTATATGTATATATATTTATATATAAATATTAGAAATGGAAAAGTGAGAGAGAGAGAGAGAGTGTGAGTGAATGACAAACAGTGAAGTCATAAAAGCAATAACACTGCCTAATTTTTTTGATGCATTTATTTTTTTGTATTATTTTTTATATCTAATGAATTGTGTTCTGTTGTATATATATATGAACTTTATATACATTTATATACACAATAATTGCAAAAATCCATGACGACAAACCATGTGTATTTACAAACAAATAATAATGTATATTTGATTTAAAATTATTCTTTTACACTTGTTTTTATGCACAGCATTAGCAGCAGCAATAAATAATGTTTCAATAGCCTTAATTTTATTATAATAATTAAACGATTTTAAAAAATCGCAGAAAAAAAAAGAATAATAGAATATTTAATGGCCTAATATACTTTTGCTTTACTAAATTGTTTGTTAATTTTTATTTTCATTATTTTAATATTGAAAAATGTAATTTAATCATGTATGTATGCGTGTATGTAATATTTAAAACAAAAAATACGTACTGAAAGTTTTACATATACTTGACACAGTTGATATAAAATTACGATAATGTAATTTAAAAAAAAAAAAAACAAAAAAAAAAAAGAAAAGGCTTAAACTTGATATTTACACAAAGTATATATGAAATTTAGTGTAAAAAGGATGAAAAAAATGATTTACTATGATAAAATTTTCGTAGTTTTAATCAAATAAGATAAATAAATAAATCTTTTATATTAATGAATTATAGAAATAATAATAGAAAAAATATAAGTAAAAACGAAAGAAAGAGTAAACCGCAATGATTAAGCAATAAAAAAAACCGATAAATTTGAGTGGTAATTTGCAGAGATAAAAAAAAGATATCGTGTTAAAATGTATCATTTTTAATAGAATAGTATAAAATGAAAAAAACGTTAGAAAAATTAATAAAAAAGAAAAGGCAAAGGGCTAATAAAGATGAAGTAGATGAAAATTTATCAAATATAAGGGTGTAAAATGCTGCAGCTTGTATGTGATACGAAGATATAGAGGTCTGTGTATGTGTGTTGAGAAAGGCTTTGTACATAGAAAACATACAGAAAGAAAAAGAGAATGAAAATATAAGAAAAATTTTAATGAATCAAAAAATGACAAAATTTAATATTAACAATAAAATAGGTATATTTAAAATTGGAACAATTTATCTTAATGATCATTGATCCGTGTATACAATGCGTATTTACAACGCAGTCACAAAACGAATTTATAAATATCTCGATAGTTTACATTTGTTTAATTTTTTGTTTTAATTTATTTGATAATTATAATGAATAAATCAATCAATGTAATAAAAAAAAAAAAAACAAGTACATAGTAGATGAGAAAAGATAAAGGAATTATTATTTATTTATTGCCGGTTTTTGTTGTATTTCGAGATGAAAAATATTGATAGAGATAACGTGTACATTATTGTGTGTATATGAGTATGTGGGGATATGAATGGGAAAATGTATTAATATTGTGGAAAAAATAATGGCACTATAATAAAAAATAACATAAAAATAATTGGCGTGTTATGAATTTTTTTTTATAGCTTCAATTTACCTTCAAGCATGTGTAGATATTATTTTTGGCAATGTGTAGGGTGTTTAAAAAATTTTTATACATCCACTGAAAGATATATCACTGATAAATTCCAACTAATCTGTACAACCACATTTCATTTATTGTGTTGAAATGTATATAACAGGCGGACGGTTACATGCTATGCGTTCTTAGAACCAGAAGAATGACGTTAACAGGTCTTTCTTCTTGAATTGATGAGAAGAAAGGGCACAACATACAACATGTGTTTGGATCATGGACGCTAAATCTACGACGTCAACAATCACTTCTACGCGTCTATCGTACTTGTAGATGGATTATGATGTAAATTATTTGTTGTCAAGTGTTTTTAATAACAAGAAATAATTTTAATATTGTCTATAAGTGTAATTAAATAATAAACACTTACTTACGTTAATGCGTCTTTGAAAAATAAGGTGAGTTATGATAAAATGAATATTTTAAGATTGCAATTTAGTCATGATACATTTCATTAGATTAACAGATAATTTGATATAATTATAAAAGTATTTTACGTTGACAAATTGTTTCCTTTTTTTTATTGTTTAATAGTAGTAAATTTAAATTATTTTAATTGTTTAAAAATGAGGTTAAATGTGAATATAATAAAATTTCAGTATTTATCAAATAAATTGTCATCTTGCAATTGTTTACGTTCATACCAATTTAACTTTATTTCTAATAAACATGGACAATTCTCGCAATTCAAAGAAACGATCCGTGGAGAAGGATAATTCCGTTGCATCAAAACATTGTAAAACTGCATCTCCGAATAATTCTACTTCATCGGCAAAATCAAAAGCTTCTTCAAAAACAACAGTAAGTAATTTTCCTGCATGTTGAAATTTTTTACTAAGTCTGACAATTCAATAAGTATGGTCATCAAACCTAAGAAGAAGGTAATTGAGTTAACTATGAATGTTACAAGATAAATTGTATTTATTGCTTAAAAAAAGAATGATCGAAATTAAATGGAATTGCTTATTATTTAATTCTCATTTCACATAATGAGAAAGTACAGTTATTATAATGAATTTTTGGTTTTTATTAGGCTCGATTATCATCCGATAAAAATACACTTCCATCTACTTCCAGAGCAAACAATCAATTACCGGAAAATTCATTGAAAATGGAAGTTGACATGGATGAAAACCTTCCGAGAAATTTTCAAGATATGAAAAGCCAGCCTAGACAACCTGGAAAAAATAATCATAATGATGATGATGATGATAGTGAAGATGATAGCAATGATAAAAGCGATAATAGTAGTAGTGAAAGTAGTAGCAGTGGTGATAGTGAAAGTAGCAGCAGTAATGAAGATACTAATAATGATGATGACGATTGGGCTAATAATAAATATAGATTTTATGACAGTGATGAGGATACTGAAGACGATGAAGATGATGATGAGGATGATGATGCTGATAATAACATAGATCTCAAATCCTCATCAACTTGTCAACTTCATTCTACTGCAAAAGAGCAATTGCTTGGAGCTATATCTATAGCTTTGCGACATCATTTAAGCTTTAAGGCGATTTTAAGTCTTTTAGAAGTGTTGAAGCTTATTCTCAATTCTAATGGTTTGCCAATCACGAAAAATGTATTTTGGAAGACATTAAATCATGGCAATTCTAGCATCATTGAGTATTATTATTGTCGATTATGTCAAAGATATTATGGTAAAAGAATTGGGAACAAATTTGAAAAATATTGTGCTTGTACAAAATATAAACCTGAATCGGCAATATCATTCGCAAAACATTTTTTGGAAATCAATCTATCTTCACAACTAAAACAGCTGTTTTCAATACCTAATATGTATGAATTACTACAATACAGATTTAACAGGATAAAAAAGCAAAATGACGCTTTAGAAGATATTTATGATGGAGCTGAATATCGTCGATTATGTTCAGACGGTAATTTTTTAAGTAATCGAAACAATTTTAGCTTGACTTTCAATGTCGGGCCACGTAGGTTGTTAAATTCATCAGATATGAATGCTTGGCCAATTTATGTCGAGATTAATGAATTGCCTCCACATATGAGAAGACAATTTATGCTATTAGCAGGAATTTATGTTGATTGTAAACCTCTGAATATTAATCATTTTTTAATTCCATTTATGACTGAGATGAAAAAATTATATGACCATGGAATTGTTTGGAAATCATCTCAAGGGGTAGAAATAACATCAAAGTTCATTGCTGTCATTTGTACCATAGATTCTGATACACGTGCAAGTATTTTACAGATGAATCAATATGATAAAGATAATGGATGTATCAATTGTTATGATAAAGGTCACAAATTGTCGGCAGAAAAGTATGTTTATCCTATATCTCAAAGTTGTGGTCGTTTAAGAACTCATAATGAAGTCGTTAATGATATGTTGCAAGCTTATAACATAAAAACAACAGTCAATGGTATTCAAAAAATATCATCCCTGACTGCATTACCTTTATTCGACATATGTAAAAATGTAGTAGTTGATTCGATGGATACAGTCTTTCTAGGTGTTGTAAAACAGCATTTTAAAATGCTGATGAAAACTCCAAATGCTCCCTATTACATTGGAAAGGCCAGTTATCGTTCATTGATAGATAAAACACTTTTGAATATTAAACTACCGAGTTGTTGCTCCAGAAACCCTAGAAGTATATCAAAATGGCATCTATGGAAACCTTGTGAATGGAAGAATTGGTTGGGATATGCTCCCGCATGTTTGGAAGGTGTTATTAATGTTAAATACACCAAGCATTTATCGTTCTTATCTGAAGCAATAGACATTCTCAATAATGATTGTGTGACACAAGAACGACTAAATCGTGCTGATGATCTATTAAAAAAATATGTTGAACTGTTTGAACAGTATTTCGGGATACCAAATTTGTCATATAATATTCATTTATTGACACATATCACAGACAACGTACGGAATTGGGGTCCAATTTGGAGTTATTCTAGATACCCATTTGAATGGTGGAACAACAAAATAATAAACGTAGTAAGGAATCCACATAAACGTATTGATGAGTTTACAACTCACTTTTTGATGTATAAATATTTTATAAGTGCTGCTTTTGAATCTTCTGTATCAACTAAAACGACTGATTTTATCCAAGATATTATGAAAACGTCGACTATTCAGTATGAGATCCAGAATTTCGTAACAGGAAAATCAGTGGTAAGATCACCATTGAATAACGAAAAATTATTATTGTCAAAGGAAAATTATCAACCAAAACTTATATCATGTTATGATGAAATAATAATCAACGGTGTAAAATTTCAATCACAAAGCTCAGATGATACTAACTTTTGTAATTCTATCATCGCTAGTGGAATGGGGAATTATGGAACAATTGTTAATATAATCTCCTTTCAACACGAGAATCGAAAAATTTTTAAAATTTTTATGCAAGAATTCCGACATATTAAATATGCATTTAATACTCAATATATTTCTCAAGTAAAACCAACAAACAATATTGTATGTGTAAGCAAGATTCAAAATATAACTCCAGCTATAAAAATTTCAACTGCTAAGAATATATTTATTTATAAATTACCCAATTGTTGGGAAATTGACTAAAGTCAAAGAAACTGATTAGCACACATAGTATTTGATTAAATACGATTTTTATTTTTAATGTTTCCTTTATTATAATTACTACGGATTAATTACCATAATTTAAAAATAGAACCTCTTTATAGTAGAAATATAGAATCATAATAGATAATTTAAATTATAGATTTTATATTTTTATAAATGTTATGGTATTTTGTAATAAGATTGTCATATTGAAATTAAAACTATTCTTCTATGTATGCATGTGAATAATTTGATAAATATACAAAAAATTCACTGATTCCTTATCATTTTATTGATGTTTTATATTAGTTATAAAATTAAGTAATTACACAAGAGTTTTTTTTTTTTTTAAGTTATTTAAAAATCCAAACGTTATGAATCTTTTAGTTGTTAACTTGTGAGGTAAAGAATGACTGTAGTTTTAGCATACTTTAAATTAATAAAATTATCAAGATTTTAGAGTATAAATATATACATATAGTACGAGATTTCATTTTAAACTATAACTTTTAATATTTTTTTTATTTATAAATACATAGACACATGAAGGAAGTTGAGGCGAAATTTTTTTCTTCCTTTTTTATCATATACATTTTTTTTTAGTAAAACTTGAGTAAAAAATAAATGAAATTTTTTATTTAGTACGATTAATAATAATTAATTAAAAAATATATTCACTTCGTTGATTGACAAAGATTTATAATATAAAATCCACTTTTTTAAAGTTCAGTCATCGAACTGCAAAAAAATTAATTAATTAATTAATGTATTTATTTGTTTATTTATTTATAAAAAAGGTCTTGATTTACTTACCAAAGCATCTAAATCAACATCCATTTGAGGTGGAAGATTTTCATCAGGCACAGTAGGAGCAGACTTTCTAAAAATAATTTTAAATTATCATAAATAAATGGTTGAGGTGATTTAAAAGCTCAAAAGATTCTTACGAAACTTTTTGTATGCTTGAATATATCATACACATATTAATAATGAAAAACTTACTGAGTAGTAGCTTGAGTTCTTTGCGTAGAAATATTTTCGATAGGAGGATATTCTGGTTCTTTACTTAAATCGAATAGAGAAACAATATTAGTAACACTATCTGCAACATCAGTCTCGTTATTTCGATCTGGAGGTAATATTAGCTTCAAAATAGACATAGTAGGATCTGGTAGAGGGTCATTTGGTTTTAATGCTCGATGCGATATAACATTCCATATGTGTTGAATGTCTGGAGATGAAACCGTTCCTGGTTCATATAATTTTTCAACACTATCAAGTAGACTATTAAAGAGAAATCATAATAAATAGTTATAATCTATATTCATCGAACTAATAATTAGTTTAAATCAAATAAATCTTACACTGTGGGTTCTAACATCATGTTGTCTAGTAAACTATCAACTGAATCTAATTGTTGTTGATTGAGTGATTTAAGTATTATTTCGTAGGATCTTGGTTCTACTATTGCTCGTTCTTCAGCATATAAAAGCTCGTGCATTATAAAACACTGTAATAAAAAAAAGAAGCTTAGCTACATTAGATCAATAATTTAATATATTTATTGAATATAATAAATTATAAATAAACTATAATAATTTAAATATACCCAAGGTTTTAATCCATCATCACTTATTTGTGGATACAGGACATGGATTGATGGTGTTGAATTTTCAGTATGAACTTTTCTAACCAAACCCACATAATTTAAATCTGCCATTGCTTTGACTAAGCTGAAAAACTCTTTCTCTCCACCCTAAAATTGAATTGAAATTAATTATTTATTTCTATATAGTATATAATTTATGTTGAAAATTTATCAACCTCCCAAGGAACCATAATATTGGTTTTTATACCACAACGATGTTCTACTGAGACATTTCTTTCATGAGTAAATCCATATAATTTTAATGATCTTGGTCCTGTTGTATTTCTAATCATCATTTTATCTTCATCTAAGAATAAAATTGAATGATAAAAATAAACGAACAAGATTTGGATAAAACATAACAGACACACAATTCGTAGTAAATTAAAATAAATAAAACACACCGGAAAGTGGAATGAATGTTCTTCCAAACATAAATCCTTTAATAATTTCTTCTTTGTTATGTTCTTCTCGATGACGATCAACTAGTGCCAAATTTTTATTCACAGGAAGTAATTCTGTTTCACCATTAGATTTGTGATTTACGGAGATTGTGGCCCATTTGTTTCTTGTTGGAACATTTTCTAAAATCTATCAACAATTAGATATTAAACATGGATCTATTTTATAAGTAGTTATTGAATTAAATTTGTTACTTGAAGATATATTGCCGTTGGAATTCGCAATTCACCTATCTCCAAGTTACACTTCCAAGCTGTTGGATTAGTTGTAGTTGTTCCGTAGAATTCTAGTTTTGATAAGACATGTGAGAATGACATGTACGTCCCTAAAACCTGTAAGATCAATTTTTAATTTGAAACAAATACAAGTAAATTAAAACGGATAAAATGATGTAATTCTAATACTAGAAACATTTATAGAGTATTGAGCAGAAAAAAAATAATACCAAACTGCAAAAGTTCATCAACTTCTTTTCACTCTCGTTTAAATCATTTTCTGAAAGATCATTTAATTCCTTGGATCCTCTATAAAAAAATTAACTTATTATATTAATGGAAAACGAGTTTATTTAAAATAATACGTACATCCATAGAAATTGAATTGTTTTGTCAACAATAGTATTACTCAAATCAACTCTGGTATTCTCATTGAGTTCATTCGTGTTGGGGCAATCAGAAATCAAAATAACTGTAGTACGTACGGATTCTCTGTTGAATGTTTAGAAAAATTTATCACTTGCGAAAAAGATTGACAGTAAAAAGGAATGAATAAATAATGATTATGAATAAAGTAACAAATTTACCCAGCTTGACGTTGTATTAATTCTACTGCTGCTCGCACTCCATCAATCCAATTGGTAAAAAAACAATCAGAAGCAGTAATTTCAAGAACTTTTTGAACCATATTAAAAGTTGGTATTTCTATTGCATGATAATCTTCTACATGTTCTAAATCTAATGCATTTACACCGAATTCCACACCTGTCAATACAATCCCAATTTCATCTTTAGGTCGGTTAAAAATCTGCAATTAATTTATTCACGTCAGTAAATCTCGAGTAAAATTTAATTCGTACAATTTCCTTTAACCCGCTTGTATACCTTTTTTTCAATAATATATTTCATAATCATCTTTGATTTCAGAACAAATTGCTCATCAACCTTTATATTATTATAAACTCCTACGTTTGTTACGAAAACAACTGTCTCCTGTAAAAGTTTGGTTTTAAATGATTCATTTATTAATAAATGCTTGAATTTAAAGGTAGAAAAAAATTTTTTAAACATTTATTATCATTATTTAATCCTCAACAATTGAAATTATTATTTACCTTGTCATTTCTTGGAGCCATTCTCATTTGTAAATATTTATTGTTGACAATTATAACCTCAAAAGCATAAAAAATAAATTTTTTTTAGTTTGAACATGAATTAATGTATAACAAAAAATGATTACATATAATTCAATTAGTAGTTTAAGAGTTACTGTCGATTCATACTTATTCCTAAACAAAACTTTATATCTATACAAATATTTGAAAGATGTTTCTGTATTTTACTTACCGGTTAGAATCTTAAATTTTTTTAGTATGATGGTATACGTGTGTATCCATAAAAAAAATTGAATAACGCAGTATATTTTGTATAACATAAAAAACTAAAAAAATAATTATTATTATTGTTTAAACATAATATTAAAAAAAAAAGTAATTTCCTATTATCGTTAATGTTTATTTTTGTTTGTAGTACTAGTTAATAAATCATCAGCTGTAATTTACATTTCAAAAATGCCACATTTAAATTTTAGACGACTTAATGGCTGTTGATAAAACTGATGTTAAATGATAAAATACCAACTGGATTATTTTTCTGAGAATATTCAATTGACCGAAGAGATTGGAGATGATAGCGCCAGAGTTAGCAACCATTAGCTATGATCATACAGCCAACCCGAAGGCTCTGAGGAAGAGGTTGATTGGAGTTTATTGTTAAAACAGTCGATGATCTTTTGGTGAGTTTTGATAATTTCTATATACAATGAAGATCATCTATCACTAAAAATAAAAACAATTAAATCATTACTTTTGAGATATTACTGTAGTGATTGATTGATTCATGTAATTTTTCTATCTCTTATTTGCTAATACCATAACGATAACATGCTATTCTTCTAGCCGACTCTTTAACTGTAGCGGTATACGAATTTTTATTGACAATATTCTATTTCTCATCAAGACATGTCACGTAGGCATAATTATTTATTAATAAACATACATTCAAAATCGTCTATCAACTTGAACTTATTATACATTACTTAGGTGACATTGACTCACTATATTTTAATTACAAAAACTTATGACAATTTTCTATTTTTCAGGTGGCAAATTATTCATTTAGATAGCTAGCTGAAGGTATGGGTAGTAATAGCATTGGTCCAGCTGAAATTTTTCAATTACTTGAATCAAATGAATCTAGTGATGTTGAAGAAACAAAAAAAATTTTTCATGATCAATTTTCATTAAGTAAGTGACGAATATTCTTATTATCAATACATACTACCATACATATTTAAATATTATAAGCAGTGTTTTACTATTTAATCTTTTAGATATTAGCAGTATGTTATTTTTTGTTTACAGCCAAAGACAGTTGTCTCGTTAATGGATTATTTGATTATTTTCTTTCAACAAATTCTATTCGAGCAATTGAAGTTCTCTCCAGTGTACGAGACCCTCACGATAAACATCTTTTAGATCGATTATCAGAAACTCTAACAAAACCTTCCAGTAATAATCAACGTGTTCAGGCATTAACCGTCTTAGGACACATAGCTCGTCGACAACCAACATGGATTTACAAGTTGACTAATCATCCACTGTTTAAGGAACTACTAAAATTATTAAAACAGGAATCTGATGCCTTATCAATAATCAGTGCATTATTATTACTGATAATATTAATTCCAATGCTTCCAGCAGCAATTGGTCCTTATCTTAATGAAATTTTTGACATTTTTATCCATCTGGCTTCATCCTACCATATTCAATCAAACAATGTTTTCACAAACCATTCTAATTTATCTGGAAAAGATCAATTCTATCTTCTACATCTGCAACTTGGACTCTATCACCTTTTTCAGAGACTTTGGCCAATGTATCCTTGCAGTCTTTTTTCATATTTACAAACAAAGTATTCAGCAAAAGATAATGATGCTACTTACAAGTATATTATCAAACCAATGCTTGATTCAGTCAGAATGCATCCTTCACTTATCACTGCTTCTAAAGATACTGAAACAAATGCTGCTAGATGGAAAAAAATGGAACATCATGATGTCGTTGCTGAATGTGAATCTTTTGCTTTAAATAGGAGTCGAGAAGAGGCCTATGTATCAAATAACTTACGAGCTACTCCACTTCTAGATCGTCAGTGTCTCTCGACTCCTGTTAATATTACTGAAGGATTATTGGGTTCTGTAACTAATAATGATAAAGATGAAGATACCTTTTGGTCTCCAAGTATGAGCATACCTCCTCAGAGCCCTAAAACTTTACAGACTAGCCATGAACCAAGATCTACACCGTCTACCCCTAATAATAATAGTAGAAGCAATTCTTCTCCACCTGAAGCTGCTATTGAAGCTACACCTGAAACTACACCAGTTAAAGTAATTTATTTATACATTTATTAACTAAGAAAGAAAGTTTTTAAATTATATAATTTGTTAAATGAATAATGAGTTACATAATTTTAATAATAAATATAATCTTTTTTTTTTTAATGTAGGAATTAAGACAGGCGTCAAGGCATACACCAATAAGCTCTGCAGTCCGAGCTCTTGGTAGTTTTGGCAATGGTGTTTTATCAAATAACTCTCGTCCTTCAACGCCTATTAGTAATAATATTAATGCATCAGCATTTGTTGCCATAACCAATACTGAGAGTAGAATTTTTTCTCAAAAAATGGATAGAATTTTTGCTGATAGACACTCCATTGTACAGGCTCATGCGATAAGTCTTGAATGTGTTGATAAAGTGGGCGATCAAAATACAAATCAAAATGGAAAAAATGATTCTTGGAATGAAGATCAAGAGGTAAATATTGTTTGGACTTTTTTCCATTAATTTAATGATATTTTATATTTCATTGATTATTTTATAGGTTTCCGAAATCGTCAGCTCGCACAAAATTCGTATAAATAATACAGAAAGACTTGAACATCATCAAGAATGTAGACAAGGATCACAGAAGAATTTATTTAATGAATTTAAAAGGCTCAACATTGATTGTAATAGGCAACAATCAGTTCCTTCAACCCCATCTTCATTAAATAATCAAAAAGTAAGAATGATTTAATTTGACATTATAATTTTTAAAGTAAGGGAGTGACTATAATTATTCATTTACTTGCAATAGGCCCAATCATCCGAATCATGTTCAGACTTGAAGCCAAGTAACGAAGTGTGCACACAAACAACGGACCTTATTCCGTATGAACATTTATTAAATGAAGTTTTAGAACCGAAAACTAAAGAACAGCAAATAACAAAAATAAATTCTGATTCGCGTTTGTCACCAACTTTAATGTTAGACCGTTATATTGAAGCTTGTGCGCGAGTCAGCTCGAATGATTCATCAGAGAAGAAAATGAAATTTAAGAAAAAGGGTCCAGACGAGGATGACAATGATAATCTAACAGAAGAAGGTTTAAGCGAGCTAGAGTGTATAAACCAACATCTGCAATTAATGCAAATGCAATTGTTTTTTGAAAGACAACGAAGAGAAGTTCATGCAGAACGTAATAGAAGACTTTTAGGGAAATTAAGAAATTCAAGAGCTCTTGAAGAACAAAATAATGCTTTAACTGATCGACTACGAATGACGGAATCTGAAGTGATAGCTCTAAAAAATGAAATAGAACAAAACAATCAAGAGAGTAAAATACTTGAAGAAAAATCTAAAGAAACTATAGAACTTTGGCAAACTAAATACCGAGAAGAGCAACAAGCTCATCGAATTTTAAAAGAACAAGTAAAACTATTAGAAATAGAGCTAAATAAAGAAAAAAAGAAAGTTTCCGAATGTGAGAAACAAACAAGAGAGGCTGAAGCAGCTTTATTTGATGCTGGTCATCAACTCAAAGATGCTTTAAAAGCTGCTAAACATGGCGAACGCCTAAAGAAAACATTAGAGAATATTCAAAAGAAATACCTTTTATTAGGAGAAACTCAAATAAAATGTTTACATAGACTTTCATCACCTGTATCAATGTCTCGACAGGAATCAGCATACATACAAAAAGCTTATGCTGAAGAAGTAGTGAATCTTCAAAGACAATTAGATTCACGTAAAGCTACGATAGATGGATTAAGAACACGATTAGTTGAATTAGAAAAACGTGAAACTGATATGGAGTCGCAATTGTTGGACCAACAACGTTTACTTCTTGAAGCACAGGAACGTAATGATGCAGAATTACGAGCAGTTGAATCTAAATATAATACTCAAGTATCAATAAATCTGCATCTTGAGAATAGAATCCTGGAACTTCATGGTAAATTAGAAGCTGCAAATAGTAAATTGGGACTAAATACCGCTAATTTAACGTATTCTGAATCTCCGAATGAACGATCACCACCATTATCTAGTAGTTTGGCATCATCAAGTGGAAGAAATCTTTCTTTTCAATCAAATACAGGAATTATGAATGATTATAATGATTCAGCTGGTGAAATTTCGAATCTTCAAGCTATTGTGGAACCTTCAGTTTCCACTTTTAGTCAATCTACAACTCCTGTGCGGCGAAAATAAAGACTAATGCCATTTAATAACACCATTTCTTTAATATAACATTAAAAAATTATATAAATAGATAAACCAATTATTACAATTATTCTAAGAAATTAAACGAATGAACTTGTCAAGGCCTTTTGTGTCTTACAATTTTTATCACCAACAGACACGAGAGAGTAATAAAAAAAAAAGTTGATAAATATATAGAAAAAAAAAAATTAAAGAAAATTTTTAGAGTATCAAAGAACGTCCTGATCGCCTTATTAAAACTAAACGTTTTTAAATGCGTCTGAGAAAATCATGAATCATCAGATTGTAATCATAAACAATAAAAAAATCTAAAAAAAAAATATATAACAAACTGTTATTTAGTTGACTCGAATTAATTGATTGTTAAATCTTTTTATCCTCATTTAAAAAAAAAAAATTGTCGATAGTATATTGATTAATTTTATAACTTATAACTTTTGCAATTTAATGAATTATTACTTGGACAAAATTTTTGAGTTAATTATTTTAAATGACGGTATTTAAATATAAATTGAATAATCATTCGGCAACCTTTTGTAAAATGCATAACCAAAGTTGTAAAAAATTAGTCTGAAATACAAATTTTTTTATATATTCAATTAGAATAAATGTATTGTTTATGGTAACTCAAAGAATTTCAGTGATACGATTGTACAACTCAAATTAAAAAAAAAAAAAGAAACATATAAAATAAAGAAAATAAACTTTTTACGTAATTATAATATTATAAATAATTATTTAATAAATAATCAAAATTCTTATAAACTGAATTAATCTAAAAAGAGATATTTTTATCGCAAAAGTATTACTTTGTTTGAAAACATGATAACAGACTTGATAATGAAATAGTTAATAATAATTAAACAGATCAAAATCATAGTAACTTAATATTAATATCAAACTTTGACTTTTGATTAATATGATCATTTTTGTTTATTAAATTACGTTTATAAAATAATATGTCAACGAAAATAAAACTTTAATTCAATCGAATATTTTACTAAAATTACTACGTTAATATCCAAAATGAATTGAATTATTTCCTTTTACCAAGATGAGTCATTGATATTTATTTTAAATGAAACCCCGAAAGCTAATTCTAATTTTTTTAAATTCATTTTTGTTGATTATTAATTAATTTGCTGTTATCTATTAATAAAATTACATTTCATTCACACTTATATTTATATGTCGCTATATAAAGACTTATAAAAAGTAAAAGAAGGAAAATTATGTACAAAAGGTTTATTCTTTTATTCAAATCTTACGATAAATTAATGAAACATTTAGTAAAAAATTATTTTCTTATTACTTACTAAATTTCCAATGAATTCATGACATTTTTCTTGATTACTTTTATAAAGTTGTAGAAAACTCAATAGTTTAATTTTGAATCCATTCTTTTTAAATTTAAATGTTGATCCTCTATTAAATTTATTGAATAAATATTCAATAAATTCACTATTAATAACAAAAATAATCACATAATTATCATTCTTCCAATTATACGTGTAATGAAGACTAGAAGCTAAATTGTGCCCTTTTAAAAGATTCCAACTCCAGAAAATTAAATACTTCTATCTATTTTAGCTAGGAATCTAATTAATAAAAATATTTTAAAATCTTATTTTAATTTTAAAAGTAAAACCTTAGTATTATTTAATACGTTTGAAGTTCTTGGCTCATTGTCATAAGTATTGCTTCATTTGGAGTTGCATAGCTTGCCAAATCTGAAATCAAATTCATTTAAAATAGACATAACTTTAAAAAAGGAATTCTTAATAATACTGATAATAATATTATCGTAATTATCATTATTATATTTCTTAAAACGTAAATAATCACTATGATCGCAATAAAAAGTAATCTTAAATAAGATTTGTGAAATATTAATGGGATGATGGAGTGATAATAAAAATTATAGCTCAAATGATAAAAAAAAATATTTCGTTTATTATCTTATAATAAATAAATCAAATACTGATTATGAAAATACTACTAATAATACTAATTTTTCAAACTTGCTAGAAAAATATATTCCACCACTTACGACTATGACCTTGATGTAGTGGATAAGCTTTGGCTTGCCGTAATAATACTTGAAATATCCAATAAATACTCAACCAAACCAAAGCTCCAATTGAAAAAGTACGAAATGTTGCCTCTCCTCCATAAGTATCTATTAAGTAACCGCAGATTATGCTCCCTGTTGATACTCCTATAATCAGTATGAATTAATAATTAATATAAATTGAATAATAATAATTATTTATTTTAATAAAAGTTTACATACCAATGCCCTCGAAAACAGCTCCAACAAGTCCTTGCATTGTAGCACGAGTACCAGAAGGAGCGATTTTATCTCCATAGGCCACCATTGTGGGCCAAGAAAGTCCAAGGGTAGGTCCATGAAGAATTTCAACGCCAAGAAATAGCCAAGGATTTTTAATTAAACTATAAGCCATAAATCTTATTGCATAAATAATCAGTACTAAACTCATAACATTTAAATGTCCGAGTTTTTTAAGTATTTGGCCAGAAATGAAATTAAATGGTAATTCTCCAAGAAAACACTGGACTCCAGTCATTAATCCTTGAAGAGTTTTTAACCAATCTTTTTGATCTGCTGTAACTAATTCTTCAGTGTACCAAAATAAAAAATTCCAAACAACTCCAGTACACATTCCTGCTCCAATACACCAAAAAATAAAAACTAAAACACGACCTTCTCTTCCTAATGGTCCTAACTCCCAAAATACTGATAAATATTCTTCAAATTCATCTGCTGATTCCTAAAATAAAAATATTGGTTAAAAATTTCTTTTTAACAATTTATAACTAATAAAATATGAAAATTCAATTTACCCCGTTTAGTGTTAAAGAAACAATCATATCAAAAATCATGAAAATCAACATGATGTAAAAAATACAAGAATAGTTTTTATTTTCATCTCCTTGACTAAAAATATCTACTAGATATCCAGCGGCAATATTAAAAATTCCAAATCCAATACAACCCCACATTTTTTGTTTTCCATAATCTTTTTTTCGATCATCACTTAAAAGACCCATGCAAATGGCATCAGCAATAATCACAATAACTGCCATTCCAACCCAGCTTATCACTGCAGCCCATAAAAATAAATGAAATTGATATGTTGATGTTTGGCTTTCTTTACTGATATCAATTTCTTTTAAAAGCTTTTCCATTTGTTTTACTCCTGGACAGCTCATTGTACAAGTTGTGGCAAAAAGTTTTTCACATTTGGGTCGATAAGTTGTATTAGTGTTATCAAATATGGCATTTCTTACTCGAATATCTACACAGTTTTTCACCTGTAATAAGATGCTAATTTTAAATTTCAAAGAGGAAATTTAAATTCCTTATAATAATCATAGTTAAAAATTCTGTATCTGGTTTTCTTGATTCTACATTTAACGGATTAGCGTGCGCTTTACTTTCAAATCATCACTCATGTTGAATACTGCGGTGAAGTCAAACCTCGAGTCGTCCAAAATACTGGTGTTGGTGAATTTACAAAATTGAGACACTCCCCACTCATGACATAGTACATTATAGGATGATGTATTATGTTGTGATAAAACATCACACGAAATCTGTAATATAATTCAGCAATTACTACCAATAAAATTCGATATAAATTCTTATCTATTTGCTGTTATAAATATCCTAATTGATCATATCAATTTAATTGTCTAAATCATGAATTGCCATCTATCCAATTTAATATTAAATATCTTACACTTGCTTAATTATTCAAAATATTTTTTAGAATTTATTTATTGAAAAAAATATTGCTTTATTTATTTAAAAATTTTTTTTAATCAATAATTAAGTCTTAACTCACCTTACATTGAACGTTATTATTATTATCATTAATAACACCTCGTATAGATTCATCACTAAATGTTTTGGATGAACAAACTTCCAAAAAAGCTACTCCTTCACAAGTCAAATCGACTTTTCCAACTGGCTCATGTATTTCAGGAATAAAATAAATAGAAAAAAATGCAATAGTAAGAATCACTTCAAACGTGAGAAGAAGTGTTTTGTGTAATTTATATTTATCAGCGAGAATACCAAATAAAGGTTTCGCTATAAGTCCAGAAATAGGTAAAATCATATAAATTTTTCCAACAAGAAAGCTAGAAAATCCTAATTGCTTTGCAATTGTTGGTAAAAATGGTACTATTGGTGCAATGCCTAAAAATAATTTACAATTTTATTATAAAAATCATTAAGTTAACAATGTTTGAATTGATTTTTAATTTATAACATTTAATTTTAAAGTATTTACCTGCATTATATAAAAAATAATGAGCCTTCATAGGCAGTAATTTGGAATTGAATCTTTGTGACATTTTTGTAGAAAGTGTTAGTCTTTACTTATTTCAATAAAATTGCTTTCCTATAATAATAAGAAAAAATTTTTTAGTTAAATTGTTTATAAAAAATGATATTTATTAAATAAGAAAGTTTTAACCTTTGATCCGCGATGAAACGTGGTTAAATTTGGATTCGATTGAAATGATGAATTCTGTTACCATAAATTGTAAAAGGATAATTTCACTAAATAATAGTTAATTTTATTATTGATTTTATCATTTCTTATCAATGTTTACGCCCACTATAAAAACGAAAAAAAAAAAAAATTAATAATTTACAACTCACTGATTATTTTACTTTTTTATAATTACTTTGATCTTTATTACGATTGATTAAAAAAACTATTGTAAAAATTTAAAAATTGTATTTATCACAATTTTTTGTTTAATTTATTGCAATAGTTATTGAGTTTGATGGAAAAAATAGAAATACAGCCATAATTTGAAATAATAATATAAGGTTAAGTTTGAATAATTTTAACAAGTGCTCTTCTGATGGCTGCTAAAAGCACACTGCAAGAATTTGTATATCATATTACGTGTGTGTATGGAAGAAATTGAACTCAACTACTAAGTGGGGAGTTAGAAAGATGAACAGAAGCTTATCAATATATACGTTAATAATTTTAATTGGTTTCAACCCTTTTTTATGACCAATAAAAAAAAAAATAACCACTTATAATGAGATCTGAATATTTTTCACTTATTCCTCGCATATTAGTTGTTTACTCATGTTTAAAGTGAGGAAATTGGATAAAATAGTTCAAATTAAACTTTTTTAAATAGTAAAAAAATATAAATATTATATTGACTAATAATTTTTATAATAATTAACCAAAAAAGTTTTATCTAGTTATTTATGGAGTAAGTAATGAAAGTACGTTTAGTAAAAAGTAAATAAAATATTCCATCAATTTAGTAACAAACAAGCTTTTAATTTTTATGATATAGTATACATTCTATCTAGTTTTTAAATAATATTTTAAATAAATCATTAATTTAGGTGGGATAATATGTAAATATTTTTTTTTTACTTTTAACTTGTACACACTTTTTATCCTCATTTAAAATCATTCATTCATTATTTTTAAATTTATCATTTAATTTATTGTTTTTTTGATAATAATATTCAATTTTAATTGATGCGAAGAATCATGTATGTATTATTTAGTTTATTAAATTTTTTCTCGAGATTTTGTTTTTCATAAAAGTGACATAAAGGATATGTATATTATTTACAAAAGTATCATTGTAATAATTATAATCTAGAAGAATAACAGAAAATGAAAAATTAATTCTATGATGCACTTAGTTTCAATAATATTATATAATAACTATTAAACGCATCAAATTTCTATATCTTTCTACACATCATATACATTTTTGTTCCTTTTTCTTAAAGATAAACCAATAGATTTGATGTATTACAACACGACTTACATTATACAACACTTAAACGTTCATTCAAAATTAGCATTGTATTCAGCATAATACGTTTTTTCATATAATAATAATAATTCCTACATTTATTTTATTCCTCTTCATCTTATTTTTTTCTGGTACACATAAAATGAAAAACATTTTGATTTACATTTGGAGTCTTCTATTTTATGTACATTTACTACATAATAATTACTATTTTTAGAGATAATTTTTATCATAATGCATAATCAATAATTAATAATATTAATAAGAATATTCTTTTCTGATAAAATTTATAAAATTCTAATTCAATTGCCTATAGGCTTAGTCATACTTTTCAATGATCACATGAAAGAATGCAATTGATCATAACAATGAAAAATGGTTATAACAAATAAAATTTATCATATATTTTTCTTTCTTTTTTTTTTATATATATATAATAAATGCATACAGAAAACTTTGTAATCATTGAAGTGTATTAAAAAAACAAAAATATTATTAGTATGTGATACTTCAAGAAGTAAAGAAAGATACAAAAAATGATCGACAACTTACGTGTGACAATATGCATTGTTAGAGAGCCCGTTTGATATTTTTCTTTCTATTTTTTTTTCTTTGTATAAAAAATATTACGAGAAGTAAAATAACAATACTGTCACCTTCAGTAATAAACCTGTCGTCTTGTAATATTACTTAAATAAAAATCAATAATTTAATCATTAGTAGACAAATAAATGAACTTAATATTACAATTAATTTCTTGGCTTTGAATACTAAAGCCATGATGGTCTATGATGATGTGAAGGTGGTTGGAGAGCATATAGGGAATGTAAATATTGTTGATAAGCAGCTGGATCAACACCAAGATTAGGACCATGAGGAGGGACATAAGAAACAGGTGGTGGTCCATAAGGTGCTGATCTCTGAGTAGAATGAAGAAACGGGTGAGGATAGTTTCTAGGTTGATTGTTCAATTTGTTAGCTTGTTGTGCTGACTCTGTCATAGGTGTTGATTGTTGTTGTTGTTGCTGTTGTTGCTGCTGCTGTTGCCTCAAAATAGTGTAATAGCTAGGATTTCTAAATTCATCTAAGAATGCAAATGCAGCTGCAGCTGCTGAAGCATCTTTATCATAGAATGGAGAGCTATTCGTTGGACCAGGAGGAGTAAAATTGAATGCACTAGAAACTGGTGGAACTACTGAAGATGCATTTTTTAAACCAACAACATCGGCAGGATTTGTTGGGTATTGAGAAAAGGATGGCAAAGATTGATCAAGTGCTGAAGCAACAGGCGTTGATTGTGCTTGAGCAGCTTTCTTTCTACTTTTCTTCACTTTTGGAGCTTGTACAGATGATATCGAAGATTCTCGCCGCGGTGACTGCATCGTAGATATAGATTTCGTACTTTGCATACTTTGGAGAAGATTCAAATCATAATCTGAAGCACCCGGAGCACGAGAATAAACTAGAGGATCTTTACTAGATGGTCTAGGAATTGATAATAATTGTTGTTGATCTTTAGAACTTCGACCGACAAGTCCTAAACTTAATCTAGCGTAGGCTGGATTTCCAGCTACAGAGTCTGCTAATGGACCAAAACTTTCGTATTGTCCAGGAACTATTGAAGATTCAGATGATGTTGTTAATGTCATCATCTGATCATAACTAAATTGCTCTTGTCCTGATCGTGATTCTGAAGTAATACAATTCCTATCACTTGGTTCGTTGTACATTCGTTTTTTAACTGGAGGTAATGTTGATGAAACTGACGTTGGTGGTGCTGGTTTAGTGCTTGTATCGTAGTAATGAGAACCTGGATAAACTTGCCTACATGTAGTGTTAGGTAACGAATACGGTGGTGCCTGAAATCCTGATGATGATTGATAAATTGACTCATGTGTAGGTAAATTTTGCTGAAACGCAAGTAATTGTGGTTGATCTTGATGCTGAGAATATTTTAAACTTTGAGAAGGATCAAAGACACGTTCTTGTGGTTGTTGAGATTCCTGAGTACTCGAAGCAGGTCTTTGCGGATCCGAAACCGAAGGACCAGATACTCGATCATTAACTGAATAATTACTAGATGGATATAATGGTGTAAATTGATTAGGTTGATGATAAACTTGATGATTACTATTAAGTCCAAGAGGTGTATCGATATTTTGAATTTTTTCCTCTGGTTTAAAATATTCTGGTGCTCGTCTTTCAGTTTCAGAAATACTTCCAGTTGGTGGAACGTAAGGATTATGATTTGACTTTATTCCTTGTGGATATGTTGGTGTTGTCGAATGATATTCTTCACTCGGTTTTTCTGGTGGTGTATAAATCTGAGTAGTTTGTCTTGGAGATGGTTGAGAATATGCAGCAGACTGTCTTGACTCTTGTTGTAAATTAGTTGAAGCAACTTGAGAACTTGGTTGAGAATAATTTCTTGGCGGCTGCGGTGATAATGGAGTTGGATATGATGTAGCTGATGTTGTAGATTGTTGAGGTGAATGTTGCGAATAATTCGAAGGCGTTTGCGGCGAGGGTTGCGAATAATTGTGACTTTGAGGAGATGGTTGAGAATAAATAGGCATCGGTTGAGGTGAAGGTTGAGTATAAGTCTTGGAAGGTTGAGGTGATGGTTGAGTATAAGTCTTGGGAGGTTGAGGTGATGGTTGAGTATAAGTCTTGGGAGGTTGAGGTGATGGTTGAGAGAAATTATGAGATTGAGGTGAAGGTTGAGAATAATTTGGAAGTGGTTGTGGTGATGGCTGAGAATAGTTAGCAGAAGGTTGACTCGAAGATGATTGATTAAATTGAGAAGAAGGTTGTGTATATGATGATGTCGCTTGAGGAGAAACTTGGGAATAATTTGGTGGAGGTTTTGGAGAAGGTTGAGAATATGGAGCAGTTTGTTGTTGAGGAGATGGTTGAGAATAGTTTGCAGGTGGTTGTGGAGATGGTTGAGAATAATTAGCAGGTGGTTGTGGAGACGGTTGTGAATAGTTTGCAGGTGGTTGTGGAGATGGTTGATGAGAATATGGAGAATGTTGTTGTTGTGGTTGAGGAGAAGGTTGTGAATAATTAGATGAAGTTTGTTGAGGTGAAGGTTGTGAGTAATGTGCAACAGCTGGTTGCTGTGGAGAAGTTTGAGAATAATTTGGTGTTGGTGGTTGTTGTGGAGAATGTTGTGAATAATTCGGAGGAGTAGGTTGAGGAGAGTTTTGGTAAACAGAGGCAGCCTGAGGAGAAGCTTGAGGATAAACAGGTGATGGTTTTGGACTATTTGATAATTGTTGAGAGTAAATATCACCCTGAGGAGAATTTTGAGGATAGTAATTAAAGGATTCACTTGAATTTTCAACACTTGGAGGCTTTTGATAAACTTGATGAGACGCCGCAGGATATAAAGGACTTTGTTCGTAAGCCGCAGAGGATGGATACGCTGGGGAAAGGGGATGATTTTGTGGGGACGGCGTTGGAGGAAGTTGCGCACTATATCTGGGAGGTGTAGTATAATATGGACTATTATAAGGACTACTTCCAACTGATAAAGCGTCTTGGTAAAACCCAGCACGAACTGGTTGTTCGATATTTGGTGTTGGAATTGTAGATTGTGTTTGTGGTGATCTAACACTCAGTCCTGGTGGTGATTCTTGAGAAAAACTTGACACAGACTCACTCACGCTACTTCCACCAGCACTGTGTCTTCTTTGTCTATGAGGTAATGTTTCTTGTGATTCTTCTTTTTTAATTTCTTCATCTTCTTCCTTTTTTTTAGATTTCGGCGCACCAAAAGCTTTAAACCAAGCACTTAAATTTGGTGTCGTTGACTTGGGCTTCTGAGACTCTTCCAAATCTTTAATATCGTTTGTGACTTCTATTTGAGTCTTTGGAGCCACAGCTTCTTGAGTTGATTCTTGTGATTTATCTTCTTTCAAAGAAACTGAAGAATTTAACACTGCTGATCGATCATCATCTTCATCTTCGTTTGACAAGTTAGTACCAGGTGAAGATACTAAAGACTTGCAGATGAGTTGTATAGAATCAGCATTTTTTAAAACGGAACCAAGACTCAATTTAGGTTCATCAGAAACATCACGAGATTGACTGACATCTGAAGTCTCTTTAACTGAACTGTCAGAAGTATTTCCATTACTTCCTAGAGGTTTTTTGAGTAAAAGATTTCCTTTACTTTTACCAGGTTGTAACCGATCTATAGTTCTTTGGACTTTTTTTGGTTTTGGCGGACCATGAGGACCAAAAAATTTCATTATACTTGGACGTTTTCTCAGTGGATCAGGAGCCTTAGGTCCTGATCGTTGTTGATCATTTGTTAAAACGGGCAATGGTGGGACATCCTTAGAGTTAAACTCTGAAACTGGTGGAGTATCATCAAGCCACTTATTAATATCATTCAAAGTTTGTGCTGTTGCCTGATTTAATGCTTGAATTACAGGACTTTCAACTTTTCCTTTGTGCTTTGTTGGTTTATTCTTGGTCTCCACAACCTGTTGATCCTTTTCAGTACTTATCTTTTTATCTTTTCCTACTTTTTTCATTTTTGTTCGTTTTATATTAACCTTATCACTGTCGTGAAAGGTATTACCGTTAGAAGGCACTTTTTTCTTATGAAGCTCACTCTTGGAAGTCTTTTTTAATTTATCTCTTTCTAATTTTAACTTCTCTTCACGCCTACTGCGTTCACTTATTCGATCTTTTAAACTGTCTAGCGATTCAAGATCCTTATTAGTTAATAAAGAATCAAATTTAATTGTAGTTTCATCTTTCCTACGATCTTTTTTGTAATCATTATTAACTTTACCATTTTTTGTAAGCTCATTATTAATCTTTTTATTTTTGGATTTTTTATCTTTGATCCCAGAAGAATCTTTCTCTTCAATTTTATCATCCAATCTTTTAGTTTTTGTATCATTTTTGTCTTTATTCCAACCTTTTTTATCTAGAGTATTTTGCTTCCTATTTTCTTCGATATCTGAATACCTGTCATTCTCATCTTCATCTATTTGCTTTTTCTGTTTACCCTTTTTTATTTTTTCTATAAGCGTAGCATTCTTCTCCGTACCTTTTCGTTCTATCCTTTTGCTTTTACTTTTAATAGTTTCCAAAGGCTCATGATACTCTTCAAAGTTTTCTTTCTTTTTTAAATTCTCTTTATGATCCTTTGAATTTTTTACAGAATTATCTTTTTGCCCTTTTTTACTACCACCTCCTTTTAATTTTACTTCTTCATCCTTCTCCTCTTCTTTGGCCGATAATTTTTTAACTTTCGGTAACAACTTCTCTACTTCTCCATATTTTTTTCGCTTAGACTTTATCACAGCACTTTCAGATATTGCACCGTCTTCATGATTATCATCTTCATCGTCAATGTCATCATCTTCTTTTTCTCTCATGCTTTTTGTTCTTTTCTTCACTTTTCGAGGTCTTAAACTTTTATTTTCTTCTTCTTCTTCTTCATTTTCGTAATAATCACCATCAAAATCATCCTTTTCTTCGTCTTTGACTTTTGTTTTTTTTGTTTTTTTCTCATTTTTATTTGATTTAGATTTTTTATTTGATTTTTTGTTACGTTTCCTTAAACTATTTAATGTAGAACTTGGTGAAGTTCCACGTAATGGGTAAGGCGAGGAAGATATTGATGGCGATTTGGGTGCAGAAGGAGATTCATCACTTGAAGGTTCAGATTCAAGATAACGTTCAACAGCTCTGTCGAATGCTTCTTTTAAATTAACAGCCATTTCGGTATACTCATTATCAGAACCATTATACTGTCTACAATTATCAACAATCAATCTAAAGTCTCTTCTAAATTGATGAAGATTTTTATAAGATCCACCTTCAAGTTTTTCCTCCATCTTACGAAGATCCATTGGCTTTCGTACAACACTATAATACCTAGGCGCATATTCCTCATCTACAGGATCTATAAATGGCCAGGCATCTTCATGATCTTTTAAACTTTCAAGCACTTTATGCATTCCTATCCGCCGTTCTTCCTCTTCTATGCCAAATGTATAAGGATAACCTGAAGACACATAACTGGCACCATGCTTACCAACTTTTTTATTTGCTACTTTATCAACTTCATCTCCAGTATGGATGACTATTTGTCCAACAGCTGAAGCAAGTGAATTATTCGTTTGACGGCCTTTTTTCTGTGGAGGTAATATCAATGGCGGTGTCGCTTCATCTTCACTTTCACCAGCTTTTGAACTTTGTCCACTTTTCTTGGTACTTTTGCCAATTTTAGACTTCATTTTAGCACGAACCATTATTGTTTCTTCAAGAGGTTTTAACTCTGGACTATGAAGTACTCGTGAATTATTACGTTGAAGTAGTCGACGACGTTGCTGTATCTCCTTGAGTTCAAAGAGTTTTGGAATCTCTGGTAGAAAGTCCTCAGCTAATGTATGGAAAAGCTTTCTCTCAGGCTCGTATTCCTGCAGAAATGATATTTCTATATTATAAATGTATCGTTTTCGTATTCTCCTTTATTTTGATGATGTCTAATTCTCACCGAATCTCGAAATTTGTCAACAAGACGGGTCCAATCCTGTTGAGTAAAACAGATAACTTGCCAAACAGTTTCCCGTGATTTCTCTGCACCCAAATCACAAGCTAAACTATCTTCTTCTTTCTCCTCTTCTTCTTCTTCTTTCTCCACCTTGTACACCTCCGACCTGCACTGTCGTCGTTTTCGTTTTCTATCACGCGGTCTACCTTTTTGTTTCTGTGCAATCGTACCGTCCTCACTTTCAACGTAATCCTCTCTGTAGAGTCTAGTCCCGTAGAAATACCAATAAGCAGAATTCTTACGGTCATGACCCAATGGTTCAACTCTAAGACTGTCCGAGTCTAAATTACTCAGCGCACACTCCTAAAGAGTTATTTCTACATTAATTTTTCAGTTCAACCATTTTACTTTTTTCACGAGTTGATTTTTAATTACATACCACGTCCTCGGCGTCTAGCCTAAAGTCGCAGAGCGCGCGCAATATTTCAACTTTCTGTCGTAGTGGCAGAAGTTCGAAATCTACATCGGTATTGAATGGATTTTCGCATTTATATTCCTAAAAGAAAATATTCATAAATTAATTGACCATCTAAGTTAAATTATACACACACAAACTACCTTTATAAATAATTACCTGACATTTCTTTCGAAAAAGTCGACGTAAAAACATCTGATAGTTGAAAGTAGATATATCATTGCGGCTATCATGGGGCAGGCAGCCCACCAGAAGTCTAACAATTAATTCTTGAAGAAGACGTCCTTCAGAACCACCGTCAGTTAAAAGAGCTTCCTCAAGATCCTGAAATATATTTAAACAATAACACATTTGCTTATCTAATAACAATAACAAAATAATGTAAGTGTAAATTTTGCAGCGTGTTGATTCATATAAGCCGGGTTGAATGGACAAAAAGCAAAGGGTACTGCTCTAAAAAGTGATAAAGATTAAAAATGCAGTGTTTTTCATTTGCCAAGTTGAGCTTGTTAGCATTTAGAGTTAGATACCTCGATATCAAAGTCCAGAAGATTGAAGGCAGCCCTAAATAATGAGCAGAAGTGTGCTATACTCGGCACCTCCCACCACGATTGTATGTCTAGAAGAATTCAAGGTTGGACCGTTGATAAAAAATGTTTATATCCCTTCATTATAAATCCCACCCTTATCAATGAAATATAATTAATGTGCTTAATTCTCTTTGACAATACATAACAATAAATTATACAACAAAAACTATCAAAATAACTATCCTATGCTGAAAAATGAAATTACAAATCATTTGAAGACAGATATTTGAAAATTAGATAAAAAATATCAATACTGGTCATTATCTTACCTAGAATCCCGATGAAAGTGGGAAACATAACCACCCGTCCTGTGGCGGGTAATAGAATTTACTAGCTCTCTAGCTTTCCTTATATGCTCTCAATAACCATCAAATAAACTTTGTAGACTTTCATTAGTTACTTTTAATATTATACTTTTTTTTTAGATTTAAAATTGTCCAAGGCAATTTGGTTTCAGATGAATAAAAACTTCAGACTCAACAAATAGCCAATCCAGGATGTTAAAAACCCAGCTGCGACGGTTTGACATCGCCCTAAACACGACGAGTCTCATAAAGTTTATTCACTTGCTGTCATGCTAAGATGTATCTCAAGATATTAATCATCTCATTGCAATAATTATTATTTGAGAATTGGTCTAAACAGTATTTTTTTTTCTCTCTACACTTGCTGGCGCAATCACTTTCTGCTTAGACTTTTTTTTCGTCACAATGGTGGTGGGTTTGTGTATACAGGATGCGCGCGTCTATTTCATTCGCGTCGAATGAAAGCTTTCGTGAGTCAAAACATCACCTGAATCGAATAATCAAAGACGACACCCTACACTTTGGATTCGGTGAGCATCTTCTTTTAGGCTAAAGGTTAACTTGATTGATGTTCACAGCAACGACGAACTGATTCCCAGATACTCGGCAAAACTCGCGGGAACACTCTCTCTTTCTTTTCTGTTGTTTCTTACTCTTTCTCACTTAAAACGTGTTATGTATGAACATGGTAACACAAAATAAGTGCTCTCAAATGTAAAGGCTACAGAAAGTGTAGGCGTGCATTCATTTAACAATATTATGTGGATTTTATCTATAACGTTCCATAGATACTATTATGTGCGCATGCATAGATATCTTATCTTGCTCTGTAGTTAAAATAGGCCAAAAAGTGAGGTTATTTTATATTTTATAACATTTTAACTGATTTACTTGATATAATTGTCACTTGTGTCAAGTAAAATAATAATTTTAATTAATTGGTATTATTTTTCTAATAAAAATAATTTATTTATTCATTATTATTTAAAAATACGGCGCATAGATAACAAAAATAAACGATCAAATACTAGATGAAATTGTCACCATTTTTATCGACTACAGATGAAAATATGTGGCCATAAGATAATTACCGTGTGAATTTCTAGTTTATCGACATTGCTATATTTACTGTTGAATGAAAACTACAATTTAGACGCAACCATAAGAGGCGCTAATGTATGACAACCATTTTTTCAACAGTCGAATTTTTTTCTAACCTCGAAATTATTATGCACTTGATTGTTGACGTTGGTAATATCAAGATATTGCTATGATGGTAGAGATGCAAATGTTTAATTAAAGTTTTGTTAATGAAAGAGTAGTTTAAATAAATAATTGTACATAGTTTCTATTAATTTAAAATATAAATAATCCTAATTTGTACATTTTTTTGATACTAAAAACATCAAAATGAGTGGAGATACGCAAATTTCTGCAATAGTTAACGATATTTTAGTAAGTGGCTTATTATTTTTATTTAATCATATCACTTTACAATAAATAACAGCTTTAGTGTCTCAATTAAAACATTTATTTAACCTAAATTATTAACATTTAATTACATATTTATTAAATAATATTTTTAGAGAGTAGAAGCCATTGAAGAGGCATTCAGTTGTGTATTAATGCACAATTTTGGAAATGACATTGAAAAAATTAAAGGATGGCAAGCAGATTTAAATGTAGCCATGTCAAAGCTACCACCAGATCAGCAAGAAATAGCAGTGAAGCAATTTCTGATTCGAGCGGCTGGTATGACTAACCATAAGCGATTGCAGTTATTGCTTGGACTTCTAGAATCACTTGTTACTGGAAACGTTCTACCAGCAAGGTAATTACTAAAACTTTAATTTTATTTAAAAAATTCTTCTCTATAATAAATAATTATACTTATCTGGTTATTTTGATCTATAACAGAATGGTTTCTGAATCAATCTTAAACTGCGAAAAATTGGTATATGAACTCCAAGACTTCTGGGTAGAATGCTTTACGTTGATTAGAAAAATAATCAGCGGAGTAGATTACAAAGGAGTTCGTGAGATAATGAAAAGCTGCATAGAAAAAGCTCAGACAATTCCTGCTAAATTAAACGCTTCAGTTCAACCACAATTAAAGGCTCTGGAGAATGTATTTGAAACAATATTTAACAGAAATGCTTGTCTTCTTCCAAGCTATTTTATCGTCACAGAAATTCAAAAAGTCTACCCAGAAAATAAAAATTGGCCTCATTGGAAATTATCTAATCTCATGTCGAATTTTGTGGAAAGCTTTCGACCAGTCGCTCAAATGGTTTCTATTATTGGTCATTCCAAGATGCTTCCAGTAGTAGAACATACAGGATATGCTGATCATTTAATTAATCCTTGGCTACTAGATCCATCCACTCTAAAATTCTCTTTAAAAGGTAATTTACCTTACGATGCTGAATTATTAAAACCTCAAACAGAGTTACTCCGTTATGTTTTGGAGCAGCCCTACAGTCGTGACATGGTATGTTCGATGCTTGGGCTCCAAAAACAAAATAAAATACGTTGTGTAGCTTTAGAAGAACAGATGGTGGAGTTGGTCATTTCTGCTATGGAAAGATCTGAAAATGATTCATCACAATCCGGTGAAGGGATTGATGGAAGTGTTGCGAATCATTGGGTATGGTTACATTTATCTTCTCAACTAATTTATTTTATTCTTTTCCAATACGCCTGTTTTCCAAGCATTGTAATAGCCATCACTGAGAAACTTGCAACAAGAGATCTAAGAAAAGGAAGAGATCATTTAATGTGGGTATTGCTTCAATTTATTTCTGGAAGTATTCAACGTAATCCATTGGCAAATTTCTTGCCTGTATTGAAACTGTACGATTTGTTGTATCCAGAAAAAGAACCATTGCCTCTTCCTGATTGTAATCAAGCTCTATGCACTCACCAAATGGCTATTACTTGTATCTGGATTCATTTATTAAGGAAGGCACAATCAGAGCATGCCAATATCCATCGACCGATTCCTAATGCTTTAAAAACTCAATATGAATTCCTTCAACATTTAGTGATGCCAAGTACTTCTCTTTGTATGGGAACAGACTATAGAATAGCACTTTTATGCAATGCTTATTCGACTTATCAGGAATATTTTAGTCGACCTATGGCTACACTTGTGGATACTGTACTAGGACCTCAGAAAAATCAAACACAACAAGCGTCATCAACGAATCTACAAAATTCATCAGTTTTAGCTACTGGACCAATCACTCCTTTATCAATGTCTGTTTTAGATTCATTAACAGTTCATGCAAAGATGAGTTTAATTCACAGCATTGTGACTCATGTGATCAAACTAGCACAATCCAAAAGTAATATGCCATTAACTCCTGCTTTAGTTGAAACTTACAGTAGATTATTAGTTTATACAGAGATTGAGAGTTTGGGAATTAAAGGATTTATAAGTCAACTTCTGCCTCAAGTATTCAAGTCTCATGCTTGGGGAACACTTTATACGCTTCTTGAAATGTTCAGCTACCGAATGCATCATATTCAACCACATTATAGAGTTCAAATATTATCACATCTACATAATTTAGCTGCAGTTCCACAGACAAATCAAACTCAACTTCATTTATGTGTTGAAAGTACAGCTTTGAGGATGATAACTGGATTGGGGTCATCTGAAGTTCAACCACATGTGTCTAGATTTTTGTCTGAACCAAAAACTTTGGTATCATCTGAATCTGAAGAACTCAATCGTGTCCTAGTTCTGACTCTTGCCAGGTCAATGCACGTCACAAGTACAGGAGCTGATTCTTTAAGTGGAACATGGTGTAAAGAACTATTGAATACAATAATGCAAAATACTCCTCATTCATGGACGAATCATACGCTTCAGTGTTTTCCACCAGTTCTCAGTGAGTTCTTTCAACAAAATTCCATTCCATGGGAGAATAAACAGCAGATCAAAAAAGCCGTTGAAGAAGAATATCGAAATTGGGCATCTATGAATAATGAAAATGACATAATAGCTCATTTCTCTGTTCCGGGTACACCACCGTTATTTTTATGTCTTCTTTGGAAGATGATTCTTGAAACAGATAGAATAACTCCAATCGCATACAAAATTTTAGAGAGAATTGGTGCAAGAGCTTTATCAGCGCATTTAAGAAAATTCTGTGATTATCTTGTGTTTGAATTTGCAAATAGTGTTGGAGGTGGATCTCATGTTAACAAGTGTGTTGATACTATTAGTCACATGATATGGAAGTATAACATTGTTACAATCGATAGACTAGTACTTTGCTTAGCTCTCAGAACTCAAGAGGGTAGTGAAGCTCAAGTTTGTTTCTTTATAATCCAACTGTTGCTGTTGAAAGCGGCGGAATTCCGCAACAGAGTTCAAGAATTTGTTAAAGAAAATTCTCCAGAGCATTGGAAGCAATTAAACTGGCATGAAAAACATCTAGCATTTCACCGAAAATATCCTGAGACTTTTGCTCCAGAAGGGATTATGGATCAAACGAGTGGTGGACCCACTCATTATCAAAGTTTACCGGTTTATTTTGGAAACGTTTGTCTTAGATTTTTACCAGTATTCGACATTGTTGTTCACCGATATTTGGAAATTCCTCAAGTTAGTAAGAGCTTAGAAATTCTCTTAGAACACTTGGGATGTCTTTATAAGTTTCACGATCGACCAGTTACCTATCTTTACAATACTCTTCACTACTATGAAACTACATTACGTGATCGTGCACCTCTAAAGCGCCGTCTTGTTGCAGCAGTTTTGGGATCTTTGAGAGAGATTCGACCTCCAGCTTGGGCTTTGACTGAACCTTTCCTTGTCTACATGAGTAGAACCGGAGATGAAGCAATTACTTGGGTTCCTGAACTTGATTATTATATTCGTTTAGTACGAAGAATGGTGGAAACAATGACGGGGGTACCGCATTTCCCATCAGTTGATTGGAGATTTAATGAATTTCCAAATCCTTCAGCTCATGTTTTGTATGTCACATGTGTGGAACTTATGGCGGTACCATTAGCACCAAATATCGTTGCTAATTGTCTGTTAGATGTTGTTGCCAAAGGATATACTGTAATACCTCCAAAAGAAATCCATCTTTGGATTAATTGTGTTGGATTACTAATGGCTGCATTACCTGAATGTTACTGGGCTGCTTTTTATGATCGACTGGTCGATACTATTAAGAGTCCTGGACTTGTCAAGTGGCAATATAATAATCTAACACCCTTCCAAATGTTTAATTTTGATACCACGCACAATTGTTTAATGGAAAATAAATATTCTTACATGCTAGCACTTGCTCATTCTATTTGGCATCATGCTGGCGTGGGACAAATTACTACAATGCCACAATTTATAAAAGGAAAACTTCAACCGGTTGTTAATAGTGAAGAACAATTAATTTTTGCTTGCCATTTAATTGGGCCTACTTTAGCTAGATTCAATGTCGAAAGACCTAGGTGTGTTGTAGAACTATCTGTTAGTTTATATGAAATGTTAGAACAAGTTGATCGAACTCAAAGTACTTTGAAATATATGGATCCAGTTTGTGATTTACTTTACCATATTAAGTACATGTTTGTTGGAGATATGATGAAAACTGATGTTGAGTGTATTATACGCAGACTAAGACCAGCTTTACAAATGAGACTTAGATTTATTGCTCACCTTAACATTGAAGAAATTCAATCTAGTTAACGTTTAGCTACATAGAATGATTCAATGATATTGTAAATTTTTACATAGGGTTGGTATTAATTGTAATACTTTTTCTACTGAATAGAAGCTACACATTTTTATATTTATAATTAATATTTTAAGGTATATATTAATTGAATACTGAATATGAAATTACTATGAATTATCTGTACGGAAAATGGAGTAAAATGTTTTCAAAAAATTTATTTATTAAAATTATACGTACATCATAACTACGTAATTAATTTTCTAATCATTATTATTTGATCCACATGGCTGAATCCATAAATATTCTTGGTAATAATTATTACATTATAATAAATTAATATTTTTTATTTATCCTTAATATGGCAGTTTTTTATTCAATCTCATCTTTCTCTTGATCACTTCCTTTGTCTATTGTGTCTATTCTTATTCGAGGTATTTCGGTTACTCTAGAGCAACAAAAATAAAATTAATAATTTTTAATATTATTAATAATCACAAACATACTTACTGATTATTTCGATTATTGCAAAATAAAAAATTCTGATGATCAATGTCACTGACATCTTTTGGCGAAAGTGAATCTTGGAGTAATGAATTTGGCTCAATGTCAGTCGCTTCATCCGGATCAGATGTTATAGAGCGAACTTCATCCACTGCATAACGACGTCTTTGATTTAATGCATTACCCACTGCTATACATTTCAGTAAAATTACAAAATTATTCAATAGACAATTAAATTTAAAATAATAAACTTTAGATAAATACTTTTTGCAACAGAATTATCTGTACTGCTGAAGCTTTTCATTGGAAATATTTTTTTCCATCTAGCAAATGGTCCAGTTTGTCCTTGGCTTTGTTTTTCAGCAATCTTAAACATCTTTCGTCTTTCCTCGGTTCTTTCATATCGTAATTGGATCTAAGGAGAACCAGATAATTTATTTAATTTCAAAAATCATCAAGACATTGCAAAGAATAGTAACTAATGATAACGTACTTTAAGATCATTATTTGCTTCTCTCAAAGAACTAGCCAGAGAAATCATGTAGTATATAATTAAAGCCATCAAAACAATCAAAGGAATAATGATTCCTGGAGATGCAATGTAATCAAGTGCTCTGTAAAACAAATAATATAATTATTGGTAATTAATTCATTATTAAGGAAGTAATAAAACGGTTTGTAGTTTGCTTTTACTTGTGAATTTTTTTTGGCAGCACATCCTTCAGACTCTGTGATGCAATATAATAAATTCTATAATATCCAGCAAAAGGTCCACAATGCCAAGAAGGTTCTACCCAAACAATGGCATAACCCACCGGCAAGACACACAAGAAGATCATGATAAGTAATAAAGCAAAATAGAAATTATTCGATCGTGAAGCTCTAAATACTATTTCATGTGGCACATTGCATGTCATGACTGCCCAGGATCTCAAGTACATCAGTATTCCTAGCTTAACAAGATTTAAAGCTATTAATCCAGGGCTAAAGAATAGACCCATCCATACCATTCCTTGGTTATTGACAAGATGTAAAATATTTTCTGCTATTTTGAAATCTCCATACTGAGGAAATTGCTTTTCAAGATCCCAACACCACCAAGGGTTCATATATCTTACGAAAAGAGCTCGAAAAAAATCTACTATGAGTGTTGCTATGATTGTTAAAATTAAATCCATCACTGTCAGTTTTGCTAACTCTTGACCAAACATTGTTTCCCAGCAGAGTCTTCGAAGTTTCCTTTTTGTTGTCATATTTAATGATGAAATAGCATCATGGCTAACTGTAAAAATTTTAATTTTATTCAATATTGAACTAGGATTTTAATTAAAAAAGATTATATAAAATTTATTACCTCTAGTATTTCGATATCTTTTAAATTCATGAGATTCCTCATTATCTTGATGAATATCACAAACTCTTGCGAAGCATTGAACAACATTCATTTTAATCTTTGGTTTTCTAGGCTTTCTTGGAGTTGTTGATGTGAATATTTGATTATCTGTAGTTAATTCTATACTTCCTCTGTCTTCAGGAGATTTGTTTTGATTTAATTCTTTGGTAAATAATATTTCTTCGGTGTCTGACCATCTAGAATACTTTTCACTCGTTGTAACTGTAGAACTTTCTACTGTATTTTTTCCTGCTACTGTTGATTCTTTATCTCCATAAGAGAAATCATCAGTATAGCTATCATAGTATTCAAAATTATTCTGAGGAATATTTCTCTCATTATAAACCTCCCACTTAACGTCATCATAAGGAACCAGTGTTTCTTCTTCTTCTTCTTCATCCAATGAAGTTTCAGAAACATTAAATAAATTTATTGCATTATAATCAAGATTATTATTCAAGTTTATCAGATGTTCATCAGGTGCATCACTTATTCGAGGTTCTAAACCATTTTTAAATACAATGGAATGATTTGTTGTCATGTTGGGCATCAACATTAAACTCATCGCAGCAATTGATAATGTTAATGCTGATGATTTTGGTGGTGTTTGAGTTGAGGATTGAAAAGATTTCGAAATAAGATTGGAAAATGATGGTTCAGTACATGGAACAGAGTATTTTTCACAATGTGAAACACTAAAGTTACTTGGAATAAAATTTTTTGGAATCTTAGGTTTAAGACTTTGTAATTCCACTTCCTGAAAATGAACAAATAAGTTAATATTTTTTTGCGAAGTGATGTTGGAAAAATTTACGTTATCAATCTTACCATGTGACTTATCTTGTCAAATAGAGCAAAAATTAATGAGTACAGATTCAATAAATTAAGCACCATAATTCTGTTGAACAATAATTGTAAATGAAAGACATTTTTATTTGCTTGATTGTTATTGGAAATAAATCATTCCTTACCTGGCAAGTTGTAGTCTCAGTTGTTTTCGTGGATGATAATTTTCAAGAAAGCCCAAAATTTCAAAAAAAATTGGAAAAATATATGAAATTAATGACATAACTATGGTAATTTCATTTTGCCTCCACCATCCACTATTGGCATCTATTTGAGTGCTCCTTAGAACTACTTCTACCACTGCATAGGCTGATAATACCAGAAGAGAAATGACTAATAAATTAACTAAAATTCTTACAGTCGTGATTTTCCAGCTGGAATAAAAATAAGTTCAATCATTTTAATACTCTCTTTTTAATAAATTTTATTTAGTGAATCGAATGAATCATCAAATACAAACTGTCCAAGTTTTTTTTCTTTTTCAGCTTCTTCCAACAAAGCTTCTTTGAAGCTTAAAATGTTACTTGAAACTCGGTTGGCAGCTGTCTCAGGATTCCCTATCATAAAATCCCACCCGGTAAATAATTTCCAAGAGAACACACATTCATCTTCCTTTTCTGATAGTTTACTCATTCGTGAATTTTTGGCCATTCTGAAATTGGTATATTTTTAATCAATAAACTATAAACAAAGCTTCAAAGAATATTTATATAATTAATGTTATTTACTTTTGTAGAATGGCAACAAAACTGTAGGTATAAACAACCAAATTAGCAAGAAAATAAGCAAGAGGTAATCGATACCCTCCGTTAGTTGGATCAGAATTCGTATACCAGCCATAAAAAAATGGAGAATGTTTAAGGATTCCTTCAAACTCCCACCAAGTTAAAAAATTCTTTGAGCTATCTACTTCCTCAGGGAATAATATTTTTCGATCTCCAGCTTTATCAATTTTGGCCGTAAGTACTTCAGGAATCACTACAAATGCTGTGAGCGTAAGAAATATAACAAAATTTATCCAAAATAACCAACGTAAAAATATGAAGTACGAAGCAACAGCAGAACCAAAATGAGACTCGATTTCTTTTATTCTAAGCTCCCATGGTATCATCCAGGTTTCTAAATTAATAATTTCTCGTTTACAACGTTGCATTGTCTATAAAAAAAAATACATAGTGTGTAAAATATTTTATTTCATTATTAGAAAGTTTATCTACTTTGGTTTAAAAAGAATTTACTTTACTAAAAAAAATTGATGCTCGTGCTAAAGCATCTCTTGTACTTTTTGTATGTGCAAGTCTTTCTTGAAGAGCACCTTCGTGTTTTCTGATGTACGATTTAGCTTGTCTGACTAATTTTATTTTCTTCTGCAGTGGCCAAGGTTGATATTTAACAGCACTCAATGCTTCTTTGTGGATCTTAAGCTTCTCGAAAATCAGCTCTTGAACCCCATTCTGTCCAATATTCTCATCCTCTTCACCATCCATTGATATTGCTGTACTAAATATTTTTCAGAATTACTATCAAAATTAAAAACAATGCTAAAAAACAAAAAATACTCACTCTCCAGATGATGTGGTAAATACTGAAGATCGTCTTCCAGGTGTATCAACATAATCATCATGAGCAAAAGATGATGATCGTAGTTTTTTTCTTTTACTCAGAGATCTTCGTAATGTCTTTTTATTCAGCATCACTGACACAGATGCTGAATAATCATCACTTTCCCCATTTATTGCTGGATGGGTTTGCCCGAGAGATAAAATTGTTGGTGAAATTGGCATTTCTTCTTGAACACACTCCTCATTTATAACTTTTTTCTCCGGCTCTTTTTGTACTTCTTCCGTGAGAATGAATTTTACTGAAGGCTTTTCGGTTGTTTCCTACATAATTAAAATAATTAAATAAATTTTTTTACTCAATTTACTTTAAACAATAAATTATTTTTAAAATTCTTTTATTCAATAAAGTGTACGAATAAAAAATATAACACTTTCAAGATCAAAAATTTTTGGACGTTTATTTTTCAAACACAAACACGTTTGCCACTCCTCTGGATTTAACTTACATTGAACGAACTCTCAGCTAATCATTCTCTTTTTTCAACTTTGCGTGACAAATATCATTTTATGATTCCCCAAATGATCACGAAAATCACCTCAATAATACCTTTGAAACCCGTCTGCACTGCTGACGTGTTTGAACAAATGGCAAAATAACAAATCCTCTTATAAGGTGATTTGTCAATTACACATAACTTCTTTGAATACATTTCCGTTGGTTTGAAATAATTCATACCAAAATTGATGGAAAAAAGAATGATTAAAAAAACCAACCAAGCTTCATACCTGAATTGGAGTCTCTGACTGAGGAAGATTCTTCGAAAGACGTGGTTTCTTCATTTTCAATATTCCTGCTCCAAAATGATCTTCAGACATTCTCGTAGGTTTTAAAGATATTTTTTTTACTTCTTTTTGTGTTTCTTCATAATACACTTGATAACAAATGGATCCTAGTATCAAGGAAGACTGATTAAAAAAGTACAACAGTTGAGAGATAATTTTTTGTTGATCAACTATTGATTGCAATCAAGGATAAATTGATTTAAAGCAAGAGCAAAATCGTAATTCTTGACGATAAGAAAAAATTTGACTAGAATACTCGACACACCCTTGAAGTTATGTCTGCAATGGTGATAATCTTAACATGTTTCAGTATTTTACTAAAACTTGACGCCGGCGTGCGATGAATTTGCAGCCGCGCCTAGAAGATGGACGTATCCATCAACATACTTTATTTACAGCTGTCACACCCTGGACACTCGGAATTAAATTATGGATAAAAGAATCACTTGTAGACTTATTGATTTACTAATGATTGTGACCTCGTTAAACAGTAGTTAATATCAGCTGCACCTTTCGATGACTCTTATTTTCTTTCAGATAATCATTTGACTTTCTTTCCTGTTGAAAAAAAATAATACAGATTTTATCTATTCATAAGCATGAGGTTGATGAAATGTATCATACCCAGCTGGATCAAAGATAGTATTTAGGTAGAAAGATCATAATCAGATGGAAATAATTGATATTAATATTGATGAAAGTCTAGATTTCTTCAAAGAGAAATTGATGATGTCGACAAGAAAATTAGATCTTTGATTCTGTTACTTCAAAATGTTGATGATTGATAAAAATTAAGAACTCATTGGGGCTCTCAAAGAAATACATTTCATTACTTATAGCATCAATTAAAAAATTTATTCATTTCAATAATCATAGTTTTATCTTCATGAAAATAGTTAAGATCATAAAAAATACATTTTAAAGTAATGTACTTGCATTAAAAAATTCTTCCAGCTAAAAATATTTTTATAATAAAAAAAATTAATGAGAAAAATTGCTTCATTGTCATTTTTTGTTAATTTAAATTTCTTTAGTAAACTTTTCTATAAAGTCTTCTAGTAACAAAACAATTGACTAAAAAGTTTTAATTCATTATTATAACTATTTAGTAGTATGTCGAGCCCAAGTTTTGCGTTGAACTTGACTCATGAGATCATTTCTTGAAGGAAGCCTTGCACTGGTTGTCCTTGATGGTGGTGGTCCACTCGACCTGAGTATAGTAGCAAGTGCATTTTTTGAAGTCGAACTATCGTCATTTATTGATTTTTTTCCTACATCTACTGATGGACTTTCTTGAAGCTTAACATTATTCTGCTTTCCATTATTTTCTAGTCGTCTGCTTTGCTGTGGACTATCTAGAGTTAATGAATTTTGTGGAGGGCAACTAGATCTTTGTGGTTGTTTAAAGAGTGGTCCAGTGTCTGTGTCTCTCACAGCTGGTCCAAGGACGTGTAGAGAGTTTCTTTGACGTTCAAGGGTACGTGTGTCAACACAGGGTAAAGGTTTGATCAGTGTTTGAAGTTCTGAAAGAGGATCTGTAGAGTTTTCAGCAGATGCTGTGTATATTGACATTTTATGTGACATTACTGGAGATGATGTATAACTGTTGGCTTGAGTTACTCGAAGGGACAAACCTACAGGTGATGGTGAACTCTAAAAAATTTGAATATAATGAATGAGGAGTTTTTAAAGGTGAAATAATAATTGCAGTCAGTATGATTTTATCAACAATAACGGTATTAAAAAAATACGTACAGGTAATTTATTATTTGGTGGTAGAAGGAAAGTTGGTGGCTGCATAGTATAAGGTGATGGTGTTGCATAAGGTGACCTTTGAGCTGGATAAGGACTTAAATTGTGAAGTCTCTCCATCAACTGGGCTTGAAATTGTATCTCATCATTGGAAGTATAGAGTGCACTTCGAGCAGGAGCCGTTGTATAAATTTCAGGTGGATAATTGTATGTAAAAGCCTGTGATTCCAACTCCCAAGGTGAATTTTGACCCGGCGTTCGATGTGACTGCTTCGAAGAAAGGTGTATTGTTACGGGTTTAAGATCACACCGTAGAACAATGAGCATTATATTAGTACACAACGATGTTTTGTTTTTGCAGTTTGCTGCGGCGGCTGATGATACTGATTACCTAGCATTTACTGATGTTAAATCCACACATCCCATGCGAAGAACCTGTCGAGCAACAGTCGCGGATACCTCGTGGTAACATGACGGAGCATTGAAGCAAAAACAGTAGTTTATTATTGGATTATGTTAAAAAGCATACAGCCATACAATTTGAAGTTTTTGCTTCCAGTATTGTGATTTACAAATAATTTACAGCTATAAAATTATGAAGATGTTGAAAACTAGTTAATATATATATTCAAAAAAAGCAGAAAATATTTATAAAATATTTGGAGCATGGGCGTACAATTAAAGCTTTAATATTCACACATTTATCAGAATATTATATTTTATTATGTAAAAAATTCTTTAAAAAACATTAGCTAGACAACTACAATAGTTGTTAAAATGAAGTATAAAAATACAAAAATGCACAGATTATTTCTCTAATTGACGTTATCATGACATCATTCGGTAGAGAGTTACCTGGCCGAGATTTGAGAGATCAGGCATTGTAGGAATTTGAGAAGATATTGCATTTCCTGTTAAATTAGCACCTGGTAATGGGGTTGTTGGAGTTCCATGAACTCCTGTAGCACGCTCTTGTTCTCTTAAATGGTTCACTAAAGCACTTATGTGTTCTAAAAGTTCCTTATTCTGAACAAGAAGCTGATGACTCCTCGTCTACAAATAAAATTTAATTCAGATTAAAATAAAGAAATAAATGATTCTCTAATATTTTAGTTTTCTTACTTGAGCTTCGATTCTTGCTGCAGTTTCAGCTGCCAACTGGTCTTGCAAAAGACGTGCGTGAGCTACAGCAGCACGTGTTTGCTGACTCTGTTGCTCTAGACGCTCTCGAAGAAGTTGAACGTCATGTTTCAAAGATCTCAGTTCATTTCCACCTAGCGCTGACAACTCTCCACACTCTGATACTACAGTTCCCTATATAAAAATACTCATTTAAAAAGTATTCAAATAAAAAGGGCTAATTTATCCAACGTAAAAAAATTTAATTACTGATGGAGATTGTCTGATTGGAGATGCTGAGGTCCCATGTGTTCTAAGTATACAAGGCGTAATAGCCGGTGGTGGATCTTGAGCAGGATCTTCTCCATCACCTAACAGCGAAATGTCTTTATGTATGTGAGGAGAAGGGGTCCGAGCAGGTGTAAGATAAGAACGATCATTGATCATCTCATCTTCGTATTCATCTCGACGAAGCAGATGTTCTTCACTACGTTCTCTTACATCCCTGTCTTTTTCAAGCTCTTGTTCTCTTTGTTCAGCATTTAAACTTAATTTATGGCACACTTCGAAAGCCTGACCAACTGTCCTAACTACTCTCATGGCTTGGCTCTGTAACCAAAAAGAATTTTTACATTCATTAACATATGTTATAAATAATAATAATAAGTCATAACTCTATTTTATTTATTATGCGATAATAAATTTTTCAAGTATAAATTATAAAAGCATGTCAGGTTATAAGTCACTGTTTTTACCTCTAATTCTTCATAATTTTCATCTTCTTCAAAAGGATCTTCAACTAAAGAAAGATTAGCAGTTTCTTTATAAGAAGTACTAGAAACAGACTTTGATCTAAAAGAAGGCCTTTTTATTTTTAGAGAACCAAAAAATGATGGTTCTTTAAAGGATAATTTTTTTCTTGGTTTTGTAGCACCAGGAGTTCCAGGTTCTGATATTGTAGGGGTTTGATTGCCATCAGAATTATCATTTACACCGTCTAACGGTGTTGAAACAGGTGATATTATAAGTTTATTCACATTCTTTAACATTTTTTATAAACTGGAGTAAAGACGAAATGTAATAATGAAATTGAAATAAACGTTATAAAAAGTTTACTGTGAATGACGCACGGAATCGTTCATCACCTACATTTGTACTCCAGAAGTTGAGCCAAGGGTACCGAGTAATGAAAATATTTATAAAATAAAATCTCCGTTCATTATTCAGTGATCGTAGTAATATTGAATACACTAAATAGAAAAACGTCACTACACATGAGCGCTAACTGAAGTAGTCAGAGAATAAAAACCACCCAACAGTCTATAGCAGCTATTTTAATAACTGGACTACCTTCTAATGCTTCAGATACTCCTAATACTAGTGCACATCAACGTCAACGTCTCAGCCCACGGATTTTCTAGCGTTAGAAACACGATAAAATAATTCCGGTGCCTATCATCAGACTAGGCAAGCACATGGGCAACAGGAATAATCAACTATGGGACGTTAAAACGTCATTGAAATTATTGAAATACGCACAAAAGTTAAGCTACAAGAAGATTGTAAATGTTTTATTAATAACCTCCGCTCAAAACTGTACAGTTTCTTCAATCTGTACTTGCTTGCCGTCCACTGTTGAGCATTCGGGATAATCATTCGCGTAAAGCAACTCTTTTTGGCAGCGACGTTCACCTGGTCTTGTACGAAATTCTTCTACAACTGTAGTTTTACTCTGATGCTTTGCTTATTTATAGGGTTGTTGTAACGTCAGCTATCAGATATAAAATGAAATCTTTCTCGGAACAATTGTAAATTAATTGTGTTATTCAGAATGACATTAAAAATGTAATTTTTAAATATTTTCATTTCAATTATTTTTGGATATATCTTTTTTACTCTGCTGAAAACATTCTTACCTTTTTGTTCGATTTAAATACGTTGCATTTGAATGAATTACTGTTTTCATCGCGAGCGATGTAACTGAATATCTTTAGATCATGGCTATCGTGGGAGACATAGAATATTCTGAAAATAGAATATTAAAATCAATCTCATTAATTGCTTCGGTGACAAGTCTATGCTTTGAAAATATAGGATAATAAAATACCTGTAGATTGGATAGTGCATTTGGAATGCTTTATTTTCATCTATCCATTGTTGTTTTTTCTGAAAAATTTATTGCAATTGTTATTCATTGAAACTAATTTTATTTTTTATTAAATTTTATTACTTAATAAACTACACCTTTTTTTTTTTTAATATACCTTTTTCTTGCGAAGAGTTACTTTGACGCCATCAACCGAAACTTCAAGAGTTACTTTCTTCTTTTTAATTCCTTTTGACTTGAATTCATACTAAAAAATGCACATAAATTTTAATACATTTCATATTACTTCTTACGTTTATTGCATTAAGTGATGTAATAGACTATGCATTTTGTTAACATTTTTTTTTTTTTACTATTCATGGAAAAACTTACTCGGATCCGACGCATCGCAGCTACTATCTCCACTCGACTGGTAGGTCGAGGAACTTCCATCGATCCAATAAACTATAAAAAAAATGTTAATAGTTACTCTCTAACAGTAAACTTTAGAAGAAAAAAAATTACAGTGATAGAGGAACATTCCATTTATGCTACAACCAGACAAGGGAATCAAATGAATCTCATCATCAACCAAAAAAAGTAGCAAGATAGAATTATTGACTTTCTAAAAAACTTTTAAAAAATTTTCTATAATCTTGCACTCTAAAATGAACATGTGAGCAAAATGACACCACTTATGTATGGTTGTATGATAGAACAAAAATATCTTCTTCCTCGACAGCGGCCTCATTGTTCAAATGAGGTGTTTTCTCTGTTACCATTAAACCATCATTTGAAACATAGTTGATATAATAAAAAACTTTTATTATCTTTGAAAAATTGAGGTAAATGTTGAGTTTTTTATGATTTAATACATAATTACAGTCTAATTTTTTATTTTTACTGCTAAAAAATAAAGCAAACTGGAGATAATAAAATTTCTTTTTGTTATACATTCGAAAATGATTTGAAAAAAAATAATTAAGAATTTCCGTGGATTGTTTATATTTTCTTTCTGGTTATTTCAGTACAATACTGTCATTACGAAGTAGACCGGAGTAATGTTCATTTTTTTATGACATAATTACTCATAATTTTTCACACTATGGTAATTTAATTGATAAATTTACGTAGTACAACTTTTGTCTTTTAAAATCCTTTTTTATTTGATTAATTCTTTTATATGAGTGCAGTTTTTTTGATTCTAATTGAAGGATTATTTTGGAGTAGAATTTAATACCTTTGCATGGAATACAATTCCACGATGAAAAGCTTCTTCGCTGTGCAGAGAAACCTTTGTATCGTAATCATCATTGTGAACAAGATTGTACTGCTTTTTAGAGGGCATGCTTGGCCCATACCAGGTGTATTAAATTATAAATTAAGTACGCTGAAACAAAGTTGAATCCAATTATTATTTAGTAAGTCAATATATTCAATTAAGTTAATTAACATGCTGATAGTTTCTTAGATTGAAGGTTTTTTTGTTGTTGAACAAATGTATTCAATTCTTTATCCAAGAATGAGTAATTACCAGGCATTGGAGTTTTCAAAGACAAAACAATTATTATATAGAATTAAAGTGATAAAAATGTGTCATGCTGGTAACTAAAAAAATATTATATTACAATGATTTATCGTACAAATAAAATGATTAAGACCGAGATGATCTGACAGAACAAAAGAGTTTCAAATAATCGGCTACATCGAGCCATGAGGTTGAAATTCCACTGCGAAGATGCACCTTTATACGCACACCTGAATCAAACAGCGTTCACATTAGAATTCAAGGACAGTATTTGAAGTATTGAAGGCCAATGAATTGAGTATTGAATCTGCTTGATACTTAACTAGTCTTGGAACTAGTTTTTCAAAGAAAAACTCCATTTCCTCCCATAGAAATTGTTCTTATTTAAAAATTCACAATTCTTAGTGAAAGTAATTTCAAGGTCAGGTTTCTTGGGTGTTCTCAAGATTCTGTGAACGATGCTTAATATCAAACGGTGGATAGTCAGAGGGGCTTCAGTCTCTTATATTATTATATACCCACACATTCACGTGATTCCGTAGTGTTGTAGACTCATGCATGCGTGGTCACACACCATCTCAGGAGATCTCTCCCTTCTTGTGTCTGAATGACGGTGTAGCAAGGAATCAGACTTTCCTTCTTTCTCGACAGTGTAAGCAGGGGAAAAATGATAATGTACCAACGAGAATGCAAGTAATAATCTTCTCGATGATGGAGCTTAAGTGTCAGTCACCATAGCGAATCATTTCGTGCTCTTTGGTTAGATAGCAATTATCGAATGTGCTTTCATTTCTATCTATTTTTCAATTTTCCATACATTCTCGCTCCACTTGCTCCCAGTTTTCTGCTACACGCACACACACGCCGTTTCTTGTTCTTCTGGCGGCTATGAAACCAAGGTTGAACGGCCCGAGATACAAAGGGGAACGAACTTACATCGTTTTCAAACAAAAAAAATCTATTACTGAAGAATAACAGCAATGATTATGATAAAAAGTTAAGTTCATTAACAAACTACCTTTAATCACAATTATTTTCTCACAATTATTTTAAATCATTTCCCCTACGCTTCAAAAATTTATTCTTTCAAGTATCCTTTTTTTTTTTTAAAAAGTTACTCATGTTTATATTTTTTTTTGAATTATAAACAATTTTTGTCAAGTTAAAAACGTCTTTTTGGAATTTTATTTTAAAAATGATTTTAAACCGGAATTACTGTCAGTTAGAATGTCAAGTTTCTTTGAAGCGTGGTACAGGATTTATTCTATAAGTTACAAGTACGTAAACATTTCCAATCGCGAGTAAAACTTCTAACAGACTAAACTAAAGAAGCAACCTGGACATTCTTAGCTCAATCCAGCTCAATCCCAGAGCCGTTGAAAAAAAAAAACATTTGAGTGGTGGACGATTGGTGCCATAGATTCTACTAGAGGTCACTGCAGACTGTCGTCGGTGAGAAAGTTTACTCGGTTACCAATCAAGTATATTTTCTCTTTTATCAGTTGAGAAAACTGAAACGCAAAAAAAAACAAAAGCCGGCGTAACGACGCTTTGTCGTCATCATTTTTTGAAAGTTCATTATTTCTTTGCTCGTAATTAATTAAAATCCGTGTTGTAATGAATAAAAATAATAACGTGAAATAATAATTATGTTCCCGTTAAACCTAACCACACTTTTAACCTATTACGAAATAATTTTTCATTGTTACCGAATATATATTGTTCAAAAGCGTTAATTGTTGTAACAACATTTATGAGACCGGAGTCTGTTAATAATAATTAGTTGTATATAATTTTAATATAATGATTTAATTCATTATCAATTAGATAATAACCTATAAATATTAGAGTATTGTACTCCAATGTAATAATAGATAATGGCTATCTATTATGTTCTTGAAAGAATAATCATTTTTCGACGTCAAGTTAAGCTTGAAGAAAAATAACCTATTTCAATTTTTTTTGCAACTTTAAACAAGTTAGTACTTTAATAAAAATAAACATCAATAATAATGGTTGATTGAAATATTTGTTTTAAAAATAGACACTAAACTAAAATTGTTTTCATTTGTACAGTGAGGATTCAAGTTCCAGTTTACAATCACTTTCCTATCTATAGAAGCTTTTTATTGTCTTCTTCAAACTCATCGATATCTAGGTTCATAGGTATGTTATGAAAGCCTTTAATATAAAAAGTTATGTCCTTTTAAGATGATGGTGGGTGTTTATTGATTGTCTAGTATTAATTTTTTATTATTAAACAACCATTTACTAATGAATAACCATCAGCAAATAATTGCATATTTAATTTACTCAGCGGAAACGTAGAATAGGTCCTTATTATATATATCACATTGAATACCTCTTGATCGAAAGAAGCTATTTATCTGTCTTAGAAGTGTGGTAATCTCGGTACCATCTCCTCTTTAGCCCTAATTAACTTGACTTAATTAATATGAGTGGGCTATTAGGATAAATTAACACCTTTGACAGTTTGATTCTGATAGAGAGCTTCTTGCTTTTATCTTACCTAAGACATTGAATAGAGATTGGACAAAGTTAGTTCGGTACAATATATTCTATGTAATACCAAATAAACATAATAAGAATTTTATTTACTAATAAAATAAAATCATTTTAGGGGTTATTATTTAATATAATTAAGCTCTAAATGATTTTATTTATGAAAAGCATAAACTCTTTCGAAGTAACTCATAACTTCTATCAGTAAATAAATTAAATAGATTGCAAATACTAATAATATAATTTTTCATGTTGTAAATTTAAGAAATTATACTTGAGTTTAGAAAAGATAAATTTTAAGTAGTTTACTTTATTCAATTGTTTTTCTTCTAGATGTGATTTAAAACTTTGTTATTTATATATTTACATGTTTCAGTACTCAATATAATTGAGCTAAAGTAAATTATATATAAAACTTTATTATTGACGTACTGATAGTTGTCACTTCGTTTATTATTTGTTCGATAATACCTCACATGAATTACTATTTTTAGTCAAGTATATCCAATCTAGAGAATGCTACTGACATATTGTTAGTTGAATAATATGCATATACTTAGAACAATGATATTTAGTATGACTAGTGGGAATTATAGTAATTATATTAAATTATACCCATCATGCAAATAAAAGGCTATAACTTTTGTTTAAATGCACATATGAACACCTGAAAAAAAACTTAAATTTTCCAACTTTAAGATGCTTTTTAGAGTTTTTAATTTACATTGATGTTCTGGAAAATTGTAGTAGAAAAGAGAGGAGTTGAAGAGTCTTCACATTTTATTTTATTTTTACTTTTATCTTTTTAATCAACAACAATTTTTCTCTTCATTGAATATCGTATTTCATTTCTATTTTAATTAGTTCAGAAAATTCTTTTTAAGATAAATATTCATAAACTCAAGTACTTGATGGTATAAAAGAATATTTATTTTTTCTATGTGGTTAGTCTTGACAAAGATTGTTAATCAGTTATTATGTTAAATCAAGGATGATATCTCAAATTGCTTTTACCTGTTTTTAAAGTTTAAAGATCAAAGTACTTCTATTCAGTCCTTTACTCGTTGGACAAATAAGAAAAATCTCTTTAGCATAAAAATGTCTTGTTCCCTCGAGATAGCAGTGATATTAAATCTACACCATGGTATTAGATAGCAAGTAGACAAATACCACATTTTATTTTTAGTAGAAAAGCGACGAATAACCCTCATTTTAGTAAGCGCATTTGACGCTAAAGCTTATCGCCACCTACACGTCTTTCGTTTCATCATGCTCATTCTATCTTCGTGTATTCAAGTAAATCATTGCGTTTAAATCTTCCAGTGATATTGTCCAGTGTTTGGAGTATTCCACTATTGGAGTATTAATACTTGATATTACTAAAATAAAAATATTATGTAACCAAACTAAATTTCACTGAATAAGATGGGGCTATAGAAATAGCTCTGAAAAGTGAACATATTGCTATATTTATGTGATTTTTTTTCCTCTTGCTTAAATTGCAGAAAACTTCCGTAGGGCATTCTCTGAAATTCTCTTTCACGTTTCTACTCTTCATTTTTTAGCTTCTTTTTTTTTTTTATTTACTAGTAGAACCTTTTTTTTCTTCTTGTTTTATTCAGCAAAAGATTTGACATGTTTAAAGTATTAATTATTTATCAATTCATGTTTCGTGCCATAGAAATATTCCGCAAGAGGACGACACACTGCCGAATAATGTTCAGTTACATGTATATGTATTACAATCAATCTGGTGTTATTTTAACAAACAGACTCAAAAGAGAGAAATGGAGAACTAGGGTCATGAGAAAATCAATGAGAACAGTTGCAGGGAAATATTTTCTAAGGGGAAAAATTCTAGCGAATGTAATCCTATGATTTAAGTTAATGTCCTAGGGTTGTAAGGAAACGATATAATTAATTGGTTTAATTCTGCTACTGACCGAAATTTCTTCCAATAGATTTTTTACGTCTTGGTTTTGTTTTTTTTTTTGTTTTCAAGATACATTTTCTTGCTGCTGGGAATTTTTTTTTCAAATGAGAAATATTACGTTTTCAGGAGAAATCGAACAAGGAGGAGATTGTGTAGTAAAACGAATGAAACTTGTCTAGGAAAAGTAATAGTTGGAAAAATTTTTTCGAAATAATCACAATAAATTCATGGAAATAGAAGTCGTTTGAGTTTGATATGAAGACATTTTTTTTTCTTTTCAACAAAAAAAATTCTGAATTCACAACATTAATTTGATAATCTCGATTATTTTATTTATAATTATTTTTTTTTTTTTTAGAAATCTCTAGGGAAATTTTTATTATCAACTAGCCTATGTCTGCGACTCTGTCTGTGTAGATACTTTTTGATTGTTATAAACAGTAATATCTTATTTATTTATAACAATTGTTATCAATTATTGTCCATCAGATGAGTTTGAGTAGGCAGAGAAATCAAAACTGTTCTAATATATACCTGATCTTCATTCTGTGACATTAAATAAAAATTTATTTCTTTGTGATTCCATAAATAAATCCCCTGCCTACGACTTTAATAATTCTTATCACGAATGGGAATCTTTTAATGGTGATTAGAAAATCCTCAATAATTCTAGTCACAAGCATTGTATATACAGCCTCCATTGACCATATGCTAATCTATTGTCATAAAAACAGTTCCTTGTAAATACAAATGTCTACACGAGCAGAGGGAATGATTCTTCATTATCTTCCCTCTAGAACAGTCTTCATATCACGACGATATTACCTTTCCGGTATGCTCATTTTTCCGGGAACACGAAGCGATTAAACCGTGTTCGCCATTCTGCTATCTGGTTCTATTGTAAAATATCCTTTGCTATTAATGTGGCGGAAATACGTATATGAAAATATAAATATCAAAAGAGAAGGATCAAAATACAGTGCTTTTCAAAAGTTAGTTTAAATATTCAGGTGAAAATTCTCAGGTATTCTCTCTTCAATATATATTTATGGAGTATTGTGAGTTGAAATAAAAACTGTGTTGTTGAAGTCGAATGAAAATATCTTACTAACGACAGTCTTTTTAATTTTCCAGTGCAAATCCAAGTGTATTATTCTTTTAAATACTTTTAACACGTTAAGCCTATTCAATGTTTAATCATCTACAGTTTGCTTACAAACATTTTACATTGAACACACTTTATGCGTGTTATTTTAACACTTTTGTGAAATCTGAGGATTTGCAGAGTAGAGTCGAATGATATGATTTTTTGCGCCGAATGAAAAAACTAAGAAGAAGAAAACTAATCGATTTTCACATTTCATGAACAGTGTTATTTTTCATTACTTATATAATTTTAACTAAAAAGAGGCAAACTAGCCAATTTTCGTTACTTTCCATTGGGAAATCAGTCGTATGGATCTCTAGGTTCGCACCTGGACTAAATAATTTTTAAGTTAAATTACACCTGTTTATAGTTTGTTATTAAATTCCGTTTAAGATGCCTTAGAAGGTAGCACAGGTTTAATATATGAGCGACTACTGTAACTTGGTGAAGTGATGGAGGCCATCCTCTTACACCCTTGGAAGTCACTAAATGTAGTTACAAAAGCCTCAATGATGTTAAACAAATTTCACAACTTGAATATTGAATATTAGAGATACCTTTGTGGATGAGAACAAACTTGTAGGAATAAGATATTGACGTTTTATTAAAACTTAAATTATTCCTGAATAAATAAGAACTTTATTAAAACTAAGGTTGTTTTGGAACTATTTACTAGTAAAAAAAAAAAAAAGGATACTTAAAAAGCATTATACTTTTAATCATGAATTCTTGTAAACTTGCAACCAATGCAACAAGCTCATGCTTTATAAATTTTTAGTATCAAGCTTGAAACGTATTTTCTTCATTAAAAATAAAGTATTTTAATATTTAAAATCACAAAACAACTACTAGTTACATAAAGAATATATGAATTTTTTTTTTTTATTGATATCGTTTTGTTTTAATATGAATTTATTTAATATTTATATTTGAAAATAAGCTTTAAAAGCTTTTATGCTTTTACAAAGTTAAATTTTAATGTAATATTAAATGATGTTATGTTCAAAAGTAGCTAAATAAATTACCACAAAGTTTAGTATCGATTGTTATCCAATTTTTAAATAATAAAATTATGTTTAATTTAATTAGAGCTTTAGAGAATTTAATTGCGAATAAAAGAACTCTTGAGAAACAATAGAGCTTCTCAAGTTATTGTAGGAAACTTTCTAAAAAATTAGTTTTCAAAAAACGCGTTAAAAGTTTTTAAAACAACACTTGTACCAACAAGAATGAACATTTTTACAAACTTACTTAAAACGTAAAAACTTTTAAGCAAAGCCTTATGGATATATATTTTAAAAGAATTAAAGTTAAAATATGTCCAAATAATAAAACTTTTGTTTTTTTTTTAAATGGTTTAATGATAATATTTTATTATTAAAAAAGAAAAAATTATTTCTAGTAAATAAACATTTTATCGCTTTGATATTGAGGCAATATTTACTGAATTAATATTCGTGAAGAAAAAAAAAATGAATTTACGTAATTAAATACGGAATTAATTAATTTAAATAATATATTTGCTCGGTATAATAAATTTTCAAACAAGTAATTAAATTAACG